CGCGTCGTCGGCGTCTATGGCGTCTGCGGGTAAGCAGTTGATGGAGGACGGCCTCATCAGGATTGCCGACGCCCTCCGCGGCCGAAGCCCACCAAAGTGGCCGGAGCAGGCTATTGACATCTTCTTCCGCGATTTTTCCGACGAGGATATGGACCTTCAGCTGAAGATTGCCGAGAAGGCCCTCGCGGACGACAACAAGGCCATGATCTTTTGCAAAATGTCGCCGGCGTTGCGCAAGCACTGGGTCAAGCGGCTGAGAGAGTTGCACAACAACAGCCGCAACACGTAGCGTGTGAGCGCGCGTCAGGCAGGCAATGTAGGATTCGTGGGCGGCGGCGGCGGCGAGAACGGCGGCGTTTCGATGTAAGAAGGCTATATCGCGTGTGTACTCGTGGGCAAAGCGGGCAACGGCTAAAGGCAAGGTTAGGCTGTGATCAAAGTCTTTGGGAGTTGGCTCAAAGCAAAGGCTGGATAAGCGAAAGTCGCGTGGGCGTTCAAGGTGTCCGATCTGGGAGGGTTCACACGGGGTTGAAGGAGTTAGCAACCAAACGGCATAGCGACTGGGATGTTGAGCTTTGGCGAAACCTACCATTTTTTGTCTGTACGATTTTCTACGATACTATTACCAACATCATCGGGACCCAGCAGACAAAGTATGCAGTCGACCGGTGGGGCGCGGTCGGTTTCCTTGGTAGTATATTCAATACTTATTTGTCGATACCGCCATGATGCTCATCCGGGCTCGAAACTCAATGCGATAACACGAACGCGATACTGGACGCGTTGACGGCGACGACGTGTCACGCCTTGGTGGGCCTAGAAGCAGTCATTCAAGCAATTTTTTCTTTGGTCTGGTTTGAAAAACGTCATTGTGGTTGTATGGAGGAGATTGTAATTCCGTATTCGCCCCGAACGCCAAGTACATACATACACAGCGGAAGAGCCGTTCCGCGTCGTGCTCGTCAAGACGCTATTCGCCCCCCCATGCCAGCAATCCGTGCCACATGCCAAAGAGAGAAGAGTCCCAAGCCATTAGAAGAAGACAAAATCCAAGCCGTCATCACCCGACGAGCCTGTCTCTTATTTCTTGCCCTTGGTCTTGTAGAGGTAGCTGCGCAGGCGTCAGTACGGTTCATGAAATAGCCAGATGGTTTGTGACGCAGAATGCCTACCTTCCAAAGATACCCTCACCAAGACCGACAACACCCAGGATACCAAGTCCCAGGCCGATGTTCTGCCACGACAGGCGGCCACGCTCGTACAGACCCCAGGCCTTGTAGCCGAGGAAGGTGCTGAGGCCGACGACGCCAACAAGATTGGTGATGACGAGAGCGGATGCGCTGCCGTCGCTGAGGGAGGAGAACTGGCGCTTCAACCACGAGTCGGCCTTGCGGGCCTTGCCGGCGGCCTTCTTCTTGGCCAGGTCGGCCTCGGCGCGGGCCTTCTGCTCCTCCTCCTCGCGCTCGATGCGGTCGGCCTGGGTGTCGGTCTTGACTTCCTGCTCGTTGAAGTCGTGGGGGACCGTGTGTACGCTAGGCATGTCGACGTCGACGAGGGACGAGGTGGAGGCGACGGACTCGACGGACTCGATGGAGATTTCGGGGGGCTGGGGAGCGGCAGCCTGAGGACGGTGGAGAAGGTTAGCGTTGTTTTTTTGTAGTCATACAAGTGGTGTGATTGTTCAACAGATTTGTACTGAGAGTATCGTGACATCACGCGATCTCTAAACGTACCTCCTCAGGAGTCTGCTTGGGGCCCTTGGCGGCCATGTCTGCGTAGGAAGCCACTGCAACGTTGTTAGCAACGCGCGCACATGTCGGTCATGACGTGATTTTGTTGACACTTACTTGTGATGTGTGGTTCAAATGTTTCTGGGGGTTGAGTTTGTAAAGGCTCGTTGAGAGAGCGCAGATGCAACAAGCAAGAGCTTTACAGTGGTGTGTAAGGTGTGAATGCGCAGATGGAAAAAAAAGGTGTGGCAGATCGACAAATGACGCGGATGGAAAGACGGGAGGTTCCTTTTAAGAGGATGGTGTCATGTGAAGGAAGGAACCGGAAGGAAGGAAAGGAGGGTAGGGGGAAAATTAGCACCACGCGGGAAAGGAAGAAAGGTCGTCATGTGGTTTGACCATTTCCCCCTCTCCCCCTTCGAGCTTTCCTTGATCTTGGTTGGCGCGACTGCGCCTGGAAGCCAATGACGTATGACGTATGCGGCTCGGGAGCTTGGGACAAGTCGATCAGCGAACCAATGACAAAAGTGTTTATCCACTCACCTATGGAGCCATTCGGTCGCTAACATGGGGAAGAACCCGGACAACCGCCAGGAACGCTGCAATGCGTCGGACCGTTCTCGGATGGGGGAGATGGATCCCGGATGAGCTGTCACTGACGGAATTTGACAATGTGGTTCATGCTCGTGGGTCTGGAGAAAAACAGTCGTCCCATGTTGTTGGGTAGTCTGAAGCCAAAATTACTATGATCGTGACAAAAAGAAAGATGGACGCAATAGACGAAATCCTATGGAGAAGTGTATGTCTATTGTTTTGGTTCTTTCTTTCGTACTGGTACACTTTGTACACGATTATGGTACATGAGATATGCCCGAAATTTCCCGTCATGGTGTCATTAGCTGCCCCTTTGCAATGCACCACATCCCGCCTCCGTGTACTTCTACGTACAGCGAGTTTTATTTTGCAAATGGAACGAAACGAGAATGCCTCGCTTTCTAGTTGTTGTTGGCTGCCGTGGCGTCCGTCGCCCTGGTGTTGGGCTGGGTGAGGTCAACGGGCTCTGGCGCGGGGATCTTCTTGGCATCCTCGGCCTGTTTGTCAGCGCCAGACTTGACCACGGGCTTCTTCACCTCTGACTCGCCCTTGATCTCAGCTCGGGGGCCTGATCAGGGGAGTCGGCCTTGACCTCCTTCTTGTCGTTGACGGACGGGGAAGGCGGCGCAATAGTGGCGTCGGTGTTGGCATCGAGAGTGGGCTGGGCGTCCTCGGGGCCTCGTCGTCGTCGGCTAGCTCAGCGCCGTAGACCTCGGGGTATTTCCGGAAGCACGTCTGCATTCCCCTGCAACTCAGTTAGCATGGGTGTCCACGCTTTGTGTCAACTAGCCCAACGTACTGGAACTTCTCGATGCAGTCCATGCCCTTGGGCTCCTCCGTGGAGTAGACGAAGCAGCTGAACGCAGCCTTGAACTCCTCGCCACAAGGACCGTCCGCCATGCCGCCGAGGCATGGGCAGTCCCAGTTGATCTCGCCCGTCTCGGGGTTGAATGCGCCCTGCTGGCCGGCCTCAGCCTCCAGAGCCTCGGGGGATCCGGGCGCCGGTGCGCCCTCGCCGCCCTCGAGTGGCTCCTGGGTCTTCTCGCTCGATTCCGTCGGCACGGGGGCAGCGGCAGGCGTAGGCTTGGCCTCCTCGGCCTTCACAATGGATCGCTTGCGCTTCTCTTCGACGATGGCGTCGACAGTGGTGAGGTCAGAGTCGGAGAACTGGGAAGGGGCCGGGATCGTCCGGGCTGCCGGGAAAGTTCAATTAGCATACGATCCCTTGATCAACTCGCAACGCTGTTGCTCTTCCCTAGTGAAACATACGGAGAGGCTCCTCGGCAAAGACCGGACTCGTGTTGTACCAGTAGACGGCGCCGACCGCAAGACCCCATCTCAATGCTGAGCCCTTCCATGACCGGGGCTTGTCGGCGGGTGTCGTCGAGGCGAATCGTCGAGGGGCTGCGCGGATTGCCGACTGGCGGGCGGCGCTCAAGGCGCGGGGCGTCGACCGGACGGCACTGCGATACATTTCGGGGTGTCTGTGATAAAGAAGCTAAAACCAAAGAGGAGGGAGGAAAAAAACAAAACGGGTAAACGAAGACAAAGGGGAATCACGGAGATGGCAGAGGTCGCGTGTTGCGGGCGGGAGCAAGCGGACGGGAGCAGATGGAGCGGGTTGGTAAGCCCGAATCGAAAAGAAAATTGAAGCTTCGATGACGGGTTCTGCCGAGGTTTTAGCGGCGCATTCCCACCCTTCATTCAATCGATGATGAATGAGCCTGACGCAGGTCCGGCCGACCGGTCGGTCAGAAAAACCGGGCGACTGGTGGGGACACTGGATTCGTCGGAGTCAGCGCTTCATTGGCTGCCAATCATGTTGCACCACTTCTGCGAGATATTCCATTTCTGGCCTGATGACAACGACGCATCATGAGTGAGATAAACTCCAGGTGGTGATGATATGCCGTGAATATCGCTGGTTTCTCTTGTACATTTTGAACCATATCCAGTCACACTTTGGCGCATCTGTTCCTTGGATATAGTTGGCTATATTTCTGAGGACTGGCCTGTATTTAGCTCATCTGCATTTGACCTGTCTCTTTGGTATCTGACGTGGATTCGCGCGAGGAGCCTCAAGATGTCGCCAAGCTTTGAGTGGCACCCCGTCGCTCTTCTTCGGCAGAGGAGGCCAGAATATCCTGGCCCGGCAGACTTCTCACTCATCGTGCTCAATCAGCCTGTGAAACAGTCCCCCGTCTTTGACTCGCTATGGACTAACGGTATGGCACTTGAGCACCGATTCTGATTTCTTGCTAACACCCCCTTGCAGCCCTCACGCGCGTCGCTGCAGATGGCGGAGCAAACAGGCTGCATGATCTCAGCAAGGCAGCTGAAGCCCAGTCTCACTCGCCATTCGTGAGTCCTAGCCGCCCTGCCTGCCTGTCGGCTTTATCTAACCGTCGTAGACCAACCTGGATGTTATCATCGGCGACTTGGACTCCCTTCTCCCTTCCGTCAAGGACTACTACACAAAGCTGGAAAAGCCGACCCGGGTCATCCACGACCCTGACCAGTACTCGACGGACTTTGGCAAGGCCGTCTCGTGGATACGCTCGAACCATGCGCCAAACACCGACATCGTGGCCCTCGGAGGGCTAGGCGGCCGCGTCGACCAGGGGCTCAGCCAGGTGCACCACCTGTACCTCTTCCAGCCGGGGCCAGACTACGCCCAAGGCAGGCTGTACCTCGTCTCGGGCCAGAGCTTAACGTTCCTCCTCAAGCCCGGCCGCCACAGCATCTGGGTCCGCGAGGGCGGCGACGACGTTTTTGGGAAGCACGTCGGCATCATCCCCATCGGAGGCACCAGCCACATCACCACCAAAGGCCTCGAATGGGACGTCGAGAACTGGGAGACCAAGTTTGGGGGCCACATCAGCACCAGCAACCACGTGCTGCCCGAGACAAAGGTGGTCGAGATCGAGACGACGAACACGGTGCTTTTCACCATTGCCCTTGCGGGCATCGAATAGAACCAAAACCCGACTGTCGCTTGTTGTACATGGTACCACCCCTGATGCTCGAGAGAAGAAAAATGCACGGTGCATGCAGACTGCAGCCGCCGACTCCAAAAACGCCATGCCCCCTCAAATGTTTCCCAACTTCGTTATCATCCCGCAGCCCAACCAAATCTCCAGCCGGTCGCGCGCCTACCGCAGGAAGTGTATGCACGCCCAGCAAAAGAGGAAGAAGATGATGACACCGGCCCAAAAGATCCACTTGTCCTCCTTGGCGCGGCGCTCAATCATGCGGATGGTGTCGCCCGAGATTCCCAGCGTGTTGCCGACCGAGTACAGCCTCTTCTGGGTGTTCTTGAGCATCTCGCGCTGTGTGCCCAGGTCGCCCAGGACCGCCTGCCCTCTCGCAATGTACTCGTCGAGCGCCGAGTTCGTGTTGGCGAAGAAGTTCTGCTCGCGCAGAGCGTGCTGTTCCCTCGTGACGTCGTTGCCGCCCATGCTCAGGCCACCCCCAGCCTGGCCCGTGGAGGCCCCCCGGCTCTGGAACGTCGACGACGCCGACTTGTTGACGTTGGCGTAGGGGTTCTCGGGCGTCGCAGTAACGTAGGCGCGGCGGCCCAGCAGCTCGCCTCGGTTGTTGCTGTGGATGGCATCTTCGCGCGCCTTCTTGAGGGAGTCGATCTGTGACTTGAAATCGGACAGGTCGTCGCGGAACCGCTTGACGCGCTCAAAGGCCTCTTCTTGCTTCTTCTGTACGAGCTCCTGACGGGCCAGGTTGTTGTATTCGTCGACGGTCTTGGAGAAGGATGCGAGGGATGCGGACACGTTGCCGATCTCGGCGGGAGTCAGAGCGGTCGGCTGCGCAGCGGAAGACGACAGTTTCTCGAGGTCGTTGCGGATGGCCTTGCTCTGGCGCAGGGCCGAGTTGTATTGGACGTTCTGCAGCTTGTCAGCAGGGCGCAACTTGGAGCAGCGCTCGGGCAGTGACCAACCATGCTGGGGAATTATAGAGCAGAGTACTGGCGTCGAACCAGGGTCTGAAGGCACAGCAGGATGGTTCGAGTCGTTGCAAAACAAAAAGAAGGGTCCGAGTGAGTTGTCGAGGAGCACACCTCGGTCGAATGCAGGGTCCCACGGTCTAGGTATGGAGCTCAGGACATGCTGGAGCTCTACAGGTGGCTTCTCGAAAGAAAACACGTCACCGCCTTCCTGATTCGTGGCAGGGAGCCGTACTGTGTTCCGGACAGTACATGCATCCCTGTGAACTGTGCCGTGCCCGCAGCGGACCTCATCCCTGCCTTCGGTCCTTGACTTGTTAGCCGTCGCTGTAAGGGGCAACTCGACTTTACAAACTTCATGTGAACCTTGACTTCGTCTTGATGCTATTTTTTCAAAAGTGCACGCTTTCCAAAATTATTTGGGCTTGGCCAAACAACCAGCAGCTCCGCTAGCCCCAAGGCCCCCAAACCCCCCAAGAACCCCCAAGGACCCCAAGACTAGGCAAGATGCAAGTCGCCGAACACGGACCGTTGATGGTCAGCTTCGCGAGCTTTGGTAGGCGTCCATAACACTGATTTACGGCACTGCTACAGTCGGACCCGTAATTACCCCCCCATTCCGTCAATTCGGAGCCGGTTTCTGGTACCGAATCTCGCCGGTCTGACACTCCCCCCTGACGTGATACGGTAGCGTAGACCAAAGTTCCTAGAATGCCCACAAGCGGTATCCTGGAGACGTTGCCGAATCGGCGCCGAGATGCACCCAAGGTCTTATGATGCCGCATGCCCGACCAACGGGCGACGATCTATCTTCCTTTCGCCCCAGTGACCAACGACGTAGCTAGCCGTCGACGGGCTTCTGCCGAGATTCGATTTTTTTTCTTTTCTTCTTTTCTTCTTGTTCTGGTTTCCGTTATTAAAATGCCTTCTATCTGGACGTCTTGGCTGGCCCTGGTGTTCTGTTGTTACTCACAACTCAACACATTACATTCGCGCCATTCTCTTGGTTGAAACACCATAAACTTGGCCACAATGTCCCGGCCATCGAGTCCTGTCCCAATGGAGAAGTCGACAACAATAGACGAAGAAGCTGCGGCGCCACCACAGCAGCCGGAACGACCACCGCAATACTCCGTCTACACGACATGGGAGAAGCGAGCCATTGTTTTAGGAGCCTGCCTGGCTGGCTTCTTCTCGCCGTTCACCGCCCAGATCTACCTCCCGGCCCTGACGGTCCTGGCCCATGAGTTCAATGTTTCGGACTCCGATATCAACCTTACCCTTACGACGTACATGATTTTCCAGGGCATCGTCCCCATGTTCATTGGCTCTTTGGCCGACAACAGCGGCCGTAGACCAGCATACGTCATCTGCTTCGTTGTCTACATTGCAGCAAACATCGGTCTGGCCTTGTCTCAGAACTACGCCTCTCTGCTCGTCGTCCGCTGCATACAATCGGCAGGCTCCAGCAGCACCGTCGCGCTGGCCTCGGCAGTTGTAGCAGATGTCGTTACCTCTGCGGAAAGGGGGCAGTACGTTGGAATCACAGTCCTTCCAATCGTTTTGGCTCCTGCTTTAGGTCCGGTCCTTGGTGGCGTCCTTACTCAGTATCTCGGCTGGAGGTCCATCTTCTGGTTCCTTGCCATCCTCGCCGGCGTGTACTTCGTTTTCCAGTTGCTATTCTTCCCGGAAACGTGCCGGATGATCGTCAACGACGGATCCGTTCGCCCTCCCTGGCTCTATCGAACCGGTTACCAGTTGCTGAAAGACTACTTCCGGGCCAGGAGAGAGACCGGGGCTCCAGTCACGAGGTCCACGACGGGAGCTTCCAACACTTCCAGGCCTGCACTGAAGTTCAAACTGAACCCATTCGGCTCGCTTCTTCTGCTCTTCGAGCGGGAGCTTGGCCTGCTTCTCTGCTTCAGCGCCATCGTCTTTGCCGGGTTCTACGCGATTGCCGCCTCCATGCCGACCCAGTTCCAGGAGATATACGGCTTCGACAGTCTGAAAGTCGGCCTCATGTACCTACCCATGGCCGGTGGCTCGGTCGCCGCCGCCTTTATTGTAGGACCTCTGACCAACTGGAACTACCGTAGGCACTGCAAGCGGCTGGGCATTCCTCTTGACAAGTCTCGTCAGCAAGACCTGTCTGACTTTCCCATCGAGAAAGCCCGCCTTGAAGTTGGTCTGCCGCTGCTGTTCATGAGCTCAATCCTTCTTCTGATCTGGGGCTGGGCTCTACACCTCCGGGCCCATGTGGCTGTCCCATGCGTGCTCCTCTTCCTCTTTGGAGTTGGCATGATCGGCTTCAACAACACTACCAACACCCTCATCATCGATATCCACCCGGGCAAGGCCGGAACTGCGACGGCGGCGAACAACTTCACCAGGTGCTTGCTGGGTGCGGCCGCGACTGCAGCAATCATTCCCATGATCAACAATATGGGTGTGGGCTGGGCTTTCACCCTGCTGGCTCTATTATACATCGTCTTCAGCCCAGCGTTGTTGGCCGTCATGTACTGGGGTGTTAAGTGGCGCAAGGCAGCCAAAGCCAAAGAGCTCAAGAAGGACGCAAATTGAGGCTGTGGCGCAGTAGAATCATAGCGTTGCATGATACCCTTGATCTTGATAGTTTAGCTGGAAAAAATACAAAATATCCTTTCAGACTGTACTCACTTGAGAATTCTCAAGTAGCGAGACTGGTGTAGTGGCCTATTCGCGGTCGAACCCCGCATACGTGCCTGCTTACACCGCGCCTTGTCTTTGATACCATGCCATTTCGTTATCTTTGAACTAAAAAGCCACACAAACGTCGCCATCTTTCCCTCCAATTCACCGCCACGATCTCAACTCAATTGCCCCCTCACCCTCTTTGGCCCTTCGCAACTCCTTCCCAGCCAACAGCGTCCACCCACATCACCAACTCTACAATGAGTGAAGACCAAGTCGCCGAAACACAGGTCGACATGAAGACTCTGACAGCCCAGTGCTACTGTAAAGCTGTCCACTTCAACCTCACTCTCCCTGCCTCCTCCCTTCCTCTCAAGGTCCATCTCTGCCATTGCAGCATCTGCCGCTATACGCACGGCACCCCGTGTATCTTTCATGCACCTCTCCCGTCCGGTATCGCTCCGGACTTCATCGCCCCATCGTCCCTCTCATCTCTGACAGCGTATCGTCACTCAACCGCCTCGAGCACCAGGTATTTCTGCAGTACCTGCAGCTGCCACATTGGGGACGTCGGCGTCGACGACGATGACTGGGTCATTTCCGCGTCCATGTTCGACGCGAACAAGGACGATGTACCCGCGACGTGGGATATCCGTACCCATGTCAACACTGCCTCGGCTCCAGGAGGCGGGTTGTACAACTGGCTTCCACGCATCGCAGGCGCGGACATGAGGGTCTGGAACCCCGAAGATCCAAAGGCAAACGAGACCACGAGCCCTGGAAGGGAAGTCGGAATAGACGGCGAGGAGGTCCTGCGGGCACAATGCCACTGTGGCGGCGTCTCGTTCACCATCTCCCGCCCCAAGGCCGCGATGGTGGACGACCAAGCCTACAAGAAGTGGCTCTCGCCCATCGACTCGACCAAATGGATAGCTTGTCTGGACGTCTGCGACGACTGCCGTCTCCAAACCGGCGCCCACGCCGTCGGCTGGGCTTTCATACCAGAGTCTTGCATCTCGCCTCAAGTCCCCGAGGATCTCAGCATCGGCACGTCCAAGAAGTTTGCGTCCTCCGAGGGCGTGCTGCGCTCGTTTTGCGGGACGTGCGGTGCGACGGTGATGGGATACTTTGACTGCGACGGGGCACGGAGGCAGGCAGACGGCAACAGGTTGTTGAACGTAGCGACTGGCATCTTGAGGGCGCCGGAAGGGGTCCTGGCGGAGAAGTGGCTGACGTGGAGGACGGGTCGGGTGGCTTGGGCAGAGAGCGGGAGGAGATATGATTCTGCTTTAACCGAGGCGTTGGGTGAGGGTCTGGCGAGCTGGGGGAGGGAGATGCATGGGCAGGCCCACGATTTCAGCACTGGATGAGGCGATCAACTACAGCAAAGACGGGTTAATAAATTGCTTAACTGATGTTTCTGCTATAATAACGGGCCCTTGAGTTGATTCTTTGCAAATGGCGGGATGGTCAGGACAAGTGTCTAGGCAAGTTGCCCATAAGTCTCCTTGACTCTGTCCTTCTCCCGCTCTAGAAACTCGTCAAAAGTTCCCAAAGGAACGCCCCAGCTTTGCGTCTTTTCCACATCAGCAAACTGGTCTATGTCACGCGCGGCCAGCTGGCCACCAATGAACGGATTCCCCGCCTTCTGCGCCTCAACCTCCTCGTCGGAAAGGTATACAGCCTTAATGTCTCTTCCCGTGGCCCTGGCCAGCTTCGCCATGATATCATCCACCGTCAACAACTCGGACGAGATGGCCACCTCTTCGGCGTTGAACTTGCCAGGGTCTTGGAACGCCGCCAAGGCAAACCTGCCAATGTCGTTGGGGTCTACCATCGGGACTTTGTTCTCGGGTCTCAACGCGGTGACGAAGCGCCCGTCGTTGACGAGCTCGGGAAACTTGGCGGCGAGCGGGACAAGGTAATTCGCCGCGAAATGACCGGGTCGGAGAATCGTCCAGTTGCTGAAGCCAGCCTTGCGGACCTCTTTCTCAATGGCCTGTTTCGACAAGAGGACCTTCGCGATGAAGCTGTTCGGATCCCAGTGCTTGAGCAACTCGGGCGCCTGAACGGCGAAGCTGCTGCTGTAGATGAAGTGCGTCGCCCCCGCCTGCCTGGCCGCAGCCATGATCCGTTTCGCAGTTGTGAGCTCCCAGGTGTGGTCAACGAAGTTTGGGGTCAGATTCAGAAAGGCTCCGGCAACGCCGCTCATCGCCTTTGTGAGGGCGGTGTCGTCGTCGTAATCTCCTTGTATAATGGACGCGCCGAGGGCAGATAGAGCTTTCGCAGCGGGTGAATCGGGATCACGAGCAAGGGCGCGGACGGCGATGCCTTCTGAGAGCAGGTTTCTGGCGACTGCACCGCCGACTGTGCCAGTGGCACCGCTGACGAAAATGGTTCGCTGTGACATCGTAGCTGATGATGCTTGGTATTGGACTGGACTCGAATACGGTGTAACAGGTAGTGAGGCTCGCCTGAACAAGTGAGATGCTGGTAAAGATCGCAAGACCTATGGGAAGTTTGCGACGTCTAGTAGTCTTATTATAGTCGCCATTATTTCAGACTTGAGATCGTCTCATTACATTAGCCCAGAAAACCCGCCTTTTGTCAGGAGCCATTGAAGCGAACTTCGCAGTTGCGGAAGCTCATCTCAAGGTCGCACAAGAGAAGGACGGACGAGGTCTGACTTGTAGAGGACGGAATGCCGCCATCACCACGCAACGGCAGCATTGTCAATGATGATGCGACTGGTTGGCTATCTTGAGGAGTCAGCGTGTGGCTTGCGAATGATGGAGTGAGGATAAAGGATGAGTGACTGTTTGGGTGGTGGACAATGTTGGCGGAATCCCGCCATGCGGATTAAGTAAGCCTGAGAGCGCTAACACTGCCTGATTGTGAGTCCCCCCTAGCACTCGATTTCAGCGCTGTTCCTCCTCTAGCTCGCTGGTCTTCTGCACTTCCGCAAGAATTACATCGTTTTGAGTCTCTGCGCTGGTGAGTGAATCCAGGCGCATTTCCACGAGAGGAGACTGCTCGAACCGGACCCGCAATGTCCAATTCTTTCTTGGAACGAGCCAACCCGCCGCCCCGACGGAAGACATGTTTGGCTTGCATCAAAGCCAAGCGCCGATGCGATCACGGCCAACCGACATGTCTACGGTGCTCCCGGCGGAAGATCGACTGCGTCTATCCCACTCCGTCAACATCCAAGTTGAAGAAGCAGACAGCCCCTCAGCTTGTCGAAACACCTTTACCTCAAGAAGATCCGGAGAGGTCGGCCGAGACCCCCGCTTCTGTCCCTGAGCAAGCCATATGCCCTGATAACTCTCTCATACCCTGGTCACAAGGCGTGGATCTTCTCCCGTTGAATATGGACGACTTCGATGACATTAACTTGGACATGGACTTTCAGGACTTATTGGCTCCTGATGCTCTTCTTGATAGTTCCTTGTCTCTCTCGTCTTTGACGCCGAGGCCAGAAGAGATGCTCGTCCCGTCCCAGGGCGTCTTGCCAGAAGGCTCGTTTGAGGAAATGATAGCCAGCCGCCTCCAATACGCCCTTGATGAGATCAAGAAGGTCCCCACCTCCACAGTCCTGGAGAACCAGGCCCCCTGGAGTCACCCGTACTTATACCGAACCCGCATGCCGAGAGAGATGCAAGGTGATATCTTTCCCTTGAGAATGCCTTGCCGTTGGTGATCATTTGCTTACAATCACGATACAGATGCCCAAGCGTGCTGTGCTCTGTACATCGCCAAGAACTCAACCAACGCTCACTTTGTCGTGCGAACTATTCAAGCCAGAGCCCACGAGCTTCTCTCCTCTCCCATGCCCAAGGATCGTCTCAGCATACTGGCCCGCCTTCAAGCCACCCTGCTCTATCAGATCATCCGCCTCTTCGATGGCGATATCTCCATGCGCGCCTCTGCACAGCAAACTCTGCCTGCTCTTGATAGCGCCATGCTATCTCTTCAGCCGTTCATAAGATGGGATCGCGGGCAGCCGGAAACTGGCCCGGCAGAGGACCATTCAACCTATCCCACGAAAGAGACCTGGCACGAATGGATCTTTCAAGAATCTGCCCGACGATCCATATTCTTTGCCTGCTTCTTGCTCGTCACTTATAACGTGCTCATTGGTAAGATACCCGGGTGCCAGGAGAGCCATTTCATCTGCCAATCATGGACTCTGTCAGCGAGTTTGTGGAAGGCGCCCGACGTGGTCGACTTCGCTGTAGCCTGGAGGGAGAAGCGGCACTTCGTCGTCACAAAGGGGAACTTTGATGATATTCTGAGGGATGCCGCGGCCGATGATGTCGACTTGTTTGGAAGGATTCTGATTGTAGGAGCAATGGGTATTGATGAGGCAAGGCTCTGGTTCCATAACAGAGGCGGTTCGCTGTGATCACACCTTTCAATAGGTCATAAGAAGTCGACTCCCCGCTATCATCGGCACTGGTAATTCGGCAGAACATCCAGTAGTTCAAGGAACGAGCTTCTTCTTCAAGTTATCAGCGTTCCTGACAGGCAAATCACAAGTAATAATGGATCGACGTCACTATTGATGATGGACGTTACTGAAGATGGGGACATGTCTGAGTAGCAAGCGGTTCTATTCTCATTCTGATGAGGCTTAATGTTTCTGTTCTCTGTAATAAAGCCTATTGTCGTACTCATAGCCTCTGATGACACCTCATCGGTAGACTTGTGTTCTGGGGTTGATCAACCTTCCAGGACCCGAGTCTGCAAGCATCCTTTTCATAAAGTATTGTCCTTCTTCGTTTCGGATGGAGGACAACGCGCAACACACTTTTATGACTTTCCACCTGATCCTTCGGCAATAGGAGGTCAAATAATACCTTCGTTAGGCCTCGCCTGGTTCGCAATCATCGTCCTCAATGTAGAAATCATCCCTCCGCCCATACACCCCACTTCCTCCGTGCTTTCTGTATGCAGCCTCAAACTTAAATGTCTTCTGTCCCTCTCTCTCTCCCTCAATGTCGAGACTTCTGTTCCTGTTCCAATAGCAAACTCAATTCGACTGAGGTAATATTCGGCGTCTGTCGCTGAGTATACGTGGCCGTGATCGTTCGGCTTCGGCTCTAGTAGCGGTCCTTGGACTTGCGGAGATCGCGGACTTGCTGCGCGCTTGGGATGTTCTTCAAATCCTCGAGCGGAGTCTGATCCGGAAGGCGCTCGAGACGGAACTGCTCGAACATGCCGTTCTTGTCGTTGTGGGCGAACTCCTTGGAGGTGACCTCGTAAAGGCCATCGTACCGGTAGCCGTACGAGGGAGCCCACTTGGAGTCCTTGTGCGCCTTTCGGAGAACGCGGACGGGAGCGCCAGAGACCCAGTTGATGGCCAACGCCTTGGTCGCCTCAGTGCTAGGGAGAATGTTCTCCATATCATTGCTCTCGCGGGCGTTGGAGCCGGAATAGAGAATGACATCGCCCGAATCGACGTCGAGGTCCTTGTATGTACCGGCGACGATCACAGAGAAAGCACCGTCCTTGCCCTGGTAGTAAATACCGGCGTTCGAATGACCGTGAGCGCCGTGGAAGAGGGCAGAGAGCTGCGAGGGGAACCAGTCGCCGACCTGACTGCCGTTGTTGCCACGAACATTGGCGGGACGCTTTTCATTCGCGTAGACGGGGTTGAGAGCCGTGATGAATCGATCACCGGGGCGAAGGGCGAGACCGTGCATAAGTCCGTTGCGTCCCCAGATGGGATGGTTGCGGGGTGGAGGGATGGTCAGACCGTTCGAGTCGTTGGTGGTGGGCCTTGTAGTCTTTTCCTCGGCCGCAGCCAGTGCCGCCTCTCGAGCGGCGACGCGCTCGGTATTTTTGAGTCTATCGGCCCACTCGTGAAGCGTCTTGGCGCGAGTCTTGGTTCGCTCTTGAACGTACTGCTTCTTGGAGGACGGGCTCGGGTTGTAGATCATCGTCAGGCATGACTTGAGAGGATATTTGGCATCGAATAGCTCGCGGGGGGCAGCAGTCGGATAGGCAGCCTGGCATCTCTTGACGTAATCCAGGAATATCGCCAACTCCTGAAGCTTCTCGACGACTTTGGTATCTTTCTCGGAGACAGACGCCGCAGAGAAACGGCCCAGGGGCATCAGCACCTGCGTCTTGACGAGATTGAAGTAATCCGTCGGGGACGAACCCCAGGGCTGACGAGGTGCGATGCCCCCGCCGGACGCAACACCAGAGTTGCTGGAGGAGGCCATGTTTGTTTTTCTATCTTCCAGCCTCGTCGTCTCGTCAGCCTCAACAACGAATACTCAAGAGACAAGGACACTTACAGTGATGAACAGAGGTGTGAAATGTTTCTGTGAATTGGCAGGCTTGGGGAGGGGGAAAAAAAACCCCTTTGACGGGTTGTTGAAGGTTGAAGAAGGAAAAGAAAAAGGGAAAAACAAGAAAAGTAAGAAGTAGGTTGGCTAAGAGAAAGAAAAAGGCCAGGCCGCGAGGCACCCGGCTTAGTCGTGAGGAGGCCCAATAGGCAACCTCCGTGTTGTTCGGCCTGGTGATAAGACGGAGCCGGAGACTGGTGGTTGTGAATTCTCGGACTCGGCCCGTGGTGTGGGGCCGCCAGGGCTGATGACCTCCGGAAGTTTCGAAACAAAACAGCCCAGGCCGGGGCAAGAGTACTTGGGTCGTACAAGACTCAGATCGGTCAAATCTGTCATGATTGAGTATTCCCATTTCACCGCGTCCATGATAGTAGAATGACGGTGCGTGGCAATGTTTCTTTTATCTCACAAATCTATGTTGACGATGGTAGACATGGCTTCAACTTTAGTGGGGAGAAGTTGGGTTGAAATCAGTCCAGCAGAATCGACATGAAAAAAGCCCAAGATCGAATGTTTGACGCTTCTGGGAGACATCTTTCCTCACCCTCAGACCTGTAATCGATTCTCCGGATATGTTTCATAGAAAATCACAGGGTCTCGTAATACGCCTGTTATCTTTTGTTTGTGTTGTTTAGCTCACCAAGTTTCGCGGCTTTGTATCCGTAAGAAAATAAGTGTTTCAGTGGATTAACACACTTCTGCATAGACATGTAGGTACGCAGTGCAGTCTGTCATATCACGACCGTCTGGAGACATTAGTCGCCTTTCTGTTGTGCACAGTGCCGCGGGCTTATATCTCGACCTCAGATTATTGAGATTGATGATGAAGTTTACGTTGTAGTTGCTAAATGACGTGCTGGTATCACTTTGATGAGTTGGGAGACGAAGTAATCATTGCGGAAGGAAATAAACGATTACTGCAAGCAGTCGAAGACCGAGACTGCTCTTGATCCCAAGTTAAGATCGCATCTCCGTTTGTCAAAGTCCTTGGTGTGATCGACGATCACTTGCTTCCCTTCAGTCCCTCCATTTGCACAGGTTGCGGCAGGTTTGATGCGCTGCAACAGTAGAAGAAGAATGTAATCGTTGTTTACTGTGTTGAAACCGAGCTGTGTCCAATGGTCGTCGTGACGGGAGCCAAAGTCAATCAGACCATACCACGTACCAAAAACAGCCACAGGCTCTCTAAAGTCTCGCAGCGAGCACCAGACGATTGAATGCCACCTGACACCTTCTATGGTTGCTGCGCCGCACCAACTTTTGCAAAGTATCGAACGCCGAGTCGCCCGACTACAAAGGGAAGCGGCATCCTCAACTGACAGCGCGAATGAAAAGTGCAGTTGCTGACATGCTTGGCCCGGAGGCTTGCTTCGGTTAGTTGCGTCCACCACTGAACATGATCCATGGGCGACGGAGACTTTTACTGCTCTCCCGCAAGCGAGCTTGTCTGAACATTCCTATTAGCTGTTGGAGTCACATGAGCTCATGGTCGTCAGTTGAAATCTCCGAAAAACGCCTCGCAAAGGAAAACCCTAGGCAGCTACGCATTATTGTCTTGAGTATATCAAACAGGCCCTTCCCTCTTCCTCGAGCAACTTTACTTATGCTGAGTCGCTGCCTCTTGGTCAAGGTCAAGGGCTCTGGATAGTCTGTATACACCTCACCAGCAAGCCTGAAAAACCAAACATCATGAGCACCAGCCAAGGGTCCGAAGGGGCCAACAAGAACTATAACCCCTCCGTCTTCAGCCAAGACACTCTCGTCGGCTCCGACACCAACTCACTCCACCCGCTCATACGCAACGCCGACGGCAGCTCCTCCCGGCCCCTCCGTGGCACTGACCCTCAGCCAACTCCGGCAGATGACTTCCATTACGTCTCGACGCGGGTTGTGAAGGAGATGCCCCGAGCCAAAACGCCTACGGACCCAAAGTCCCGCTTGGGAAAGCTCAAGAACCTGCTCAAGCCGCCTGTCGTCAAGGCTGTTGAGGCGCTGCCAAGCCACGAGGGCAAGACGTATCACGTCAACGAGCAGGGCCAAGTCATCGAGACTACGACCAGGAGAGCAGGCGAGTATCACGAAATTCAACCCGAGAGGCCACCTCGCTGACAAATTGACATCTGCAGGCACGATGAACAATCGCTGGGCAACCGGCGGCACATGAGCTTAACGAAAGAAGGTCACTCTGAGTTTCACGCGAACGATGACTTGGTAATGATTGTACGCGAAAATGTTCTTCCAATATTTAGATGTTTGAATCGTATATCCAACCACCGTTTCTTCCCATGTCTCTTCCCGCAACGAGCCTAAGCAATCCAGAACCACACCTTTTGCAGCATGTTCTTCGGGATCGGCTCCTCGTCGAGCTCCGCCATTGCCTCCATTTCGGCGACGCCAGTCGTGACGTCCACATCCGCAACATTGCGCGCGAGCGGCGTGCGGAACCAGATCTTGTGTCCGATGTACAGCACGAAAAAGATGGGCAGCGTGATGTAGGCGGCCAGGAAGTCCGAGACGCTCCACTCGCCGGGGAAGAAGACCTGGAAGCCGTTGGTGAGGGTCAGGATGACGAGGAGACCGAGGATGAACCAGGTGAAGTAGGGCTGCAGGGGCGTGCGGAAGGGCAGGCGGTGCATCATGTTGTGGTAGATCATGGCCTTGCGGAAGCGGAGGTAGGTGATCATGACGACGATCCAGGCGATGAAGCCGGAGATGGTGCTGATGTTCATGAACCACGTGAAGACGGTCGAGGTGCCGCTACTAATGGTGAGGTAGGAGAGCAGGGCGATGGACCAGGTGCCGAGGACCGCCGTGTAGGGGACACCGCGCTTGGTCGTCTTGGTGAAGAAGTGAGGGGCCTGCTTGTTGAGCGCCAGACTATACAGGATACGGCTGCCCGAGTAAAGGAAGGCATTGCCGGCCGACCAAGCGCTGGTCAGGATCGCGGCATTGATGACGTGGTTCAGGCCGCCAATTCCAGCGCGCTGGATACCGATGACCCAGGGTGAGGAGGCGGCGTTGGAGTTGGGGTTGAGGAGTCTCGAATCGTCGGATGGGGTGATGGCGCCGATCATGAGGGAGCCGAGGCCATAGAAGATGGCCAGACGCCAGACAAAGCGGCGAGCGGCCTTGGGAATGTTGCGGCGGGGAGCAACGGTCTCACCGGCGGCAAGGGCGATGAGCTCGGGGGAGGTGATGAAGGCGAAACCGGCACGGACGAATCCCGTCCAGTAGGCCAGGAATCTACCAGTATTCCCACCGACTAGGTATGGCTTGATTGCTCCGGGGTCATACCAGTAAAGGAATCCGATGCGACCTTCGTCGGGTGCGCCGCCAAGGATAATGACCAAGCTCACCAGGATGAGACCAAGAATGGTAATAAGCTTGATACTCGCGAACCAGAACTCGGCCTCACCAAAGATCTCGACAGCGAAGATGTTTAGGGCGAGGGTGACGAGCAGGATGATGGTGATCCAGACGGCCGGGTGCACGGGCGTCTGCCAGTAGTCGAGGAGGATTGCGCCGGCCGAGGCCTCGGCGCCGACAAGCATGGCGTAGGCGTACCAGTAGTTCCAGCCGGCGGCGAAGGCCAGACTGGGCTCGACGAAACGTTCGACAAAGTAGGGGATCGAGATGCCCTTGAGCGGAAGGTAGGTGGCCATCTCGCCGAGGTTGTTCATAATGTTCCATACGACCATCATCATGGACAGGTAGCCCATGAAGAGCGGCGCAGGGCCGACTGTCGAGAGGATACTGCCCGAGCCGACGAAGAGACCGGTTCCGATGCTGCAACGGTGTGTTAGTCGCCGTTCAAACCGGGCCAATTGAGAACAACAGCAAGGAGAGACACTCACGCGCCACCCAGAGCCAGGAATTGAATGTGTCGGCTCTTGAGGCCTCGCTGCAGCTGATCATGCTGGTTGACCAGGTCGTTCGGGTCGCTGCTGAGGGTCGCAAAGTTCACATCGCGGGGGTAGGTCTCGCCGGCGTGCTTCGACTCGACGTCGGTCAAAGGACCGCCGCCTCTGTAGTCTTTGTCCATAGTCGCGGCGTTCAGGTGAGATCAACTCCTCGGCTCGACTTTCAGGAATGGACGGGAAAAAAAAAAAGGGAAAGGTAGAGAGGAACCAAGTTGTGGGCGGGCGGGCTCGACAGTATATTAGTACCGACGGGCACTTATTTTTGTCTATAGTCGCGGCGCAAAAAAGTAAAGGCTCGTCGGTGGGCGTCCCCGGCGCAACCACGGATACAATCAATTCTAGAACGCAGAGAGAGAGTCTACACAAACAAAGGGCCAAGCTCAGACCGAGGGGGGAGGGCTGTAATAATATGGAGTCTGGGCGACAAGGCATTGGCGAAAGCTTCCCATCTTTCGCAAAGGCGGGAGGCTGCAGTTGGACCTTGGCTCCAAGGCCTCCAGAGCAACGGAACGCGCATCCGTACTTCGTTTGCCTTCAACCTCCTGCGAGAAAGAGTTGGGTGCGGCCGACGTGACGTATTGATGGTACTCTGTCACTCTGCGACTGTACCCTTGCTGGAGGCTTGGAGGCTACCGTACAGGCCCGGCACTGACTGGTGTACCTAGCAAGGGCGGGCATACCTAGGTAGCTCTCCTGGTCATGGGGAAAGGCTAAGCCTGTTGCGGTAATTGAGCAGCCCATCAGTGTTTCTGTATCGTAACGTTTTCATGGCAAGCCACCGAACCCATGGGGTAGAGACTCGGACGGAAGGCTTATCTACTTGGCGGTCCTGCTTGAGTGGGCGCCGAGCTCCACGGCATCCACACTCGGCCACACATTCGGGCAATCCGTCGTGATAAGACGAGGGATGCCCAGAGGCTGCTGCGTGGCATGGGCCGTGAAGAAACGCAGAAACGGGCGGGCTTTCTCGGCGCCTTCAGAGTGCGCGCATAAACTATGTGCATGCCTGACCGAGAAATTGTGCTGCCTCGCCGAAATAAGATGGTGTAGTGTACATTGAGAAAAATTGGAGGTAGGGGGATAGAATCATGGATACGTACCTTTGGCCTAGCGAATAAACAGCTTACCTAAGTTGCAGCACTTCCCCATATCACGTGGCTTTGTCAGCCGAAATGCGGGGCATAAATCTCAGATGAGCGCCAGTGGGCGGGGGAACAACATCGACGGTACCCGCTCCAGCGCCGAACTATCACGTAAATTTTTCATCGTCTTCTCCAGAGTCCCTTGATTCTTGGCGGCACGAGCACACATCAAATCGCGCAATTTTCGACCTGTTACCCTCGGCCTGGGCTCTCGGTCCTGGGGAAGCCTGTCTGTTGTTCGATTGGCCGTGGGGGACTTGGTCCGAACGATGTCTCTAAACACCGATGCTCACATCTGAACACGGCCTAAATCGCGGCAACCGCCACATCAGGTGTACGTCGCGTGTCCGCGATGAGTGCTCCGTGCCGAGCCGCGCTCTCGATAAGAATCGTCTGAGGAGCACGTAATGCCAGGCACCCACTTTTCACAAACGGAGCTCGACGGCACGGGCGACATCTGACTGTGCCGCCACAGTTGGATACTAGGCGGAATGCAACGGCCAGAAACCTGCTGTCGCGTAGCCAAGTCAGCTTTTCATTTCCTCAAAACAAGGAGACTGTGAAGCTTATCAGATGTGACCGGGGGGTGGAAGGGGTTCTGATACGGCACATCTTCAGATGCATCTTTCCCCGTTGTTTGGTAACCTTGCGCACGGCGGACCGGTAGAAGGTCAAGCTTGCCGTCCCCCCGCATCGAGCGAGGCACGCCGGCCAGGGAGGCGGAATCCTCCTCCGAAGCCAACTCTTCTACACTAGCGCATTGTCGGTGGTTCATCCCGATCCCGATCCCGCATACAAAGACTAGTTAGCTTTGTGGCTGTTCGATCCTATCATCTTGTACGACATATCTCAAGACCAGACTTGACTCAGACGTCTTAGTCTTGGTGTCAGCCCTGCGTCACGCGTAAGATAACGACGGGGCGAACCCCGACCAGACTTTCCACATGTCGTCCGCGCCCTACACATCGATATGTTACGCCTTGCCCACGACGTAGCATGCCGCTTGGAGACGGGTCAGGAACCCCAGATTCTGGCAGCAAGCACGAGGCGCGTTCAGGCCAAATCACCTCACCTGCGGATCTTTCGAGCTGCGAATACTGGGGTAGGTTAGGAACAAGCCGGTAGACTTCATTTTCATTACGTTTTGACTACGCAAACTACCCCTCCGACGTGCACAGCTCTGGACTACGTTCCACACCTTGTCTCATCTTCCTTTCCCCAACTTTGATGCTCCGACAGAAGCTTCCAGCGGCTCTCTTTTATAAGAATCAATCCTCATACTGTCCTCTGATCCATCTTAAATCACTAAAAGCGCCATAATACCGGCTGCCGCGGCTTGGAAGAGCGATCCGCTCCGGCTATTTGCGCCGTTAAACGTCACCGGAGGCGCTCTTGTAGATGTGTTGCTCGCCGTAGCCGTAGGCGCTACAAATGTCGTCATATGGGTGTTGGTGGCTGCAGGAAAGGATGAGGAGGTGGTCGGCTCCGGCACGAAGCGAGTCTCTGTTGAAGTGCTCTCCTCTGAGGTAAAAGTGATTACCGATGTGGACGTCGAGACGAAGAAGGTTGTGGAACTCTCCTCGTCCGGCACCGACTCGGTAAAGAAGATGGTGGAGCTCACTGTGCTGCCGGGCTGTGTGTCAACTCCGCCCGGGCCGGTGCAGCGCCGACCGATGGGGCAGCAACCGTACGCGCCATCCGTGCCGAGCCAGCATGTTGAGCTCAAGGGGCATCCTCCCTGCTGGTCCGGACAGCATGTGTAAGTCAGGGGAATGCAGCCGTCGCCGCATGCCTTGCGACTGGACTCGCTGCACGGGATCGGGACCGCCTGACGCTTGTTGAAAACGGGGACGGCATCGGCGGCGAGGGCCGACGCCGAAAGGGCCAGAACGAGAAGCTTCTTAAGCATGATGGCGATGAAGAAAGCGACCGTGCCGAAACGAGAGTGAAGATTTGTTGATTGCTACTCAGCTGATGCGTTGACCCAGCCGTCTCTCTCGTCTCAACCGTGAAAACACCGCCTTTAAGTACATTGCACACGAGGCAAGGCTGCGGCGTTGGGCTTTCTGCTACTGCTCCGTGATAATGAAGTTCAGCTCGCATATTGGGTGGAGATGAATCTTGGCAACAAACCTTCAGTGTGGCGTCCAATCGACGGTATCACAAGTGTACCACACATCAGCGGCGCCTTATGTTCCTGCAGCAAAAACCTGCCCACGATCTCATATACTCTGCCTCAATGGTTGGGTGAAGTTGGAGGATGGGACGGTTGCGTGGCAAACCGGGGTCTGGGATCAAACAATTGCTTATTCTAGGGTTCAGCTCCTAGGCTACAAGTAATCACGGAGTCGAGTACCCCCGCGGCCCCATGCCCCGATCCAAGAACCGCAGGGCTGATTCGAGGAACAGGGCTGAAGTAGGCGACGGGCTTCCTACTATCTTAATTAGAGTGCCTGCCCGTCTTACAGCTAGTCGCGTTACATACAACTACAGCTAGACTTCGGCGGTGTTGATCACACAACCTAGCAGCAGGCTGTGGACATGATTTGGTAGTAGTTACCCAGTCAACACCAAGCTTTCCTTTCAGCTCTCGACTAGTCGTCTTTTCTTTCTTTAATTCCTATTTTTACTATATATTTTATTTTAGGGGGCATCTCGCCTTGAACATTGTAATCGTTGCACTTTTTGATAGAATTTTCGATTCCAACTGGGACCCTCCTGCCGATATACGTATGAATGCTCTTTTAATCATACTACAACGCTCAATTGTGTGCCCCCTCCGTGATGCGGGCGTAGTGGCATGCATCTCTATGCAGAACGAAGCATCCCTACTTGGAGACGTACAGCAGCTAGCGAGAGGCCAATGAGATCTCCAATCCCACGTACGAAGTCGATTTCGTCCCCCATGAGGCTTGAGGTATTTTCCCTCAACCCCAGAGATTCCATCCTCGACCCCCTAGTGCAAGGATGTCCAAGTATTGAGTGAATGGGTGTTGGGATTCGACAAACGTTACTGCGGCTGGTAAGCCAATCGGGACCTGATTCGCGTGACAGTTCTGGTCGGACGACCTGAAGTTATTTGTTGATCATGCAAAAGTCACAGTATGATCCATTCTAATGGCGATTACCATGTCCTAGAACAAATTCTTCATTGGCCAAGTTATCTAGGGTATAAAATAGCATTCGCTTCCGTGACTACGGAGGAGTCTATGTTGCTAAGCCCGATTTCTTTTGAGAATCAAAAGCGCAGTGTGGGAATACATGGGAAACAGTGAGTCTGGTTAACAACGCATACGACATTTGCAATGGTGGGTTGGAGATTCAGGGGCAGTGGAGGGGGATTTAGCCCACGACTGGCAGATTGGCCTGCCTCAAAAAGTTGTCATGCCGACCAACCAAAAGCCTGATTTCTGGCTTTAAATGGTCGTTCAATTGTCATTCATAGGCGAAGAGAGTCAGTCAATTTTAATGACGAAAAACGACAGTTGAAAACCAGACTGGTAGTCAAATTGGCCAGCAATGCATATCGTTCATTGCGATGATATGACTAACAATCAAGTATGAGGTCGATTAATTATGCCCAAAGTTGGTAGAACCACGGCGACTGCACACAGAGTAATTATCTGCAGAAAGGTGATCTCTTCTTCCAGTTTCATGAACTGGCCGCCATGAACCTGTGTCAGAGACATTGAATCCCACAGATCCAAGTTAACTCAACCACCCTGCTTCCCACGCAACCCCGCATACCACGCAGCCCCAAACCCCCATCAATATCACCATACCCATCAACAACATCCATTATTCCTCATCCCTACCACCTACCCAGATGCAACTTTCTGCTTCACTAGATAATTCAGATCCACTGGATTCACTTGTGCTACTCTCTGCTTCGCCAGCAGCAATTTGCGCCCGTCGGATATCCTCGATATTAGCGAACGTCGTGTTAGGGTCCGTCTGGACCCTTTTTCTCCTGCCTTGTTGCTGACTATCCGTCTGGGCCTGGAATGCCTGGGCCTGACGCTCTAGGACTGTCAGTCTATAGGCCTGTTGGTCCCAGCCTTTTTGGACCTTTCTAAATAGGTGGCGTTGGGTGTAGATTTCTCGGGTATCTTGCGTAAGCTGGTTGAATAGGTGCAGCTGACGCTGAAGATCAGCAGACTTACGCGGGGTTGACCATGGGACTATAGATACAGCTCCATCCCACTGCTGACTTCCTGACTGCCCAGCTGTCTGGCCGTCTAGCTGTCTGGCTGGCTGGCTGGCTGATGCCTTAGACACGAAAGGGCTAGATAGAGGTTGCGCTACATCAACTGGCCATAACCCAGTGTGTTTCCAGCCGCTTTTAATAACCTGGATAGTCAAGGCGTCTAGACGTGCCCTTCTATAACAGTCTATAAAGTTCCTCTTGCCTGTTACAGTTGAATCGCTTTGTATATCTAGGTACCCTAGATACTTCCTATAGGCTGCCTTAAGAGGTCGGAATACTGACTGATCTAGAGGCTGGAGGACGTGTGATGTGTGCGGCGGCAGAAACAGGAGGTGTATGTGGTTCCGGAAGCATCGCCACAGAAAGTCTGTTGTTGTATGGCTATGATGGGCGTCTAGAACTAGTAGTCTAGTATCTGAAGGGTCCTCTGGGACAGTCTGAGGGATAAAGACCTTTTCTAGCCATTCTAGGGCATTCTGATCAGTTGTCCAGCCGTTCTCTGTTGCTGTGAATTTCCAGCTAGCATAGGGTTGAAGATCTAGAGGAAACCACTGTTGCTGGACTGACTTGCCCTTATACATAACAAGAGGCGGAAGTGCGCGTCCTCTGGCAGAGACGCACTCGATCAGAGATACCCATGCCCGCGATCCAGGCTGTTTTTTCTGGATATACTTGGTCTCTGACGATCCTAGTACTAGCCCATTGCTTCCTTTGCCCTCGAGGATACCAGTCTCATCCATGTTCCATCTATTAGCTGGCTTGATGGGCAGGATTGCTGGCAGATCAAGGCGATGAAACCATTCCTGGATAATGTCAGCAGTTGCCCCATTAATTCGCCTAGCGTCAATTGCCCTGCATCGCTGGGTTCTGATAGATGGGTTTCTGCGAAGAAATCGCTGCATCCACTTCCTCCCAAGTGGTCGCTGCCCATCGCCCAGCATGCGCTCAGCCAGCCCTTTGACTTGCTGATGGCAAAACGCAGAGCCTAGGGCAGCCTGCTTAGATATCCACTCAGCAAGTAGACCTTCCTGGTTCTGAGATAACCGCTGCAGTCTACCAAAGGCAGTATTTCTAGACTGGGTACCATGGAGACGTTGTCGTACAGTCGCCTCTGGGATGCCCCATTTGCGACCTGCCCCGCGGATACTAAGCCCGTCAGCAATATCCCAAAGTGCCCGCTGCAGCTCATGTTCACTATACTGCTTCATCTTATAGTAAAAAAGATATCCTCAAAAAATGGCGTTGTTTGGGGTAGAATAGAAGATGTTGTGATAGTTAGAAAAGAGGAGTAGGTTTTATGGTGACGCGTTGTTGGGCTGCGTGGTATGCGGGGTTGCGTGGGAAGCAGGGTGGTTGAGTTACTCAAGATGGAAAACGAAGTGCATTGCTAATTGCGGCAAGCCTCGAACGGGGAAGCCCGGCGAATTGGATTCGGCACCGAATATGAAAGCCGAATGTTCGGGAGTTCGGCACGGTCTACTCCGTACGGCGCCAATGACGTTCGTGTAACTCCTCAAAAGCCAACCAACTTTCCCCCCACCAAGCACATATTCGAAAGAATTATCAAAGCGAATTTGCCGACTACTCCTTCCATTGCGCTGTCTTTAGTTCAATTGAAGCGCCAGATCTGTTATACTTGAAGTTCGACACGATGACCGCAGCCCGAGCCGTCGTCAAGACGTTGGATCACCTTGTGCTCACTTGCGCAAGTGTTCCCAAGACCGTTCAGTGGTACACTAAATACCTCGGCATGAAGGCGGAAACTTTCACGTCGCCCTTGGACCCATCGGTACAGAGACATGCCCTGAAATTCGGCCCGCACAAGATCAACCTGCACCAGCAGGGCAAGGAATTCGAGCCCAAGGCCAAGACCGCGCTACCCGGCACAGCGGATCTTTGCTTCTTGGTGGAAGACGGGACAAACCTTGAAGAGCTCATCAAGGGATTCCAAGGAGACGGGGTCCAGGTCCTCGAAGGCGAGAAGGTGGTCGCACGGACCGGTGCTCGAGGTCCTATCCAGAGTGTTTATGTCAGAGATCCTGATGGAAACTTGATTGAGTGAGTCTCTTTATATAAAATTGAAATCAGTTCAGAAGCTCGTCCATATAAGTACTGACCTTGATCGTTTTAGATTGTCTCATTACAAGTCTTGAGGACTTGAGCGAGGCAGCCAGGTTTCTAGGCACATGAGGTTTTTCCTCTGCAACTTTGTGCAGCTAAACGACCGGAAGACTGCTTTGCGCTGCTGTGCTCCAACCTTTTTGAATGGTAAATAAGTGAACCATTTCAATCGTGGGAGAGAAGCTCTCGAGATATATCAAACCACACATTTCAGAGATATGTGCCGCTAGATGCACCATACGTTCTCTCCTTACATAGCTGTTGTTGAACGTTGTATCACTTCTTGAACAAACGTCGGCGTTATAGAAGTACACCTGGCTAACATGATTCCTCCTGTGAGATACTTAAAGACATGAAGTTATAGTGTTAACCGTTGATGATCAATTATATAGCCGCAGTGCGAACATCGTTTGTTTACGTTACATAAGACGCTCAACTGCAAACATTTGATCCCAAGGGGGTTGTCTTCTGGAATGCAACCTCGACAGGGTTATCTCCGTGTAGCCTAATGTCAAAGGTAGTGCTCCACCCTGATGTGTCGAGGTCAACATTGGCCGTGTAGACAGACCATTGACCTCTGTTCTCTCCAGTAGACTGAAAGTTGACACTTTCAACTTCCAACTTCGGAACAATCACTCCTTGCCTGCGGATCTCTCGAACAAGATCAAGCGTCAACCCATCAGCTGTGGTAGGCACGCAGTCCTTGCGGACAAGTGCCTTGATGGTGAGCGGCATCTTCCCGCCGACTGGATTCCCAAGACAGGATTGCGACTTCTGGTAAAGGATCACATCGCTCATCGGGTACCCGATACCGGCGTTATCGTAGGTGATCGTCTCGTTGGTTGACGTCTTCGTGACATGGATGTGGAACTTGCTGATGCCAATGTCGGGGCTGATGGTGCTGTCGAACTCCCAGAAATGGAACGTTTCTCCCCAGAGACCGGATGCAGAGCCACCTGAGAAGGTCGCCTTCCGAGACATGATGATGTTCGACCCATCGCCGTTGCGGTCAGAGTAAGTCAATTGAACGGAAAGGTCTTCAGGGTCCCGACCGGTGTCAGCAGATGTACGAATGCGAATTTGTCCGCTAAACGAGATGTTGCCGTCGTCCTTAAGGAATAGTCCCTGGATGTACGGCTTGATGTCTGTGCCAACGATCGGTTCGCTCAGTTTGACACTCCCGGGCACGGTGTCTATCATGCGAGTGAAGACATCGGCGCAAATAGCCTGGAAGGCAGCGGGGTCGGCCATTGCCTGCATCGTCTTGTTTCCATCCGCAGAAAAGATTCGCTTATCCGAGTTGAGCGTGTCGTTGCCGCCGGTCACTAAAGGGTTCTTGGTAGTGCCGTCAAGATATTCGGTCACGACACCATGATCGAATTTGGCAAACTCGCTATCAAAGTGCGCAACGGTGTCGTTGTTTGGATCCGCCTCGACGCCGACGATTTCGGGGAAATCGACGCTGTGCACGCCTCCCAAAGTATGGCCGCAGGCGACCATGGCAATCATATCGCTTGTATTAAATCCCGCCTTGGTAAATGTATTTTGGGTAGTCTCCAGATCGGTCTGGGGCTCCGGGACACCTGCAGGACCGGCTTCTTGGGCGTCGATGCGACCAGCTCGGAAGGGCATTTTGGTACCACCGCAACTGAAGCTGGCCACAAGAACGCTCATTGCCAACAGGTCAGATGCAGACGCGCGGATCGAGTGGAAGCTACTGAAAAAGGCGAAGGTGTTGTTGAATGCGCTCCCAGGGTTCTCTGGACGATCCAGTTCGAAGAAGATGGAGGCATCGAGACCTCCAGTGCCGGTAGCAACATTGTGAGTAGCCTATAGAGTGTGAGTCTATGAAAGCTGGGACAGCATGTGCCAGACATAACCCACCATATCATGAAATGCAGCCCGGATCCATTCGGCCGAGTTTTGGCGACTCGGGGTGTTGGTACCGAAACCACAATTGATCACACCTGCTTGATGTTAGGATACACGCATTGAGGGCGTCAAGGGACTGCTAGTGCGACGGACCATCGATGAAGCCCCTGCGCAGGTATCCGCTCTGCAGAGACAGATGATCCTCGATCTCATCGTAAGACGATGGCCAGACGTACTCCGTAGCAACAAGCGATGCCAAAGCAAGCGCGGCGAAGATGCTCTGCTTCATGGGGGGCGCAGGATACCAAAGAACAACCGAACGAGCGGCAAAGATGCGTTGACCGAACACTCCGTTCATCCCATATTGCGCTGGCCGGCCACCGTCTGCTTTATGTGTTAAAAACCCAAATGATCTGGCCTTACGGGAATGCAACGTTTGGATGGCGCGACCCTGGGACCCTGCAGCGACGGAATGGATACATCTGCGCGTGTAAAGGTGATCGCCTCGTATTTCTATGCTGCTTGGCCGCCGTTCTATTCTAGTCCCCAGTAATTATGGACGAGTTTTCTGATCAGTTGCTACTTACATGGATTGCGCCCAGATATGCTTTCACTTAAGGCCTGGTCTAGCTCATTTCCGAGACAAGGCCTCCCTAGCTTAGAGCCCATTGAGCATGGGGACAAAGTCTCCTGCCCAATAAGGCAGCTGTAATTACCCATCAGAATACGGGCTGTTCGGGCGATACGGGCGTGATCAGCGAACCGGCGAGTGCATCGTCTAGTTGGTCTAAAATGCTGCATGGGCAGATGCGCTACCGGATCCGGCATACCTACCAGGCTCTGCCGGGAGGAGTGCGGGAGCGACCCGGCGCTTCTTCCGTGACTGAGATCTGAACACTTGACCAATTCGTTCTCTAAGCTGAGGTAATGTAAAGGCGTTTCGGTGGGGGGGGGTTTTTTTAGTTGGGGGGGGGGGGGGGGGGGGGGGGGGGGGGGACCGAAACAGGTTCTTGTCGTGGCGGCCAAGGAGGTTCAAGTGCAATCGCTCCGTCCAGCTACCTAACTCGCCCTAACTGCTTTGTTGCCTCCTTGGGCGATGTTTGAGGCGAGGAGGGTGAAGAGGTGTATGCATCGGGTCTGTTAAAGAGGTCCCTCTTTGTGAAATGGACTTTTACGGGTGTCGGTACTGTCTCATTGCAAACTTTGTTAAGCTTAAATCAAACGGTGAAATGATCCACTAACAGCCAGTGAAGGACTCGGAGCGAGTTGGTGGCGGGGTTAATTGCAGACCACTATCGTCTCAATCCTTGGAATAAGGAAGAGGCACTGTGGCATGTGAGGAGCACGGCGGATATCAGCGTGTCTACATGAAATGCAGCCATCAAGGCAGATCCTCTAGAACGAACCTCAAAATCAATGTGACCTCCTGTCGGGAACAAGTTCCTCATTTCCATGGCTTCTTCTCTTGAAACAGCCTGGTACAGAGAACACGTCATGACCAGACCGGCTCCAAATACGGCAGCGTCCGGAGGTTGTCTACGCCCAGCCTGCGACGGCACATCGGGATTTCCGTCCTGAAAGGAAGCAATCGCCGTTAAACGACGCTGCCAAAAGGTGGTGGTGCATACACCTAGATGAACAACAAACCAATCGGAGCTATTTACTTGATGGAGTATAACAGTACTGAGTTGCTTTAAGGTGAAGACTGCACTTCAACAGGATTGCAATGCAATTTCATGGATGATGAGTAGCAGCAAATCTTTGGAACTCACTGAAGCTCGCCAAACGAGACTAACTCACTGCAAGGTTGTTTATCAGCTTGAAACTCCACAATTCGAGTGTTTGTAGGAGATATATAACGGGGCTGTGCTAAATTCTAGTCCGGCTTTGGGATTCTTCCGTTCCATATTAGCGCGTGTCCGGGATTATGCCGTCATAGAAGTCAATTAGGGACCCAACGGCCCGGCTCTCGGAGCCTCGTTTCGAGCTTTGGTAACACACATATATCCCTATAACACGCCAACAAGAACTTGACGAGGATTATACAAACATGGGAGACGCCTCAATTCTTCACATGCCAACTGCCCTCATATTTGGGGGCAACGGCAAAACTGCCCGCGAATTGACCAAGATCCTTCGAGACGCCGAAACCCCGCACACCATCTTCAGCGTCATCCGCAACTCAGACCAGATTCCGGATCTCCAGGCTATCGGTGCCAAACCCATTGTGCAGGACATTGCCACCGGCTCGGAGGCAGACTTCATTAAAATCATTGAGGGCACCCGGCCTGACGTCGTCGTGTGGGCGGCCAGCGGCAAGGACCCCAAGTCCGCCGAAGCCGTGGACCGGGACGGGGCCATTCGCGTCATGGATGCCCTGTCGAAGGCTAACGGGTCGGCCAAACGCTACATCGTCATCAGTGCCCTAGATATACGCGACCGAGAGAACAGGCCCGTCCCGGACTGGTACACCGATGCCGACGCAAAGCTCAGCGATCGCATGTGGGGTATCATTGGTCCCATTCTGCGAGCTAAATTAGCGGCCGACACGGAGTTGAGGGTTGGCAATGCGGCTCGCAAGCTTGACTACACTATTGTGAGACCCGGTGGTTTGAGTGAAGGACCAGGTACGGGAAAGATTCGCGCAGGCAAGGTGGGCACTATCGGCATGATTCCACGGGAAGATGTTGCTGGGGTCATCTACGCGGCAATTCAAAACAAGAAGACATTCGGGCTGGCATTTGACGTGCTGGGGCCTAAGGATGACAGTTTGACAATCAAAGAAGCTGTTTCACAGGTCGCAAGAGATCGTGAGGATACCTTCGAAGGGTATTATTAGAAAATGCCAGTCTTTTAGATATAAGGCTTACAATACTAAAAAGTCGAAACGGTGAAGCCAACCAAGGATAGTCTTGTCTTCTTCGTACGCTTGCTATGTTCTTCATAGCTCGACACCAGCAAATCTAGATTATGGCTATCCCAAAAGTTCAAGTTTCATGTGGCTGAGTCACTTCCGTAGGCTTTATCGCCTGAAATCGACCAGCTGCAAGATTTAGCGTGGAAAAAGGTTTGACAGTAGACATATCTGTCTGTCCACTCAGAGTGGGAAATCTGCATGTATGTTTCGGCTCTAGGGTCATTGTGAATCTCCGTGACACGTACAAGACGCTCTTCCTTTGGATGCCAGTCCTAAGGTGGGGGCCCAATGGTCTGATGGAGAGATCATATGCCGCAAACCTAGCCTTCGCCTTCAATGTTAGTTTGCACCGATCTTATCAAGAGCACTATAGCCATTTGGGCTTAGGTTTCTAAAGCCTGTCATGAACATGGAATCGAGGAGGCTTTTGTGCAAGGCTCTTTGGTAGCATACTATAATGTGCCATTGCCTCTCACCAGTCTTCGACATCATTATGCCGTAGCAAACATATTCCAATAGCCATGTTATTGCCTAGAGTTTTCAATGTCATCAATTTTGACTTGACACTTGGATTGACTTTGCAAAAGAATCAGTCGTTGGCTTTAAAGACATACAGAATACAGGTTGGAATTGATCGTACGGGTTTGCTGCATCGCCCGAACACAACCCCACAATATTTGGAAGGCAGTCTAAAAACGATGATAGGCCTCAAGAATGTTAATTTCTTATGATACAATATTAATACCGAACGGTACGTAGCCTCACATGGGAGATAGGTTCCTTGTGGGTGACAATGTTTATGCTACTATCATGGCTTGCTGGATCTTTGGTAAGCTGCTCACTTAAGCACTTTGCTTCGCAGCTTCAATAATGACGTCGGCAGCCTTCTCACTGGCTTGATAGATAGCAGCCACGATGTACATTCCGGGAATCTTGGGGAAGATGGATGCATCTACCACACGAAGGCCATCGATACCCCTGACGCGGAACTTGGAGTCCAGCACAGCCATCGGGTCTTCATCGGCACCGATGGGGCGGTGCAGGAAGCGTGGTGGCCCCAAGCCTCATCGCGAATGAACTGCTTCAGGTCTTCCTCTGAGGTCATCTCAGCAGGCGGCCAGATGCGGTCGAAGCTGCCATCGAGGGGAATCAGGTCCTTGAAAGCTTGGATGCCGTACTTCATGCCCTCGTAAACGGCCTGCAGATCTTTGTCTCCACCGATACCCTCACCGAGACTGTGGAAGGTAATCTTAGGGGTGTCGCGGGGGTTGGCACTGGTCAGGTTCACGGTTCCGGCGTTGTTCCGTGAACGGGCTTTCAAGGTCAACCAAGTCCAAATGCTCAGATCTTCCGTAGCGTGAACTGAGTAGCTGGGGAAATAGCCATTGAAGTACGCAGGAACGCCACCGAGGAACAGATCCGGTTCGTCCTCGGCCACGGACGAGTGCTTGATGTAGCCGAAAGCGATACCGTTGGTAGTGTAGGCGCCCTTGAGCGGTCCTCCGATGTTGTTTTTCCAGTCGTTGTAGCAGGGGTCGGTACCGTTCAGGAATTTGCATTTCTTGAGAAGAGAGAACTCTGTAGGTGCCTTGCCGACAACACCGATCTCGTAACGGTCCTGCATGTTGCCACCAACACCGGGGAGATCCTTTACCACAGGGATGTCGAATGACTTGAGTTCCTCCGCGGGACCAACACCACTCAGTTTCAAGATTTGCGGCGTGTTGAAGGCGCCGCCGGACACGATGACCTCACGACTGGCGAAAGCGGCGCCAGGAATACCACCGTCATCCTTGGTTGATCGGGGATCGGCGCGGTACAAGCTTTTGCCAACCAAATAGTCGACGCCGGTAGCCTTGGGCTTAGATCCGGTGGTGTCAAAGTTGACCTTTGTGACGAGAGTGTTGAGAGCGATGTCTAGCTTGTATTTCTTGGATCCGTCAGCGTTAGTGGCGCGAGCGACGTCGAGGACGAATCCACGAGGGGAGCTTCGTGAGTAGTTCTCGTCCATGGCAAGGGGAATTTGGTAGATAAGCTCCGCGTTATCTCGGCTGGGTGACGGGTTGTTGATGTCGAGAGTCAAGACCTGGGCATGTCAGTGCAAAGCTCAAGTATTAAGCGAGGTAGCGCACTCACCTCCAGCAAGCCACTGACGGTGCCCACGAGCTTTCCGATCAGTCCCTTGCCCATGGCAGTAGCAGCGGCAACGACCAAAGAGGCCACCTTCAGGTCCTCAGCGATCAAAGTAATCGGGGTGACACGGGTCTGCAGCCATCCATTTAGACCGTGACCGGCAATGCTGCTGGGCAAATAACGGGCAGCCTCGAGCTTTTCGAAGTACTTGTCCATCTCCTCCGGAGCCCACGAGTCGTCACCGGTGATAGAGGCAATGTAATTCCAGTCCTTGTGGGTGGGCTTGATAGTCACCAACGCATTATGCTGGGAGCATCCTCCCAAAGCGCCAGTGCGAGGGTACAGAATGCCTTTCTTGACGGAGCCTGCCGGTGGGTCCAGTCCAACATAGTAGTCACCCTCTGGCGTCAGATACGTCATCTTGGTGTCCCGGCGAGCCTGAGTATCGTTCGCATAGTGGTCGACGAAAAAGTCCCATTTGATGGGCACATGATCGCTGCTGTAAGGGTGTACAGCTGGGACTTGAACGACAGGATCGGCTCCGTGGTCCTCGCCTGTATGTTTGTAAGCGTGAGGTCTCAACGACCGGGATGAATCATTGCTGCGCAACTTACCCGCATCAATAAGCAGTACACTGTAGCCAGCCAAAGCCAAGCGAGCAGCAAGCGGTCCTCCTCCAGGACCGCTTCCCACAACAATGTACTCGTAAGTTGAGTTGGCTTTTGGACTTGTAGGTGGGAGAGTGTAGCCGTTGGGCGGCAAATTAGCAGATGGCTGGTCAGGTACGACGGCTGCCCTCCAGCTGGTGAATCTGAAAATAGTTGGTTAATGGTCACGGCGACGTGGTTTAGTTTACTTACGCTGACGCACCTGTCGCGAGGACAGCGAGGGAGGTAAGAGCTCTCATTATGAATTACGTTGGTCGGTTTATTGCAAGAAGTGAACGAGTGAATGAGTGATGGCCAATCGACGCAGGCGGTGCAAAGACGATTGTTGTTTAAAACAGACAACAAAAAGAGCGGCTAGACACACAAATTGCAATCGCGGTATCTGAATGAAAGTGAGCGGCACAGCTGGAAAGCTGAGAGAGTGTGATGAATTGCCAAGCCGAATGGTAACGTGCCGTGCCGTTTAAATGGCTCTACAGATCAGATCTCAAGCATACAAAGGTCGAGGCTATTGCCAACGAAGTGAGTTGCAGATCCCAGGTTCTTAGATGGGTCCCTTGCGAACAATCAGACTAGTAACGAGCGATAAACATGACGACTTCCTAACCCGTCTTGTCGATCAAAGATACTTGTATTCAGCGTGCTATGTGCTGACCCAATCAGTCAAATATTACGAACAGACGATTGGCTGTGGGGTAGTGACTGGGTTTGAGGAAATTAAATCGTGGCACCCCTAGCATCTTCAATTGCCATCATAGGGGCTTAAGCGAGCTGTTAAAAGAACGATGCAGGGAAATCGACAACTACTACGTACTGTGCAGATGATATCTGCTACAACACGCCAGGGTACCGCACGACATGGCAGTTTTGCCGTTAGCATGCCAGAACCGCTTCCCTGGGACAGAGAGCGGTGGGTTTAGCATCCACGCAATGTAGTCCACCAAGGGTCGACTACACTAATGAACAGGCCTAAAGGCTCTGCAGGGTGACAGGGCAGGCTGAAGGTCGTCAAAATCCGATTAGAAACATCCATCCTTCTCAATTACCTACCCCAGGGATATTCGGTCACTGAACTCCTACGCCGCGTGTGGGTTTCTGTCCAGGAAGGCAGGGGGGAAGAAAGTGGAAGAGGGAGATCCCATGTCGGTATAATATATTTACACTTTTTAACGGGGAGCCAAACGGATAAACGGGCATGGGCTCGGACCGTCTGACTGCAGATCCTCAACTTCATGGCAAAGCTTTCCGAAGCCCTAGAACAGTCATCTCCATAATCTACTAATGTGTATGTTCGTTCCCACAGAATTGGCCGACTTTGAGCCCGATTGTCTTGTGTTTAACTCGCCCGTTGCCTATCGCTAGTGATAAATCGGCAGGCACAAAATCAACGACAAAGCTTCTTCGGAACGCTTGCTCCGACTTAGGAGGGGGGTAATATGTGTCACTGACACGGGGTCTTTCCAAGCTGAAGATTTGGTACTTTCCCTTTCATAGCAGTGAATACGGCTGGCCGGGGATAGTATGGGTTTTCTGACAATACCCAGTATTTCGCTCCCGACACCGAGATTCTTGAAAGTATTGACATGAATTTGCTGCCAGACAGATGTCGGTAAGCCGTTGGATCTGTGGCATCTTGTAGCGCTGTAATACTGACACTACTGGTGGTTGGCAATTGGCAATTGACGACGGAAAAGGAGAAGACCAGGGTCTGATCATATTTGGGCTGCAAAGCTTGCATGTTGTAGAGCTAGTCCGCATCAAGCCAACACTACATTTGCGGGAGCATCCGGGGCGCGCGGACCGCGGGAGTGATCTAGGTATTGACTCAAGGTATGGCGTTCGTGTTTGCTATGCTGATCCTAATCACTGCTGCTGAAGTATGCACGAATTAAGCCGTTTTTTCTTGTGCGAGACAAAAGGGCAGTATAGGCCCTTGGAGGAGTATTCTTATTTTGAGGAGAGACTAATCTAACATACCTAGTGAGAAATGCGTATTCATGGCTAGACTCGAGGTGACGTGGTTAGAAACCCGAACAATCCATTTTCCGTAGCCACTCAGATGGGTTCGAAAACAAAATTTCAGCATTCGCTATCACAAGAGTCTCCGCTCACTGGCACACAAGGGAAGCTTACCGCTATTCCTTTCTAGCAAGGGTCAAGTATCCTCTTTTTGTTTCCATCATCCACAGTTCGACTTGCATACCATTACCCCGGCCAATATTCTGCCTCTATTTTGTAGCTGACGAACAACGTGGCTAGAGGATGACGAAAGTGTTTCTTCAACTTTGTCAAATTTCAAATTTTCGATCTTGCCGAGTTTCTACGTGCGTTCCTCGGGCATTCCACGCGACTCACTCAGCCTGTTTGGGAAGGTGGGACAGTCTAGGATCGTGAAACCTGACCCTGACTATCACGATACTTTGTCTCGGGAGTATGCGGCACCCTCGGAAAGCTTGTTTAGGTAGTGAACCGACGAGCTACTGTGTCAATCAGGTTAGATCATTAACGTTTCTGACCCAGTTAGGACTGCTAAAACTAGTGGGTTGCCGTTACAACCAAGGCCCACAACGGTGTGGCCTGCGGTTGTAACTTCCCTGTGAGCCCACAGCACCCCCATCTGTCCTAGCATTGATGCGACAATACGGCCGTCTTACAACAGGGTATCCAACTTAGACGGTGCGGCCCAATGTGGTTGTGATATACACAGTACGTCAGAGCTTCTGGATGCGTAGTAGGCTAAATCGTTGGGAAAAGGGAGGACTGTCCCAACAGCGAAGTTAACATGTATCAGCCAAAAAGAGGTAGATCGGACACCTGTGCCCCGAGTTTGGAAAGGGCCAGTCACATTTATTGCCAACAACGTAAGACAAGCAGGGTGCGGAAGAATAGATACTGTTGATACAATGATTACAAAACATAAACGCCGGCTAATGAGTTTTTAAGTAAAGTTCCTTTCCAAGAAATGAGGACCCTAGTCTTCCATCACTCTATGCCATAGCGTGAATTCGCCTCTAAGGTCGATAGTCCTTTCTGCAGTTGGTAGGTAGCTATGAAGTAGACTGCTCACGATACACACCGACCGACTCGCTAAAGCTGGACTTGCCATGATCCACGTCGACTAGCGGAATGAAATCACTCTCGTCGCCCTGTCGAGGGGCGCTTTTGGCCGTCTTTTCTGTTGTGGAACCCAATCCGCTCTTGTTCGTTCCGGACTTCGTTCCGGTGGATCTTGGGCCATTCGCATGACCTTTGGTTGAACCAAGTACCCGCACACCCAGCGCCATGAAAAGAGCACGCAATGAAGGCAGACAAGCGCAGATGATGCCTACATGGAGTTCAATGGTGCTCCACAAGGCTGCCTCGGTGTAGTCCCAAGTGATGTTCTGCGAGTTGGCAAAGACGATGAGGGACCTGAGGCGAACTACACTGACAATGGTGACGCTGAGACTCATAGTCAGCAGAGTAGGGGTGGGGGGTTTGACTTGTGATAGGGTAGAGCTTACAAAATCCCCAAAGAGAACATGAACATAATCATGAGCTTCTTCTTCAACTTCATCTGAAGCTCGCCCAGCTTCTTCAGGGGAAGGACCAAGATTACGATGTCGATGAGGATGTTGCAAATCGCAGACATCCACCCCTGGAGATGAATGTTGTTGCATTTTCCGACCTTGTTGCTGTCGATCTGCTCCCAGGAGTAATTGACTGGACTGCACTGCAAAGCCGTGCATGTAATGAAGGCAATCCCATATGCAAGACACAGAGCCATTGTTCCGTAGACGAGTTGGCGGAATCTTTTGCTCATGGAGAACACACGAAGCATGAAAAAAAGTATGCTGATTTTGGTTGCAGTCAGTGCAGCGAAGTAGAAGAGCTCTCCCAAGTAGTAATACTACAAAATGTTAGCAGCGACTGAGACTTCGGTCTACGTGGCTGGCTTACAAAGAGGACATTCTCGATATTCTTCTGTGGTAGAGTCCACATGTCTTTGCCGAGTCCGTTGTTTGACACTGTGACCTTGTTAGATATGGATCCTATAGATTGGTTAGGTAGCTTACATGTTACAGAGAATATTGTTGGAGGCACGGTGAGTGCCATGGCAATAACAATTGTCCAGTCATCCCATCCTAAGGTTCTGCCGCTAGTGGGTATACCTGAGCACATCCGGAGCCCGAAAACTATCAACGCTATCGCTCCCCGATCACTCCGATCAGGAGAGGTTTGGCGCTCTCGTTGCGGACCGGTGCACCACACATCGTCATCGATGCGTTTTTAGCCACTGTACACGTTAATACATTAGTCTTGTGTGAATAGCCGATGTCACTTGCTGTCGTACTTACCCAGTCCTTCGTATGTAGTGCATGATTGTAAGATGCATCCTGCCAGCTGCGTGTTGAGCGGCACATTAGTACACAAGCAGGGCACATCCTCAGTTGAACAAGCCGACTTGGGGATGAGTTCTTCTAAGCAAAGCAGCTATAGCGATGCGAGTTTAGCTCGGAGTGACTGGAAGGTCTCGCAGAGTATACTTACCGCACATTGCGGGAACATCTTCATGGCAACCTCGGTTGGAGAAGAGGCTGCAGCAGGAACGGCGCGCGATAGCACGGCCATTGCCGTCAGTGCGTATATCCAAAACCTCATAGTGTACCCCAACACCCCTGCTAGGGTTTCCAAATCGGGCTGTTTCTGGTAGGGAGTCAAGACAAAGAACGGTCGCAGATGAGCTGGGTAGACAAGTGATTGGAAAAACGCAAGGTGTTATAAATCCTCAGATCCTTTCCCTGTTCCCTGACCATGATAGAATCAGATAAGCTGTGAACCGGACGTGAAAAATAGAAAGCGATCTCGTCGTATTGAAACGGGATGATTCGTCATCCTTGTTCCACGCAATACAACATCGCAAGGGGTTCACAAGGAGAAATGGGTAATCACTGGGACCTTTCATGATGACCGGCAAAATTCATAAGGTCTCCGATCAACTCCGCAGCGACATCGCTGGGTACAGAGCAACCTGCTTCTCATTATGCTCTCGACCGGGGTCAGCCACTGCGGCTCCAAGGGAAACTGTCATGTTTCTTGGTCTTGTGCTTTCAGAGTAGGTTGCCAGGCTTAGGAACAAGGTTCCTTGCTCTCGTAGAAAATCAGTTGGACATATCTTTCGAGCGTCACTAACAACAACACACTCAATGGGGCTGTAAGACTCGACTTGAAAGGTTTCCTGCCAAGATGCTGGTCGACCACAACAAGTTAGTACGTCGACGATCATTTCAAGTGCTACTACCTACGACAAATTCTGCATACCCCGGTCATCTCTGCCACTGTGTAGATTATACGGAGTGGATATACAGTACATTAGAAAACATGTTCCCCTGTCTGCAATTTTGTTGGTACAGTGCTTTACTAATCCTGATACAATTATCCCTGCTACTACCTCCACAACTCACAGCGGTCACACCCTGCCTTTTAGTTTACTTTGAGTCCGGACTAGCACCCTTCCCTCTCCACCTCCTGATAGTGACGACTTGCGAAGTAAAACTGTAATCTGGAAGAATGCTGAGAACCAGGTTTAATCATTACGAGGTTTGATCATTACGTTGGCTCCTGCACGAAAAGGAGCGATTGTACTCAACTACCTTCGGTGATTAGATGAGACGATGGCTGATGTCGGATTCCCATATGAACAGCGACGAATCACGACCCTTGACAATCTACACCTAGACCCTGGACACCCGATTAACGGCCGATTGGCAGACAGGAAGGACCAGAAGCGTTTCCTATGGAACTAGCACAGAATCTTAATGGATTAGTGCTTGGTCTCCTTAACATGAACCTCTTGCTGGATCCTCAAGCATATTGTCTTGGAAACCTTCAGTGATAAGCTGGGTAGGACTAATCTGGGTAACCTTACGGGTGGCGGCGTACTGGAGTTTGCTTTCCTGCATGAACCACACAGCCTTCTTTGTCAAATGCAAATATGGGATTTGATTCTGATCCTTAGACTCTTGAATCCATTATACCTAATCTTGCTCTATGGTAAAGTGGACACTGTCCTGGCAGCCGTTCCAGCTCTGACGGAGGGAATGGACTGCGATAGATGCCAACCTTATTGCATGATGACGTCGCAAATTAACAGGAACAGATGGTCGAGTAACACAGCAAATAAAAGATTAGACAATAATTAAGACAAACATAGGTGAAGATAGTCCATTCGTAGTTGACTTCCCTCAAGCGGAGAGAATCCTGGAGACTGGCTATACTCTGTCGTCACATGTAATATCATATGTCAGTAGTTGAGGACTCAATCTCACAACGGCCTTTGACAACAATAGTTGAGATGTCGCTTAGTAGCAATACCTTCTTAGAGTACCTACTAGTCAGAGCTAGCGACCTTCAGCTGGGAGCTAGGATCAACCGTTTAAGGCTAATAATGAGCTACTTAATCAAGTAAGGATCACAAAGCATGATCACCTAGCGGAAAACTTCAAGTTTGGAATTGACTTGTTCTGTCTAAGCTACATATCTAACACAAAGCTTGTTCATTTACGTTTCCTTCGTGTAGGGCGACCGGCTTCGGAGAGGGTGACCGGTCGCGCAGAACGAGGTCGTTTTAGCAGGCGGTCAGTCGTAATAGAACCATGGGCAGTAGCCTCACGTTGTTCTGCGACATTATGCCTTACTTTGGCCCCTTTTCATGAGGAGTGAAAGCTTTGACATTATCCGAAATGACCCCGTTACAAATTAGACCCCCATTCTTAGTTGTAGCTTACATGAACATGATCCCTATATACAGAAAAGAGTTAGATACCATTCATATTACAGGTATCTGGGACTTACCAATGATTTGCGGTAAAGTCGCCTCGATCTTCCATGGAACGCCAGCTCGACCAAGATTTCACAGAATCTTGAGACGGATTCCAAATCCTCTGACCCCAGATCACATATTTTAGATTGAGAGCGTTCCTGTTGTTCATAACCCACTCTGCGATCTCCTTGCCAGAAACAGTAGGTACCTGTATCTCCAGTCAGCGCTGCAAAGTTGTAGGCAAATAATTTTGCATAAACACTCACGCCACCGCCGTCGGAACACATCATATCCGTTGCTTTACCGCAGCAATGGTCCGAAGTACCGGGGCAAGTACAGTCACGAGTACAAAATACTTCCCGGACCCTACCCGGAAACGCCGCAACAATCTCCTTTGCGCCATCAACGGCGACCTGTTTGCAAGCACCAACGGATGGAATTGAAGGAGCGCCGTAGCCACCGAAGCCGCTGGCTGAGGAAGAGCAGCATTGGAATGCACTTGGGCCTGGGCACTGATTCGAAGCCGATGTGCCGGCGCAATCACTCGTCCAGCGACAATTACCGCCGCTGCTGCCACAAGGTGACTTGGTACAGCATTTGACATTGGCTGCATCGGCGGGGCATGCGCCGTCAATAGTAGTACCTCCATTGGACGAGCAAGTGGTCGTGGTTACGCAGACACCTGTGTGCATTGTCAGTAAAGGTTCTAAAGTACACGCACGGAGATGTCGAACCAGCTCTGCCTCCAGAACCGTAGCATGGTTCGTTGAGGGCTGCAAGTGCTGCCGTAATCGAGATGGAGGCTACAAGAAAAGTCTGATAGCGCATGATGTACTTATTGGATACTTGGTTGGAAGAGTTGGATTACTATGTTGCAATGACGAATCTAGTTTTTCTTCAAGTTTTCTGAGAGAAGCACAGGCATATATAATCCGCAGAATGGAGCGGTAGTGTTGTTGCCAATTCTTCAGTTTGTCCGATCTTACGCGGCACAGAATTCAGCTTGCCAGCCTCAGCTGAAGATGCACGGCATGGTTACATCGAGGTCACATCTAAAGGCTTGGCTCTCGTCACCAAGACTCAGCTAAGGCTTTCTAGAGCGACTATCATCCTAGAATTAACTAAGTTTTGAATCTCACATTTACGGTTAACCGTCTCAAGTTGTTCAACTTGGAGTCCTACGAAAGCCACCGACATCGAGTCTCAGATGATCAGCCACTAATGTTGCTCGATTAGGATAGGGAGACGTGACTGTCGCGCTAGCCTAGGGCGGTTTGATGGGATGAACCGAGGCGATCGACCCCAGCTTAGCTTGCGCGCAGTTTCACAGCCACGGCCTGAACTCAGGGCAACCGATATGAACTTAGTCCACGATAGTCACGCCTGTCACGGGAACTCCCTGATTGGTTCATATAAGACAGTTGCCGCCGGTCGCGTTAGACGTCACATAAGAACAAGCGTTCCAGATTTCAGAATCCCTTGAAGATCCTGCAAGCCCAGAGTCCTAAAGAATGGCGTCATCTGTCGATCTTGAGAGAAACAAACTTGAAAAGCTGAGACATAAGGCAAGACACGTGTGGCTCAACAGCTTGTGAAACCTTGACTAAACCGTTCTTCTAGACCGAAACGTCCCTTCAGCAAGTAAGAAAGAGAGAATGTTATTCCGTGAGAGTCATGAAAAGAAATAGAGCTCATTTGCACACCGTAAAAAAATGCACGAGTAACGGGGGTCATCGACACGCCCCACTAAATAATCCGCATAGCGTCCAACAATCTGACAATACTTCGTTGCCGCGGCTAAGCTTAGACCATCGCAGCTTGAGAGACCTTCTGTGAAAATCCCGAGTCTACGATGGCGGAGTACAAAGTTCTCTCACCGCCTACTACATGCTTTAGTGTGTGACCAGCTGAGACATCCCATTTGATGACCGACTCAGAGATCTGACTTGATCATGTCCGCACCCTAACACTTGTTGGTGATCAGAGTTGTATTATTGGTTATCGCACTTAAAACGGGTTATCTACCTCCTCGAGGACAGCGTATGTAGTAGCCTGCATTGATGTAGCAGGCACTTTAAACATAAAAGAGACAATAACAGAACGCAGATTATGAGCCCCACAGATCCTAAGGCTTGGGCGGGATACACATCTAGTTGACTCCAGTAATATCATCGAACAAGTACACGACGGTATCACATAATAGAGATGCCTGCGGCAGGCCTTAAGCTGAGTGTTTCGTCGTCCGTCATGTCGACACTAGAGGAATCTCCACTACGTCCAGGGCCCGCAAAGCCTCCATTTCTATGATGCTTGGAACGTGCCTTAGAGCGTGAACTCATTTTAGAGGGTTGAATTTTTCTTGGGGGACTTGGGGTTCTTTTCTTTTGCATTTGTGATCTGAGTATGCGAGATCGCCTTTACTAACAGCTGGAAGGTCGCATGGGTCGGCAACAGCCAATGTGATCATTCTTTGGGGGTATGGGTGCATCTTGATACCAAACAGTACATGGCTACTCTTGAAGAACTTACTCGCTAACTATTTGTCTTGCGAATACAGTGATAAATGACCGTATCCGCCACTTGTGCTTCATAAACACTCTAATACTAGCGGTTGCTAACTTGGCATATCTCGGTCAAAACTTGCGAGCTGATTCTATTTGCGTCTTAACTGTACCAAATTATAAGGAAGAAGCACCGTGATTGGTTTTCTGGATGAATGGAGGGTTGCGAAGAGAGCAGTGAATGTATCGCAGCAAGGCTGATCCACTGGCTGGGTGGCATCGGGACTTGGCATACCGACGAGAAAGTTGTTTAACTGAGAGAAAAGCTAGAACACATTGCTTGTATGCACGTGTACATGATCCCAGTTGAAGAATAATTTTAGAAATAAGTTATATTGAATCATATACTAGTATCAAAAGCGAGAGATGTCTCCTCTAAAGTTTGGAACCTCCGCTTGGATAGCATCATAGCTTGATGACAACTTTACCCACGTGCTTCCCAGAATATAGATACTCGAAAGCCGCTTTGGAGTCCTGGAAAGGAAAGACTCGGTCTATGATGGGACCAAGATTCACATTCTTCTCTTGTAGAAAGTCGTTCATGCGCTCGTAATCCAACTTCGAGCCAACGGCAACGCCCCTATATCGAATGTCAGCAACGCCAAATAGAAGGATCCATGTAAACACAACAATCATTTCTGGAGCCATGACGTACTTCAGTTTCGCAGCCTTGCTCATCAAAGCCATGACTGCTCCGGGTTCCCAGTTGGAACCCCCCCCTTCTAGAAAGCCTACGAGCGAGACCGTGCCACCCCTCTGGCGCAGGAATCCAATATCATCTGGGATAGATGCAGGACCCGTATTATTGACGACAAAGTCCACGCCCTTCCCGTTCGTAGCCTGAAGGATTTCGGCTTTCTGGTCGGTTGTTGTTTTATAGTTGATACCATGAATACTTGAACCAAGCTTCTTGATTGCTACCAGCTTTTCATCCGAAGACGAAGTGATGATCGGCTTGATACCGCTGGCAAGACAAAGAAGAAGTGCAAACAGGCTCACACCCCCGGTTCCTAGTTCCGATCGTTAGAAGCTACGAGACAATATATTATCAGTGTATGGAATTGGGGAACCTTCTCACCTTGGAGAAGAGCAGCAGCCTCTTCGCGCGCTGATGTTGGAGTGTCCAGGGCGTTCCATGCCGTAACTCCAGCACAAGTAAGCGTGGCTGCCTGTTAAAGGTCAGAAGGTTGAGGGAAAATCCAAAGGACTCCAGAGTATTCAGACGTACCTCTTCCCATGTCAAGTGTTTCGGCAGGTGGACAAGCACTTCCTCGTCAAATACAGCATATTCTCGGAGGACGCCGGGGTGGTCTCCTCCCAGGGCTCGCATCGGCTTATCTTCATGCCCTGTCAGGTTATTTAGGTCAAAAATCGGTGCCACTCGGTCTCCGACGACAAAGTCCTGCACGGCTGGCCCAACGGCGATGACCTCGGCAGCGCAATCTGAGCATGGAATGCCATACTGCTGAACTTCCACGGGGTATCTGCCGTTCAACATAGCCACATCGCGGAAGTTCAACGACACGGCATGGATTTTGATCAACACATCGCGAGAGCCAAGCTCATCTGGAGCAGGCAGGGCTTCGGTCGACTGTTCGATAGTTCGCGGAAGATCGCCATCAGTACGTCTGAAGACTAAAGAAGTGGTGGGATGTGTCATCGTTTGGGTTGATCGTTTTGAAACTGGTGGAAATAAACAGCAAGTGAGACCTAGTGACAAAAACTCCGACTCTTAAAGTAGAATACAGCTGAGTATTTGAATCTTTGATACCGCTCAGGCTGGGGCAGGTGGCTGACCAATTATTGAGGCGGGTACGCAGTAGAGCAGCCGGCCGGACTTCGGGTATGACGTGTCTCTTTGATATATCTCAGTCTGGGCTATCCAAAACCGATAGTCCATTGTACGGAAGAGGGTTTTCACGCAACACTCCACGCACGGCCACGGGCGACATCGGATGCTGAAGAATCCTCCATGCAAATCGAGGGGATTGTTGATAACACCAGGTGGTCCCCACCTATGGGTCTGCGAACGAATCAATACTGCGTCGAATACATTCCGCTCCTATGCTGAGAGGTAGAGTTTCTAATGAGATAGGTTAGTGACGAGGCCACGCTCATCCCATCAGCTGTGGTAGTGCCTTAGTGCGGGACGAGGTCTGGATGAGACCCGCTTTTCTCCGAAATCGACGAAACATGATGTTTCTGATTGGAGAGAACCCCGGTGTGACTGATCCTGATTGGTTATTTCTCCGGCGCTTCGCGCATTCGACTGTAGTCCGCTGGCGGTCGGTCGGATTTCTGACGTATAGCACTACGAAGGCCGCAGTGTGATGCTCCTGTGATTTTGATAATTACAAATGGACTTGCTTATATATACGACGACGTATATTTGTAATCAGTGGGACGCGTGAAGACAGAGTATAGTCCACCGTAAGGGCTTGGATGTGTCGCGCGTCTATTGGGACGCCGAACCAAGGGGCTACTCAGAAGGATGCCGATCAGAGTTATGTAAAGCATGTGAGGAGGAAATCTCTCCCATGGAATTTTCAACTGAATCTTAGGCTTTTGGTTTAGGAACCAAGCTAACGTACCGGTATGACATGAAGCATAAATCAGTAGAGTAAGAATTGGGGATTTAGCAGATCGGCTAGGAACTGATGCAGGTTACTTGCCATAAGCCATTTTGAGCCCATTTACCACAATCAATCGCATAAATGCCATGTATTTCAAATTTAGAAGGCACGGAATGATCTTCTACTAGAGGAGTAGGACTAAGGCAGCTTGATCGGGCGATTCTATGAAAATGATGCAAGCACATGTACATTCACCGGACCATCAGTGATAAATAGTGCTTATTTTCGGGCGCCGTACAACCCAAACCACAATTGCTTCACATAAAAAATACAGTGCCATAAACAATATGAAAGTAGAGGGTGGTGTAGGACACAGCAGAGATAGAGTCAGTGCGGTAAATGTGAGTGGCTGGAAAGAATATTTGCATCTAAACAGTAGACAGTACTTGAATTTGAGCTCAACAACAATGCGTGGGAAGTTGGTGGTACCCAGTAATTCTAGGATCCGTTACAAAAGCTAGTCTGAGACCGATCGTCACATGAAGGACACCTTGGGTTCGCTAACATCCTTTCTGATGATTATCAATCCCATCGAGGTACAGCCTCGGTACACGATCCAACTATGGAGCATTTGGTGTCGGAGATCTTTGGCATTCATGGCAGATAGGGCAATTTTGTCCTGAGAGTTGAGTGGAAGTCTGCAAGTGCATTTTCACTGTTCCACCATGAAACGCTCCCTCTATTGCCGAGGCATGCCACGGACAGGTGGAATACAGCCTATATAAACCAAAACATAGGATTTTGGTGAGCCAAGAAACAGATAGCTTATCCCAGTTTGAGAAGCTTACAAATCTCTTGAATTCTTCTTTTTAAACCACGGCTCGCAAGGCTATCAAGTTTGATTCAGCTAAATGATCCCAGCATGAAGGGGTGTGGAGCAAACAGTCTGTTCCTAGTAGTAGGGGCTGAGGTACAGAGGACAGTAAACTAATCTCAGGATTTAGGGTGGTTGTACGCAGCTCACCATCCTAGGATTAGGGTTTGTCAACAGGCAACAATTAAATAATCCAGGAACGTGAGCTACTGTGAGATACTACCCGCCCGGATTCCTGGGACTCGTGGGTGTCGAGCAGTACCGTTCCTGGAATAAGCTAGGGGCCAGTGGAGCTCACTGTTCGTGTTTATCGATCCTGAGCTTAGGGTCTAGGGTTAGGGGTGCCGAATCTATCTATCCTCGGTTCATGGCGACAGCTTGCTGAGTCCAGGAATCAGGGCGGGCAGTGGTTTAATTTCGGTGACACTCATCCAGCCAATTCATTCTTGATCGGTTGGGTGTGACAACCAACCAAAGCTGATATATCCTTCGGCGGTGATTTAGGTTGCAAGAGATGCCAACCTCACCATTGCTCCGCAGCCATATGAACCAGACCAAACCGAAATGGGATTTTTCGTCTTCTCCTCAACGACCAGAAAGTTTCTCACATTTTCATTCGTGCTCCCCTGAAGCTCTCACCGAAGGCAACTTTAGTGGGCATTGCCATGCATTCGGAGGCGCTCCTGATGCAGATGCCACCTACGGACTATATTATTCACTAGGGTGATTTAAGTGTAACGGAATAGTCGAAGTCCCGAATACTTTGTCACCCGGTTGTCTATTCATTTGGATAGAACCTTGATGTTTATTTATTACTATGGTTGAACTGAACAGTCCGCTTGTAGCTATCCGCGCATTTGGTGACTCTCGGGTGGCCATGATGTACGTCCAGCTATCTCCTTCGATCCATATCCTGGCTTGGGCATTGAGACGACTGAACCATCCTGAGTTAGACGGCTGTTACTGCGCAAGCACCTTGCCTTCAGGTCTAGTGCAATCTTCGTCGAGCCTGTATTCGGGGGTATCAGTCCGGATCGACTTGTACCTAACCCATTTAGAATCTACACCGATTACTGTGAAGGGTGTGTTTGTTTATTACCAGCAAAGGATTACAACGTGAGGATGACAACATACCTTCCTGAAACATTTCATTTACTTTAAGCATGAGAGCTTCGAACTAGACATCCTTGAAATCCGATGTTGACGCTTTAGGGGCGAACACAACGGCGACTGGATTTTGGTCCAAAGCGAAGCCGCTGCTACTTAGATTCGCCAGCCCGTAGTACACATCGGCGGTCCCCAGACCATTTTCATTATTCACAATAATATTCTCGTCAAACGTGCCGGGGTTATAAAGGACCGGGTCCTCGTACACATGGGCCATCCAAACTGCCGATCTCAACATGACGATAAGACCAAGACATCCGCAAAAGCCAAGCATTGCGAGTGACCTCGGTTCATCCTTAAAACAGACGAACCCAGAGGTAACATCGCTATGGTAGATGGAGACAATGTCGGTGTGTTCGTCTGCAAGCTTCGCTACCTCGCCGCGGATGGAGTTATCAACGCCAAGCCAATAGTTGGTTGGGCTATACCAATAGCCGCTGGCTGGATGTGTCAACGCGTCGGGCGCCCCGAGAACTCTGGGGCTCAGCTGTGTATACAGTTATGATTTGTGCCTACAGCTCTCCACACCACATACCCCTTGGTAGATCTGCCGCCATAGCTTTAAATATAAGAACCAAAACTAACAAAGACGGTCCGAATCCCTCTTGACATGTTTGCCACCGCTATCAAGTCGAAGTCAACAGAGCAACGCGCTGATCCCTCGAGAAACTCCGGCGCCTTACAGCTGTGTAGAAGAAACGACATCGCCAATCACGATCAGGCCACTCATTTCCCGGGGCTACCTCTTCCTAAGAAAGTCTAAAATAGGCCGCTCTCAAGAGAAAGCTGCCGTTAAGCTGGACACCAAGAGCAACGTCACCTAGGCATGTTGACCAAACGCTCATAAAAACAAAGCACTGATTTCGGAAGGATAAAACAAGCTCCAACCCTGATTCTCGGGGCTCCATTATCAATACCTTTCGGGTATTCGTGGTCACAATGTCCTTAAGAATGCAGAGTACTTGGTATACCTCTCAGGTAGGAAGCTCTAATTAGATATGGAGTTCACATCATTTAAGACGTATTGTGTAGATCTGCTGGCAGGTTTGGCTAAGAAGCCCTACGTATAAGGAGCTTGTCAAAAAGTAGTATAGCAGACACCTTGTAGATTTTCTGGTATCCCGCACCACTGGTAAAGTATACTCACCATTCGCGGAGGAGGCGAGTGAGCCAAGTGTCATTGTCGTACCGACTCTCAATCTATACAAGGCGTGCGGATGCTATTCCAAATAGATATAACTTTGGTCTACTTTTATGCGCCTCTAACTCACCATTTTAATGCGGCCCTCTAGAACGGGGGCAATGACCCGGGTCCAGTCCACCGTGAACTCGCCCTCCCGCAGGGGATCACATACGTCGGCTTTGACGCCCGCCTTGTTGGCCCATCTAGCAAAGAACTTACGCATAATGAGCATCTCCATATCGATCTGGGCAACCCTATCCGCCTCGTCATCGGAATCATCTGAATCTTCGTCCGAGTCGTCCATGGGGGGCTTGGTGTTCAGCGTCTGACGCTTGACCATCCACTCGGCCCACGACTTGGACTCGGTCTTGGGCTGCGGATCTGAGATGCCCGTCTCGGCGGGAGTCTCCCACATCTTGCGGGGCTCAACGGGGCTGTGGCACTTCTCGGCGACCTTGAGCCAACACTCGCTAAGGTTCTTCCACTGACCGACCGTCTTGAGACTCATGAAGTACTGACGCAGCATGGCGGAAATGAGAATGCCGTTTTCTTCGCACACGATCTCCTCAGCAGTGCCACCTTCCGGCTCGACAAGAAGGCTCGTATAACCGTCTATGATAGTCAGCAGATATCTCGAGTGTATTTGAATCTGAAACGCACCCTTTCCCCGGCCCATGTAGCCTCGGGTCGCGAGCGTGTACTTCCGCTCAGGATCTATGGGCTCACCACCAACGCTGGCTGATATGATACGTGAGCTAGGCGGCTTGCTGGGATCGAAAGTGTATTCGATGTTGGAGACTTGAGGGAAGCGGCCTACTCTGTTAGCTTGCAACTGGAAGTTTGACTTGGTTGGTTCACAAACCTTCCTGCGCGGGATACTGGGAGACGCCGTTCTCCAAGGCATCCCACAGCTGCTGGCCGGTTACTCGAATGAAGATGACGGGATCTTCGAAGGGGAAACAGTTGGTGATATCCCTAACCCTAATCGCACCCGGCGGATAGATCTGGTCGCCACGGATTGTTCCGGCAGCCATGAGCGCACAGTCGGCGTTGTGGTAGTGTCTCATGACATCGCAGACAAAGTTACCCATGTTGCTCTCCTTCATTCTCACCGTTGTGAACCGTGCATCTAACGGCGAGGCCGTCCAGCCGACAGACTTGGCCAAGCTGTGCTTCAGCTTCGAGGTCAGGTCTTCAGTAAGTTTCAGCGTCTCCTGGTCCTCGGTAATGGACGAGACGATATCGCGCCGCAAGATATCAAAGTCCCATTTGCCAGAGCCATCCTCCTTCTTTCGGACTTCTATGTAGCTCAGCTGCTTGAAGTCAGAGCCAGACCGCAGCACATGGGTGCCCTTGATAAAACTATGGCCATAGTAGTGGTCATGACCACCGAGAATGATGTCCATAAGACCATCCGTCTTCTCGGCAAGCTTGTTGTCGTTCGGCTCACGTTGGTGGCTGAGACAAATGATGATGTCGGCACCTTGCGCCCGCAGTTGGGGAACCAACTCCTTGGCAGTCTCGCTGGCGGATTTGTAAATGATGTTGGGCGGCAGGCTGTTGATGGTCTCCAACCATTCCCTCTCGCCTAGGCCAATGAGACCAATTTTGATGCCATTGGAGGTTGTGAGCATGTGCGTGTGCTTTGCATTTCCGAGGGGTACATTTTCACCCAGAGCTGGGTCCAGGACGTTGGCAAGGAGCCAGGGAAAATTACACTTCGCGGTCAAGGTCTCGAATTGCTTGACGCCAAAGTCGAAGTCATGGTTCTAGCATTGACATGTTAGACCAAAGCTATCGTCAAGGTAGCATTTGGGCGCAGTGGTACACTTACACCAACGCAAGAGCAGTCGACGCCGATCTTGTTGAGAATGGGAACCATGTGTTCACCTGATGCGCATCAGCGCCATGACAGATACAGACGAATTCTGGGTGGCGCGTGAGGTGTTACCTTTTGTGACGGAACTTTCGAGACTGGGGTTGAAGACATCGCCCGAAAACAGAGTCACTAACTCGGGCTGGCCCTGGAAGCGTTCATGGCTGCGGTACTCGTTGACGGCAGTGACGAAGCGGGCAACACCGCCTACCGGCTCAGCACTAGAAGGTTCCAAGTGGTATACATCGTTGAGGTGGAGAAGACGCAGGGCAACCGGTGCCTTGGAGCCCGAACTGAAGGTGACGACAGGCTCATCGGGAGCCGGGATGTTCTTGGGCATGACGGGAAGGGGAAAGGAGGAGGAGGCGGGAAGAAGAAGAGAGGTAGTCCAGGAATAGAAATGCGGCCGGGACAGGCCGGGAAACGATAGTGAGATGTGAGCGAGTGCTTCCCATGAGTTTAGGTAAAGTCGGGTTAGGTTTGAGTGCCGTTGCTGTGTGGTGCGGTTTGGTGCGGTGAGCTGGCAGCTCCGCGGGGGCGGGGGCGGGGCACTGAAGTGGCCGCTGGAGTGGCTGATTGGTGACGGGGCGGGCACCCACTGACCAACAGAATGACCGCGATTACCAAGTCAGCGTTTGGACGCACGTGACGATAAGCTCTACACAGGAAGGGGCAGGAGTTGCTATTCTTGGCAAGAACTCCATCTGATAAGCTCTCACAACAAGGAAGGAGCCGAAGGTGTTCTCGATTGGGCTCCTAAGCGAGAACACCGGGCGATCCTCCCCCGCCTGGCCGTCTCCGTCTGCCGTCAAGGCTCCGTGGCTGGTAGTGCGGGTACGTATCCTTTACGTTTCCCCCGATGGCCTCCACTTCCCCAGGTACCGTCTCCGTCATCTCCGCCCTCTCTCCCGGGTTTGACCCCCGTTATCGCATCTATTCGACTTTAACATCCCTCCGACCCGTCTCATCTCCCTTGCGACGAACCGCTGCCTAATTCCAGCCCAACCCAATCCTATCCAACCTCATCGTTCGATTATTACATCAAAACTGCTTGCGTGCTTGCTTCTTCGCGCCCGCCCTGTGTCCGATCTTGCACTGGGAAGTCCAGCTCACCATCTGCATCGCCACACCAAGCGTCTTGGCTGGCGCATTACTTCTACCAGTTATGTTTCCGTTTCACAATACAATTTCCTGATTTATGCCAAGCCAATTCCTATTCTCTCGCTCTCGTTCAAGGGCTGCTAGCGGCCATTCCTCACGTTCTCATAATGGTCCAGATCGTGTCCCTGTCCCAACCTGTGCTAACCTGTCGGCTAATGTTGTCTTTCCACTAATCCGTCCAGTTTCCAATCCACAGTCTTGGCCCGTCTCATTATTCACATCACTCACCCCCCAAAAATACGCCTAAACCCATGTCGATGCCGGCGGCTGCGCAATGGGAAAGGGCTTCTTAGACCCTAACATGCGTCCCACGACAATCATCCGCATGACGCACTCGGCACTCTCCCGCGTCAGTTTCTCCGCCTCCAGAATTGCCTCTTCCAGCGTCGATGGGCGTTGTAGGATACACGTGTATGCATCGATCCCCACGTCGTAGTTGACCCGCGCCCCTGGCCCGATGGTCCCCGCGATGGCAATTACAGGCAGCCCGTGCTTCTTCGCCCGCACGCCAATCTCGGCTGGAATCTTGCCCCGGGGAGTCTGGTCATCGATGCCCCCCTCAGCTGTGAGCACCAGGTCACAGTCGGTGAACAGCCCGTCAAAATCGACATACTCCGCCACCACCTCATATCTTGGCCGGAGCTTGGCACCGACCAACCGCAAACCGGTACCCAACCCTCCAGAAGCGCCTCCACCCGGCGAAAGGCCTACCTTGTTGTCGAAGAGCAGGCGGCCGGCAACAGCAGCGAGGACCTCCATGGCTGCAGACAGCCTCTCCATCTGCGCGGTGTTGGCCCCCTTCTGCGCGCCAAACACTCTGGCTACGCCCTCGGGGCCAGACAGCACGTTGTTCCAGTTGACTGCCACTTCAATGGTGACGTCTTTGAGACGCTTGTCGACATCGCGCAGATCAATATTCGCTAGCCCGAGCAGGGACCCGCCGCCCGCTGCAATGGGAAGCGGGTGGCCGTCTTGGTCTATGAGCCGAGCGCCAAGAGCCTGGAGCATGCCAGCGCCGCCGTCGCAGGTACCGGAGTCACCACATCCGACGACAATCCGCTTTGCGCCAGCTCCGAGTGCAGCAGTGAGAAGTTCGCCAACGCCAAAGGTGGTGGTGGACCCTGGGTCGCGGAGGTGAGCGGGGACGAGGCTCAGGCCCGCGGCAGCTGCCATTTCAACGACGGCAGTCCTTGGCGTCTTGGAGATATCACTCCCCAGGATGCCAAAGAAAGATGCAATCGGGCAGCCGACAGGGCCGGTGATGGTGACGGGGTGAATCGTCCCGCCAGTGGCAGAAACCAGGGCGCTAGTAAACCCCTCGCCTCCATCGACAAGGGGGACCTTGCGGACAGAAGCCTCCGGCATCACAGACTTGATGCCGGCTTCGATACAGTCGGCGGCAACGTCGGGCTGGAGGCTGCCCTTGAACCCAGAAGGGCACACAAGGATATTCATGCCCTGGAAAGCCGGAAGAGAACTCATCCTGTCCTAGCGAACCTGCTTTTGAAATAGGTGTTGGGGGGGCTTGTGAGATGGACTGGAGTTTCAAAGGTTTGTTCTGTTTGGATGAAGTTATCGTGATGATCTAATGTGTAAAGATCCAAGCGAATGTTGAGCAGCGAGTGAGATATGTATGATGAGCGAATGTGTGAATACTGTAAGTTGGTGTGGAAAGCGAAGTTGCGCTTCCGATTTATCATCCAGGTAATCAGATCGATGCGAACGGTTCCCTTTATATCACCAAAAATGAGGACTTACACAAACCTGGCCGGGCCGTGGAAATCACGAGCGTCTACTCTCGTTTCCGGTTTAAAGTTACGTCTATGGCGGTGAGGCTTCATGATGACGGCAAGTGAGACTGAAGATGCGAAGTCCAGCTGTCCAGGAGGGGCTATGACATGCTCAGCCGGACACTGGTTACTTCACAAACAGGAATTCGGTCGTGTGATCGTTGTGTCTTGGAACCAGGAACTGAAGGACGGCAATAGTCTGTCTCCCTTGGCCTTGCACGTGTCCATTGCCTCGATACGACGTCGACCGCAACCAACCCGGGTCCATAAGGCTCATGTCTCGAGAGACCCCTGAGCTACCAAACGGCTCAATGGCGTAGTACCAAGGTTCACTCCAGTCACTTCGCTGATTAGCATAGCCCTCAAGAGAGCAACTGGGACAAGCGGTTTAGACTAGCCTAGTGATCACCGCGAAGCGTTTGTTGACAATGTCCGGTTTCATTGGTATCACGACTTCCATTCTCCTGCCTCCGCGTCAGATGTGACCACATGAGGTCGTCTGCCCAGATCTCGTATCTCGACCGATGGCTGGGCACAATACATCTTAAATCTGACAAGGCTGTTATCTTGGAAGTCCAGTCTTCGAATGGTTCACAGCGTACCTGAGCTATAAATAAGAATGCCGCCTATTTAAGGGCTATTCCAGGGGTTTTACAAGTGGTCCCCCCGTGGGCGGAGTCCATCTATACCAAGAATAACGCTCTTCCAATCAAATGCACTGTTCAGCCACAAAGTTGACGTAGGAAGCCAAGGCCCCTGATCGCCCCGCCAAGAAAAATCTTCTCGGCTGCTTTCTCACCCCAAAACACCACGGCTTTAGCAAGGGCTTCACTTGTACTCAGGCTAGCGAAACTTTTCTGTCTCTTGGCAGAGTCATGTCAGCGAATCTAGGGATGATGGTCCTTTCCGTGTCAACCCAGCTCGAGAGCCCGAGGCGAGAGAGAAAGTAAGATGGGCTGTTCCGGAGTGAGGTTGAATCAATATCCCAAGCCCGGCCACATTATACGAGCTGAACTGCAGCTATGCCATCGCAAGTGCATGAGGCAGTGCTCTTATACAATTTGCCGAGAGAACAGAATCACTCATGAAGGTAAACCACAAAACCACCTTTGTTCTATAAGACACCAATGAGTTGCCTGGGACGCAGGGTTATACCATTACCAGAAGCGTGTTACGGCCATCCCTTGGTCTATTTCATCATTTACTCTATTCACACTCGATTTCTCTCACCCTTGGAAGCTCCCTTAGTCTTTCGCTGTCTTTTTTTTTCTCACCCATACTACACTGATATGTCTAATTCCAAACCACACGCTTATTACTTCATTCCTCGCAAGCTTGTCCCAGTAGACCCAGAGGCGGAATTTGATATCCATGGCAGTCTGACTCGGTCTCGGTCAATCCTTTGGCGGGGATGGAGTCCTGAGCTCCCTTCTTTTTCCGAGTATGAGAGGACAGCGTACAAATTCCCCTGGCTCCAGGACCCTGGAGAAACGAGAAGCAGACACCACGGTGCCATCTTGGAGACTGCTGCTCCCACTGACCATTCCCATCTACTATCTCACGACGACAGCACAGAATCGGGGCGTTCTACTATGGTTCCGTCGGAGGAGAAATGCGAGCACACTGCAGCACCCGATGATCATGAGGACCTAGACTTGGTGAGTTCCGCGTGGTTCGATTCTCCATTCTCCATTCCGCAACGACGAGCCAAAACGCTGACTGGGAGATAGGTAACGTGGTCCGGACCCGACGACCCAACGAACCCAAAGAACTGGAAAAAGCACAAGAAATGGACGGCCACTATCTTGGTCTCATGTTTCACGTTTATATCCCCGGTCTCTTCGACTATGCTGGCCCCGGCCTTGGACACCCTGGCTGATGACTTTGACGTCAAATCTGACATTGAGACGTACCTTCTCATGTCCATCTTTCTACTGGCGTATGCTGTTGGGCCTTTTGTCCTTGCGCCTTTGTCAGAGATGTATGGTCGTGTTGTGGTGCTTCAGTCTGCCAACATGTTTTACTTGGTCTTCAATACCATTTGCGGCTTCTCCACTTCTAAAGAACAAATGCTTGCATTCCGGTTTCTCAGTGGTCTTGGTGGAAGCGCCCCTCAAGCTGTAAGAGCATTCAACTAACTCTCACAAGCTTAAACACTTTTTTACTAACGAGCAACCCAGCTTGGCGGTGGCGTCTTGAGTGATTGTTGGCAAGCCGAAGAGAGAGGTACGGCAACGGCCATATACAGTTTGGCCCCCTTCCTTGGACCAGCTGTTGGGCCAATTGGTCAGTAAATACACCCTTGTCCATATACGGGCTCCCTTGCTGACTCTGAAAAGCCGCTGGATACTTGACGCAATACCTGTCATGGCGCTGGATCTTCTGGACAGTTTCCATTGCCGATGCAGTCGTTCAGGTTATCGCTTTCCTCTTCCTCTCCGAAACATACGCGCCCAAGATCCTGGCCGTCAAGGCCAAGAAACTGCGCAAGACGACTGGCAACAAAGACCTGCATACGGAATTTGACCAGCCAGACAGGAGCTTTGGCCAGACTCTGCGGAAGAACCTTGTCCGGCCTTTTAGGATGCTCTTCACTCAGCCGGCATTGCAGGTCACCGCGGTGTACAGGGCATATCTATATGGTCTGATGTATCTCGTGTGAGTCGCCTCCTTTATGCCTGACTAAGAGACTCTGATCTGACACATCATCAGCCTTGCTTCCTTCCCATTTGTTTGGAGCGAGCAATACGACCAAGGACCTGGCCCCGCTAGTTTAAACTACATTTCACTGGGCGTTGGCTTCGTTATTGGTCTACAAATATCCGGCCCCCTCATCGACATGGTATGTACTTGGTTTTGACTACACTGCCTTGACTGGCTGACAACCTTCAGGTCTATCGAAGACTCAAAGCCAGAAATCACGACACTGGCCTCCCCGAGTTTCGAATTCCACTGATGTTCCCCACCGCCATCGTAACTCCCATCGGCCTCCTCTTGTACGGCATCGCGGCACACTTCAAGGTCCACTGGATTGTACCAAATATTGGCGCAGCCATTCTGGCTGCGGGTCTCATTCTGTCCTTCCAGTGCGTACAGACGTATGTCATCGATTCTTATGAGCGGTACGCCGCCAGCGCGGCTGGCGCAGCGGCCTTCGTGCGCACAATGGCTGGCTTCAGCTTTCCACTGTTCGCGCCAAGGTTGTACGATGTCTTGGGTATTGCATGGGGCAACGTCTTACTCGCGGGTATCGTCTTCTTCAATGGCTTGGTTGTGCCGTTTGTCATGTGGAGATGGGGCGCTTGGCTCAGAAGCAAGAGCCCATACTGCGCTGGCTAGACGGGGACACCAACCACACCAGGCCTCGCGAGGAGGCTTCGATTTCCAGGACTGACGATGAGAAGGAGAACCGTAAAGACAAATGTCAAGAGTATTGAATTAGGGTATAACACCATGAATTACAACTTTCGTGTGCCCACACACTTATGATTAAACCATCAACAATTCGCAACCCGGGATATCAAAGCTGAAGCAAGCTCATTACCAATCACCTCATCAAACCACCGTAGTCCTCATGACCCCCTTCAAATCGACGCCCTTGCAATGTTCTTGCCCGCAACCAAGCCGGGACCCTTTTCTGTGAAAAAGGTCTTGGCCTTGGCGGCGCTTACGATGAAGCCGGGTAGCTTCATCGTGTTGAACTGACCGGTCGCCTTCTTCTTGCCAATGGTGACGAAAACCTGGGGCTTCAGCGTGAGCTTGAGGTCCTTGACCTTGGCCTCGTTGCCCGTGAGGATAGCGTCGAGGTTGTCGGCGAGGTGCAGCGCCTGGCCTTCGGCGCGCATGAGCTGCTTGGCCTCGAGGTTGCCGACGTCGCCGACACCCCAGACGTTGAGCAGGCCCTCAACGCGCAGGTCGTGCTTGAGCTTGACGTTGCCCTTGTCGTCGAGGAGGTGCTCCGGGACAAAGGTGGTGTTGGGCCGGACACCAAAGAGGGGAAGGTAGACGTCCGCGGTCAAGGTCTCGCCATTGGACAGCTTGACCGACTTGAGCGCGCCGGACGTGTCGGCCTCGGTAACGCGGGCGTTGGTGACGAGCTTCACCTTGAGCTGCTGCAGGTTCTTGGCGGCGATCTTGCCGAGCTGCGGCAGAAGGCCAGGAAGCGGCGCCTCGCCCTCGACGATGAGGGTGATTTGCTTTGTGGAGCCGTAGGCGTGGCCGAGCTCGCCTGCTGTCTCGACGCCCGTAGTTCCGGCGCCGGAGATGATGATGGAGTTGGCGGCCTTGACCTCGGATTGAAGGTTGTGCAGAGCAGTGACGGTCTCCTCGTGAGAGCCAATGGTCTTGAACGGAAGGCCGCTGGCGAGTCCAGAGCCGGTGGCGATGATGAGGTGAGCGTACTCAATCGACTTCAATCCCTCGTTGGTCTCGACCTGGACCGTGTTGGTGGCGGGGTCAAAGGCCGTAGCCTTTCCGAGGACGAACTCGAAGGCGTCCTGGGGGTACTTTTCAAAGCCGGGCTTGATCTGGTTGAAGAGGGTGTCATCGGAGAACTCGCCGGGGATGATGGCCCGCACGGCGGCGCAGTTCCAGTACAAGTGCGTCGACGGCGAGACGAGGGTGACCTTGAGGTCCTTGACCTTGGGCTGGGTGTATTTGAGAAGCTTGTGCGCAATGCCGAGGCCGGCGTAGCCAGCGCCCAAGATCACAACATTCTGGACCATTTTCGCGGATGGATGGTGGATGAAGTGTGGAGGTTGAGAATTTTGTTGAGCGTAGATTTGTTGACGGCCAGGAATGGTCAGACACGATTTCTCCAAACAAAGGGAGAAAGACAAGTCGTCGTTTTTAAGGGGGGGATGCGGCGGTGGTAAAGGAACGGGGACGGGGATGCCGTGGGGGAGTGCGGAAGTGCGAGTGGACTCGTGCAAAACCACCTAAGCAGCTAAAGCAGAAAAGGATCTACGAGAAGAGGAGAATGCGACGGCACAGGGCGTGGCAAGTGGAAGATGGGAGGGTAGCGGATTTTGTATCGACACAAATGGAAGAATCGAGCTGCATGGGTTTTCATTATTGTTAGCTGGCACTGTGGCCTTCGGCCGAACATCGATGACGGACGCTTTGACAATTGCACTGCGGCTCGGACCTTTTTTTTTGGTCTCTTCACTGGTGACCTCCATCATTGGAACCAATCCAATCCAATGTTTCAGACGAAAGAACGCTCAGATTCTTCCGTTGCGTATGCGTGTGGCAAGCGAGATTGGCTTAGGAGACTTCATTATTCTTGCTTTTTTTTGTTCTTGTTTTTTGGTGTTTTTTTGGTTTGGGTCAGACGCGTGAGGGAGGGGACACAGGAAGGATTCTGTCGAGTGCCGGACGAGACTGAGTTGCGCTGCGCTCGATGAGCTGCAACGCAAAAGCAAAGCTCAATGTACACAAGTACGACCAGCAAGCAATGCCCGAAGCGGTTGCGGTACAACACACTGCAAGGTAGGGATGGGTGGAGGAAGTGCGGTACAGGGGTCCGATGAGCATCCCAGGTCAAGGCAACGACGCAGCGGGTGCCACAGCAGTAGCGTAGGATAGCGCGCGCGCTGCCTGAGCTCCGGTGAAAGGACGAGTGCTTTCGATTTTTCTTTCGGTCTCGCCTGGGCTTTGTTGGACTCATTGTCGGCTTTCACGGCTTGTGAAAGTCGTTACTGGAGTTGCGAAGCTTCTCGTAAGTCGATTCAGAGCTCACTCTCGGCTGCGCCATGGGTAGTACTGCATCGGACTCCCTTTCGAACCCTGGAAACCAAGTTGTGCAACCCATTCAATAGCCTCCAGTGCTTGTTGCTTCCAAAAGTCGCATCGAGTCTAGGCCCTCTCGGGCGGTAGTGCATTAGAGTGGAAAATCATTAATGGGGCCTTGTAGGTGGACTTTGGCGGTACCTTAGAGTGCCTTAGTCAGGGGCTGTACAGCGCATTGGTAATACTCGCGCGCGCATCACTTGCACAAAGGGGAGCATGTTCAGATTGCGCTTCTCTATGAGCCATCGTCTTTTTGGATTCCAGTAGTGTCGGCAACGATTGAGTCCGTTCACCGAATTCAGGGCCAGGAAGGGTGGAGGGTCGGGCCCGGTCCGGAGAGGAAGCCCGGTCCAAATGGGGCGCGCTAGACCGGAGAAGGACACAGTGTGGCGTTTACCGCCGCACGGACGCTCTCACATCTCGCTCTCCCCTCTCGTTACGCGCGCGCAATCGTTTCGTTGCTATACAGCCCTCTCAAATGACCTTGTGTCCAATACCTTGTTGGCTATTTCGCTGATCGATTGCATCACGACAGGTTTCTACTGTCCCCATCTTGTGATCATTCTTTCAGAGGCCTTCTTCGATATTGGTAATCAAAAAGTATGGTTTGCTGGAGTCTCCAGGCCGTTGCAATCGCAAGTAACCTTGGAACATGGACGTGTCCGTCTCCCTCCGATTAGCAATCAAAAATCCCAGTTTTCAACAGAAGCTTAATCAAGCTTTGGCCAGTCATGATCTCGTTCGTGGCCCCAGTTGTTTTGTCACTTCCAGCCAAGTAGCTATACCCCCTTATGGTTTGGCATGGCACTGCAACAGCGACAGCGCCATACTCATAACTGCTGTCCTTTTATCGTCCAATTACAGGTGTGTTGGCGGACCTACAGCACCAGAATAAACCCCAAAATACTGTGTCGATCAACCTTCAAATGCCATCTTTGACTCGTAACTACAAATGTCTGGCGCTGCGGGTTCGCGACAATGAGAGAAAATGAAGACAGGGCACAGTGTCACGTAGTTCTAAGCATTACCAGCTCCATACTAAAGTGAATACCGTTCAAACTTCGTTGTATCAGTAGATCTGCCTTAGTAACTGTCACGCATGAAATTGAACGATATGAAAAAGATCATTTTGTGACGTTGTAGGTGCCCTAATCCAGGTCTGCCTACTGTGTACATCGGTACTTCCCAAATGATATGCCAGACGCCTGCTTGCGCAGACGCTATTAGAAACACTAAAAACCCTCAAAATATTGAGCCTTTGTCTGGTCCAAATTTTTCCTTGACAACCTCTATTAGTTGAGACCTCGTGCATCGATGATCGAGAATTCTTGCGGGGCTCACTCATTGGAGCAATTCTCTCAACGCAAGTAGTGCTGAGTGTACCCAGATGGAACGATACATGTGTAGACGGGGACGGACCGCCTACCCAGAAGATAAACATCCTGCACAGAAATGACCGTCCGAAACCCCTTTGGCTTAATATTCCACATCGAGGAGTGATCCAAACTGTGATGCTTATGATTTCAAAGTTTGGAAGCACGTAGTCATAACTCAGATACAAATTATTGATTTGATTCGAAAGTAGCCTCTAAAGAGTCAAATTGGCCTTTTTTTTCATTAGAACACAATTGTACCCACGTAAGTGATTATACCTCCAGGTACGACGCTGGATTACATCATGATCTAGGTTCGTAGTAAGCTGAGGTAGTTCAAGAGATCAATCAAGTTTGGTAAACTAGTGTTTAACGATTGTTGATAGACCGCGGTACAGATCGGTTGACGCACAACCTCATTATTGCTTCTGAAGTTGAAATCTATGGTATCCCATAGATGTTAGTTCAGCCTCTGAGTGCCTAAAACACGATCCCCAGGTTGACCATTTTCCCTGGGCAAACAAGACAACTTTTGGGGTGCCATTTGCTGCAGAAACATAAGATTCCAGACCGTTTTTGTACTAAGCTTGCAAGAGCTAAAGTTGCTTTGATGGATGACATGACGTGGGAGCCAAAACAGGAAAGCCCATGACAGGGTTGGAAAGAAGCAGTCCAAACATAACAGAAGCGGCCATCAAAACACCACACTCCCGGTACACTCAACCCAAGCTACAAACACACGAGTACCGCCGCAGCGGCGGCGAGAGATGTGCATCTCAAAAGCCGTCTTATCCAGGTTAATAATGAACAATAAACCAGCGGCACATAACCGGATACTTAAGCTAAGATAAAGTTAACAAGCCTGCTTTTTAAACATATGCAGGTGGCCGGGTTTATCAGGTTACTAGTGTGTCGTAGTTTAGAGCGCACAGCAGGCATCAGAGATTGTGGGACAAAGTGGCTTGCATTTGTTATAAAGTTTGGAGCAGAAGGATGTATCAGCAGGTGACTTGAAGTTACTCATGTAGAGAAGCACATTATAAGTATTGGTCTAAAACCTTGGAATAAGCAAAGCTCTTATAATATACCATAGATTATAACGGTTTTCGATTTACAAAACAATCTTCGGAAAGTATCCTTACTGTAGACGTCAACTATGGATGTTCTTACTCATGGATATTGTCGGCCCTATCGTGAGTGCTTACGTCTACATTACGATGAACAACGATACTTGGTTGACCAGGACAGCGGGCACTCAAGAGTTAGGATGTGACGTTCAGAATATGGTGGGAATGGGATTCGCGTTTCCAAAGTCAGTCAACGGCTATCATTCTGTTCCACTGGATATTGTTGAAATATCTGCGTATTCGCCAAAGGTGTTCGAATAATAGCTTGGACTCATAATAGTATTACGATTTGGATGCATGATTCTGATATAGACCTAACTCATAACGTAAACAAGGGCAGGGGTAACAAGAGCAATGTTAGACAAATAATTTTCCATCCCAAGTCACAGAATTGCCAGTAAAGTCACTCCTTTGAAACCTCGGCTGGGGCCTCGGTAGTCTGACTCTTAGAGCTGGGTATCTGTCGCCACTCCATGGCCCAGCTCACAACCCAAGCAAGGGCCGGAGTAGCAAGGGCAACCCAAAAGACGTTTTTCAAAGCAGACTTAAACGCGTCTACGACGGCACCCAGCAGCTCTGGGGGAACAATCGTCCATTGTGAAGGCGTTCTTGATGCTGCCGACGCCCAGGGAGTATGCCTTTGCTTCAGCTAACTTCAGGGTCCAGACGCCGCCGGTCGTGAGACATCCGACTACCTCAATGACCGCGGTGCTCGCGTCATCGGATTCATAACCTTTTTCACGACGAAGCTTTCTTTTTCGTGAAATCTTTTCTTTTCGCAAAGTTTTGCTTCCATGGTGAATGCTTTGTGAGACGGCTAGGTCTTCTCGTACCGGTCCTAGTGTAAACGGTCGATGCCGAGGAAGTTGAGGTCCACGCCGTCGCAGCGCAGCGTGTAGAAGTCCCCGGTGCTCGATCACCCGTACACCATTGTGTAGGACGGCCAGAAGTCGGCACGGAGTTTCCCAGTTTCGATAGAGGGTTCGATCCCGAAGTCTTCGGGAGTGTCGATACCGTCTTCGTCGAAGGAGTCGAAGCGGGGGAAGTTGTCGTTTCTTATTGACGCCAAGTCCGGCTGGCTCGTGGGGTGGCGGGGGACCGAAATAGTTTCCCTGTAAAAGACATTGTGGCTACCACAACTACAGAAGCCGGTAGAACTATATCAGAAAACAGTGTTGATGTTGAAGAGTTCATGCTCAACTCACACTTCCGTGCTGAAGAACTGCACGGTTGGTTTTTGGCATGCCCGATCAAGTGGAGTCAGCCTGGTTTTGTAGGAATCTCATTCAGGCAGCCAAAGGATCAAAGGCGTACTCCCGATGGCTAGAACATTCCCTGGCAAAGTCCCATACTTGCTGTGACATTGAGAACTACGCGCAATGCGCGCAGTCGAATGATGTGTATTGCTTATGTAAACAAAGCGAATGTTGCCGGTATATGCCTAGGTCACCAGCAATATCGAAAAGATCTACTTGAACTAAGTCAGTAGGCAGCTCGCAGGGAATCTCCCTCCGCTATACACAAGACATTGGTTGCGTCTAAAAGCTGGACGAAACAGCGGGCCAATTCTCAAGGACCGTGTCAGGTAAAATTTGAGATATAGCAAAAAGTAGCAGATATTAGCCGATAGTACAACAGCCATGTGAACCACATGTGTTTTCTCTATTATGCACAGTTGTGCACAACTCACAGGCAAAGAAGGGAAGGGTTACAAGGAGAACCTATTCTGGGTTAAGAAACAAGTTTCATTTTTTCATGGTGTAAAGCTGTTGTAGGGTAGCTCCTGGATACTATGAAAACTAATTTAGACGGTGGAATTCTATCCCTTCCTCTCATCTTCTATCATGATATTCGTTGTGTATTTACAAAAAGAAACAGTTATTTCACACGTGAAAGAGAAGAAGAAGACACGGCTGCGTGAATTTCGTTCTCTGCTCCATCCTCCAAAGGAAGCAAGGGAGATCTGACTGTCGCATGTTCCAAAATACCTCTTGCAACCAGCGCGTGCTTCAAGGCTACGGTGCCCTCCATGTGGGATCCCCTATGGTAAACAGCCTTGGTTACCGGCAGCAACTTGTCGTGGATCGCCCTCGCTTTGGGGTAGTCCTTCGCCTTGCCTGCCTTGATCATCTCAATCAGCGCCTCGGGGGCGATGTTGCCGTACCCCACGAGCATGCCATCGACATCAAAGACGGTGTGCAAAAGGTACTCGTCGTGGCAGGTCAAGATTTGGAGATCAGGCCGCTCCTTGCGGATGACTGGGATCTCGGTGTCCCACCGCCTCATGTTGCGAACACCGTTCTTCATGGCGAACACGCCCGGCTGCGCCGAGATGTCGAGAAGAGTTTGCAGGTTGTATGTCGCCTTGGTGACGTCCGGGTACTGGAAAAGGATGAGAGGCAGCTTGCTGACCTCATAGACTCTCTTGTACCGGTCTTGCGGGGCACCCGGCTGGTAGCCGAATCGGAGCCAGCCGTGCGAAGGATACAGCAGGCCGGCCGCGGCACCGGCTTCCCGGGCGCGCTTAGCTTCAAGAGCGGCGACTTCGGTTCCTTCGCCTGTGATACCGGCGATAATAGGGATACGGTTGTCGACAGATTTAACAAAAGCCTTGATGACGGCGAGTTGCTCTTCTTGCGTTAAGAAGGTGCCCTCGCCAGCGTGGCCCAGAACAACCAAGCCCTTGACGCCGGAAATGCTGCCAAGCCAGGAGCCAAGGCGGTGAATGGCATCGTAATCTACACTGCCGTCCTTGTTGAAGGGGGTGACGGGGGCGGGAGTAAGACCACAGAGGTCAAGACCAACGTTGGAACCCATTGTTGCGTAAGAGAGATGAGTCTGTAATAAGTAGTGGAAGTGTGAGGGTTCTTGTAGAGTTTGATGGTCTACTGTGTGCGTTGAGGTTGTTTTGTTGTCATGGACTCGATATGTGTCCCGCGATGTCCGGTTTTATAATACAAGAACTCCAGAAGTGACCCCTCGTTACAGGGACCTCGCGTCTAACGGAAAGCCGAGTCGCGTCTGCGAGTTCCGGATCGCCTCTTCTTTTCCAGGACTTCCATGAGAGACATTCATCCGCAGTTCGAAGTGGCAACCATTACGCTGTCTCCGCCCCTCCAAGTTGTCTAGAAATGCAATCCCCTTTTCCGGTCCTAATCCGGATGATCAAGTCCGGACTGATTCCGGAACTGCGCTTGTGGAACAGCGAAACCCACCCAGCCTACGCAAATGGTAAGTACTTGACCAATCCGAGATGGGGATTGGCCGGAACTGGGGGACAGTCATGCCATCCCCATGCGTTGCCTGTGTCATAGTTGCTCCACCCCCAAAGCATGATGCGTATACTGTATAGGGAGTTGTACCACACCAACCATCGCAATACCCAACTGATGAGGCCAACCTCGTTCCACTGTTTAATTTACCAGGTATTCTAAGATATTGAAGCACTTCGGAATGTCATGAGGGGTAATTCGTAGGTCACATATTTTCCGGCCGTAATCCGGCAACACGTAGCCCCTGGTCACAGGACCACTTTGTGGCTTTGCGCTAAAGGAACAAACGCTCTACGTCTCTCGGGGCCACTTGTAGGTCTACCCTTGTGCCAAGTGTTACCCCGGATTCCTTCACACTTCTCCCCCCCGCAACTCCAGACTCAGCGGGAAGTTTTGTTGGCGGATCCCATGTCTTCCCCAGAGAACGTGTACACGTTCTTATGTTGAGGAGTCCTTGGTTGCGCTCTTTGACTATAAAGCCGAGCCGCGACGAGTTCTCAACTCTGGATCAACACTGCCTCATTCAGAATACCTCGCTACTGTGGGTGGTCATTCATAATAGAATTCTCGCATATTTGGCCCCAAGTCGTTATTCACCTCAATCCCGAGATGGCCGTTGCGCGAGCCTCTTCCGACCGCTCCGACGTTGAGCATGTCTCCCCTGAGAAGGAGTCCGTCGTTCATGACGAGTTTCAACGCGATGGCGGCATGAGACCTGAAGATGTTGAGTTTCTCGCCAACTTCTCGGAGGAAAGTAAGAAGAAGGCCGTTCGTAAGGTCGATGTATGTATCCTCAAACCCTCGTCCTCTTCGTTGAATTTTCATCATCAGGCCAGTGTCCAAACCAACTAACTCTGTTGTCTCTAGTACCGCCTCATCCCGATGCTGGTGCTTCTTTACCTCATGGCCTACCTTGATAAGACAAACATTGGCAATGCCAAGATCGAAGGGTTGCTCGATACTCTCGGCATGACTGGCGTAGAATACAATGTGGCTGTCTCTGTCTTCTTCATCCCTTTCGTCCTAGCCGAAGTCCCGAGTAACATGGTCCTTCACCTCTTCAAGAGGCCCTCGCTTTACATTGGCGGCATCGTTACGTGCTGGGGCATTGTCATGACGTGCAACGGTGTCGTTCAGAGCTACGGTGGTCTGATCGCAGTGCGAATCTTTCTTGGGCTCTTCGAGTAAGCAACAAGACATGAACAGCTGTGACACTTTGCAGAGAGGTGCTAACTTTATTCAGAGCAGGCTTCCTCCCCGGCGCTATCCTCATCATCTCCAAATGGTATCTTCCTAACGAAACGCAAACTCGTATTGCTTTACTATATACTTCCGCAGCGTCCGGGGGAGGATTTTCGGGACTCTTAGCCTTCGGAATCGCCAAGATGGACGGTGTCGGCGGGCTCGAAGCTTGGAGATGGGTGAGTCCACGCAAATGAACAATCTGATACAAACCTACTGACATATAAAGATCTTTATCCTCGAAGGGTTAGCAACGGTAGCAATTGGGGTCATGTGCCTTTTCTTTCTCGTTGACTCACCTGCTTTATCGAAATGGCTCGACGCCGACGAAAAGCGATACCTCGAACTTCGACAGCAAGTAAGGCGGGTTGTCCGACCGGATGAGTTCCGAGACAGCCACTTCGACAAACACGCCTTTGTCTCTGTCCTGACGGACTGGAAGATCTATCTGTTGATCTTGGCCAACTGGTCGAATGCGGTTCCTAACTATGCCATGAAGTTCACAATGCCTCAAATCATCAAAAACATGGGCTATACCTCAGCAAATGCCCAGCTCCTGACAATTCCGCCGTACGCAGTCGGCGCAATCTCAGCCTACGTCTTCTCCGTGTTTGCCGATCGGTACTCTTGGCGTATGCCTTTCATCGTTGGCCCTCAGCTGTGCTTGGTTGTTGCTTTCAGCATCTTGTTTAGCAAAAGCGCCAACATCAAAGACAACATTGCCCTGTGCTACTTCGCCGTATGCCTCGCCTGCTTCGGGTAAGTTTAGGCTTTGTAGAGAGCATTCGCCAAGAGAGTAACGTAAAGCTAACTTGAAACCTTTAGCATGTATCCAATTCTGCCTGGAGTTAATGCATGGAACGTCGCAAACACTCCCAGCCCTACGAAACGAGCCATCAGCATTGGATTCTTGGTCTGCGTCGGTAATATTGGAGGTCTTATTGGCAGCTACATCTACCTCGACAAGGAGGCGCCAAGATACCCCACTGGTTATGGTACATCTTTTGGATTCGCTTCGGCCGGTATTGTTGCAGCCATCACTCTCGAGGTTCTGCTGCAGAGACTTAACAAGAAGAAAGCACTTATGAGCGAGGAGGAAATAAGGCAGAGGTATACTGATGAAGAACTCGATCGCATGGGAGAGAAGAGTCCACTGTTCAAGTATGCCATCTAAGCAAACGCAATGTCTTCAAGAATTCAGTCACAGAAATAACCCTACTCTGTTTGTTTGTTTACTTCGAACCAAATTCTTCTAACAGGAAGATTTTGTGACTCTGGTATTCGTGTTTCTAGTAAAGAGTGATGTATACCCCAACATTAGTATAGAGTTTGCCCTAGTGATAGACAAAGATTCTCGAGACCACAAAGAGACAGCCTGTGTGTTTCATGCAATCCACCATTCTGCTCTTTTCCTAGCGCTTCAGGTTCACCCATGGGACCGGCAACAATAAATATGGCCGGCTGGCCTAATGGCAAGGCGTCTGAATACGATTCATTGTGTTATCAAGAGATTCTGGGTTCGACCCTCAGGCTGGTCAACTGACTTCATCTTTACCGCTTGTTCTTCAGAATGAATTGACTGGCACGATTAGGCTGTTAACAAGCTGGGTAGGTGACCCGTGTTGGTTCACACAAGCAATTCTTGAGAGCTTTTTGAAGAAAGCTGGGTAATTCTTGGCAAGTGCCATTTTCTCATGATAATGCTGATTAAGTGGAAATTTATAACAAACAAGCACGACAGTAACGTGTTTTTAGAGCCCCAACGACTCGAACAATGCGCCAATTGATTCGAACTGCTTGAATCCCTCAACCTTTGGTCCAATCATAGGCTCCATTCCCTTGTCCGCCTTCTTCAGGGCTTCGCGGTAAGCAGGGCGTTCTGCGACGTCCTTTAGGTATCTCAGGATGTTGTTGTATTGCGACAGGTCCAGGAGCGGATAGAAGCCGCGCATGGTTGTGAGAGAAAAAACGGTCATGATATCCGCCGCGCTCAAGTCCTGCCCAGCGAGCCATTGGGTTTTGGCCAAGCGGTCGTCTACCAACTTCAGAATGCTATGGAGCCTAGCTTCCGCTCGCTTACCTGAACCGCTTTCTAAAACGCCGGCAAACAAAATGGTCATGGAGCGGCTGAGAGCGGGTTGGAGAGTGCCGTTAGCGAAATGAAACCATTCAAGATAGGCAGCATAGTCGGCATCATCGGGGGTTCGTCGCAGTCTAGGTGCACCAGAGCCAATCTTGGAGCCGTGAACCGTTAGAATGTACTCGACGGTGGCGCCAGATTCCGAGATCTCAACTGGCGGTGAAACAGTGCTGTCGCGGAAATAGGGCGCAGTGCCAGCGGGGTTCTGAGGTAATCAATTAGCATGAACCCTGAACTGATCGTCTCTGGCACTCACCAGATCCTTGATCTCCTTTGGCGCGAGAGCAGACTTGGGATCCCGATCAAAGGCGTGCAATTTGTAGGGAACTTGTAACTCCTGATGTATTGTTAGTCGCCGCTGACACAAATTGGCCGAGTTGACTGACCTCCAACAACCACACAATCCTCTCAGATTGCGAGAGACGCAGATGGAAAACCTCGATGGACATGGTTACGGAATGTCGAGAAATAGATCGAGCGAAACTTAGCTAGTTGTGAGGTCGCTGTCAACTAGGAGATAGATAGAAGCAATGCGAGGGGTCGCTCTCTATGTTATAAGTTGAAGCGTTCACCAGGGGGCTCTACTGCTCTAAAATGTGACCGCCTTCAATGTCGCCATGTTGACGTCAGGGGTCCAGAACAACCTTTTTTAGGGCCTAAACTTAAGATGCAGCGGACAGGAGTCTAGCGGGTCGACTTTTTGTATTTGCAATCTCTGTCCTTTTTTTTTTTGGAGAGCCGGTGTAACTCTAGAAGCCGTCGTCCACTTCTGAGAAGCAACGGACAGGAACCGGCTCGGTTCGTCCGGACCAGGGCGGGGGACTGTGGGGCAAATAACCGGATTTAGGAGACCTTGAAAGGCTGGACCGATTGACCGTCCGACCAACCGACCGATTGTTCGATACCATCTCGTGAAGCCTGGTGCCGAGATGCCGCGTGCAGTAAGGCCGGGGAGCTGAGCGGGCAAATTTTCTCCAAAGTAGTTAGTTTGAAAATGACAGGCCTCAGGTGCGGCCTTACCTGCAACACTAGACTCAAATATGCAGCAGTGTTCGGAGCTTGAGACTTGAAGAACCGTTTCGAAAAGGGGTCATTGGTGCCAGCTCGAGCCACAAACCTGGAGTTTGCGCTGTGCTTGTCGTGGGTGGTCTGTTCTGTAGCCTACTGCATAAAATATACAGCCTGTACAAGCACATGTTACTTCGGGGTTCTAGACCTTGTCTATTTCTGTCGGGCTAGACAAATGGATGTACACCAATTTTAGGGCTTTTTTTTAGCTACAATGTTATGCTAAACAGCTCAACATGTGTCTTACACATGAGCCAATTCCCCGAGTCTGTCCCATATAGGATTCCATTCCCAGTAAGGCCATGTGAATTGAGAGGCAACACCTGTACGCAACCCAAGACAAAGAAGACAATGAGCTCGGACTAGCTGGAGGGGGCGAGAGTTTAAGCCACACGAACACGGTGGTCTGCCTGTCCTTGCCCCGCATTCGAGCAGCGCTTTGTGCGGAGTAGGGTGGACTGGGGGCTGTGTTGTTTACTCTTCTCTACCGTTTGTGAGAGTCCCTTAATAATCAACGCGCCCTGGTCCCTTTTGCTTTTCCGAACAGTTTTCTCCCTGATCCAAGGCTGCGTATCACAATACGCGCGCAACGCACGTCCACATATTTGGCCCTTCCGGTGTCTACAACACGTTGGTATGACCCACGCACGGAAACGTTACATGTAGACACGGTATCGGAGAAAAAGACATTCGCTTGGCCGCTTCGCTCAGCGTGGGGCCTGAATCGCTGAGTCGCCGTCATTGGTGATTTGCTGATAGGGGACCTCTGCGGTAGCCCCGGAGAAACGGACTTGATTCAGTGGAGCGGTCAGCAAACTCGTCGGAGGATCGGATGTTTGTTCCTCTGGTAGGATGGCCGACGCACCCACAGCGACCGCCGATGCTGGTCTCCGAGATGATGGGCATGCGGCACCCACCCCTTCATCAAACATCTCCCAGCCGTCGCCATCGAGTCTCCCGTCTACCACCTCGGAGAGGAGGAAACGCAGTCTGCCTGAAGGCTCCCTCGATGAAGGCCGGTCATCTTCTGCCAATCGACGACGGAGTCATAAAGTCAGCCGTGCGTGCGACTATTGCAAGACCAAAAAATTGAAATGCTCCGGCACCCTCCCCTGTGACGTATGCACGAGGAAAATACTTTCATGTATATATGATGCTAGCTACCGCCGAGGTAGACCGCCGACCCCTCCTCCGGCAACCGGGTCTAGTCACGAAACGGCCGGAGCCACACTGGCACCCTTACTCTCTCCTATCGAGTCGCAAAGGTTTTTCCGTCCCAACGCGAGGGTAATTACACATGACAAGTGGACTGACCAGGCACAGAAGACCGCTTCCTACCAAGGCATCCCTCCAGCTGCAGCCTCCTGGGGTTACGTTCCCTGGCCTGACCATGGGACATGCTCCCCGTCCTACAGTTCCTGAGCCTACAGCCATTACCTCGGATGCAGGAGGAAATGGCAGCCTCCCACCGACGTCAAGAGCATCCCCAGAAGTCGAGATCGCCGAGATCGAGGGGCAGTATGTTGACAACACGTCGAGCCTGACCTTTCTTCACCGGGCCTGGAAACGACTTTCGTCGCAGAGGTCCAACAGCAGTGGTGTTCCAGGACACATACCCAGCGGTGCCGAGCAGCATCAAAAGCTTACGAGGGCAGGTGACAAGCCGTTTGAATTCGACCCCCTCGACGCCTCCACTCTGCCTGATCGATCTACGGGCCTGTCAATGTTGCGGTTTTACTTCGACGTCTGCGTAGTCACTTACCGCTGCTTGCATCAGGGCTACGTCACTGAGTGGTTCGAGGCACTACTTGCAAATGCTGATGGTAATCAGCCTTTGCATCGCGACATAGGATATGCCAAAGCCGCAATCGTCATGACGATCCTCGCTATTGTCACACTGCGGCAAAGCAAAGTCCGAGGCGTTGGCGCGGAGCAGAGCTCTGATCTTCGGCGCAGCGACGCCTACTTCTGCCAGGCTCTAAGTCTGACAGACATGGAGGTCGGCTTACCGAAACTAGAGTCTGCGCAGTCTCGCCTTTTGCAAGTTCTCTACCTTCTTCAGACGACTCGCATGAACCAGGCATGGTATATCTTTGGAAGTATTCTCCCCATCGTCTCGGCACTGGGTCTGCATCGGAAATCCGGCCGCAATAGGGGCAGCAGCGACAAAGACTACATCATCTCGCAGTGCAAAAAGAGGACTTTTTGGGTGGCCTACACCATTGACAAATATCTGGCTGTCGTTTTTGGCCGTCCCAGGATGTACCACGACGACAATATTGACCAAGATTTCCCAGATTGCGTCAATGACGAGGAAATGACCCCTCAGGGGAAGTCGAGGGACGAGCCCGAAATGGACTGCCATGTTGATAGCCTAATCTTCCACGCAAAACTCGCTCAGCTCATCGATGGAATCTCCCGAGAAGTATATTCGATCAAACACATACCCAAGCATGATCGCCTTATGGCAGCCCATCGGTATGGCCAGGCTCTCCACCAGTGGCGCGAGTCGCTGCCGCACCACCTAGGCACAGTTCGACCAATGTCGTTGATCCCTTCATTCAGACGGCAAAACACGGCTCTCAAGCTGGCGTATTGCCACGCCATTATGCACGCTAATCGTCCTTTCCTCCTTGGTACTGGGGCTTCCAAGAGCGACCAGCGGTCTGCTCTAGAAGACAGTGTAGGCGAGTGCATCAATGCCGCCAAGATCGCGCTCGAGACGGTTGACGGGATGGCCAGTGACGGTACTTTATTCCATGCATTCTGGTGGACGCCATACGTAACATTCTGTGCGCTAGCAGTCGTATACGTATGGGAAATTCAAAGAGGAAGAAAAGACGGCGAGAAAGGGCTTTTTGAACTCGCCGACCGCTGTCAGAACCACTTGACAGAAGCGACCGCTGCCGAGAGCCCCGGCCGCAGATACAGCGTCATTCTCGAGGAACTCCGACAGGAGGCCAAGTACCATTCTGTCGGGCCCTCGGGACGCGACCAGAGACCTGCGAGCGACCAAGCTGACCACGGCGGATGTGCCGAGCCAATGCAGCTGGACGACAACTCGAGAGCGCCAGCACTGCCCGCCGACATGGGCGAGGTCTTCCAACAGCAAAGCTTTGAAGGGATGACGAATCTTTTGAGTGGCTGGGAGACCACGGACTGGCTGGATCTCGACTCTTCGGTACATCAATTTCTTCAAAAGATCTGAAGACCGACCGCTGATCAATATTCAGGCCTTTGCAACATTTCCCAACTTTGACGGGTCTCCAGTCTATTGGATGCCGGATGTTTAGTGAGCCCTGGCAGTTGTCGCCACCGACTTGGTACAGAAATCCGCGTTAGGGCGAACTAGGCCTTGTCTTTTGACGATAACAGCTGTGAGATGGATGAAAGAATCGTTAAGGCGTGAGTTGGAGGAGGAAACGAATGGCAGCTCAGTCGGTCTTACGGCAAGACGAAGTCCCGGATGGCCGGGTAGCCAAAACTGGCTGAGAAACAATTACTCCACCTTCATCCATATTGGCATCGAATGCCTTTATGCGACTAGGGTCAGGCAATCATCAAGTGGTAGCTCCTTCTTCCATGCTTGTCTGATGTTCCACACAATCTCGTCGCCTTGCAATGCTCCGATCCGGGATCCTCCACAAACACGGCCCCAGATCTGCCAAGCGCGGGAACATCTCCCGTTCGCGGCATCGTCTGCGGATTTATTCAAGCAGATTATCCAGCACGCATTGATAATGCGACCTCCTCATCAACTCACACAATGGCACGCATGACGCGGGGTGCATCCCGCGTCGGCAGGCATAAGACAAGTTACACAGTGGCTCTCGGCAAATAGACTTTATCATGCCGGGTCCCCCCTCTCGGAGGCTGCCGCAAGTGCCGAGGAAAGGCTTTTTCAAGAGTATAGATGAACACTTTACATTCCAGTTGGATTAATTGGGCACGGCCCCTGGCTTAGCCAACCGGCTAAATTAATGACAACGGAGTTGTATGGCACCCGCCCCTTTCAACACGACCCTAGATGTGGGGCAAATGAGATGACGGGGTTTTACACAGAGAGCCCGAGGGACCTCTTTACGTCGTGTAGGCGCGGTTAGAGGGAAGATACAAAAAGCTCCTTGGGACCTCTATTCGCAGCTTTGTTTCTCTCGTTCCATCTTCAATTATAACTAATTACGCAACATCTGTTGTCAACTCTGACAAGTGGAATTGGGACCAACGACTCAATCCCCGGCAGCCCTGCAGAACTTGACATTACCGCAGCCATGAAGTTCAGCACGATCCTCTCCGCCATTGGGCTAGTCGCCTCCGCCAGTGCCGCCTCGCTGCAGCAGGTCACCAACTTCGGCTCCAACCCCAGCGGCGTCAAAATGTACATCTACGTCCCCGACAAGCTGGCGGCCAACCCTCCTGTCATCGTAGCAATTCACTACTGCACCGGCACTGCTCAGGCCTACTACAACAACAGTCCTTACAAGGGCCTCGCCGACCAGAAAGGCTTCATCGTCATCTACCCCGAGTCGCCCTACTCCGGAACCTGCTGGGACGTTTCGTCCAAGGCGACTCTCACCCACGACGGAGGAGCCAACAGCAACTCTATCGCCAACATGGTCAAATACACCCTAGACAAGTACAAGGGCGACAAGTCCAAGGTCTTTGTGACGGGTTCTTCATCCGGAGCCATGATGACTGTAAGTCGGCCTCTGTCGCTTCCTGACTACCTTGATCACTTACAACCATAGAACGTCTTGGCTGCGACGTACCCCGACGTCTTCGCCGCCGGAATCGTTTACAACGGTGTCCCGGCCGGATGCTTCTACACGAACTCCGTCAACGGCTGGAACAGCACCTGCGCACAGGGCCAGTCCAAGGCCACGCCGCAGCGCTGGGCTCAATGGGTCTACGACGCCTACCCCGGCTACAACGGGTCCCGCCCCCGCATGCAGATTTACCACGGCAGCATCGATACCACGCTCAACTACGCAAACTACCAGGAGACGATCAAGCAGTGGTCTGGCGTCTTTGGCTACAACCCGGACAAGCCCATCACGTCCTCGCAGAACACGCCCCAGGCCAACTACCGCACTGATGTGTTTGGTGACCACCTTACAGGTGTCTGGGCGGTCGGTGTTGGGCATACTGTCCCGATCCGGGGCGCTGATGACATGAAGTTTTTCGGTCTGTAAGACGGCGCGGATATTTTGATGAGACTTTCTTGGACATGTTGATCTTGGACATATTGAGTGCAGCTCATGCCAGAACTATGACAGTATATAAATCTTCCTACCTTGTAACAGGCTGCTATATGTAGTAAACACGGGCCTGTTATGCATATGACTAGGTTGCTTCTCGGAGCACGTCTCCGGATGCACGGGCACTGAACTGCGCTCTTTCCGCTGCCAAGCAAGCTACTCTCCCAGGTGATGTCGTGAACACGGGTGGGCGAACTGGGCCTGTGTCATCTGGTCAATGAGAAGGTAAGCATGGCGAAAGCACAATCATTAGTTATGCAGAAACGCCAAGAGCAAGCGGAGGCGTCTCCTCATCCCAGATCATGAAAAGCCGAACTCTAGTAGCGCCATGTCAAACAAGCCCATCGTCGACAGCGAGAAACTGTCCTGGAGCTTGCAAAAAATGGGGATGTGGGCTGAGTACAGCCACATCGACCACCATGGCATCGCAATCAAGGCTGGAGGTCTTATTGTGTATTGAGTTACATTCGAGATAGGTAGTACCCCACCCCGGCTATATACGTGGCGTACACAGTAGGGGGAAAGTTAATTTTCACTACGTTTGTTTATACGGCACAAAAGCCAAACGTCCAAGTTATATACCAAGAATGAGCCCGAGCACCTAAGTAAGAATGGCACCCAAAAGCTTGATCAGTCACCTCCTCGCCCGGGCTCACTGCAAAGCCTGCACAACAGCGGTGTATGCCGCCTTGGGGTTGTAGTTTGCGTCAAAGAGGAGCGGGTTGTTCTGCGAGCGCCAGCTGTCCGTGTCGCGCACGCCCCAGACCGTGATGCCGACGCACTGGGACACCTGCAGGCAGGCGCGGGTGACGGCCGAGTAGTCGTTGGCGCTGGCGCCGACGATGTCGAGCTCCGTGATGGCGACCTCCTTCACACCGCTGCCGGCGAGGGTCTGCAGGGCGCCCAGGGCGTTGCCGCCCTGGTTCGCCTGGAGATGGGCCTGGGAGCCTGTTTTGTTTGTCCTCTTAGCCCTGTCCTGTCCAACGAAAGCGGCAGGGGGATGCGTGGCTTACCAATACCGTCAATGGGGATTCCCTGGCCAATCCACTCCTTGACCTTGCGGGCCATGGCCTGCGTCTTTGCGTAGCTGGCCTGGTCGAGGTTGTAGTCGTTGATGTACAGCTTGGCACTGGGGTCGGCGGCCCTGGCGGCGCGGAAAGCGATGCCGACAAAGTCCTCGCCAAGGACCTGCGAGAAGACGGAAGAGCGGAGGGAGCCGTCCTCGTTGAAGATCTCGTTCACTACGTCCTGATTGCGGCACACGTCAACAGCCTCTCCTGGCGGCGAGTGCTGTTAGGAGATGGGAAGCGAACTCACCCAGTGGTAGATCTTGCCCCTGTACCGACCGACAACAGCGTTGATGTGGTCCTCAATGACCTTGGTCAGACCAGCCCGGTCACGGACGTTGTTCACCCAGCCGGCGAGCTGCGAGTGCCAGACCAGGGTGTGGCCGCGGACTTTCTTGCCGTTCTGCTGGGCAAAGTTGACGAGGTAGTCCGGAGTGACCCAGTTGAATTGCCCGCGGTTAGGCTCGATCTGGTCCCACTTCATCGAGTTCTCGGGCGTGACCTGGCCAAAGTTGGCCTTGATGATGTCGGCGTTCTTGCCGGTCGTCAGGAGGCGCTGGTCGGTGGCGGTGCCGAAATATTGCTTGCCCTTGGCCCTGATGAGGGCGTCGACGCTCTGCGCGGCCTGTCGCTCTTCGAGGGGGGCCGCGAGGACGGTGATGGGTGCCAAAAGGCAGACAAAGCTCATGGAGAACTTCATGGCGAACACTGGAGCGGTGGATGGTCAAGCGTGAAAAGAATGAATGGCTTTGGTCGCTATAGAAGAAGCCTCAACAAACGAGGGTGCAAATCTCGCCGTCTTTATATGGTTAGGCATCGCCTCACAGGTGGGACAGAAGTTCTTCGAGGTAAGGCGCAAACACAGCTTCAAGTGACGAGATCATCTCAGTTTGGTTCATCTCAACACTATGATTTTTCCGGCCATCTAACCACAGTCCAGAGCCAAGCACGAGGGGTTCGCACCCGCAAGAACAAGGATCACCGCCCATTGTGGAAGGTCAACTTCTGTGGTGACAGGCCGTAATGGCACGGAAACATATCGTTGATCGACCCAGGGGTCCGTCCAGGTGCCATTCATTTGGCAAAAAACGGGAATTCCCCAAGTTTGCGGGGAAGAAGGAGGGTCGGTTGGCGGCTGAATGAGTTTGTAGTCTGGGTCACATTCGGCAGCGAGATTAGCCAGGAGAATTTCTCCGAGCATGCGCTGGTCGATGGCAACCGGGTGGATTTCAGATAGATTGCAAGCTACCAGGTAGAGCGGCTTATAACAAGACCATTGGGTAGCATCCGAATCTTGCGAGGTCCGAGGTATACGAGCCTGTGATGTCCCGAGAGGTAACCAGTGTTTATGACAACGTCAGTGGGCGCTGATTGGCGCCCTTGGATGCCAAGCCATAGCCCTGATTGCTTGTTTGAGGCTACCTATTCATCCAGACTTTTGACGAGCAAAAACTTGGCGCATGTCCTTGCGAAAGTATCCTAGATTAACGTTGGTCATCTCGCGCTCTACACACTGGTCTGGCAAGTGCCGTGTCAGATGATCACATCTTTGCTTGGCTGAATCTGTGCCTGAATTCCAGTAAACGCGTTCCAATCGAGCGAGACGTGATTATGCTGCCAAGCAATGATCGATTCCTGATCGGGTACCGGGCACCGGCATCTAGCAGTCATTCTTGCGCCAATACGTGTGGTCCATTGGCAGTATTCCGCTTGACCGAGAAACAGAGTGTTTGGAGCATGCGTGCGAGTGTAGCCTAACTCTCTGGGCCATGGTCGTGTCGTATATCTGTTCCGGGCGTGTTTAACAGACCGTAATGTGGATTTCGACCATCATCGTCCTGGTTGGATTCGGGCCCTGGGAACTCAAGACACTGCGCTGGTGATGAGGTCTCGGACAAGATTCTTGACCGGTTCGTATACTTGGTCATCGTCGCCTGGCGGTGCAAACACCTTGACTCGACCCTCCGAGAGCACGAATCCACCACAAGCAATCTTGGTAATTCTTACCCCAGGATGGAAGAGGTTGAGAGCAAGGTGCTTGTCCAGATAGGCACTCAGGGCGCGCAGAAACGGTTCTTGCTTCCCCTTGTCGCCGTTGTCGATCCATGCCCATCCTTCGTCAGCCTTGCCGCCAGCCAGCCGCTTCCTCATTCTCTGATCGTCCTCGTAGCCTTGACTTAGTGCTTTCTGCTTCGCAGCTGCTGCGGGCTTCGCGCCCGAATTTGCGAGTAGCTTGCCTTCTTTTGTGAACCGTCGTAATTCCTCGGCCGGAATGATGACATCCACGGACTTGATCCCAAGCCCTTCCAAAGGTTGATCGTCGTTACCGTCGGTGTTGTCGGGAGATGGCACGTAAAAGCCCAAAGTCATGACCATATCTTTAGCCAAGGGGCCTCGTGAGGGAAGCCCGGCATCTTCAATCCACCTCTCCCATGCAGCCGTGAGACTCCTCGTGCCCAAGCGCATAGAACTGATGCGACAATCGAACGTGCTTGAGAGAAAGTCGACAATGACGGTCTTGAGCGGCGCTGGCATGCGCAAGAGCAGCAGCGGTAGGTGCAGGAACTGTTTGTCCTCTTCCGAACTGCCGCCAGCAAGCAACCCGGGTATCTCGAGCCTGTTGGCTGGCTGGAGTCCGTCATGCTGCGCATCCCGTGCCTTGTCGGAGAATGCCGGCAGCAGCACAGCCGTACACAGCACGTTCTCGTATTTGATCTCAAAAACCAGGCCCCTCTTCTTGCGCCCCATCTCGCTGCCAACCGTACCTCTGCTCAGGTCTTGACTCAAGTCGGCATCTGCGTCGTCTGCGCCACCGAGTAACGCATCAAACCCGACCCAGCGAATGCCGACCTTCTCCAAGGGCCCGGCGCGTCCAAGCGAGCTATCGCTGCCTTCCAAGCCCACCTGCACGCCTCTCACGACGTCTCCCACGAGAGTGTCGCGTAGGCGTTGCGAAAGCGTCTGTAAGCGGGGAAAAGTGAGGGCGTTGGCGCCGATGTAGAGGGGTGATGCGCGATGGGTAGAGAATGTGGTGTTGAAGAAGGGCGGCGGCGGCTCAAAGTCCTCGAAGGAAGAAGGGGACGGTCTCTCGGACGGCGGTTCGGGTTCGGCCTCTGCGGCGCGTTTGCGACCGCGTGGAGGCATCGCGGCGTCTTGTGAGAGAAGTCGATTTGTCAGTTATGACTGTAGTTGTACCGTGAGCCTCGCAGCGCAGCAGCGCAGTACTCGAGGCGAGAGATTTGACGCGTGCAAGTTCGGTAATCGGTGGCCAGAAAAGGCTAACGAGGGTCGTCCCGGATTGGCCGTTGAGAAATACGCGTCAAACAAAGTCCTTCAGGTGCGATTTGCGGGTGCGCGGCGTGAAACAGTGCAGGTAGTTGATCAGAATCGTCTCGATGGTGAGGATGTGAATGAAGATGGGAGTGCGCAAGTTGCAGTTGGAGTGGCACCAGCTGGCACATGCTCTGCTCAGTTGACAGAGAGATGGCCTAGGGGCAGCCGTGCATGGCCGAGAAGGCACCAGCAATATGCGCACCACTAGACACATAGATGTGTTTTAAATTCCTAGAGATCCCTGACTGGTAACACTATGAAAAAATGCGTTATGCTCACAAACCGGCAAAGTTTCGTGCTTTCCATCCAGTTCAATCGCCAGAGGGCCGAGGCCTTGAGCCGAATCGGCACCCGGCGCAACGACCCACCCATCGGAGCCGGTTCCGCGGTGCGGTGATTTAAATGCCACTCGGACCGAGTGCGCCGGCAACTATTCAAATGGAGCATATATCGCCAGGGGCTGAACATGGTTCAAAACCACCCGACATCCATGTTTTGCTCTGCTATCCAGCCGCTGTCAGTCAAGCTCCGATTTCGGACTCAGTGCTGAATTCGCATTGTGCATTTCCGCGGCGGAGGGATGTGCGAGTCTCGGTGGGATACGATGATGCGTCGCAGCGTTTGCGTCAGGTTTTTTTTTTTTTCATCTACTGATCCCAGGCCCAGTAATATGTCCAGGCATACCATATTGCGCCGGGACTTTTATTTTGTACAATCCCTTTTTCAAGTCGTGAGATGCTGCCAATGCAGAATTCTAGATAGCCCCAATGAAAATGAACCAGACGCCAAATACCGTTCAAAACACCCATATCCGTTTGTAGATACCCTATGTGCACATGTACTCTGTAGATGCTTTGTATTTACACACCGACACAGAACCCGAAGGACCCATCGAAGACGTCATTGACGTTGAAGCCGGGGTTCTTTCTCATGGCCAGGAGATCGTCGATGGTGGGCACCTGGTTGCCCGCATAGAACTTGAGAAGGTTCTCCATGTCCTCGTCGGTGAGGTCGCAAAACTCGTTCCAGTCGTATTTGTTACTGACCTTGATCATCCTGCCAATAGTAAGTATGTGTCATGACCAATTTCCAACGAGGAGTAACGCACCATCCCATCCGCTTGGGGCTCTCCTCCGGGTTCGGAGCAATCTTGCGCAACTTCGCCCTCAGGGTGCCAATGGCCTCGATGGCGTTGCCGGCGTTCTTGGGGAGCGACTTGGCAATCTGCCGCCGAATAATGGCAGCCAACCTGGGTCCCTTGCCGTTGGTGCTGACCATGATCTGCAGCGGACCGTCGCGGTGGACGCTGCCGAAGTAGAAGTCGCATTCCGGGGGCACATCGGCAATGTTGGCGGGTATTCTCCGTTCCTTGCACAGTTTCCAGATTGTTGTAGAGGCGGCGGGGTCGTCAATAGCCACGAGGACCATGTCTGCGCCGTCGAGGTCGGACGGTTCGAAGAGGCGATCGACGTGGGTGACTTGCGCCCGCTCGATTCGGTGTGCTACCTCGGGGTTAAGGCCAGAAGCCGGGCATACAACGGTGACTTTGGCATCGGCATCGAGACAATTGAGGATGCGGCCGGCCGCGACCTGGGGAGATGGTGACAGTCAGCAGCCGAAAATGAGTCTTGTGCGCATATAGCGTGCATCGCCGAGTTGGAGTCGTCCAAGCAGAGCAAGCAACGTACCTCGCCGCCTCCGACGACCAGGACCTTTTTGTCCTTGATCCGCCAGGCCAAGATGAGACTGCCACCGCCCTGGACCTCCGGGAACTTCTTTGTCTTGGACTTTTCGGCCATGATGTGGTGGTACGATGAGCTCGTCGAATATGCGCTCTCGAGGTTGATGACGGAGTCAATCCAAGTGTCGGGCAGCTTTTTTGGCGGAGATGCAGCAGCTAGAGTAGCAATGAGCCAGCAAACCGGCCCGGGCGATAAGAGTCGAAAGGCGGCCGATAAGGCTGGGCCCCCACAAGAGGAGGGGCGCACTGGCGATGTCATGGCGGTCTGCACGATAAAGAAGTACTTCTTCCAGACACGGTTTCTCTGCGAAGGAGCAAGTCTTCCCTTATCTGGCGGCGCGGAAGCTGCCCCGCCTCTCCCCCGTCCGTCCGTGGGTCTTCTTTGCCCAGCTCTCTCTTGGCGGGCCCTTTAGCGCATGTCCTAGCGTCCCATGCTGCAACTCCGCCGAAAGCGTTGCTGTCCCCAACCCCTGTTCCTGCGGTGTGCCTCTACTGCAGTCCGCCAATCCGCCCACCGCCTGTGCCGTCGTTGCTCCCAAGTCCTCGGCAGGGAATGGGCCTGACAGGCTGCGCGCGGGAACCTGTAACTGGAACCCGAACTGGAACCAACTCAACCCAACCCGGCGGCCTTCCAACGGGAAGGACGAACCACCACAAATCACCGCACCTGTGGCACCTGCGTCTGCCATCTTGGAACTGCACATCGCGTGCAACTCGGACCCTTCCTCTCCGCCCTTCCACGACATCCTCCCCGGTTTAAACCCTCACCTGACCTCGACCTGTCCTCACCGCCGCCCATCGACAGCCGCTCATCGTTGCCCTCCTTAATGGTCTCGTAGCTCTCGCCTCTCTTTCACGATGTCCGGCCGCAAGCTGGGAGGCGGCCGCATCTTGGGCAGCGGCAAGGGCCTCGCCCCTCCAACGCCTCCCGCAGTCCAGGGCCATCGACGCACCCCGAGCCCCTTTGCTCCCTCCGAAAGCACCCTGTCTCTCAACTCGTCCTCGGCTTCTCCCCCAGTCTCGAGCCCCCTGCCCGACTTTGCCCAGGATCTTACGTCAAACATCAGCGTCGGCGGGCCCTCGAGGACGGCCACCGCGAGCTCGAAGCTGGTCTGCCCAATATGCGAAGAGGAGATGGTCAGTTTGCACCTCTCGTTGATCGTGCCATTTGCTGACAGACAATCCTAGTTGACACTGCTCCAACTAAACAGGTGAACATCGCCAAGCATCCTTGCGACGCTGAACTCTAGTCTCTGACCCCTCTCAGACACATCGATGACAACCACCAAGAATTGCCCGAGGTCGAACAGGATGAGGTCCGCACGTGGTTCGACAAGCAGGTCCTCAAGGCCAAACGATTCCAACCACTATCCATCATCAACCAGAAACTCCGAGGCCTCGATGTCTTCGAATCGAACGAGTCGATGCCGGTTGCCGCGCCCGTAGCAGCGAAGCTCGTCGAAGGCCCGATAGATCCGGATGAGCTCATCACCAGGGCGCATTGGCAGCGCCAAACGAGCAACGACCGATGCACCGATCCGACATGCGCCAAAGGACTCGGGGCCGTCAACGGAAGTATAAACTGCCGGAACTGCGGGAGGCTGTTCTGCGAGGAGCACACCATGTATCAGATGAGGCTGTCGAGGGCCGCACAGCATGATCCTGTGCGGGGATATTGGGTCAGGGTGTGCGAGACGTGCTACAAGTCGAGAGATGGCTACAACGACCACAACGGCGTCCTGATTGACCACACGTCGGCCTTTGCGGAAATGCGACGGAAGAGGGTGGAGAGGCAGAACCTCGAAGTGGCTAGGCTGGAAAAGCGTTTGACCAAGCTGACGCAGCTGCTTGCGAATGCGCCCGAGGAGGTCACAACCAACGGCGGAAATCTGCTCTCGCCCGTCGCGACCCTAACAGGCCAAAAGAACCAGCGGAAGCTATTGGAGCAATCGGTGGTGACGTGGGAAGACGACGCTTCCGTCACGCAATGCCCCTTCTGCCAGCAAGAGTTCGGGTCTTGGACGTTTAGAAGACACCACTGCCGGATATGCGGCCGCGTGGTTTGCGCCGATCCACTTACAGGCTGCTCGAGTGAAGTGGGCTTGAGCATAGCCAGTCGTGAGTCTCATCCTTCGGGCTCTTCACGAGCACCGCGCCTAACAGTCTCAGCTACGAGCCTGGCAACGGAGAAGCCCCCGACGACAGCGCAGCCTGGCCAGCTAAGCGTCGATGTGCGCATGTGCCGGGATTGCAACCACACGATATTCTCGAAACGCGACTTTGCAGCGACCCTGGTCCACAAACCGCCAGACCAGCGCGCATACGAGACGTTGCGTCAGTTTGAACGCGGTATTCGCCAGCTTATGCCCATTTTCCAGCGGACCTTGCTTGCGCTGCAGCCAGAGGGAGAGGACGGGTCGGATGTTTCGAGGCCGCCACCGACCCACGCCCAGATCCAAGAGGCGTCCAAGATTCGCAAACGTCTCACCGATGCATTCACAAAGTACGACACGGCCGCGCGCCGCCTCCGCGATATGAAGACAACGTCGAAAACCCAGCTGCGTCTACAACAGGCCGTCTACGCCGCCGCCTCCTCGTTCCTACACACTCACATGTTGACGCTCAAATCGGTCCCGCAAATCCTTCGATCTCGGTCGTCACAAACATCGCGTCTCCGCGCTCTCCAGTCGGGTAGCGTCAACGGGTCGTCGTCGTCACTGCACCTGTCGCCCCTTCGCAACCAGGAACTCGCCGAGTCGGAAACGGCCAGCCAGGCCAGCGAGACCAGCACCGCCGTGTCGGCGCTCGAGACGGAGGAGAAGGAGGCCCGCGAGCGCCTGGTGGTCCTCGAGGAGCAGCGCTTCATGGTGCAGCAGATGGTGGACAACGCGCGGGATGCCCGGCGGTTCGAGGAGGTCAGCGCGCTGACCCGCAACGTCGAGGAGCTCGACCGAGAGATCGAGAAGGCCAAGAAGATGGTTGGCGGCGTCGAGGAACGGTGGGAGGGTCTGTACGCGTCCGGCCTGGCGCGGTGAGGGGGCGGAAGGAAAAGGAAAGACAGCGATCTTATTCCACAAAAAAAAATCTCAGAGCAACAGCATTGCAAGGCGTTCCGGAGGGGGTTGGGGAGTTACACCAAGAGGGCACGTGGGATTGCTTTTCCTCACAGCGGCACAGGCAAAGCATTCATAGGCACGCGCATGTCTTTTTTTATTTATTTAGTTTTTGGACACGCCAGCAAGTCTGAACTCGGGAGGAAAAAAACCCTCTCCAATCTATTTTCCAATTCTTTTTTGTATTGATTCATTGGGAGCCAAGTTATAAAAGCCTTTGTTGAAGCGGTACTACTCATGAGATATCCTACCTAAACCCGCGCGCGCGCATCCCGAATGCTCATGGCAATCAAAAAAAGTGGGAGCCGATCCAAACGCCCCCAAACTGCGCAGATGATACAGCAAAAAAACTGACAATGCCTCTCCTCTTTTCTTTCACAAAGATGTATAATACTGGTCAAGGGGCCCGGTCGTCACGAGCGGCTCTTCGACATGGGGGGGTATGACAACACCGTAAACAAAACAAAAAACGCATTTCCCAACCGACCGAAAGTTCCTCTCGCTGCACGCCGCCCAAGGGCCGTCAACCATCCTCAATGCACCACGCCCTCGACGCCGCCGAGGAACCGTCTGACGCGCTCCACCTCCAGCTCGCCCTTTTCGCTCTCCACCGCCCGTAGCAGCCCGTCGACCACGGCGTCGACCTGGTCCTCGGGCTCCCCCGTGCACATTGCCACCACGCGCCGGTACTTGACCTCGAGGTCCTTGCTCCGCCCTTTGAGCGCGCCCGCCATCTTGCGGGTGACGTCTCTCCTCGCAGACACGGCGTTAAGCCGCGCCTTGAGGACCGCCGCCGAGGGCAGCAGGCCGCCCTCGCCGTTGGTGCCCGCCGTCTCGAGCGCAGCGCTGAGCTCCGTCTCCCACGATGAAGAGAGGGAGTCGGTCCGGCCGGCGCGGTTTTGCTCCTGCGTGAGGCGCACCTGTTCTTCTTCGCGGGCGTGGCTGAGGTTCGACACCTTTTGCCGCGCCAGCTGCTGTTTCCGCAGCGTCGCCTGCATGGCTTCGAGGTTCCTCCTGGCCTCGCCTAGTTGTGCCGAGGTGGTGCGAAGTGTCGAGTGGAGGGACTCGATGACGGCTTGTTTTGTCTTGACTTCACCCTGGAAGGTGGAGCTTGCTTCGTTAAGAAGATGTGTGATGGCTGGCGGCTGTTAGATGGCTCTGTAGAGAAAAAAGGTTCAGGGGGTAAGACTCACAAGAAATTATGTCGTCGCTGCTCTCCTTCGTCCGCTCGCTGGTGACGGCTCCGTTCTTCTCGACATCGCCGTTCGCCTCGTTGGTACTGGCGTCGTTGCCTCCGTTGAGGATCTTTGAGCCGTCCTCTGTGGCATCACCCCCGATACCAAAGTCCACAGGCCGGAGACCGGCGCGGTTGGCAATGTTGGGATCGGCGCCGACCTCCAACAACTGTGAAATGATGCTTCTGTTACCTATCCGCGCAGCAATGTTCAGAGCCGTATCGCCGGCGTGGTCTTGCGCGTTGACAATCTCCGTCATGAAGCGCGCAATACCCATCTTGGGCTGTGATTGCGGTTGGGACTGCGAGCTGGCTGGCGCGCTGTCCCCCTTTCCGTTGGTAGCCGCCTGGCCGCTGGGGTTGCTGCCTTGCCTCACCACCCATTCCAAAAGACTTTCGAGGTAGTACCGGCTGGCCGCGTTTCTGCCTTTGACAGCACTCGTCATGGCAATGTGATGCAGCACGGTGCGTCCTTTGCTGTCACGAACCTCAATGGTGCCTCCGAGGACATCGAGGAGTTCGGGGAACTGCCCCAGATCCATGGAATTCGTCACTACACACGCCCTGACAAGGGCCGTCTCCCCCGAGGCATTGACACGGAAGGGGCTTGCGCCTGCCGCAATCAAGGCGCGCAACAGCGACATGCGTGATAACGTGGCGGCCCAGTGAAGAGCAGTGTGGCTTTGTTGGTCAATGGGCATATCCAGTTCTATAGGAGCCAACGTCCGTAGCATCTCATGCTTGGACTGGTCTGAAGTGGCCGAATCCATAAAGAGGCTCATCAGCATGCTCCGCTTAGACTCGGCGTCGGGGGACATCTCGAATGGCAGGGGGCTTAGCGGGCTGTAACCGTCGTGCGCAGGAGGATTCGCCTGAGAGTAGATAAAGGACTCGTTGGGTTCCGTAGGCGAGCCGGGGAAGTTGTTTTGGTACATCTCGATCGAGTTGCTGTATCCTCCAAAGCTATCTTGCGGAGTCATGGTCACACGCTGGCGCTTACGTGGGGGCTCGGGGCCGTCAGCAAACTGCTGGCTCGTTTGCTGTGTTGAGTATGCCGAATCGTTCTGGTTTCCATAGTCCGAGGCAAAGCTCTGCTGGGAGTTGCCGGGGAAGTCATCGCCGTTCTGCATGGAGCTTTGTCGGCTGAAGCTGGGGGCCTTGGTCGGACCGTTGCGGCTCCTCGGGCCGGGAGAGTCGAAGCGCGCCTTGCTGATAGCGGCGACGGCGTGCGACGCAGTGGCCGAGATGTTCTTGAAAAAGGTGCCGTTGAGCCCAGCCATGCCATTCGTCCTCGCCTCGTTTCCTGCGTTGTATAGCCGCTTCCTCTGGGCAGCCATGGCCTGTTCCTTGGTCGGCGTGTTGAAATCCCCACGGCCTGCGACTCCGCCATCTTGGCCCATGTCGTACGTCAACAGTGGACGCAGCACCTCCTCAACGCCATACTGGCGGCAGACTTCGACGCCGCGCTCGAACTTGATCCAGGTGCCCTGGTATTTGCCGTAACCTCCTTGGACCTTCTCGTGTTCGCCAGTCTGGATTTCCTTTTCGAGGATCTTGGTGCGCTTTCCCTTATCGACGCCGGCCACCTTGAGGATCTGGGTCGCATTGAGCCAGCTGTCTTGCCGCCTGCGCATAACGGCGACACCGTTGACTTCCATTTCGTAAACGTCGACGCCGGAGTAGACGGCCTAAACACGTGCTGTCAATGCGACTGCCCGAAAGGGGTTTGCTATACGGAAGACAACGCGGTTGCAGGGAGTCGGTCGGAACTTACGCTGTAGATCTGCGGCGCCTCATTGGCGAGCCTGGAGTCCCCTCCATAGGCGCGGTAGCCACCCTGAGATTGCTGGCTCATCGTAAAGGACTGTTGCGAGGAGGGTTGTGATTGCGATGCGGACGGCATCATTGCCGTGGAATCGGGTCTCCCGGGGTTGACGCGTGGTTGCGCAGCGGACAAGGACGATTTGCGGCGGGAATGGAGGGAGCGGGAGGGTTGGCTGGTAGTGACGGCGGTCGAAGACATGTGCCAGCGCTAGAACATTGGAGGCGCAAGGACCGACGGCGGGCGATGCGATGGAGAGACAAGATGCTGAGAGGGGTTGGAAGGGAGGATGTCGTCGAGAGGGGGGAGGTGTCGGCAGGTTATCAATCGACGGCCGTGGGCTGGTTGAGTTGAGCTGGGGTGAGTCGAAATGCGTGCAGCCGCCGTATTTAGTCCCTGTTGTCTTTGACTTGGTCTTTGGTTGGGGCGGCCGTTACGGTGCGTTGCGTTACGCTACCTTTCTTTGGCTGTGGTGCGGCGGTGGTAATTATGGCTGCTTTGTGCAGTGCGGTACGGCGCGGTGCGGTGTCGGTGGTGCAGCAAAGCAAAGGATCCGGGCAAGCAGAAGTTGCGAGTGGAAGGGGGATGCGTAGCCGAAGCTTTGAGGGGAGGGGGCGCGCGCGGCTAATCCTATTAAGTGAAGTCGGCCGGCCTTTGGGTTGTGGTCAGACAACAGGACGTCTATTCGGGTGGAGGGCCGGGAGAGAGAGAGAGACCAAGAAGAATATGAAGGCGAGGCAGGTTCCAGAGTCCAGGCAACGGGTGAATGAATTGGACTTGAGGGTGGATATCGGACAGAGATCAGAGGTCTCGTCGCCTGGGTTGCCGGGGCCGAGATTGAAAAAGGTCCGCAGCGCTGAGCCCGAATGGGAATTTCAATTAAAGGTGTCGGGGGACGTGTCTGTTTCGCGAGGCGCAGCGTCGTGTCTTGACCGTGTCGCGTCTCAATTTACGGGGGACGAGTGACGGAGGGAAAGAAAAGAGGGAGAACACTGGCACACCACACACTGGGCACAGAGCACTGAACACACACGGAGAGAGGCAGGGAGGGGGAATTGGTGCTTTCCCATTTGCTAAGCGAGGCGCACAGGCCACAGTTTCCTCGGGTGAAAAAGTGTCTGGCCTGGAGGGTTGGGTCGGTACGTACCCTTCACCTGGAGCATGCCTTGCCTCGACACGCGTACCTAGTGCAGTACGTTAATGGAAGAGTGAAAGTGGGAAAGAGGGAGGAGCGTGACGCGTCTGGACCGACGTGTGCAGCTTCCCAGCCGACCTTATCAGGCCACTTATCGCGTTGTTTCCTTCCACCCAAGCTTGGGGCACCGGTACTGTGCACATTTCTCTCTCCCTGATGGGAAGCTGTGGCCCGTAGTTTACAAGATGGTCATGGACTATTGCGATTGGAAGAGTGATTCAAGCTCGTCGAGCGGACAATTTCCGCTCACTTGTACTTGCAGCCACTCCAACTCCAACCTGCTTTCCCAAGGGGCTGTTTTCCATGGAGCGTATCATTCCATGCCTCCAAAGCTAATAAGCATAACTTAGCCTCAAGACACTACAAATATTTGACCCATCTGCCAGCTCAGGCATGAGCCAGCCTAGGTTGTGTGAGGCGCCTACGAAGAAGAAGAAGGAGCCCTGCCTGTGAGATGAAGACTAAGAGTGAGTCTCACCGTACTCTTCACTCCTTACTCTTCACTCCTCATGAGTACCTAGCTCATAACTGTACCTGCCCTGACAGCTGGATTGCTCCACCCCTTGAAGCTTTGACCAATTGGCCGCCGTTCCAGGAGAGGCGCTGGAACCAACAGCGCTAGAGCGGGCTTGCAGCTCTCCTGTTGCAGCGGCGAAGTGCTCTACTGCTGCAGCACGTCTCCAAGCTCCAATCTCTGCATTGCCATCTGCATGCATCCTGCTCGACATCGCACATGCGTCCCTGCCCGACCCAGACACGAGAGCCATGACGACGACAAGGCCATTGTCTCCTCTCCCATCGTGACCCTCTGACCGCCTCACCATCCTTTATCTCTAATCCGCCACGATGCCGCATTCTCGAATACCCTTGCCGCATCCCGTGCAGCCGCTGCATGTCTACCGCCATCTCCTCCGAGCCGCATCCTACTACCCGGCCACCATACGACCCTTCCTCGACGAACGCATACGGACCGGTTTCCGAGCGGAGCGAGAGAGGGCGGCCGAAAGTGAGTCGAAGATCCGCCATTCTCCCGACCCTGAAGGGGCCCGCATAGACGAAGACTACCGGCGGAAAAAGCATCTTCTGGATGGGAAGAAGAGGATACCCTTTCTCCATGCCGCAGCCAGCGGAGACCAAAAACGCTTGCGCAAGGTCATGTGGCACGTCTATGGCCGACTGGGCAAACAACGCCGGGAGCTCATGGCCCTGTTGGTCGCAAAAGAACCAGAACCGCCTCTCAGCCCCGAGCAGCTCCAGCAGCGCATGGAACAAATGGAGAGGGACAGGAGGAAGAGGGAGAGGCTCCTCAAAACACATCCCTGGAAACGCAATTGGGACAGAGAAGACCCCACCCCCTGGGCATACCAGCACCTCAGTCCCATCGAAGACAACTGGGACATCCCCAAGTTACGCGCCTACGCCAAGGCTCAGCAAGCTCACCAGCGCAGCACCACCGGCGCCGCCTCCCCGAGGGGCCCTATCCGAAGCCTCGATCCCTACAGCAAGGTGCGCAAGGAGGATATCTGGGGCCGCCCGATGGCGCCGAGGAGAGTGACAAAGGCCGTGCGAAAGTGGTGGAAGTTGACGGCCGACAAGATCATGCCTCCCATCGACAAGGACGGTTGGGACTTTCTGAAGCTGCTTGCGACTGGAGATGCACCTAAGGAGATGTACGAGTTCACGCGGAGGAGGCGCATCGCAGCGCCCGTCGGCCCAGATCGCGACGCTCCGCCGGAATGGGACTGGACGATACACACCCGTCTCCCTGCTCGCGACGTTGAACGGCCACGGAGTCTGCGACTTACACGGTTGACCGGCCAGTGGGATGACGGTCCTTATTCAAAGACCACCGGCAGGAGCCCTGTAGTCCGCAAGCAGCCCTTTCGCACACGACAGATTCGACGGGAATATCAAAGAATGTGGGAGGTGTCCTCGTACATGACAACTCCGGCCGCGAAAGAAGGGTCGAAGCCGGCAGTCGCAAGGCCTGTTTGGGGCGGCAAGAAGACGGAGCTGCCCGTGGCCACCGCTGCACATCAACATCTTTTCCATGGCGTTGACTCGAGAGGGAAAAGATTGAAACCGGCCATTGGCGACGCTCAGAAGCCCATAGAGCCTACCGCCGACGACAAGAAACCGAGGGGACCTGAAGGGGACGGTCAAAAAGTGAAGGAGTAATTAGTTTATTATTCTTGATAGACACTCTCCCATCACCCAAGCAAACCCGCCAGCTTCGGCAGGGCGTCGCCATCGACGCGCATGCCCACCCAGTCGTCCATGGCCTTGGCGCCAATCGACTCGTAGAACTTGATGCTCGGCTCGTTCCACTTTAAAACCACCCACTCCAGCCGGCCGCCGTCCATGGCGACGACCTCCTTGGCCAGCTCGACGAGCAGCCGCTTGCCGTAGCCCTTCTTCCGCTCCGACTGACGCACGTAGAGGTCCTCGAGGTAGACGCCCGGCTTCGCGCGCCAGGTGCTGTAATTGTAAAAGTACAGGGCCATGCCGACGCCCTCGCCGGCCTCGTTGAAGAGAAGCAGGCACCGCGCCGGTCTGCCCGGCGCCGTGGGCTCGGTTTGCGGCTTGCCTGGCGTATAGGTTGTCTGATCCGAGGGGGCGAAGGCGATTGTGTTTCCGAGAGATTCCTCGGTTGCTTGAACGCTGTCGAGCTCACGCTCGTAGTCTGCGAGCTCCTTGATGAGGCTCAAGATGATGGGGATGTCTTCCGGGGTGTTAATCTCGAAGCTTTCAGGCCTAGCTACAGCCCCGCTGGGTTCATGGCAGCGCTCATGGTTTCTTCTTACCTTCACGACGCGCATGGCGAATAGTCGAGCTTGAGGATGCCATTTTGGGAGGGGTTCCAAGACTGTGGAAGATGTTATAGCTGTGACTGATACTCAATATCACTAACAGCGTCTGGACGAAATCGCATTTATACACCAAAGACTTGTCCTAGGATCCGTTCTCAAAGGGCGTGCCTCATGTCATTGAGTGGGGAACTAAGGCACAATTCCCCCTCAACTGTTCTGGCAGAATTCAAGATGGCGTTCACCGCCTTCTGGGTTGTTTCATGATTTATCAGGGTCATGGACGAGAGACCCAGGAGTCAGCCGCAAGATCAGTTCAAGAGTCAGTGATTCTTATAGACTAGCTGAAGGAGCAAGTCGGACCCCAGGGATCTGAACGGGGATTAACGTGGCCAGGTGTCTCTGTTCTCGTAGTGTAGTGGTTCAGGGACTGACACAGCGGGTAACAGGGTCTTATCCCAGCCGTATCCCGGATAAGGTTAACAATTCGCACTGTAATTCCTCTTGGCTTGACTCTCACTGGCTCCTGTAATGTAGAATCTCACTCTGCCAAAAAGCCGGAGTCTTCGGCGGGAGTTGTCCGGCGGAACACACATCACACCTTACGCCGGTTGCCGACACCGGGCCGGGACTGAGCAACGCTCCTTGGTCCATGACATGAACGACTTGAGGGAGATAGGTGTGGGCACGCCATTGAACGAACCCGTCTGAACCCCCCCACACTGTTACGTCGGCCGCATCGGCGGCTTTCCGACCTTCCTGTTGCGCAATTCGACCCTTCGATGCGCAAAGCGTCCAACCCCCGCACCCAGGACAAATCCCATAAAGCTGTGGAGGGGGGAGCTCGGAGCTTGGAGCTAAGCTGGGCGGGAATCTGTTAGAGGTGTGATCCGATCAAGCCTGAAACGAAACTCCCCCAATCCCGCCCGGGCTTCAGATTCTTGACTTAATAATCATCATCGCCATCATTACTCAAGTGTACGGACATAACATATCATCCCCAGTTTGCCTCTCACTATTACGATACTTTTCTCTCAGCATCATCACACGCCCATATTCGCATCAATGATCATGCTCCTCCCGCCGCCGAACAAAACCCTCAAGGGCCACAAGCTGCTCATCCTCTCGCAGTGGGTGCCGCCGCAGGAGTACCTCGACAAGCTGAGCTCCGAGTTCCCGGATCTCAAGGTCGTGCATCACGAGCTGGGCTGGGCCGACAGAAAGCCTGGCGACAGCTTCAACCAGGACGAGTGGAAGGATGTGACAATCCTCTTGACCGGCAGCGCCCTGCCCACGCTCGAGGAAGCGCCTAAGCTGCACTACGTCCAGCTGCAAAGCGCCGGCGCGAACCACATCCTCAAGGACCCGCTGTTCAAGGACACTGACGTGAGCTTTTGCACGGCGAACGGTGTTCACGGGTGAGCTCCCCTTTCTCTCCGAGTCTCATTTGCTTCTTACTAACTGATGAGTGCAGACCTCAGATCTCCGAGTGGATCATTGCGACGTTCCTCTCATTCCAGCACCAGCGTAAGACCTCTCTTGAGAGATGGAAAACTACACGCTGAATCTAACACGCCCCCAGTTCCCAAGTACATCGATTACTACCGCGCAGGCCACTGGCAGCGCGGAAATGACTTTGTCGAAGACGCCGTCGGCCGCACAATGTAAACCCCCGCTCACTCCATCCTATCTAGATCATCCTCATCTGACGCGTTCACAGAGGAATCCTCGGCTACGGTAGCATCGGCAGACAAACCGCCCGCGTAGCCACGGCTCTCGGCTTCAAGGTTCACGCCTACACCCTGCACCCGCGGCCGACCCCTGACTCGAAGCGCGACAACACGTACACGCCGCCCGGCCTCGGCGACCCGGAGGGCAAGTTCCCGGCCAAGTGGTTCTCGGGCGCCTCCAAGGCCGACCTGCACGCGTTCCTCGGCTCTGGCCTGGACCTGCTTGTCGTCGCGACGCCGCTGACGGACAAGACGAGCCACCTGCTCACCGCGACCGAGTTCGAGATCCTCTCCGAGAAGAAGACGTTCATCTCCAACATTGCGCGGGGCCCCATCATCAACACGGACGACCTGATCACCGCGCTGGACAAGGGGACGATCCGCGGCGCCGCGCTCGATGTCACGGACCCGGAGCCGCTGCCGGACGGCCACCCGCTGTGGAAGGCGAAGAACCTGCTGATCACGCCGCACATCAGCGGAATGTCGACGAGTTACCAGGACCGTGTTTTGGGGATTTTGGAGTTGAATTTGCAGAGGCTGAGCGAGGGCAAGAAGCTCACCAACCTGGTGAACAAGAAGGAGGGCTACTAGGCAGGGAGTCATCGGTGTAGATAGGAAGCTGCGCGAGCGACTTTTACTCATTTTACCATTGGAGCTGTACGAAACTTTTTGGATATTGGCTGTATCTCCGTGCAGTGCAAAATGAACACCCTCAACGCCAACGCTATGCGCCAGTCGCGCATCCCTTCACTGACGAGGTTGGCCTATTGCCTGTCCAAGAGAGGAAACTAAATCCTCATTCCACCGCTCAACGTAGCAGTTCAAGCGAAGTATCTGCTAACTAAGAGTCGGAGATGTAGATACCTCCCAGCGCAAACCCAAACGCTATCAAAGCCCATCCGATCTCACAACTCTCTGCGCAGACTGAGTTGACAGTCTTCGTCAACCCTTCGCCCATTCCAAGCCTTTGTTATCTGGGGGAGTTTCAAACAGCGGCGACTCGGGGAGCCAGCCCCTTCTGATCAGGGACCTCATAACCGGAAGTCGAGCGGTCCTCGACAGACTCGGTGGCCACATCCTCGGCATCCAGTGGATCCTGGGACTTGCGTATGCGTTTTTCCCTTTTGGACTAGTCAGCATTCGCCTTTCTAACTCTTGTCAGACACGTACCCATGAGATCCCAGCAGCACTCGCACGATCTGCGTCGTGATGACCAACATCACGACCATGACGGCCGAGTAAACGTAGCCCTTGGGGAACCGCGGGGCCTCCACGGTCGGGTACACGAACAAGGGGATCCACGCGTTTGTCGAGGTCGCGATCGCCGTCATGAGAATGAGCGTCAGAGCCCGCTCTTCAATGTTGTGTTTGAGGATGATGTTGGCCCACCCGTACAGCACCGACGACACCGCCACGGCAGAGTAGGTGGTGCAGAAGGCGTACCACTTGGCGCTCTCCGGCACGTTCCACACGGCCAGGATGACGAGGCCCGAGAAGTTGACCGCCGACGCCAGGGTGATGGCGGCCGGGCGGCCGATCCAGAGGTCGGCGCTGAAGTTGATGAAGAGCACAAAGAAGATGCCGAGCCCGGGGCTGAGCGCGGCCAGGTTGTTCATCTCGGCCGTGCTGTACCTGCCGAGGCTCTTGATCCACAACAGGAACGCGGCGCTGTTGGCGCTCGTGTTGAAGAAGAAGATGTCCCAGACGATGAGCAGGTAGAAGCGCCAGTTGGTGAAGATGCGCTTCAGCAAGCCCAGCGAGAACGGCGTGCTCTTCACCGACGCGCCTGCCTTCTCGAGCCGCGAGCGCGCCAGCTCGAGCTCCGACTCCTTCATCAGCAGCTTGTTCGGCCTTGCGGGCGTGCCGGGCCAGACAAAGTACCCAATCAGCGCGAGCGGGAGCGTGATGACTGCGTTTATGATGAAAAGCCAGCGCCATCCGGCTAGGCCGTGGGTTCCGTCGAGGTAGGTGACTGCGGCAGCCTGCAGGACGGACGCGGTGAGCGTGCCGAGGGTCAGTCCGATGTAGAAAATGCCACCTCGGCGGCCGATCTCGTCGCTCCGGTACCAGGAGCCAAGGACGAAGTGAACACCTGGGAAGTAGGATGCCTGGCTAGAGTCAGCACAGCGAAACCGGCAAGTCAGGTGGCGAACGGACCTCGAAGATGGCAACCATGAACCGGTAGGCCATGATTTCCGCATAGGACTGCGCACGGTACTGGAGAAGCGTGAAGAGGCCCCATCCAAGGTCCAGCGTCGGGACGAGTACATGCATCGGTACTCTTGGGAACAGGTAGATGAAGGGCAGGAGACCGACGACGTTGCCCACGACGAAGATGGTTTGGAATTGCACGAGCTCGTTGCCGTGAAAGCCGAGCTCGTCGGCCATTCCTGATACATATGCATTGTCTACGTACGTCAGCCCTGGGCTCTGAAAACTGTTCTGAGCGAGACATCTGACGTACTGATGTTGATCTGGTCAATATACTTGACCCAGTAGATGATGCTATATGCCCATGCGTGTTAGATCCGAAAACGGTTGTTCAAGAACAGGGTGCGTTTTCACTTACAAAGCGTACGGAACGATGAGCAAGTCGAGTTTCAGTATCAGCTTTCGTTCTTCCGGGCCGTCAGTAGGCGCAAACCAGTGGTACCACCGGCGTACTGGAGTGGTAGACATGATGGGCAAGCTGTGCAGTACCTCTTCTATGAGTATGCCCGACGGTTTCAAGAACTGCTGCAGCTCAATTAGTAGTCTTCGTCTGGAGCCTCACAGGGGCGACGACCAAAGTCGTCAGCGCCGTATCGGAGCACATCACCGGCAGGCGGAGATTCAAATCCTGAGAACCGCCTCTGGTAGCGGTCCAGATCCTAGCCGCGATGCCGGCAATAACATGGTGGTGACGATTTTGCCGACGGCTTATCTTGCTCGTCTTTTGGGGATCTGTTATTGGCCTATCATTGTCACTCGAGGCGTCAATCCGATGTGCAACCAGGGATACTGACGATGATGCCATTTCTCGCATCATTGCGTGAGTGGATATTCGGCAGCCAGCTTTGCTGCAGCCAACTTTAGATCTCCAGCCAATGAATTACCGGACTTTGTTAGTTCCGTTGCTCGGAAACTGCTATTCAGAGCCCATGCAGATATCCTAAAGCCATGAGATTCTCAGCTTGCCGACCACGGAGCGCTGAAAGGACGTCGATTACATTAGCTAGCCCAAGACCATCTACAACATACTCAAGAGCCTTGGAGAGTGAAGTGGACTGTCGCTCTGAAGTTCCTCTTGTAAAGTGTGGTGGGCATATGCTTAGTGTCTTAACCGCGTGTGAACGACTCGGTCATACTGCCAGCAAGACACTCAGCCGCCAATTCAGTCACGCTAGTTGTTTCAAACACTTGTCGAAGCTAGGAACCAGCTACGGTATAACATTCCATTCAATGGATAGAATAGCAGCTTAAGGGAATCTGGTGGGAAGAGGCGTTCTCGCAGGACATCACAGTTTCACTATGGGAAACTTAAGTGGTAATCTGCCAAACCACCTAACTACTGCTAGTCCCGCACGGTTAATGGTCTTTGCAGCTCATCAACAAGAATGCTGGCATGGCAAAACCTGACAGGTCCCATGAACGGGATTGATTTGGCCTAGGCCTAGATGTTATATACGTGGGAAATATGTATGGGAATGAAACTATAATTACAGTAACTTTGACAGGAAAAGGGGTTGATGATCCATTTGAGCACAAGTCGTTCCTGTTCCTTTTTATAGCGGACTTTGCTTGACGTATTCGCAACAACTTAGACGCACTGGGAGTACCAGTCGTTCACGAACTCGCACTTGCCAGACGAGCAGGTGGTGGCGCCAGAGTAAGTCCGGCCTCCGCACTGGCCGTACAAGGCAACAGATCCGGAGCTTGAACCAGACGCCGCGGCGGCCTTGGTAGCCTTGGGCGCAGCAGAAGTGGATGTAACAGGTGCACTGGAAGGGGTAGCCTCAACGACATCGGTCTTCTCCTCGCTAGAATCAGAGGTAACATCAGAAGATGAGGAAGCGCTGAGCTTGCCGGCACCGGCGCTGGCAGGAACACTGGTCTTGATCTTGCTGGCAGCGGCGGCACTGGCGATGCTAAGGCCCTTGAAGTCGCCGAAGAAAGAGGTGTCGGTGTACTTGAACGCGTCGGTGGTTTTCTCGAAGACGTTGACCTCGCAAGCTCTACCCAGTGCGGATTTGCACTGAGCGTTGGTGGTGGCATCGGGAGAGGAAAAGAGCTTGCCCTGGTAGTCAGAGACCATCTGCTTGACGTTGATGAAAGCGTTGCCCTCGAAGATGCCGCGTGCGGTAGCCTCGCCTCCCTCGATTGCGTGTCCGTTGATGTCGCTCCACACGTTGTTGACGGCGTGCAGAAGAGTGGCACCACTGAGAGCAGGGCCGCGGCCGGATGTCTTGTAGATATAGTTGTTCTTCATGGTGATCTGGTCGTCCTTGCCGACCATCTCAAAGGTCCAGTAGTGGTACCCGTTGCAACCAGTGGAGTAGGTCGAGTCACCGTTGATGAAGTTGTTGGAAAGCGTGATGCGCTTGCTGGGGTCAAAGCCAAATACGTAGTGCTGGCGGCCGGGTCGCGTGGTCTGCATAGTCGAGTCAGCTTAGATAAATTGCAAAGCATCAAGCACGGCTTTCTTACAGTAACATGGTCAACCCAGACGAGGTCGGCGCCAGCAAACGAGAGAGCGTCACCTCCCCAGACATACTTGTGATTCAAGTCGGTGATCTCAATGTTCTGGATGATGACATTGCTGCCCTTCATCCTCAAGCCCTTGCCTTTAATGACACCCTTGCTACCGACACCAAGAATGGTTTTGTTTGAACCAACGTCAATAGGTGTACGGGCGGCCTTGTACCAGGTGCCGGTCTCCTTGGGATTGCTGCCGCAGTCGTCTAGAATAATCCGTTGGCATGCATCACCAGTTCCCCAGTTGGCACAGGCGGTGCCGGACTCTGTGCCCTCGGAATCGGTGAAGTCATACTCCTGGGAAAGCAGAATAACTCGGGGCTCGTCGTCAGTGAGGTACGTCTTCAGCTCGTCGATGTCCTTGGGAGTGACCGCGGTTGCGCTACCACCGCCGGTGACCCCGGCGGCAAACCCCTCTGCCTTTCCGCTGACTGTCTGTGCTGCGGTGAGATTGGCGACGGCCGCCAAGACCGCCAAGATCGCTGAAGCCGACTTCATTATGCAATACGTGATGGATCGAGCCGGATGAAAAGTTCCAAGTGTGTGATTCTAGTTTAGAAGAGAAAAGAACGTTTGCTAGGTTCCAGAACCCAAATGAGCGCACGAGAAACAAATCGATAAAGAAATTGAACGAGAGACTTAGAGAGCGACAATGAGAAAGAGTAAAGTCGATGAACTTCAAGGTTGCCGCCGCGGAGGGGGAAATCTGATAAATCCCATTGTCAGTCATCTCTAGCGGATGCGGTAGCCACTCCGAGAAGGATCACCTATTTTATCTGGAACAGACTACTCTTATCACTTAATTTCAGTAGTATACGAAAAGGGAGCAATACGCTCTCTTACCGAGATCTGATTGGCCACTGCTCACATACTGCGGATCGTGCGCCCATATTGCCCCCTGAAGCAGTCAAAGTCTACTCAATTGAGTATAGTAATCTTCTTCCTGTGGCTATAATGCCCTATTCATATAAAGTCTCCGCTGCGGCTGTCATGGAAATTTTCGCCGTGTTCCGAGAAGCGAAGACTTGACCTGCTTGAGGAAGTAGTCCGTGATGATTGACGTATGGATAGTCTCTTCAGTGCAGCTGCAGTAATTGATAACCCACAGCTGGCTCCAGAGACACTCCAATTATAATATGCCGAGATTTTCTTACAGGTCCAAAAAAATCAGGAACAGAGTCTACAGTGACTTAACCGTCGATGCGTACAATTGCTAAGTATCGATCCAAGTACGGCTACACAAAGGTGCCACACATCCACAATGTGGCAGGGTAACTGCACTCCATGCGAATTGGTTCGATAAGTAGGTCAGTAGGATCCTACAGTACTTCATTCGAGTATTTTGCGGCTATCTCGCTTTGACTTCCTATGAATAGATTGTGCCGGGGCGCTCTAGGCGTGCTGGTCCCTACAGCGAACCGCTCCTAAAATCCGAACTGAATCAGATCCTTACACACCTACCGCGCCGCAGCTCTACAAGGAGTAAACGAAGACTCGGTGATTTTGTTTTTAGAGAGCACACATACTTTATTGCATGAAATTGACAGCAGGGTATGGTATAAGTCGGCCTGCCCGTATTTTCTTTCCCTCGTGTTGACACAAAGACTCCCGAATCACCCACAAAAAGGGGTGGAGGGCCACTCAGTTTTTGACCGTCACTGCGGAGATGCCCCAAAATCAAGGCATGAAGCTCCGGAGGAGCCAGGGTAAGGTAAGAGTACTCAATGAATGCAGTTCAATCGATGCACGAAGCAATTACGTGTTACACAGTAGAATAGAAAATTGACCAAAGTGCTTGCTTTCAACCATCAATTGGGAGGCCATACGAGAAGCTTCCATGAGTAATTATTCACTTTTATCGTTCAATTGATCTACCAAATTGGATTGAGATGTCATAAAGACAGAAGGGAGTTCTAGGAAAAAGGAAATAACATTGTTCCATCGGACTACTTCGCTGTCCGAATAGGGGTGTCTACCCCCCTTTCCCAAACACTGTTGAGTCAAGTGATTGGTTGTATCTGCAGACCCCGCATAATGGGCGTCGGCCACAAGCCTATTCTAAAGCCCGTTCTGAGATGTACAAAATTGGTTTGCTGTTGAATTGGGGAAATGAATCACTATAGAATTTGTGATAAACAGTTACGTCTCGGGCAGAAAGTGGAGGGAAGCCAGTAACCGCCATTATTCAATAGCTGATCAGGTTTCAGTACCTTCCAAATAATAGAGAAGGTCCTGCTTATTGAATAGTCCCCTCAGAAATGCCGTCCATTGCATAATTTCAAGTGCGCAAAGTCGTTTGCACATGATTGATCGTAACAGACCATGCGCTTTTTCAAGACGATAATCACTCGGTTGGTACCTACAAGACAGTCAAATACGCGAATGCAAGCTTATGGCTCCTGATATTCTGTTTGCTGCACGCGTGATAAGATGGCTGAGACTGTTGTATCACAAACACAGAAAGCAGACTTAAACTCTTGATTTGTCTTAAACGAACAGCACCAACAAATCCATGAGCTTAATCCAACTGGCGGTATAGAACCAATTAAATCTTTGGAATTTTGGTGTGTACTTACATATATTCTGTGGAACAAGATGCGCCCAACGAAGTTGTAATCAATAGAATGTGGAGTAACCTTCAAAGATAAGGCCGCATCTGGGCTGCAGCTAAACAGACACGCGAATGCCTCAGCGACGCTGGGCGGGATAACGACTGGCGACTTGGGCAGGTCAGCTGGGCGGGGGATGGAGACAGACGTGTCTGGCATACAGGCGACGACAAAGAAAAAGATGCGTTTCCAGGAGGCGGCGTAATTACTGAGGGACTTCTCTTCTAGCGTGCAGTTGAACATCAACCTCGGGGGTTCTGTCCAACGGCAACGGTTCAGCTCGTCTAGCTGCGGCTGGTCACACAACGGTGTAAACTTCTGCGTTAGCTCCTGCGTTAACGACGAGGTCATTCGGCGGCGTAAGGCGTTTATGTAAGGCGTAACGGCGCAGAGGGCGTTTTTCGGGAAGACACCGAGCACCTAGCGGCGGGAGTACCATCCCTCGAGGTAGCAGATGAAACCCATCTGCTCCATGTTGTTGTTGTTGTTATTATGTTTAACACCGGGCCGTCCCAGTAATTGGCAAAAGGCGCCTGGGGTGACTAGCTTCTACAATACACATTTTTCTTCCGTCCTCCAACGTCGAAATCTGCTCCATGAAGAGACGGGCTCGGTGAGTATTTCGACGCAGATGCCGTCACTGGCCTGGGCGGTCTGAGGTCGCGGCGCGCAGAGGCGAGGAGGTCCTTGAGGCAGGGCGGAGCGCTGGGTGTGCTGCATTTACGGCCGTAAAAGGCTGCGCCTCCCTCGGCAGCTGCGGTCTCCTCAGCCTGGGATTCGGCGGGGGGATCGGAGGGGAGGATATCGTCCCAAATACGAAAGCAGTGCATTCCAGTGCCCATAGACTTGGAACACAAAGACCAGACTTCACTGGCAATCTCCACACATTGAGCTTCAGATGGAAGAAGAATCAAAAGCTATGTCTTCTAGATATAACAGCTCGCTAAACTAAACCAAGTACTCCTCCAGGAGTACTACCATTAATGCTTTCACGAAGATTTCACTCAGGGTAGTCACCAATACCGCCGAACATACGGACCATTGAGTCTGCGTGGCCATCGATATGAGTAATCACATTGTTGTCAAGAAGAAAATCTCATTACCGCGCAAACCGTGACAACATGGACATGTCCGAATTCAAGATCCTTGCATGCCAACATCTGCCTAACAAAGCCAGCAGACTTTTTCATTCAATATCTGGAAGCATCATATGGCCATCATCAAGAGGAGTATTCTACGGGTCCCGGCAATGAAGCCACATGCTGTGTCACGAGTCAGCTCTGATATCAGCCTGGTATCGCATTGATCTTGTCGGTCAAGTCAAAGTCTACACAATACAAGCTGTTGACATCACTCATGACAGAGTATATGGGGAACCTTTGTCACAGTCAGTGATGGATGCGTTGGGTTGATCATGTCTTTTTTAGAATTCAGAAGTTGCCGTACATTGCCACTACTCTTAGATGATCGTATACCTCTGACACTGTCCATTGCCACTTCGAGCTTGCTTTCGACGGAAATGTCTTGACGTAAGAATCTGTATTTTTAGGTTGGCTGTCTCTTCCGAAGTATGGTCCTAGCTAAACGGGGCATCGTTATTCTTAAATATCTCCCCTGTTTCGCGTTATCTGGGTTGGTCGTTGTCCTACCTGGTGGTCGTTTCCACTATGGCGTCCGTGCAACAGCAAGCCGCTGACAAGTGAGACGGACAGCTCCAGATTTCCTCTATGAGTAATCACAGATTGGGTATTCTTTGTTGATGCGAAACAAACCAAGCTACCAATAAGTGGCTCGACTTCTAGCCGATGTATGTATGCTACATTGGAAACCCACTCGTACCGTAAACCAGGATGCTTGTTGCTCACGTGTAGAGTAGACGAACCCCGCAAATGTGCCGCCGCATGCTGGGAGCATCTCCTTATAGGACCAAAGTCTAGACTCACGGCAGACCGGGATACAAACTAAGCATATCCATGTTGCCATGTTGCCTACCACGCAGTCGAATGCTAAATCTGTGGTGCACGGCCTCTTACTGGCCATGTGGAAGAGTGGCAGTGCTGTTGAGAACCACTTTAATGGTCTAGTGTACTGCTCTTGGAGAGGCTGAAACTTGCAACATGGGTATTCCTCAATGCAGCCATGACATTGGAACAGCAATGGCCAATCGGTTTCCGGCCAGTGGCCGACAAGTGGCCGCGGTATGTTTTTGTATTCCCTTCACATAGATTCTGCGATGATCTCGGAGGTAACCCCTTTGTATGTTTCTTGATGTTTTGTGATCGGCGGTAATAGCTTATTTGTGAGCAGCGCTCTCCATTTTTTTCAGCCTCATCCATCTCAAAAGACTAGACGCACATAGCAGAAGATACAGATGCGGACAGGTGCGAATATCATATCCTAGTCAACCTCAAGGTTCCAGAAGCACCCACTTCCAACGGGGCAGCTAGTTATCAAAACGGCTGGTCACAATGATCAAGTTTTCGGTCCTTTGACGAGTCAGCATCGTTCGTCCAAGTCTTTAGTCTATAGAAGGCATATATTGGCGGATTTGCTCCTTTATGCGATTGTTGTATTTCTGCAGGGTGGAAGGGTGTGCGGTAGCACGCGCCGCTATGGTGCATGGCACCCCAGGGAGTTCAACCTTTAGATGGGAGGGAAGTAGAGTGTCTGCTTGGATTTGCCTATGAGTCTAAAAATTCACGGTAGGGCTGAGCATCAACCCAGTTAGTCTAGAGTACTGGAGACTGGAACCCCTCCTCGTATGGTTTCCGGGGATGGCTTTGAAAGTCACATTAGGGAATTCCTGGTAATTATGTAGCTGTTCGGTATTGGTGCAGGGCTTATCTGATTCTGAGGCCAACTCAGCAAATCCATCCTGAATGCAGTGAACCTGTGCAAAACCATCACTTTAATGTCAATTACTACCACAAGCAGCTGCACTGGAGAGAACTGAGAAACCCGTGTGCGGCTTTCTCAAATTTTGAGTTCACCTCTGTTTGGGAATTTCAGACTATACGCCTACTGAACCACTCAAAAGTGCTGCTCAGAGGAAAGTCATTACAGTTGTAAAGTAATGCCGGTGCTGATCTCCTCTTGAGTGGGTTTCAGAATTATGGAGCCGTGTAGCTAGGCGCGCTTAAGATACATGCTAAGGCATCCCACACTAATCTCGTTTATTCAACTCAGAATTCCTTGCTAGATAACTTGGCAGCTGAGAATAGCATGAGGGTCTGTAATACGGAGGATTCCGCTCGGTGTGGATTTTAACTACATTTGACTGCAATACAGTGATACTTCGAACAACCGGACAAGATAGGAGTATGACAATATGGCCCTACAGTAAGATGAAGTGGTGTCATGGAGATTGTATCAAGCAAGCAAATGTTGTGGCCTGGAGACCTTATAAAAGACATCATGATCTCCCTCGAAAGCAGACGTTCTTCTTCTCGTCATTAAATTACAGACGATTCCCCAATACAACTTCTCAGTTGCATTCTCGTTCTTTATTCTTGTGCTTTCCGTCACTCGCTTAGGAATATTTCCACTACTTTCACTTTTACCACTCTTTTCAATCAATATGGCCGCCATCGGAGCAGTTGCAACCCTCGCCACCGCCATTGGCAACGTCGGCACCTTCTTGGGACTCGTCTCATCTGGCATCGGCATCATGCAGGCGATTACCCAGAAGCCCAAGGAAGTTGATTTCTACACCATTCGCATGGAGATCGGAGACAATCAGGATGCCAGCGGCAATCCGCCTTCGATCATCCTTTCCGACTTCTCCAACACCCAGATCTTTGGTGTCTTCGAGGGCAACAGCAAAAATCCCGATGACCAGTGTCGTAACAATGGCGATATAGAACTCTTCAGCGGCCTCAAGAATGCTGAGGCTCCGATCCAGAGTTTCAAGACCAACAATGGCTTCAACCTCAAGTCTCTGGATATTCAGCCTGGTGGCAATGGCATCTGCGTGTCCAATATCATCCTCAAGGGCAGCGATACCCAGGCCAGACGCGATGAGGTCTTTATTCCTATTGGCGACTTGGGCTTCCAGTGTGGATACGAGTGGAACTGGGGTGCTATTCTCGACGGAGTCCGCCAGCGTTGCATCTGGCTCGACGGTCAGCCTGACGGCACTAACAAGCCCATCCAGTCTTTGCACCTCGACATGGAAAACATTGCCGGTATCTTCAACAAGGGTCGCAATGATACACTCGCAAAGACCACATTTGAGCAGGCTTGCAAGTTTATGAGCGACAACGCCGGCCAGATTGCCAACCGTAACTCCTGCAAGGAGTCCTTTACTAAGCGTTCCATGTCCAAGAACGAGACCATCGAAGCCGTCCCATTGCTTGATGAGCTCTCTGATTTCTTCACTGGCAAAGGCAATAGCCTGGACAAGTACGCTGGCGCCCCCTTCATCACCTCCGACAACAAGCTCTGGGACTCTGCCAAGAACGGCTTCAGTGACGTTTCTCCTAAGACTGCTCCCAATAAGCGATCTCGTCACTTTGCCCGTGTGGAGGAGAAGAGGGCCTGGCCGCGACTCTGAAAGGCGAGCGCTGCGAATCAGCCACCGATGGCGCTGCTCCTCGGTGCCAGGTTGTCAAGGAATTTACTGTGGGCTCTGCATGATTTGTAAAATTGGTTCTGTACTGTATCTGAGGAATGTGTTTGTTTTTTAGCCTTGATAGAATTTGTTTTGCTGGGTATCAATTTAGCGTTTTTATTCTGCTCCTCGTATTTCAAAAGAAACGGACCTCCGTTGTAGTCAGCTTTGAGGGGTTGGAGCTCGAAGTGAAAGTAACATGAAGTTTGGCTCAAGCATAACAAACTTCAAATAACGTCAGTGTCACATAGAATATCAAAATTGCAACACAGCAAGATTGTGACAAAATCCGCGTTTAATTACATCGTAAAGAGTAGTCTGAACGCTTCTAGAAACATGTGACTCACGCCGATCTTGAGTTGCTGCGTGATTTAAACATCTGTGAGGCTAATGGTGCTGGTGGTTCAACGAAGCAAGTGTACTCAGTGTGTGTGAGGCTGTAGGTCACGGCAGTATATGCTGCCTCATGACGATGGTGTAGTTGGTGCTGCCTCTACGTAATGCGTAAGATTGGGTCTGTCACATAGGGCGAGCTTGAATACAATCTAGGCGAGTCTGAAGGAATGAGAGGCGTCGTTCCTCCTGGTCCGTGGAGGAACCGCTTTTTTCTCGCCCACTTCTTTCTACCTGGGTTGGATATGTAAGTGTAAAGTCTGATGAAAAGAAACGAGTGCGACGGGCTGGTCATGTAGTGGTTTTGGGTTGAAAACATGTAAATAAGCTTGGCCAAGCTGATCACCGGCACAAGCTGCTGCCGAGTTGCGCGTTCACGAAACATTTGTGCTGAAGATTTGCTAACAGACAAACCCAGCCTTTCGAGGTAGAAACCACAGAAGGTCAGAAAATGGGATGAATTATGAGCTTTTACTATTGTCTCGAGACTGTGGCGCAATACGGCGCCACTCACGCTGCATGGCGTCCCGTTCTCAACCTACGTATCACCTGATACCGAGCACAACTTCACCCTTAGAAGGGATTACAGCCCGCTGCGTGATCTTACTAATAACAAAGGTCTCGTTTGATAGACACACTTTCACTCTCTCGTTATGCATTTTTTTCGAATAAGAGAGCCTGATATACTGTTACTTGACCTTCAGCTCGAGTTGCACGTTGGCGAGATCCCACCGTACGCCACTCTGTCGCACAGATGGAGGATGCCTTCTGATGAAGCAACCTTCCAAGAACTCAAGCATGCCACTCCGTCGGCAAAACTGAAAGAAGGCTGGCAAAAAATCCTTTCGTTTTGCGCTCAAGCCCTTGAATACAATCTTGTTTATGCATGGATTGATACATGCTGTATCGACAAATCCAGTAGCGCTGACCTATCAGAAGCGATCAACTCAATGTACGGCTGGTACGAGGCCTCGCAGATATGCTTCGTTTACATGGAAGATATGCCCCCTGGAACTGAAATCTGGCAAACGGACTCGGATTTTCGACTCAGTGCGTGGTTCACTCGGGGTTGGACTTTGCAAGAGCTTGTTGCTGCGAATGAAGTTGTCTTCTTCGATAGTAGATGGAGCCTCCACACTTTGGATGGCAAGTCCAGCCTTTCTGGTCTGGTTTCGCAGATCACCGGGATTCAGGAGGATATTTTACTGGACAGAAGGAAACTGCATACAGCCAGTGTGGCACAGAAGATGTCTTGGGCCTCTCGTAGGAAGACGACCAGTGTAGAAGATGAGGCATATTCGCTCCTCGGCATCTTTGGAGTATCGAATCCGACAATTTCCGGCGAGGGAAGCAAGGCGTTCAGTTGGAGGGTGGGCCCCACACTCCGTTTGTATGTCTCAGTAGCATGCAGCCTCTTAAAGGCTGTCTGGAGGAAAATTCCATGAGGAACTTTCCTCTTTCGATGATCATCATACACATGAATAGATCACCTCTTCATATGTTCAAGTGCTTATGAGCCCAGGGCAATACTTTATGAGCACTGGAATTTCTTTTTTTGAAGTCTCTACTTTGAAGCCTTCAACTCTTCCCGATACTAGACAGTATCTCCATCGCACCCACGTGGGGCACAACAAACGCCGAGATGGCAACTAGCACCGCCCCATCAAGCAAACAACAACTACAAGGCAAATCCAATTTCGTCGGGTGGATCCGTCTCTTCCGACATGCTGCCAAAGTCAAAAATGTCTGGACGAGCTTTGAAGGCAAGGAGAGACTGACACGCGAGCCGCAAGAGACTGACTGTCTTGTGTACGTTCCGGAGACTGCAAGATGAGATCATGAAGACGTCTAACGACCATACCCTTTTTGCTTGGGAGGGAGATGAAGGTTCACACGGTATGCTGGTAACCTCCCCAAGGTCTTTTACTAGCTCCGCCGGTTACAGCCCAGTTACAACGAGTTCACCGAGCGATATGACATGAACATGAGCGTCCTCCAACCATACTATACCATCACAAATTTCGGCTTAGAGATTCAACTTCCGATAGTTTCTATGTCAACGCGCTTTGAGTGCTTACCCTTTGTTTACATTTCAGCGTCCCACAGGCTCGCTCGTCAGTCGGTGATCAATCTTCTGCGACAAAGACTCGATCGCCCATTGAGCCATTTCGCTCGGATAAAATTCAACAATCGAATGGTAATTTATAGAGAGGTGCTATGGAAACGATGTCCGTCAAACGCTATGACAACTCGGGCCTTCATCTCAGGGCTTGAACCACAGTGGCCTGAGAACGCGGGACTAGCAACTATTATCTCGCAGAGAGCATCATTCTCTTTCGCCACTATAATGTTCAAAGATTCAACAATCGATAAAAAAATGCTTCATATTCTGCCGTCTTTCCAACGATTTCACGTCCGCTGCACACAGGTCATTCGTACGTCCCTGGGAACCTCAAAGACTGTTTGAAGGAAGCTCGGTTGCGTTCTTGCTCCTAAATGGGACACATTCTGCTGTTCTTGAGAAAAACGTTAGTGGAATTGTCTCATTTGGTGTACACAAAGGGGAGACCTGGGCAGCTGTACAATGCTTCAAAAGCCTCAATGATATTAATGATATTGAAGTGAATCGCGCTTTTGGCGCAACAGAGTGAGACATGAGTTATTTTCTGGAACATCTGACTGGCAAAGAAGCCCAGAAAGATTCATTCTACCCCAGAGGGGTACTTCGCGTTCAGAGACAACTTCTTGGAGTCTCAGAACTTTACTTCATACTTTGAAGGATGAGCGTATGGTTTTGACTTTGAACTTGTCCCCATCATCACTCACGCATATGCCTGTATATAACCTCAATATTCGCTCTGTGGAAAGTAGTAAAGTTTATCAAGACAGCAATGATTCTTCGCACTAGTTCAAGCCAATGAAAATGGCCAAGAGCTTCACTCGAGGGCCGATAGTAGAAAACACAAGCTCGCATTGAAAGGTGTCAAAATCTTCTTGATTTACAGAAGGTTTCCACCATGGGCATCAGTCGTACAGGCTGCAATCAAGCTATAGGGGCTAAACCTAGCCAATTTTGTTTGCTTTTGTTCACCTGCGAGTCTGGTGTAGCCTGTGGTGATATAGCTGTACGTTTGCCACCAAGTCTTGAGCCTTCAACAGCATTTATTAACGTTCGGTGTACTTAAGCCAGCCAGTTTCTGCTAGTAGGTCTGATCGTGCATATGATGCAGTTGTAGATTCTGTCAATTCCCATTAGGCCGTCGCGGTGTCCTCCTTGTTCTGTCTGACTCGTTCTGTCTCTTGATCAACGCAACTGAGACTGTTCGCCTTTTGAAGCTGTCGAAAGTTCTCATTGATTCAAGCGTCAGAAGCTCCAAGTTTCCAGAAGTTGCGAAAGGTTAACCAACAATCTTGATCTTTATGAAGCCAATATGTTAGTAACACCTCCTTAGTGACTCGTCGAGCGCTTTGTTTATCGACAACAATTTCCAATTCTTCACGCTAGCACGAATTTGCTTATTGAGTCTTCTGGTTTGGCGAGTCTCCGAATTGCGGAGTTCAGTGGGCCATTTGCGTTGAGAACCGGATGTTTCATGCATTGACCAGGGTCAGCTTCCGCTGGCAGTCTTGCTTGTGTACCGGGTCTTATCTTGGTAGTCTCCTTTTCCCCGCTTGTTCACCAGACGACACCTGTTCGCATCAATCCTCCCACTTAAAGATCGCATCTTGTACCGTCTAATCGTCCCAGATTGAACATTTTGATACTATACAAACGGAAAATCAGTCAAAAGACATCGCCAACTTACCCCCCACACTAAACCCCAACTTCCCCGCAACATCCATGACGTGCACCACCAGCGCGGGGCAGAACCCCGACGTACAGATCGAGGTCATCTCGCAACCCGAAGATTTCACCCAAATCTACAAGGTCGTCAGTAACGCCTTCGGTCACCAAGTCCATGATGGCGTCTTTATGTCCATGAATCCCGGCTGGGACACCCCCGAAGGCCAGGCTTTTCACGCCTCACGCATGACCAAACGCTTCGGTTCCGTGACCAAGAATAACAAGGGCGAGCCGAACACTGTTTTTCTCAAGGCCACCCTCCCGGATCCAAACCAATCCGGCCAGCGCATAATTGTCGGCATGGCCATCTGGGTCCAACAATCGGCCGTTGAGGGCCACGGCGACCCGCCCCCGAAAGACCTGATCAAAGATCTCAACCTCGAGTCCATCTTCCCCGGCAATGAGACCGAGCAGCGTTATGCCGCGGCGTGCATGGGGTCTCTGCACAAGCGCCGTGAGGAAGTTATCCGCGAAAAGGCGATGTCGGATGAGCCGGCAGTCTTCGTGCTGGACATGTGTGGCGTGGATCCTAAGTTCCAAGGAAAGGGAATCGCCAAGAAGCTGGTGCAGTGGGGTCTTGATGAGGCCAAGCGACGTGGGGAGCTGGAATTGCTCCTCGAGGCGTCGACCATGGGCAGACTTGTATACTCGAAGCTGGGCTTTAAACAAGACGGTCCGGAGATTGAGTACGAGGTCGATGAACAGTTTGCGCACCGCGATAGACCGTCAAACATCTTCATGCGTACAGGAGGGGCACAGTAAGACTGACTGCTAGCATTCGCATATGTATATAACTATAATTGATAAATCAAGTAACCAGGCTAATTTCGATGTGAATGCGCCAGAAAGGGGCTTTATGCTGACCATGAGTTTCGTCTTTGTTTGGATTGCGGAGCTACGCCGCAGATACGCTCTGTGAAGCGAGGGATTTATAGTAGCTTGAGTGATTAAACACGAAGAAAGATCGATGCGGTAGCTGTATAATCGAGACATGCGGCGTGAACTAGAATCAGAGGCAAGCTGATCAGGTAACCAAGCATAGGTCAAGTATCTGTCTATTTCAATCATTATGAATGTAACGTGCCGTATTAATATAGTCATAAAAGCATATCCAAGTGTTGAAGCGCCATACGCAAAGCAAAGCCTATGCTTCCCAGTTCCCCATGCTTATAATACATTTAGACGTTGTTGGCCAAAGGCTCTTGCTTAGTCTGGTGGTGTTCCGAAAACGGCCTTTCGTCATCACTCGTCTTCTCCTTGTGCTGGTCGCCAACAGCAGTGTTGTCGGTGTGCACCGAAGCGCGATGAAAGGCTGTTTCGTCCTTCTGCTTTCGTGTAATGTAACCTGGCGGCACCCACTTGCTGGAAGAGTAGGGTTTGACGCTGGGGTCGCTGTACATGCGGTCGACGTTCTCGAGGGACAGAGTCTTAGTCTCGTAGAGGAAGAACCAGACAAGCAGCGCACCAGCCAAGTTGCAGCCTGCAAAGACAAATCCGTATGCGTACCCAATGCCAGCGGTTGCATAGGGTGTAAGGAAGGAGATAAGGAAGTTTCCAAGCCAGTTGCCGGCTGTGGCGAGAGACGCCTGCTTGGCTCTGGTGCGAAGAGGGAAGGTCTCTCCAATGACGCACCAACACATAGGTCCCCAGGTCTGTTGGAAAAGTCAGCGCACGAACTAATGCACTTGCCAGGTGAGAATATGCCAAAACCTACACTAGCGAAGGAAGCAATAAACATGCAAGCCGACACAATCATGACAATGCCAGTCGTGCTGTTGGTTTCGGGAGGCAGAGCTGTACCGACCGAGGCAAAGACAGTAAGCCAAGCTGTCTGCCAAACTGCACCGATAAACAGCGGCCACCGTCTGCCGTACTTCTCAACGGCGTACAAACCGAAGAAGGTACACGCGACGTTGACAGCTCCGAGAATCAATTGCACCATGATGGGGTCTTCGATACCAGCAGACTCAAAAATCGTAGCTCCATAGTAGAAGAAATAATTCACGCCACTCCATTGTTGCAAAAAATGGAGACAGCATCCCAATAAAGTCCTGTAGACAGTCTTGGGGATGCCAGAAGACCCGGTGAAGCATTCGAGCCAAGTACCGTAGCCGGTCTTTGACTCTTCTTCGATAACCTTGAACATCTCCTGGAGATCCTTCTCAACAAGTTCGCAGTGGGGGTCATCCTTCAAGCCACGTAGACGGGCCATGGCCATGCGCGCGCCCTCCCAATCCTGGCGGCCAGCGAGCCAACGGGGCGATTCAGGAACAAAAAGGATACCCAACCCCAAAGGAAGTGAAAAGCCGATACCGAGGCCGATGACGATACGCCACGAGGCATCGGATTCTTGGAAGTTGCGGACGCCGAAGTTGATCAAGTTAGAGATCAGAATACCGAAAGTAATGAGCAGCTGGTAGGAAGCAACGACGGCCCCACGGATTTCGCGAGGGGAGCACTCGGACTGGAACATGGGGACACCGATGGACAGGTTACCGACGCCGAGACCGGCGACAAAGCGGCCCATCATCATGTGAACCCATGAGTTCATGGCCGTGATCTGAATGACGTTGCCAATGATGAACACAGCGACACCGAAGCTCAAGCTTCTTCTTCTACCCCACCAGTCGGCTGTATAAGCACCGGAGAGAGCGCCGATGAGGGTACCAATGCTCATGAGCGAGACCATGAGCGACTGGGTAGTTGGGACCCATTCCGGAATGCCGTCAGGTCCGATGTCACCAGTAGCGAAACGTGTTTTAAAGTCGGTGAAGAGGAGCATGGACGAAATCTGACCAGTATCGTACCCGAAGAGGAAACCTCCGATGCTGGTGATAACACCAAGCACGAGAGCCTCAGCACCACAGTCAGCGCCATTGACGCGGATTGACCTGTGCTGTATATCAGTTATCGGAGGACTAACACACCGGCAGCGTGAGGAGCTTACAGTTTGCCCAACCCCATGGTTTTGAAGAACGTAGCTAAGATAGCCTTTCTTTGACGGTGTGTTACTGTAATTAGATGTGCTAGTTCGCAAAGGAACAGAGAATCGGCGTTCAAGGTATCATGCGGGTGTCGCGATGATCCAGATTACTAAAAGCTTGCAAAAGAAGAGGTTATGGAGGTGAGAAATGTAGGCGTTTTGATGACCAGTCGAGGAGAGAACTGGGTAGGCCCAGGGCACGACATTCCCAGGAATCACCCAAACGCACCATGATGGCTTTATACTACAGTCCACACATGCTGCCGCGCCGATATTGCATGGACGATAAAAAGTCGAAGTCTGCTGACCGGAGTATAATGACTGGGAACGCTACTATGACGTTGCCCAGAGGCCGACTCGGTCCTATCCTCTCTTGTCGCTGGGGGCGCAGACTAGGAAGGGTGAATAAGGTGGTGAGGGTCGAAGCAAGGTGTGGGAAAGACGTGGAAAGTACCGCGTGTATCCGTACATGGACATAATCCATGCTCATCCCATCCAATCCCACGCAATCCCTTGCAGTGATTCCGGGGGACAGATGCAGGAGCCACACACGCGACGGCCCAGGACAAGAAGCATCGATAATCCGGGGGTGAAAGTGACAGTTCACTTTCTACAAGGGCGGACCGTGGGTTGTTGATGAGTCGGGCGAGGGTGGGATGGAGCTGCGAGTTCAGGTGGGCCAAAGACGAAAACAAATTCAAAGCGAACTGGTAGCCTGAGTAAATTCCTGACTCTATCTCGTTTTCTCTGCCTCTCAGAGGCGTAAAATGCACTAGAAGACTGAAAATGTACCTATTCATGGGGCTCACTCGGCCAACACTGGTTGGGTGAATTCAGGGTGAGGCTTGGAGATCGACCGCTTGGCCACCGTCATAGGCGGCAGCAGCAGGGGTGAGCGAACATTGGCACACGGAATCAAATTGTGCAGCCAAGAGCCGGCCAATGCTGCCAAGGCAAGCTCACGGCGAGAAGCTGAAAAGGTTGCTCTTAGTCAAAATCCGGCACAATATCCACTTTCGCTTCCCCTTCCTTCATCTTCAAACCATCTCACTGTGCAAGGCGATGAGCTTTTCGAAAGCGGCAGAGGATACGTGGGGCCAAGCGCGTGTACAACACATGGTGCTGTAAAGTCTTGGAAATTGGAGAAACGCCAAGAATAAGAAAGCAATGACGATCCAAAGACGCCTCACGTGCGAGTCAGCCAACGGCGCGTCCGAGCCGTTCCTCTCATTGGAGAAGAAACCGCCTCATGTCTGCCAACTCGTCAAGTCGCATAAAGTCGCAACCTGGTTGAGGAAGAGTGTTGCTTACGTAGTTTTAGCAAATAGAATCCACGCTGTGAAATTTCCTACGTAGACTGCCTGATGAATCAATGCCATCCTTGCAATTTGCGACTGAGACTGCGGTTCAAGGCACTTCGACACATTCTCGACGCTGAGCGGTCCCGACGCCTTGCCCTGGGGACGCGCGCCAGCGTGCAGCCTTACAATCAGCATTGTGCTTGGCGCAGCCAGGTGCTCACTGTCGGAGCAGGAATGTTGGATGCAGGGATGTTTGTATGAAGTTCACTCAATTGTTGACGCCGTCGCAGTGTCTATACTACGGTGTAGCTTTGTTCCTTCGCCCACTAAATCTGGATACCTTTCTTCAGATCGCCATACAACTGTCCAGCTCGATGCGTTGGGTAGTTCCCCAGACTGCCACTTTCTTTCCCCTCTTTCTTCGCCTAACTATTAGACTTTGTTGTCTCAAACCCCGTGGGACTTCCGCCAATGTAGCTGTACCTCCACGAAGTTCCCCGGCTCCTCCGATGGGATGTTGACCGCCAGGCGCGGAACGTCGGGGCCCCAAGTTGAATGCGCCAGATGCGCCCGTTCCCCGCAGTTCGGGATGGAATAGGAGTAGAGTTCGAACGGTCCGATTCCAAGTGGGAATTACCCCCAACGCCGTCTCGCTAAAATCAACGGACCGACTCCAACGTCTTTTGATGGAGAAAGAGAAATGATAAATGGAGAGCCGCGGCTTGGCTCTGACAGACTCTATGATACTACAGGTGTACAGACATATTTTCGCCATTTTTTTTTTCAGGCTTCAAAGAGTCGCTCCGAATTCCTCTCCTAACTGCCCCCAGAGTCGCACCCTTTCTCCACGTTTTGCGCCGCGCAATAGTAAAAGATTCTGCAAACAACGACAATTTCCGATTGCGCTCTATTCCCAGTCTTCCTGGTCATCCCGTATTCCCCAATATGTGTTCCCCAGTGCCACCGGTCAGTCCCCGACTTCCTCCGCAATCACGACTTTGGAGGGGGGAAGGGGGCCAATGCCCAAAACAACACCACAGAGTCGGTGAGCTTGGCTGCAGACACTTCTAGACCGAACGTCCTGTAGCTTGGGTCTAGATAGCTGACCGAGCCCTGCATCCACCGGATACGGGGACAGCGATATTTGGAGGAAAGGGGGTCTTCCTCGCCTGATCAGGCAGCCCATCTCACAGACTCACCATTATGAGAACCTCCGAGAAACATGCAACAACAATCGGAAGAAGTTTTAAGCTTCACCTGTTCCTGTATCTCCCGATGGCCGACAAATTTGGACGATTGTTACTAGCATACGCACTGCTCTATTTCGGAATTGAGGAACTGATCCAGTCTTGGTTTCAACCCCTGTTGCTCAACCAATAATCCTCGTCGAGGATTCCTCGACGAGTGTCTCAAATCTCCGGTTTATCGTATAAGCACGCAGTATGAGCGACGCGTGTGCCAGGGCCCCAGGGCTTTGTTCCAGCACTTGGCTTATCTGAACCACGTTTCCAGCTCGGAATCCTGCCGAGCGCCCCTCCGAGTAGCCCTTCTGGTTCGTATACACGCGTTTCCTGGTTCCTTCATCGACAAAGTCGCAATTGTAGTGTGTGTGGCCGAACGCCCATAGCTTGACTTGTGGGTTCTCCCAGCAGGGTTGATCTCGCAGATCCGTTGAAAACCCGGACTTGAGGTTGCTGTTGGCATGTAGTGGCTTGACAGCACGGCTGTCCTCGGTCGGACTATAATGCGTGAGGATGACTATCTTGCGGCGAGGATCCTCTGCTATTGCCTTGATCCTAGTGTTGAGCCACTCCAGGTCTTCTTTGTGTCTTTGGCAATGTTCTTCAACAGTCCAATCATCAATTTCACGGAAATCGTTGAGTCCGTTACTGACCGGCGTCAGCTTGGAGTCGGGGATGTTGGAGAAGAGCGTACAGCCAAGTATGGTGATATCGGCACTAGGGATCGAGTATTCTCTCTGGCACATGAGAACATACTCTCCTATGCCAGAAGATGGGTCTTCTTCGCGCTTCTTTCGATTGGCCTCTTGGAAGCTGTTTAGTTTTTCGCGAATATCCTCCCAACTAGAGCCGTAAGGCTCGTGATTTCCGAGAACGTGGAAAACAACGTGGAATTCAGCGAGCTGCCTATTGAGAAATCCGACGAAACCCACATCTTTCACGCATCCAATATCTCCAAGCAGTGCGAGATATGGTGCGTTTCGTTCAATATGGTAGTTGTCGTAGTCTTGATTACTCAGGTGAAGATCTGACACGATCTGGATGGACGCCATTGCCGTCGCAGAACGCGCTTGTGCATTATGGTCAAAGAATACAGCCATGCCATTCGTATTGACAATGTAGGTTTCTTACTTTTCTATGTGTTGGACGATATTATTTATCATTGAATACTTCTTTTGTGGAGACAGCGAGAGGTTAGACTTTCGTCTTCCCGCGTCTCCAAGCGGTGACTGTCAGAGGACGTGGGTTGTTTTGATGATGAAGAGTAAAAGTCTAGGTCTAGGAGGGTATTGTGGGGAGTAGTGTACTTGTAGTGACCTGTCGGCTCACGTGCCCTGGCAGTGACTCACTTGCTTCAAAGGGCAAGCTTCTACACACCAAGGTTCTCAATCTCTAGTCATTTTCCTGGTGCTCAAACTCAAACTCGGGCAGCAGAGACAGTCAGTGTCTTCCGACATTGAGATGGTAAGAGCTGAAGTTCAGCTGCCCAATTCACACAACAGAACTTGAACCACCGAACGGTCACGACGCCATGTCATCATGTCTCGGCAATGGACTTTGATTTCTACATTTCTGCTTCTGTAAACTCAACTTGGATTGATTTGGGTCACAGGGTAAAATCATCAAACCATTAACTCACGCATTTTACAGACTCTGCCATCTTTGTGATCTCCCACAACCGCTCCATCAGAGCTTGCATTACCCACAAATCAATGCCTCGGTCTTCTATGGTTCTAAACGGTTTCATTACCCGCTTTGGGGATTTAGCTATCGGAACATCAAACTTCCAACATGCGGTTGATCCTTCGTCATGATGAGAAGACCATTTTCCGGACTCATCATGCTGTCCTAGTACGAGGCAGGCATGAGGCTCAATCGACCACCATCTGTAACCAAGATCGAACCATTGCAGTAGCTCCCAGAGCGACTAGTAAGGTACAGAATTGCTCCAGTCATTTCCTCATCTCCGCCGAATCTTCGGGCAGGAATGAACTTCTCGTCGTCAGGCCCCTCATTCTCAGGCTTGCGGTCACCAATCAATCCCGCAGCTATATCTGACGGGAATACTGAGGAAAGACACCAAGTTAGTTCTACCGGTCTCCTACAATTCCCACTATTATCCCTGGTATGAGAGGACTTACATCCTGGGGCCATGCCGTTGACACGGATGCCGTGTCTGCCTAGCTGGCTGCTGGCCTGTTTCGTGAGTTGTGCGATTGCACTCTTGCTGGCCAGGTACGGAGGCGTCGAAGCGTAATGACGGCTGAAAGCGGAGATGCTGCTAGTAAAGATGACTTGACTCTGGATGGTTACGACGTCGCTATCCTCCCTATCGGGTTTGCCAAAGCCACCTTTGAGTGCATTCTTGTTTCCGGCATCGAGCAGCTCGAGGAAAGCCGACATGGTGAAGAAGGCTGCTGTGACATTGACATTCAAAACTTCGGTCATATCCTCCATCGAGAATTCGGTGAAGAGAACCCTGCGCAGATCCGAAATCGAATGTGCCGGGTTGTAGCGCACGGCGGGTCCGAGAATACCGGAGTTCGCGACGACGAGGTTGACGTATCCGACTTCCTTGGTGATGCGATCGACAATAGCCTGGAGGTCTTCTTTCGAAGTAACGTCACATTTGTGAGGAATCAGGTTCGAATGCTCCTTAGCTGCGGTTTGAAGTACTTCAAGGCGACGCCCAAGGATATACACCTTCGCGGCACCATGATTGACGAGGGCTCTTGCCATCGTGAGACCGATGCCTGATAACTATTTTAGTACTATTGTCTGAGTGAAGGACGGAGATCAACATACCAGAGCCTCCGCCGGTGACGACAGCCACGATACCATCAACTCTGAATAGCGCACTGGAGTTCATCTTGACGTCCTTTCCTGTTTGAGATGATGCAATAATTACTGATGCGAGGAGTGTGGTTAAGTTTGGTGTATAACGCCAGCAAGGAACTCTAGAGTATTGCTGCCGGACTTCGCCATTATATACTTCAAACCCCGCGCCAAAATGTCCGGACAACTGAGGTGGCGTCCGTAGACCATCCTGCAGCCACATCCGTGCCTAGGTTTCCTTTGCAGCGACTACATTGAAAAGACAAAGGGATAGGTGGTAGTTCCGTTACCTCAACATGGCATATGATGGGCCAATGGCGCCCCAGTAATGTTTTCCATGAGCGGATTAGCGGCGGCTGCAAGTCCCGACGGCGGCCGATGCAAAAGATGACGGTGCTTATGGGCGAACGAGATGCGTTTACAAATCAACTTCATGCGGGGTCGGGCGGCGTTCTGTTGGCACTAAAAGCATATCTCGGCCATGCTCTATATACAACCTGGGAAATGCACAAATGACTTTGCCTGAAATTGGAAATCCTTTAAATCTGATTCTTGTATTTGGGTCATGATGTCGGCCGCCAACGGCCGCTTTAGGGCTACTCATGCCGCCCAGGTTTGCGTGGCCTGCAAAACCCGTAAAAAGAAATGTGACAAGATGTTACCGCGTTGCGGCTACTGCACAATGCAAGCAATCTCCTCGCACCAGGTTTTTTCCAATAGGTCTCCATTTGCTGACTCAAGATGCAATAGGAAAGGTTTGCATTGTCGCTTCGGAGCTACCGATGATCGAGCCCCTCGCGAAGCCGGTCCTGTGCCCCATGGCTCATATTCAGTACAAGCAGATCTCTCTGGGCCGGAGATCAACTTGTTTTTCCAAATCCGGCATGTAATTCAGCTTACAGGCCTATTCGTGGATGAAGCTAGCGCTTGTTATTTCAAAGGATTTCATCGCTACCTCCCATTCATTTCACGAACTCGCTTCCATGAAGGCCTTATATCGGCTGGAACAACTCCACCAGCCGGGTACTCTGCTCTCCTATTAAGCTTGTGTCTGATCAATACATCTCCAAGACTGGCTCGGAACAGCGACGCTGACATTGAGATCCGGCTATCAAACCGACGACAACTTTACCTTTTCACAAAATCCCTTTTTGCACAGATCCAAGCCGTGTATCCGCCTTCGTTACCGTTTATACAGGCTTATCTCTTATTGGCGGTCTACGAATACGCAGATCACAAGCCTGAAGAGGGTTTTGTGTCCGTGGCTAGTTGTATCCGTATGGCCTATCGTATGCGCTTGCATCTCCATAATCAGGCATGGTCGCATTTATCGAAAGACGTTAATACGCCATTGGCCAGTGGTCCGGATCCGAGGCCACACTCTTGCAGCCGCACTGAAGAAACGCTGAACACCTGGTGGGCGATCGTTATTCTTGAGAGGTATGATTTTTCTTCAATCGACGACTGGTCCTTTTCAAGTACATGAATCTCTTGTATTAGTTATGCTGATATGCTGTGCGGCAGAGTATTCTTCTGCGAAGTGACAGTTTCTGAACAGCCGCTGCTAAGTGTCGCCCCGGAATCACAATCACAGCTACCAGTCGACACGAAAGGCATGGTAAACCCTAATGACGAATTCGAATTTCTTTTTGATGCCTCCGCAACAGTTTCTCAATTAAGGTGCTCGACAATCGGACCCTTTGGGCGAACTGCCCAAGCGGTCTGGATTCTTGATCAAGTGTTCTCTTCCTTCAAAATCACAGATCTTTACTTAAGATTGAAGAAATTAGACGGTTTGCATATCATGATCCAGGATTTACTGGCAAACATACTAAGGCAGTGCGGGAGCCATGGTGGCGTTCTCTGTCAAGCAATAGCCGTCACTCTCAGGTCAGTACAGTCATATTGCGCATCGTGATCGAAGCTTAACAAGTTCCTAGAGTTTTGTTTGTATTGCACTCGCACATTCTGGATTTGTCACCCAATGACGTCGATACTGAGTGTCAATCATTGAATAGATGGCAGCAATATTCCAGGGCTACGTTGAATACTACGACTAAGATGGTCCTTGATATTGCAGATGCCCATAATGATTTTCAATCTATTTCACGTACTTCCATTACCCCTAGTTACTCCTTCTTAGTCCAGGCTGCCCTGCGGTACCTTCAGCGCAACAGCGGATGGTCGGAAGATGGTAATCCCAGTAATCCAGTTCAGAGACTTCGCAGAGCTTTAAAGCAACTCGATGAATGAAGCTTTTCATCCGAAATGTCTACGAGCTGGATGAGATTGAAACTCATTGAGCGAGGATTTTCTTCTTGATGGGTCATCTATATATCTGAGGTTTTGTCTTTCTATTGCCTCAGATAAAATAGCCGCGGGCAGCCAGCGGACTGCCGCCAGTGACAAGGATCTTCAATTTAAATTGAGTGTCACTCAGAACGCTATCGGCTACGCTATTTTGTGAGTTGTCTTTGAATTGGCATTATGCCTGTTGTTGGTGGGGATTGAGACATTAATTGAGGCTGTGACTTTGGTTTTGATAGATTGCACATGAAGAGGGGAAGCAGATAAAGTGTCAGTCAACTAGGCGGTTCAAGTGCGACTGCCTCACCTAAGTACTCACCTTGCTCTGGCTGCTTTACTGCCCTCTTGGGTGAGGGTTGAAGGTGAGCAGGGTGAGCAGGTGGATAAATGAGGGCCATCTATTACTAGAGTGTTAGGTGTTGTTGAAACGTATGCGAAGATAGTGTGAGTAATGCCAACATCTCAGCTGAGCTGTGCCTAAATTGTGGTGGCACTCCTCAGGCCATGCCCTCTTGAAGATTCAGTCAAGTGCGAGTTGCAATGCTTGAACAGCATAAAGCTTGTTACTTATAGGTACACTGGTCACTATATATGTGATTTGGCCATTCTGTTATGGAGTCAAGTCAAATAGGGCCCGACTCTTGAGGCTCGGTCTGACCATCGCTGTCCTCGGGATAGTGATCATCCAGTGATGAAACGTCCTTTGGCTTCTTCGGTTTCGGTGCAGGAGTCTTGCGGCGCTTAATGCCAGCACTGGACGAATACAACATGCCCTCAGGCGCCCTTTCCTCGTCCGTCTGGCTAATAGACGTCGCCCACTTGGCCATTTGGAGCTGCATGTGCTTGTTGAGCACATCGCCGCTCGCGTCCTCCCAAGACTCGAGGCCATTGCCCTCATGATCCGGTATGTTGCGAATATTGTGGGGCATGTACGCCAACTCGCGTGAAGACGGATCCTTGTTGAACCGCAAGTACGTCCTGCTCCAGCCGTTATCATACCCGGAAGTCGTGAAATTTTCTGGCTCGCCGAACAGCTCGAGCTTCTCTTCAGCCGCGCGCCGTTCAACAGCCTGGCGGTAGTACGGGTGTGTGCTCTGGCACGCGACCTGCCATTGCCACTGCGACGGGTTGACCTGGGGCTGGAGCTCGTCGAACAGCTCTTGATAGTCTCCAGCGATGCAAGCGAGCGTCACCTGATGCTTAAAGTCGGGACGTCTCCACACAAACTCCCGTAGCGTGTTCTCGTGTGGCATATGAGGCCACCAGAACATCGCGGGTAGATCTTGGCCATCGGTGTCAGTGGTGACGCGAGAAAGGTCATTGTTCATAACGAACTGCGCGTTAACAGCCTCCCGGACGTATAGCCACTCGTACTTTGTGTAGATGCCGTGCAAACACGTGTCCAGCCATCTTGCAAAGGGCGTATGGTGATAAGCACCGCGTACGACAGCTGAGATCTCGTTAGGGACAAGCTTTGAACGCCGCAGACGATGATAGCGGTCTACGTTACCGTCCCAGACGGCTGCAATAATCAGCGCGTCCTTGTTCGTTGTAGGCAGATCCCGAGGCAGCGGTTTCCATAATAGGTCAAGAAACTCGCGGTCTAGCGTTGTAACTGTGGGATCCCGTGAGGAAGTCGGCGCGACGTGTGCGTCTTCTTGAATGTCAAATTGTCAAATTAGTAATCGTAGTTACTTAAAAAGACGTTGTGCCATGGATGCACGCGATAATCGGCCTCATACGGGGGTTCAACAGGCGTACTGACTATTGTGGATCGTACGGCTGTGTCGCCGTTGAGGCACCCGGGCTTAGGGGACTGGAGGTTGACTGTGCGAGTGTAGTCATCCATGACGGCGTATCTTGTATCTTGGTGGACAATGGCCTCAAAGATGTTGTAGAGTCGGTTATCCCGAGCTTCTTCTGCGATAGAAACATCAGGTAACAGATTGAGCTCGCCATACAAGGTGCTGTAGCCCGCCACAGCACAAGCACGGCCAACGTGGTAACGCATGTCTGGGTAGCGTCAGGCAAGCTCCCGATACGTCTCCTCAGTCGCAATATCAGGGAACCAGATGCAATAAGGCTTGACTTCGGGCGTGGGCATTTCGGGTATTGTGTTGCTCATAATCAGCCGGGCGTTGCGAGCCCTGGCGTACCGATCGGCCCCCCATTCTGACGAGGAGCAAAGGTCAGCCACTGGTCACGATTTAGTGAAATCATCGTGGTGTCGAGTTCCGCGAATTGCACAGGCAGACTCTAGTAAATTAAGTTTTTCCGGCAGCATCTTCCCATTAAAAGCATCGAGACATTGCCGATTGTGTCCGTTTTGCTGGGCGATTTAATAGTCCTCGTGTGACTCCTCGTCAAGTGGAGATTGGCAGTCAAAGACTGGTCTTCGCGACGACGCAGACATCTGAAGGCAGTTCAAACGACGGTAATTGGAAAGAAGCGGTGGCGAGGATTGAGTGTGGTCTGGTGAAATGAGGCAGCGATTTGGGTTGAGATTCCCTGGTGCCGCAGAGAGGAGGCAGATACTGTGCGGCGAGCAGCAGCAGTATGCCTGGGCACTTTGAATCGACGATGAAAGAGAAAAAAAACTGTGCGATCATTGACTGTAGCATGAATGGTGGTAGTACACGGAGGAGGAGGAGGAGGAGGAGGAGGAGGAGGAGGAAGAGGAGGAAGAGGAGGAATGATGATATTGTGAAAGCTGCGAATAGTATAGCTGGATTGCGGGAGAGGTTGAGCTCAAGGATCTTAAGAATGAAAAGAGAAACATTGAGTGTGTGTTCCGTTAAGCTTAAACTACCTAGAAAGCAATTCTTTTGGACCAGGGTAGGGGTAAAGCCTACTATCCGATCCCGGCGGCAAACCCGAAGCGGGTACCGGGCTCTGGGGCCTCTTGTGCCATGGCAAAGCAAAGCCAGCTGTCACGATGGGTCGTAGTGCAAGGGACATCCTGTACAGCATAAATTTGCTGTACATGTTGGATCGCGGCATCGTGGTCGTGGGTTGAGTTGATGCGGGAGCCAAGAGGACACCTTGCTTTGACTACCTTACCTTATTGATTGCATTACGCTCTATCTGTCTGGAGGCGACTTGACATGCCCTGGTTACTTATCATGCCGTGTGCAACGGTTGCGGACTGATCGCGAGGTGAACAAGGCTAACTTCTCGGCGGACATTGCCCTTTTAGTGGCCGCTGCCTCTTTGAAAGCCTGTTGTGACGTGCGACCAGAGCTGCCTGCGTAGGGTCTGATGAGAAGTCCTAGGATGGCGAAAGGCGCCGATACGGGATCACTGACAATGCTATTGATTAGAAGCGCAGGGTTGCCGACTTCCCCAAAAAGAAGCCCATGCGCGTCACCATTGCCGCGCCGCTGAACGCAACACCTATAGCATCGCTAGCGAACAGGATAAGAAGCAAAACAACTAAGAGAATCTCTAGGATAAACCGATTCTTTTCGCTTTCCCGCTGCTAGGCTCCAATCTCCTTGATCTTCTTGATGGAATATAGGGCTGACTCTAACATGAAGACAGGCATTACCATAGATGTGACAATATCACCTGTGTCTTTGCTGAGGCTGAGAGATATTGCGTAGTATGTCCCGAGGTCTCTGTTAGAGAGAGCCTCTATGCTTGGGAGAGCGGCTTCTATTGCCTCCTTGGGGTTGGACACCTGGGCGTTGTTGCTCTTGATGGGGATGCCTTTCTTTGAGAATTTACCTTTCAAGCAGGGTGGTTTTCTTACCCCTCTAGTAGGCAAGCTACCTGTGTCCAAGCACTCTCCGTTTTGGTGCCACTCCCCAAAGGCTATCCAATCCTTTTGTATCCCAGTAACCTTCTCCATAGCCGCATAGAAGCCATGTGGATCGGTGGGAGTGTTTCTAACGGATCACGACTGGGAAGCTGCTAGGATGTTGGCGGAGGAGGACAAGGGCTAGACGTGGTCTGTATTTGTAGGATCTAGGCGCTCGAGAAACATTTGTTCCTAGCACTAGGTTCTAAGTCCATGTATGCTGTTAGAGATGGGTTAATAGTTTGCTCGACGTACTCGGTGTAGTAACTAAACAACTTATCGCAGTCCTTGATTGCGGCCTTGTATTCCTGTTGGAAGTTGTCAAGAGACTCAGATATGATGTTCAGAGCCTACTAGTCCCAGCAAACAGGGCTATACTTGTTGTCGTCGATCCCTTGAATCAAGTCACCTAGGTTGGTTGGACGCTGCTCTGGGTTGCACATTGCTAGTTTGATCAGCTCAGAAGAAAAGTTTTGTTGTCCTCAACGTTGTACTCCGGCAGATAGTAGCCAGCGATCCGAGGCTCGATGTCGTCGCCAGTGACGCAAATGGATGGACAGTAACCACGGGAGCAGCCGAAGGCGCAGAGGTGCTGGTCGTTTGGAGCGCTTTCCATGGTCCCTGCAGTGCTCGGTCCCGTAGGGTCGAGGATGTCCAATGCGCCCTGGGCGGAGCAGTAGCATACTGCAATGGGACAGAAGCCATGGGCGCATGTAAAGGCACAAAGCTCATTGAAGTATGGTTCAAAACTCAAGGTCTCGCCCCACGTACAGGCGCCAGGCAAGAAAGGGTAGACAGTAGCAATAAGTCAAAGCACCCACTTTTCGGCCACCCCTGCATTTCGGCCACCAGAAAATGCCGCCCAGCCACCCATTTTCTAGATGCCCTCTAACTTCCAACCATCACAACATTTTCCATTCTTCACCAAACAATCTCATTTCTTCAGCATCTATTCTTTATAGCCTAATGCCCCAGTACACAGAATTTGAAGTCCATTGAGCGCTTGCTGACATCTCGGATGGGGTATCTGCTTGCGATGCCTCTAAGCGATGGGGAGTACTACGATCAACACTCCAGAGCCGATTAAAGGGTACCTAACCTAGAGCAGCAGCATTTGAAGACCTCCAGAGGCTCTCTATTAGTCAAGAGGCTAAGCTGGCTAGCTGGGTGCAAATCCAGGCTGACCTTGGGCTTACATCAACACACCAACAAGTCAAGGAATTTGCCTAGCGTATCTTAAATGCTATGGGAGATACCTGGCCTCTAGGAAAGAGATGGTTAGATGCCTTTATATGAAGAAACCTATCTATTAAGGTCCAGAGAAGTCGATCTATCGATTCTAGACGTGTTAATGGGGCATCTACTGAGATTATCAGGAACTGGTTTAGGTATCTTGTAATCCCAGCAATATCAGCCATCTAGCTAGCCAATAGATACAACATGGATAAGACTGGTATCCTCGAGGGTCAAGGAGTAAACGAGCTAGTGCTGGGCAGGGCAGAGACGAAGTCTATACGTAAAAAACAGCCTGGATCGCGAGCCTAGGTATCTATTATCGAGTGTATCTCAGCTGATGGCCTAGCACTACATCCGCTTGTGATATATAAGGGCAAGACAGTCCAGCAGCAGTGGTTTCCTCTAGATCTTGGCCCTTATGATGGATAAGAGTTCACGGCAACAGAGAATGGATGGACAACTAATAAGACTGCTATTAAGTGGCTGCTAAAGGTCTTCTTACCGTAGACTGCCCCCTCCTAGCCTGATTAGGCCAGACTGCTGGTCCTGGATAGGCATAAGAGCTATATAACAACAGAATTTATATGGTAATGCTATATTAATAACGTCTATCTGTTATTCTTGCTGCTATATACCTCCTATGTCCTTTAGCCACTAGATCAATCAGTCTTTAGCCTAGTCAAGGCAGCCTATCACAAAAGGCTCCAGCCTAACCTCAGCCAATAGAACGATTCAACTATAGTAGGCAAAAGACACTTCTTATCTTGTTACCAGCTGGTACGTTTAGCTAGGCTGACGAAAAAGAATATTCTAAGTGGCTAGAAATACACTGGACTATAGCCTGTTACTATGGATAAACCTCTTATGAGCTCCTTGCTGCTGCCCAAGGCAATAACACCAGCAACAACACCATTAACGCCACTTAACAAGGCTGCCCAGGGTATCCAAGGTATCCAAGATACTTAGGATATAGAGGGATAGGTATCTGCTTCATCTGCTGTTGCATGGTCTATACCTAGGAAAATAAGGGACCTTAATAGTTAACTAGACTTATTCAACAAGCTAGATCAAAGTATTGCCACACAACGCCAGCTCTTCAGAAAGGTTAAAAAAGGCTTCCAAGAGCAGTCCTTCCAGCTGGCTACTGCCCAGCATCAGATACAGCTTCTCCAGGCCTAAGTCAGCAACACTACAGCAAGGAAGAGGAAGACTGTTAAAATCGACCCTAATACTAAGTTCGCTAACATCAGCGATATACGGCAAGCCCAGATCGAGGCTGGCGAAGTTGAGATTGACACAGATGAATACAGCGCATCTGATTGCCCTAGTGAAGCAGAAAGCTGTATCATAGTTGCATCTGGGCCTCGGCGATAGTTAATTGAAAAGGGTGGTGTTGTTGCGATAGCTTCGATTTCTGGTGGCCGAAATGCAGGGGTGGCCGAAAAGTGGGTGCTTTGACTTAGGGCGTGATCGATGACTGCGGTAAGAACTGAAATGTGCAATAAGAATTTCAAATGTGTAATAACACTAGCTACAAGTACCCTCTGAACTTAAATTGTGTTACACTAAGCCTAAAACAAGAGGGTATATCATGATTATAGTTCTAGATTATAGAACTTTACGTTATTATATATTTATTATATATTTTAGTAAAAAGAGATTTTATGTAATATAAATTATTAGTTATTTTTTATTTTTTTATATAAATTCTTATTATATTTAAAACTTATATTAATATTACTATAATTATTATTATATTTTAAAAACTACTTTTTTATTACTTATTACTATAATTAATTATTATAAATAATTTATTATAAAATTTAATTATTTTATTATAATAGTTATATTTAGTGTTATTATAGTAAAATATTAAGTTAATAAAAATAAAAATAAAAAAAAAGTTATTAATAATAATAGTACTATAACTATATATTAAATATATTAGAAGTTTTTTTTTAGTTTAAACTACTATTTCTTATACTTTTTTTGCTTTAATAAATAGTAATTTTAAGTATTATTAAAATAGCTTATAAATAATATACCTTTATAGTTATCTTAAAACCTTTTTATTAAGTAAAAAGTACTTATTTATTTATTTATTTTATTTTATAATAGTAATTTTAGTTAATAAGCTATTATTTATTTTTTTTATATTAGTTAATTAATTATATTTCTAGTTTAGAATAAAGTTTTATTATACCTTATAAAGCTTTATAAGGTATATATTATTTTTTATAGAGAAGCTAAAGTCTTAAAAGAAATTAAAGGTAATAAAAAACTAGGTAAATACTTTATTAGTTATATTAGAGTAGTTAATAGTATACTTGTTAGTGTATATATTTCTATTACTACTTAAAGGAAGTAGTGTAGTTAAAAAAGAATAGTTTCTTAAAATGTTTTTATTATTATTTGTTTTAATAGTAGTTTTTTATTTATATTTATTAAAGCTAAAGGGTTAATTTATAATACTAGTTTGATTAATTTTGTAAATATTAAAGGGTTTAAAGTCCTTAAAGGCTAGTATTTTTTAGGGGATATAGGGTTTAGTACTTAGAATAGTATTATTATTTCTTATTTAAAAACTTATTACTATTTATAAGATTTTAAGGATATAAATAAACTACTAGAAATAGCTTAAGAGTTATATAATCTTTAGTATAGTTATCTTTAAATAATTATTAAGTAGGTATTTAGCTACTTAAAATAGAAGTAGAAGATAATTACTTTTTTAGCCTTAAAGTATAGCTTAAATATATAAGTATAAATTATTTATATAGTAATAGGCTTATATAACTTTTTATTTTATTATACTAAAGATAAAGGGTATAATAGTAATATAAAAAACTAGTTTAATATAAATAAAGTTAATAAAAGGGCTAATAAGTAATGTTTAGGTTAAAGTATAAGATAAATTTGTAAAAAGATAGCTAAAGTAATATAGAAATAGTAGTAAGTATAAGAAAAGTAGGAATTACTATAACTAATTACTATAATTTATATTTTTTTCCTTTAAATATTCTCTATTATTTCTTTAATAAAATTAAAGTTGTAAGCTTATATAGCCTTATAAGTTATACTAAAAACCTCCTTTTAAGAAGTTAAGTATATTTTAATAAGTAGCTAAAGCTAAAGATAAAGCAGTAAAACTTCTTATAGAGGCTTAAAAGCTTTTATTATTAAGTAACTAAATCTTATAGTTACCTTTAAGTTAAAAGTAACTTTATTTTATATCTTTGTAGGACTAAAAAGAATCTTTTTTTAAGAAAATAAAGTAAAAAAGCTTTAAACTTATATTTATATTAATAATTTATAGTAATTAGTTATAATAACTAGCTTACCTCTTTAATTAACTACTTAATAGTTAATTTAAAGTCCTAAGTTAAGTAGTAACGTTAAATAATATAAAAAAAACTTTTACTTTATTAACTTATAGTAAAATAATATTAAAAAATAAATTATTTAAAAAATAATTAATTAGTAAAGTCTATTAGTTATAAAATTTTAATTTTATTTTTTTTTTTTTTTAATAGAAATAAGAAATAATTTTTAAGAGCTTATAGTCTCTAGAAGTAAAGACCTTTTAATACTTAGTTAAGACTAACTAAAGAAGAGATTTCTCCTTTATAAAGATATTTATAGTAGCTAGTAAACTTTAACTAGGCTAAAGAAAGCCTGCTTTAAAAGTAACTTTAAGGTAAATAGAAGGTTAAACTTTTAGGTAATAGACCTTAGTAAAAAGCTAGTTAAGAGCTATATATTAATAGTTAGTTATATAATAGTACTTTTAGTAAATAAGATCCTAGTTTTATTAGTAATTTATAATAATCTTTTATAGTAATTACTTACTTTTTTATATTTAGTAATAAGTACTTATATTTTTTGTTAAATATTGATGCTTTTAATAGAAAAAGAACTAACCTTAAAGTTATAGTAATCTTTAAGATTAGTTAGCTTTTTTTCTATTTACTTTTTTAAGCTAAAAAAAAAAATCTCTTTCTAGTTATTATTATTATTATTATTCTAGATAACTTAATTATTATTATTAACCTAGATAAAAGCTTAGCTCTTAGAAAAGGCTTAATAAAGACTAAGTTATATAGTAATAATTCTTAAATAATTACTTTTTACTTATTTATTTTTAAGGTTAAAAATAAGTATAAAATAGATAAAAGAAAGGTTATTTATATTATAGTAGTAATATTATTAATTACCTTAGCCTTTATATTAGCTTTAATTAAAGCTATACTATTAATATATAGCTAGGACTTCTTAAGAGTAGCTAGTTTATGATTTTTTTGGGTAATAAAGGACTTTTTAGCCCTTTTAAGCTCTTTTATTTCCTCTGTTATTTCTTTAATGCGTTTATAAGCTTTTTTAGTATATATATTCTTAGAGTAGTTGTTATTAGCCTTTTGCTTTATGCTAGTACTAGAGCTTAGTAGGTAGCCTAGAGAAATATTAGTTAAGTTATTATAATTAATTACTATAAATAAATAAATATAAATAGACCTTATAAAGGCTAAAAGGAAAATATTCTTAATAATAAGTAAAAAACTAAATAAAAGTTAGAATATTTTTAAAATAAATAAAATAATTAGTTTTTTACTTCTAAATTGATTTTTTTTTAGAGTTATTATTATTATTATTAAAGAAAAAAAAGTAAAATTAAAAAAAAAGAAAAGGTAAAAATAGGTTAAAAATAATAAGTAGAATAACTATGAATCACTTTATTTTTTATATTTTTTTTAATTATTAATTATATCTACTTTACTTATATTCTTTTATTTATTTTTTTTTTCTTTTTTTTTAACTTTACTTTTTTTTTTTAATAATAATAATAATAATAATAATAACTTTTATAAGTTATTTTTTATTTTTTTATTTTTTTTTAAAAATTATTAACTATTTAGACCTACTATAATACTAGTAGCCTAAGCTTTTTATAAATACTCTTTAAAAAAGGGTACTAAAAAGCCTTTTATAAAAAAAAATAGTACTAAAAAGTCTTTTACTATTAAAGCCTTAGTAAAAAAACCTTTAGCTAAAAAGGCTACTAAAAAAACGCTTAAAAAGGTTATAGCTATTTTTTTAAAAAAAAGACACTAGAAGGCTAATAGTAAGTACTTACTTAATTACTATAAGTGATTACTATAATACTAATTTACTTTTAGTTATTACTTTTTATAAAATTTGTAAGTATTAGAAGTTAATTAACCTTTTAATAGTAAAAGTACCCTTTTAACGTTTTTATAAAAAGATTATATATAATATTTCTTAATAAAATAACTTTTACTTTTAGAAGATAATTATTCTTATACTTTAAGAGGCTACTAAGACTTATTTTATAGCTATATTTAAAGGTATATAATTATTATAATTGATTATTATAATAACTAACCTATATCTTTTTAGCTATTTAGTTAGCTACTATTTATACTAAGAGAGTTACTATTATAAAGAAGGATATAGACTATGTTAAGTCTATTCTTCTTGCTGTAAAGCTAATAAGTAAAGACTAGTACTATTATTAACCTTTTCTAAAGTCTTTTTAGTTTTTTAGATAAGAGCTATCTGGTTTTAGTTCTGGTTTAGGTAAAAGAAAAGGAAAAACTGGCTTAACTGCTATATAAAAGCTTATACTTAAGTAGTGCTGTAAAAAGCTTTAGAAAAAGAACTGTAGTCTAACAAGGCTTTAGGAAGAGAACTATAGTCTAATAGTTAAGGGAGATACTATAAGAGGAAATAAGAATACTACTTAAGAGATATTTTTATAAGTAGACTAGTACTAAGGATTACTATAAAGGATTATTATAAATAGAAAGATTTTACTACTAGTACTTAATTTTTTACCTATAAACCTTTATATAATATGTTTTCTTTAACTTATTGCTTAGTAGTAAATTTTAATACTTTACTCTTAAAACTATTAGTTTTTTTTTTTTTATTATTAATTAGTTTAAAATAACTAAATAAACGTTATAATTAAGATCTTTTTTAAACTTTATAAGGTTTTTTATTACCTTATTAACTTTAGCTTTTTTTTGTGATAGTTATTTTTTTTCTTTTTTTTTTTCCTATAGCTTTAACTTTAGTACTTTTTTTTTATTATTAGAGTATTTATTTCTAAGCTTTTATATTGATTTACTAATATAGGCGTTAGTCTTAGTAGTAGTAAGTCTTTTTTTTAGTAATTTGTTATTACTAATAGGGATATATTATTACTAGAATTATTTATTAGATTACTGGTTTTATGAAAATATAGGAGTACTAAGAAATAATATAAATAATTATAATAGTATATAAAGAGACTAACTTTCTTATATATTCTTTAAGTTATTATTATTATTTTTGTTATTTTCTTTATTCTTATTTGTTTTAAAGTTAGTCTTTTAGTTATATATAACCTTATTAACTAATAATATAGCGTTACTTTTTTTAGTGTTTATATCTTATATTTCTTTATATAAATCTAGTAGTCTTAACTTTTTTTTAAAAACTTATTTATGTTTTAAGTAAATAATTAAGAAGTTTTCTTTTACCTTATTACTATAAAAGACCTTTTTATTATCTTTATTAAATATATTACTTAACTTATAAGTAATAGACGTTTAAATAAAAAACCTTTTTTTTTTACTATTATATTTATTTTTTATTTATTTATTAGTTATAAGACTAATAAACTAGCCTTTAATATTAATTTATATTATAAGATCTTTAAAGACTAGTTTTTTTATAGTAGCCTTATTAATATTAAGGTTTTTATTATAGTATAGATTAAAAAGCTTCTTTATAAAGTGATAAGTAAGCTTTAAAGTCTAAATAGTATAAAAGTATATTAGTATTTATTAACTAAATAAATCTTTAAAAAAAGGTAATATACTACTTAAGGATTTATTATTAATTTTATTATATTTTTTATTATTATCTTTATTATAGATTTTAGTAATATCTTAAATAACTTTTTTATTAAGCTATTACTTCTTTACTGGCTTTTTTCCTAATTAACGTAATAGGTCTTTTTGTTTATTAGTAATAGAAGCTAAAATAATTAGTTAAATAACAATAAAGCTCTTTATATTAATAAAAAGCCTTTTTTTATTTTACTAGTTACTTATTATAGAGGTATAGGTAATTATAGTAATTATTTATAATAATCTAATAAGAAATAATAATATAGATAAAAGTAAAGGGAAATAAAGCTTATTTAGCCTAGAGAAAAGGGAAAGCGGTGAGGATAATAACCTCCATAGGGATAACAGCAATACATTACCTAATTTAAGCCTTAATAATACAGGAAACTCTACTTAATTTCAACCTGAGGTATTTTTTACTACGGTACGGCCGTTACCGCACTTATAACGCAGTCATCGATCAGGCTCTTAACCGTGGGATGCCGTACGGTATCGCAGTAGGCTTCGGGGCAGTACCCCCAGTTGCACGCATTCGCACAAAAACCTCCGTGTTCGTCAGTCCTCCCAGCAGCCGGGTACACCTCAAGGCCTTGCTACTTTGGTATCTCCTTTTGTGTGCCCAGTTTGGTGCAGTGGCACAAACTACATACGTTTTTTAAACAGACCCTCGGATTGGGAAGTTGGCTCTACGTGAAACAGCTGCCGTGTGACCAAATGAGTCGGTAACTTAGAACCAGATGGATGGCGAGACATAATTAAGGTTTATGCGTCCAATGGGTTCTCTGAACAGGGTTGGAAGTGGTGTCTCCGAAAACAGCAGCACATACCTAAACAGATGGCCCTCAGATACTGGGGGAAGCGATTCACAGCGCACGTCAACTAGCAGAAGAAAGTACGCCATCACACTTTCAAGGACTACCTGAACACCATCAATCGAAAGTTCAAAGTATAAGAATTTCTATGTCCAATCGACAGTATTTTTTTGAATACGTCCCACTTTCTTACTTCAATCTACCAAAGACTCCGTAACTCATACCCAACATTCATCATGCTCGAAGCCGCTTGTTCCAGGACCATTCCTGTCGTCCTGTACATCCTGGCCTGGATAGGTTTTGCAGTGATCACAATCATCTCTCTACTAGCCTTAGCAGGTGGGGCTTTTGCCATTCTATTGCACCGCTCTGGCTTTGCAGAAACCGAGACCTTGGAGGTCAGAGACTTGGATAAGGAAGACTACAATACAGCTGGGGGACTCGACACAGGACTTTCGGTACGTCTCGACGACTCTGGTTGTAATGTAGACAACTAATACATCATAGCAGTAAGGTAGGATCAAGGTTGGATAAAAAACTGACATGAAATGAGAAAGGATAAGGGCAGGTTTAAAGTAGCAAGCCGATCAAGCTTGTTTATTTGTTACAACTATCAAAGGCTAGATGAGCGGGAACATACCGGATAATACATACTACAAATGGCTTCCTTGGGAGACTCTGTGACAAAAAGCAAGAGTCTGATACAGAAAGAGACACACTGGGTCCATGTAAATTCAGAATGCCTATCCTAGGATAACAAGCTTCATTTCAGTCGTGGTGATCCCATGGGCTACTTCGATCCGAGTACCCAATTCCTACCTGATGCCTGGTGTGCAACTACTTAAGGCTCCTCCCAACGCCATGCCCCGATCATTCATCTGACGCGGATAAACCCAGGTTGTATTCCTCTATTGTAGTACTCTGCCCAGATTGGGTGGCTACTATGGAGATCAAAACAGGTTTTCAGTGGGGGGAACTTATGTTGCGCGTGACTCAACTTGGCAATCGAATGAGAGGTTCTGTGGTAATTCCGCACATCTGTGTCTTGGCTGGCGGAACCGTGATGGTGTACCTCGTTTGACTGCAACCTTCTTTCCTACCAGAAAAGGTTGAGAATGCGTAATGGAGATAGCATTCAAGCTTTACAACAGATCACACCATCTTACCAGCAAAACAATTTCGTTTCCTTAAAGTACAGTGTACTACTCAAAAGTAAGTTTGCATCTGTTTTCTGAGCGAACAACTATGGTAATTTGCAACAACACGGTCTCAAAACAGACCATCAACACTTGAAATCAATACCAGCTCACCATAACTGCAGCTTCGACCCGCAGTCTACAAGACACTGAAGCTCCCAGTCCTAAACCCCCAAATATGTTCAGCTCGATAAAGGTCCCTATCCCGACCATTATCGGAGACACAATGGAAGTCGCCAATGATACCCTTGTTCCCGGAGCGGACGAAGACGCATTCATCTTCATTGTCGGCCTTTGCGTCTGTATCGTATTCCTCCTCATCATTCATACCGCCTCAAATATTATTATCTACAGACAATATAACTACGACAACTTCATCGCAGAACAGCGCCTCTCCCTTAGAGCTAGGCGAGGGGGGCAGCGCGAGGCTGGGGAGAGTTTGCCTCGCTATACTGCAGAAGATCCCACGACATGGGGACTCTTGGATAGTGTTTTGGGTGCTCAGATACCGCCCCCGACGTATCAAACGATTGTCACCGCTGCACCGCCTTATGACGAGGACGAGGAACAGGCCCGGGAAAGAGACGGAACTAGCAACGGTGCCGTTGTCGCGCTGCCGCAATATGTGAACCAGGAAGATATTTCGGAGTCACATAGTTCTGATGACCCGGTGTAAACGGTTTGAAGAGAACGGCCATAGATGCCTGCTGGTTGTCTGGGACGATTAAATAAGGGTATAGACCAAGAAACATCCCGCTCACCAGCATGGGTCGATACTTTTCAAGCCAACAAGTCTTTGCTTTATCTTTCTTCTATCACCGCAGCTTGGGTTTGTAACTGAAACCGGGCTGATGTGTTGTCCAGACGTGGCATTTTCCTCCACATTGAAAGCCAGCCCATTAACGAGAGACGATTCAAACAAAGACATTGGAGGGCATCATTTCAAGGAGGATCAGAAACCTAGAGCTACATGGGGTAATTCGTCTGCAACATCGCGAATTTCGTCAAAGTTCAAGTAGATCCCCGTAAGGGCAACGTGGAAAGCAATCCAACAGGTGAAATGGTTAGAATCAGGAACAATATGACAGACTAACAATAAACTAAGACTTGTCTCAGTTCAGTCATGATAAGCTCTGTAGGAAGTATTTCAGGTATAGAAAGAAAAAGAAGAAAATCTGCAATGTGAATACAGAGAGAAAAGGCAGAGGGAAAGAGAGAAAGGCCTAGCTAGAGCTGTATGTGGTTGTTCAACGCGCAAAAAACAAGAGTGGGCTCAATCGGGATTCGAACCCGAGACCTCGCCCATTTTCTGCGCTAGGCGCAAGGGTTGTGAAACCCGAAGGGCGAATCATACCACTAGACCATTGAGCCAGGCAGTTCCTGAGAAACCGAATGAGTGGTAATTGGTGGCGATTCGTGGCCAGCTTGAGATATATGTAGGATACCCAATACTGACTCGCGCACACTAACAATGCTATGCCACTCGAGAAATCGCTTTGCTCTCAAATGATGCCATTAAGTTGTGATTGAAAGTCGCTGAAATGATGTGTCCCTATTCATACAGGCCGTCCCGACATGCTTTGCACACCATCTCTCCATTGGGTATCTCACGCACTAAGACAAACCAGCCAATCTCCTGAATCCAACATTCTCCACGATTCTTAGCCCACCATTCAACGTAGTGATACCCTTCCCGCCAGCCGCCATCCCAGCGTCGACCTTGCCCATCGCCATCTCCGCCATGAATCTCCCCAACGTTTCGGTCGGGCTGACGAATGATGGATACAGGGTCCTAGTCAAGGGGCCTACGTAAGTAAACATCAAGTTGTAGAACATGCCCGGGTTCGGCACGTAAGGCTTGATGGCGTCATGGTCCCCCTTGTCGACAAAAGCCGGGCGGATAGACTCGGCCCGCAGGCGCGGGTTTGCGGCACGCATCTCGGAGAGGGCAGTCTCGGTCTCGCCCTTGACGCGGGTGAAGATGGCGCTGAAGCGGCCCGGTTGCTGAGTGGCGCCCACGCCTGATACGAAGATGAAGCGGAAGGGCTCATTCTCCGGCGGGAGATTGGCGAAGGCCTTTGCTGCTTCTAGAGTGTAGTTTTTGGTGATCTTGACGTAATCCCTGGGTCTGGTTAGTAGCTACAACTTGCAAGGGGCAACGGGAGAGTGCTTACTCCTTGCTCACTTTGTTCTGGCTGATGCCCAGAGCCCACACGGCACCATTCGCGCCCTTGAGCTTGTCTAGTAATTCCGAGTCGTATTTTTCGAAGTCCTTGTGGATTATGACGTTGATGCGAGGGTCTTTGGCGTCCTCGGCCATGGGAACTGGGTTCCTGCTGAGAATAGAGATTTTTGTAATGTCCTTCATCTTGATCATGGCATCCAGAGCGCCTGAGCCGACCAGGCCAGTTGCGCCAGTAAGGATAAGATGCATCGCGGAGGTATGCTTTGGGGGTTGTCGATTCGTTTGGGTCAGAATCTGCAAGGTTACGGTGTTGAAAGTTGCGTAACCTGAAGGATTGACAGGAGAAACATGAGAGGTCGTCGGCATCGCCATCAGCAGCAGGGCAGCCCTTTATTTCACGATACATCACATCCAATGCGGGCGATGCGGCCGCCAGCAGGGGCCGTGCCGGAGTTAGCGCTATCGCCACCACTAAACGCCTCTGGCTCATGTAGGACACGGCTGCTACCGCCCCCTTTGTTTGCGAGCCTCATTAGGCCGATTCCGGGCCCAGAGTCTCGTTGGCGGAGAAGTTGCATCACTTCTTCCGTCTGTTCTGCTGGAGGTGCTTACCGGCTTGATCATGGCGTTCATTGAATACTACCTAATAGACATACGCTGCGTGTTCTAGGCTGAATGTGAATGGAAGCTTTCGCCAACGCCAGAGACTTCCAGGCACCTGTGACCTGTCGCAACGCGCTGAGCCTCTGAAAAACATCCACTCTTAACCCCGACAAACGCCATACTCCGCTGCGGGATTTTGCATTTTGCCCTCCAACAGGTGCCCTTCAATTTCAAAATTTCCAGCTTCTCGGAATTCTTGATTCTCCACTCGGTCGGAACATGGCTCTGAAGCCAGGGCAGTGAGTGCGCGTCCATCAAGTGATGGCTGGAAAGCAATCAAATGGTAATGCGAGCCGTGGGAGATGTGACGATACATGGCCGAACGTTCCAGCTGGTCGTCTGATCTCAGCTCTCAACGCCCTTGCGAACCGTTGCACCTCAAGAGTATTTCAGCCTTAACTTGTGAACTGCATTGCTTTCTGCATCCGAGGACAGATGACATTATGTTGCTGTGTTCTCATTGATTGGTTGTGTTCACCATCTTGTGTGGTAGATGTCATCTCAGAGAAAGGGGCACAGCTGGGAGTGATTGGCTCCTTGGAGTTTTGTCCTTTCGTGTGAAAATCGCACCCGTCAAAGATCTAAGCAAGTCGCGTGCGAGAATGTGTCAGCTAACAAAGTTGACGCGGAGCTGCAGGTAAGGGGAGATGCTGGGCAGAGGGACCGGGATAAACCTATGCCATCTCACGTTCGTATTCTGTGCTTCTTCTTGGCGACGTGACAAACGTGAATGTTTACAAGAACCACCAGCATGTCAACCCAAGAGGCGGCCTAGACGTACTCCAACGTCGCTATGAGTCGTAACGGGTCGATATCCGACTTCACTTGCGAGTCTCCAGGCCGTTGTCAATGTTGTTAGTGATTGCCTCTAGCCCGGTTTTAGGGGTCCCGAGCCACGTGACAGATCGCATTTTCTCCCTGCTGTCAATGACAGGAAACAACGTCAGACGCCTGACCAGGAATCCCAACGGTCTTCTTCTACGGTCTAGCAACCGTGTCGAACGTGCACCGACGTGACCCGAGGATTCGGGCCGCCATGCGATGACACGGTGACCTATCACCATTCGGGTATCCATAGGTCGGCTTGCGATCCCCCTTTCTGTCGACGTTCCTCTCTTCCGACGTAAAGGAATATCTACGGAGCTCAGATATCCCGAAAACCCAGCAGGTGCTATTTGCTGCTACCAGAAATGTATTGATCAAACTGAGACACGTGCGTTGCATTGATTGTCCCAAGCTCACGTTGAGCTCAGCTGACGGCCGTCAAGGGTAAGGGCATGCTGGCGAACCATCGATCTAGGACAGGGCCCGAAAACTGTGAAAGACGTGTTCATTACCGCCCCAAGGACCGCGTGCTCACAGTAGCCGACGCGGACTTTGGCATTGATGCAAACAAGGGACACCCACCGAAACCCCACGGGGAGGCTCTGCGTCGAGCCACAAGCTTTCCTGCATGATCGATAAAGTCGGCTTTGGGTAATTGCAAGCGGTTTTCTGCGACTGCAAGTTCGTCCGGCGCTGAATTTCCCCAAAACTAGATTGACAATGATACGGGGGCTCTACGCTCTGGTCGTCCCTTCTGACCATCAGTCGGAGCCACCACACTTCGGAGACGTATCAACAATAGTGGATGAGAAGATGATGATGTGATCTCGGCAGGATGCCCGAGGGAAGAAATTTCGACCCCCAACGACGGATAACGAGAACGAACGCGATAACTGGCTGCGATTCCAATCCGAGTCAGACGCAGTCGAGGCCAAGCCTGCCATGGACCTGTCTGGCTTTGGCGTCGAATAACGGCCCGATCGAGTGGATCGCGTCTGTAACGCTAACGGCGACTGATGGTCTGGACGCCCTCTGGACGCTGTCCCGTCTCCATCGGGTCCCATCAACGCGACGGGACGACCTACCGTATTCAGTCTACGGTCTACCTTAAACTATGGCGGCTGGGGAAACCCCAAACTTTGCTTTACGGAGACAGGCTCCAGACGCGTCTGGGGAACGTATGATATCGTGGGGTCTTCCCTCTGATGCGTTACACGGACGAGACTATCCGTATCCGCAACAGTCATGTGAGCAGCACGCAGGCTTAGCTAATGAGCGGCGCTTCTTTCTACTCCATGCTTTCTATCAAAGCCTGCGAGCAATTAACAACACTCAATGTGCGAGGCCCCCGCAGCGAGTCCGATGACAGGCATGGTAGAGCATCTGAGCGCCCGCAAGCGAGATTTTCTGAGGGATGTCTGACCATCTCCCCAGCTCGAGCTGCCCATGGGGTTCCCCATCTGTTCTGCGGAACCTGGAAGCATGATATGTGGAGGTTCTTGGGGAATTCGGCTAGAACCACCTACAGGGAGTAAGGGTGCAGAAGCACCGGCGCCATTGAATCTAATCTGCTCTTGACGGGCTCCCACATTGTTGGAACCAAGCCATGATCAACAGGCACACGGGCCAGCCCACCAGTGGCCGGCCTGCCAATGGCCCAGCTTCGTTACAATCTATCAAACAAGCTTGTCTGGGTATCCCTTGCCAGCCTCTCGCTGTTACCAGCTCATTATCACGCTGTCACGCCCAGCCTTCACTGCATTCTCGGCGCCAACGCCAGGAGATGAACTCGGCCAAACTACTGGCGCGTCAAGGGGGTATGCGCTGACCGGCTTCACGGCAGTCTTCTAGTGACGTTCCACCGGGTTTCTAGCGTCCTACCGAACGAGGCATAACGGCGTCGGCATTGACGCCGGATTGCCTTATCATTGGTTACACCAAGACCCAGCAGGACCGCAACACTGTCAAAAAGGCACGATGCCAAGCTCATTACCTCCCCCGCGCCATTCCCCTTTCAACCCCGCAAAATCCCGCCTCTGGGGGTGTGCCTGGGTGCCGCCGCGAGAATCAGCGAGAGAATATGCGTCCGGCCGTATTGTGGAGAGTTCGTGAGACGGTCTTCTGCCCGTCTCGTGGCGAGCCGACTCTTTTCTGCGTTTCCTGCCTACAACCCCGGCCGCGCTGTTATTCTTCCTGGGCAGCCAGGTCTTGGCCATCCCTTGGCAGCTCGATGGGCAGGGCAAGCCTAGTGTCTTTTCCTGCTGGCTCCGTCGGTCGGGTTCGCACAGCCAGAGTCCTCTCCAGTCCTGCACTGCAGACTACGAACTAGCCCTTGCCTCATCCACCCCGCCAAACACTGACGCCAAGGGGGACGCCGGGCCCAGAAGTGATCCATGCGAAATCCACACCCACGGGGGATGGCCTGGGGGTGGATGGTTGGGGCTCAACGGACGAGCCCATATCCCGGCATTTGCCCATGGGGATATCACAGATCACGTCGCGAACATGTTTGGATAAAAGGTGGTTCTTTCCCCGGACTAAAATAGTTTATTCTCATCATCACCCACAGCTCAGGCAGCCTTCTTCACAGTCATCACAGTGGTATTTTCAGCTCAGGAAGCACTTACACTCGACTGTCTTCCTAAAATCGTCACCCATCGCCACCAAACAGAACCAACACAATGGCTGGCGGCGCTCCGATTATGGCTCCGGCCGTGTCTGGTGGTTACCTCACCGGTCGAGCCCTGATCTTCCCCCTCTCCCTCGTCATCTCTCTGTTCTTCCTCTGGGGATTCTCCTACGGCCTCCTCGATGTCCTCAACAAGCACTTCCAGACTGTCCTCGGCATCAGCAAGCTTGAGTCCACCGGCCTGCAGGTCATGTACTTCGGCGGCGGTTACCTCCTCTTCTCCCCTGTTGCCGCCGAGGTTCTGAAGCGCCGTGGCTACAAGTTCACCATCCTCATGGGCCTTGCTCTCTACTCTCTTGGCGCTATCCTGTTCTGGCCTGTCGCCCATGCCTCCCTCTCCACCGACAACAAGCGTGCCATCTTTGGCGGCTTCTGCGCCTGTACTCTTGTCATCGCCTGCGGTCTTGCCACTCTCGAGACGTCCGCAAACTCGTACGCAGTTGTCATCGGCAAGCCCGAAACCGCCTCTGCTCGTCTCCAGTTCTGCCAGTCTTGGAACGGTGTTGCCTCCTTCATCGGCCCCCTTATTGCCTCCAAGTTCTTCTTTGAGGGTGCCAACGCCAACTCTCTCACCAACGTCCAGTACGTCTATCTCGCCGTCTCCTGCGCCGGTGTGGCCGTCGCCGTACTCTTCTTCTTCGCCCGCCTTCCTGAGGTCAGCGAGCAAACCCTTGAGGAAGCCGGCCCCAACGCCGATGCCCTCGGCCGTCCTGTTGGTCAGGGCCCTATCTACAAGCAGTACAACCTCATCTTCGCCTTCATCGCCCAGTTCTGCTACGTCGGCTCCCAGGTCACCGTCGCGACCTGGTTCATCAACTACGCTCATGAGAACGGCGGTTTCTCTGACTCTCAGGGCGCCAACTTCCTCTCGTTCGCCCTCATGACCTTCACCGTTGGCCGCTTCGTCGCCACCGCTCTTGCCACCGTCTTCCAGTCCGACTTCCTCCTCATGATTTACGCCGCCGCTGCCATTGCCCTGACTGCTTACTGCTCCGTCGGCACTGGAAAGGCTTCCGTTGGTGTTCTCATGACTATCTTCTTCTTCGAGGCGCCCATGTACCCCATTCTCTTCACTCTCGGAACTGCCAACCTCGGCCGCCACACTCGTCGCGGCGCTGGTATCATGGTGCAAGCTGTTGCAGGTGCTGCCGTCTTCGTGCCGATCCAAGGTGCCATTGCCGATGCCGCACACATCCGAATTTCTTACATCGTGCCCCTCATCGGCTTCACCTACGTGGTGGGCTATGCTACTTTCCATTGGTTCCGCCACGGCCGCAACATCATGCGCATCAAGGATGCGAAGCGCGCCGCTGCCGAGTCTGAGACTGAAGGTGGCATGGTGACCATTGACGGATCTGAGAAGAAGAAGACCGACGACTGGGTGGAGAGTGTTTAGAGGCAAGCAAGGAAGGATGAGATACCCAAAGCGATGATGATGTTATGAGTTTATTGTTGTTCTTCCAACATACGTAATATACACGAGCACCTATCCATGTCGTGTGGCAAAGGCCAACGACACAGCGCGGCGTTTCAATATGGATTATACTAGATGATAGATGGCAAAAATCTAGACATTTCAAACTTCAGAGCGCTGTCCAATCATTCCGCCGACCTTGCTCCTTTCCGTGTATTGTGGATCTCTCCACCTGCCGAGCGCCAGGCGCCGCATCGTCAACATTAATCCACGTCCATACACCAGCCAATTATGACAGATTTCCGCAAGAGAAGCTTCTGTCCTCTGTAACGCCTATAGAAGCATAGACATACCCGCAACAAGACTCACAATGGCCGCCGCGGCCGCGGCACTTCCGCTTTTGACTCTGCCTGCGTTGCCCATGGCATTTCCGCTAGACGACAGGAAGGGTCTTTGCGCCACGACGCGAATATTATCGACGAGCCTGTCTTTGTCGCGCGTGTAGTCCGCACCAGTGAAGTTGCATTCGCGCATGATGATGTCCAGGTCTATCCAAGGTCAGTGACTGTTCACGTCAAGGAAAGTCCATGGGACTGGATAGACGTGAACGGACGAGGCACTAGACTTACTGTTCGCCCAGTTTCCAGACTTCCGTATGCAACTCTGACATAGTCCCGCCAACAGCTGCACGTTGAAACTCGTGTTCGCACATGTGCATTGCTTCTCGGCATTCTCGCGATTCTCCTGCTGAGTTGGCTGCTTCTCAGGGCCGGTACCGACGGCCGGTAACGCCGCAGGGTTAGTTGAGGACGCCTGTGGCGGGGATTGCTTCGGCCGGGTGGGTTGCTTTTGCGGTGGAATTGTCTGTTCTGGGGTGGCCGTCGACGACGAAGATGACGAAGAAGAGGTTCGAGGCGAAGAAGGATTCTCAGGAGGCTGCTGCTCCGGGGGCTGCAGTGCGGGAGGCTGTGGAGGTTCTCGTGATGTCGATGATGGCCGTGGTAGAGGCGGTGGGATTTGTACCGGTGGCGGTGCTTGTACAGGAGGCGGAGCTTGTACAGGAGGAGGAGCTTGTACAGGAGGAGGAGCCTGTACAGGAGGAGGTGGCGGCGGGAGAAGAGCAGGAGGCGGGAGAGGGAGTATCGGGAAAGGAGGGAGTAACGGGAAGGGAGGCGGAGCCTGGATTGGTGTGGGTATCGCTGGTGCCGGCACCGTCAGGAAGACTGTCGAAGTGATCAACACTGGCGGGGGAGGCGGGAGGGTAGTTGTCGAGGTACTCGTTGAGGAGCTTGTGGAGGATGTTGTTATGCTCTCGGAGGAAGACGAAGACGACGACGGTGTAGATTCCGGTGGAGGAGGCGGTGGTGGTTGCGCGGACGGGGTGGGATTATTCTGAGTATCTGATGTACTCAGTGCAGGATCCGGCGCGGGAGCAGCAAACGGAAGCGTGGCGATGAAGGCGGGGGTTGCCTCCACAGCCGGTTGCGCTTCGGCAGCATTGGTGGGAGCAGCTTGTTGCCCTTCTCGAGCCGGTGTCGACGCCTCTGCTTCATCTTGGGCTGGGCGGCGGTGATGATGGCGGCGCACAACACCGTAAGCGCCTCCAGGAGGACGTCTTCCCTCTTGTATCCTTTCCGGCGGTGGATTCGGTGGCAGATGCTCGATCTCCCTACGCTTCAGTCGCCTCAGCTCATCGAAGGTATTATCGACGTCGCATTTATACGTTAATTCGACAATTGGCCCGCATATTGTTGCACACTGGACCGGGACATCATCAACCTGCACCTCCCTCGCCTTCGTCAACGCGGCGAGGCCCGAAAGAAATAGCACCGATATGTTCGTCCCTCTCATTCTTCCCTTGAGCCGGTGCCTCTGGGTCCAGCTCTCCGTATTAACCCCTTGGTAGCGACGGTCTGGTATCGTGCGTCTCAAGGAAGACACCAAAGGCAGGGAGATCGTGAAGTCGCTGGTAACGACAGAAAGGAAGTCTAACAGCGTCAAAAAGGCACCGCGGACTGGTCGTGAAGAGGGTCATCCGCACATCATCCGAAAACCGGTCTACTGTGGAAGGACGAGTTCACCCAGGGCGCCACCTATATCACACAGCTCGTCTCTCTCTCTCCCTCGGATTCTCATGTCATCTCCCCAACCGCAGGCGCATCCTGTACGCCTCCCGTCACATAGCATCAACGGATGAAACGGCGCCTCCGAAGGGAAGAAAAAGGTTGAATAGAAAGCCAATCACTACCCTACCTACACTCACTGACCAGACTAAACTGCCGATTTTGGCCACCAAGATTGCCGGCACTGACCTGTCAGGTCACACACATACACACTCCAAGATGCGAGTTAACGTCACAGAGGCAAGGAACCCCGGGAACGGAGAAAACCGCTTGTAAAGCTACTTGCCCAAAGGGGAAATCTGGGTTCGAACGACTCGTCTCACTCGTCTCGGAAACAAACCATCGCATGGAGGTGGGACGGTTGGTAGGTCTGGAGACGTCGAGGAAAAGGTGCCCTCCCAAGCCTCCTACTCATGAGACTCTTTGCGCCGCTGTTGAAGAGTGCCATGTGAAACGCGAACGGACCGCGCATCCGGCTCGCCCAATCTCGATGCATTGGAACTCAGAATCGTCCTTTCTCAGTCAACCAATCTGGGGACTCGCGACCCCCGAAGAACAAAAGCGTTTGGTCGTCGGAAGTAACAGGCCGATTATGGTTATTGGGGCCCGCTTGGCCCAGTGATCTGGTCTGGCTGGGGGGGCGAGTCAACGCGGAGAGTAAGGTAGGGTCGGTGCGTACGGCTTCCGGGTTGCAGCATCGGAAGCCTTGCCGCGATGACGAGCCTTTCGATGTTTAAACCGCTAGACTGATGCTTAAATGCGTTGCGGAGTTTTGAAACAAGACTTTTTCGATAGCATGATCTCGAGGTAGGCTTCTTAGCGCTCGATGGTCGTGGGTTGAGTACGGCACTTTGTGAACACGGTTTTATACTGTGACGGGCAACCTCTCAGAAGTGTTGTTCTCTTTGGATTACTTCTTTCGTGGTGCAGAAGCCTAGAATCCGCCTCGACAACTCTCAGACGAACGTGTAGACCGAGCCTGGGCGGCTTCCTCGGATGGCGAGAGCAGATTGTCTCGATTCGGATGTGAAACGCGACTCGTGAAGGGATAGAAAGGCGATCCCATACGGATCAGATGCGAATTATGGTTAGCGGCAAGTGGACTGACTAGAGTTTAGTTGCCTATGTTCACGGTTCAATATCCATCCGGCACTTTCTCCTCACGCTCATGGTTCAAACTCTTTGCAATTCCTACAAGTACCTATCGTTGGCTAGCGAGCGAATGAGATCTTCTTGTTTTGGGACGACGATAAAACTGTTTCTCTTACCGGGATTCTTGGTTTACCAGGGTGTCCAGACTAGGTTCGCGGGACGGAACTCAATGACTGCCGTTGGAGTGCTACGTAGATGCGTCCAGCTCACGATAGATCAACGGTGAGCAGCAGTGCAAATTAAATCAGATAATGTATTATTGAAGTGGTTGATAGAGAGAAAAAGAAGTCCTTGACTCTGAGTAATTGGCAAGCAAACGCTCTCAGTTCCGTCCCTTTCTTCCAACACTCTCAACCCGAACCCCCAACTTGGCCATCCCGTCAGCATCAACAACCCCTCTCCCATCAAACACCCACCTAGGAACTTGCATATCGCGCGCTACCCTGGCCCAGTCAATCCTCTCCTTGGTCTTGTACTCCTCGTTTCCCAGCCCGGTGGCAAAACCGGAGACCTTTGAATCCAGCTCCGCCCTGCAATCGGGACAATCATTCGCGCACTCGGGCTCTACTATGTAACGCCCAAGTGGATCATCCGAAGAAGTCACCGGCTCCTTCAGCCGGTCTTGTTGTGCCATCAGATACTTTTGAAGCGTCAAAACATCAGCTTGACGGATCTCCAAGCTCTGGAATGGGCGTGGGTCGAAAGTCACCCCCGATGTCGTGCTTCTGCGGAGAGACGGCAGCGGGGCCTTTGTGTTGCGAAACTCGTCGAACTCGGTAGTAATGAGCACCGCGTTGCTGTCGCTGCAGGCCTCGTAGGCGTTTCCGTACACCTTCAATGGCCCGCCGTCTTCTTCTAGGGGGTTCAGCTTGCCGCAGAGTTGTCGGATCTCCTCCCGGATAACGAGAGGATTACAGCACGGGTCGAAAACGGCAATCTCCCGAGGCCCTTCTTCCAGTAGAGTCCGGATGATCTCGAGCGCCGGCGACTCCCTCGTGTCTGACGTGTTCTTCTTGAAGGCGTACCCAAGGATCGTGATCTTCTTCCCCGCAAGCGTGTTGTTCAGACACTTGACCACCCGCTTGGTGAAGCGATCCCGCTGGTAGTCGTTCATCTTAACCACCTGTCGCCAATATTCTCCAACTTCGTCCAGATCAAGTGACTCGGCCAGATACACGAGACTAAGGATATCCTTCTTGAAGCAGCTTCCGCCAAAGCCGATGCCGGCCTTTAGGAACTTGTCTCCGATCCGAGGATCGCGGCCCACGGATGCAGCGACCTCGTCTACATCCGCCCCTGTTCGTTCGCAGATTGCGCTTATCGAGTTGATGCTGCTAATGCGTTGCGCCAGCATTGAGTTGGCCACCAGTTTCGCGAGTTCAGACGACCACACGTTGGTCGTGAGGATGCGCGAGCGAGGCACCCAAGCGGCGTAAACCCCCGCGAGTGCCTCTGCCGCGCGCTTCCCTGAGCTCGTCGTGTCGGATCCAATGAGGACACGGTCCGGGTGCAACAGATCGTTCACGGCGGTGCCGGCTGCTAGGAATTCTGGGTTCGAAAGGATCTCAAAGTGAACGCCAGGCCGGTGCACGGCGAGCTGTGTGCATGCAGGTTAGCTGTGTGAATCTGAACCAGTGGTTTTGCTGTCGGGAACTCACAGTCTCACGTACGAGCTCTGCCGTCCTGCAAGGAACGGTGGATTTCTCGACGATTATGGCGCCCGGCCTTGCATGCCTTGCAACCTCGGCGGTGACGGCCTCGAACGCGGCCATATCTGTGGCACTGCCTGCGCCATGACCCCGCGTCTTCGTCGGCGTGTTGACCGCAACCAGAACAATATCCGCTTCCGAGATGCATTTCGATACCTCTGTAGAGAAGAAGAGGTTCGGTTGCCTTGCAGGCACAGTGATGCTGCCTTCGCCGCATTGACTCCCACATTCGGACGGTGTGGCTGATGACAACGATGAGATGTTGGAGCATCCCGGCTTCACCGGCTCGTCCTTGAACGAACATGCATTTGCTCCATCCCTGGCTACTCTGACAATGTCCCGGAGGCCAGGCTCGTAGATTGGGGGATGCTTCGAGTTCCATCGCCGAATGCGCCGCTGGTCTCTGTCCACAATGGTGACGCGAATATGCGGGTTTTGGAATGCGATGACCGCGGCGGTCGGTCCACCTAATGAATGATCAGGACGATTCTTTATGAACGTAACTCAAACCATAGCTTACCCACGTAACCTGCGCCCACGCAGCAAATGTTCGTGACCAGAGGTCTTCTAGAGTTGGTTGCTGAGGAGGCGTGCCCCTCTGGATCCGAGAGGAGCTCCCCGAAGGCGTCATCGCTCACACAGTCTCCGTCAGCGACGAGATTGTTTGCTGCCCGGACAACAGGACTGAAAGTAACGCTTCCTTCCGGTGTCGTAGGCACTGTAGAAGGTGGACGAAAATTGCCCTCGTCGGTGTCGTCAATCGACACCGCCGGAGCAGCCCCGCCCACGTTCATAATTGCCTTTGTCGACGCGAAGACTCCTCAGAAGAGTTCACGTGTCGCATGCAAGGTCCGGAACTCCAACTGTATAAATCACAGAGGACGGCGATTTTTGCGGTAGATCTCGTCCTGAATGGGGGATTCGTCCGATGTAAATGCGTTCGTTTCACTATTTTTAATTAGGCATGGTCAGACTGGTGGCGGCCGTGCGGAACGAACGGTTCGGAGGAATTGACGCGGCTCTTGGACGTGAACACGCTTGATTACGAGCGTCATCCGATGAAGATGTCTCTGCGGAGAGTAGGTAATTGCCTGAACGGCTTCAAGAGCTTGACACGCGTCAGTTTGTGTGGCTATTAGAGGCTGACAAGTGGTGCAAAGGTCGTTTTTACCGTGATCTGAAAGTCGTTATGAAGTCGAAGAGCTTCTGGTGAGGTTTCTTGAGAGATGAGAAGAGGTGGTAAAACAACACAACGTGCTTCGAATTCCAGTTCTTGCGTCGTGGGAAGCCGGGCTACTTGAGGTCATGGACCGGGTATCACAAAACGCCGGCCACCACTGGGCCAACCTGGCCGAATGATTACCATTTTTGCCGATAAGAATATCCCAAAGCCACCCGCCCAGTCACGAAGCTTATCTCGGTTTATGGCGATTTGGCGCGTGCCGCGTGGGCGACCAGACCTATCTCCATCGTGGTGCCCCTCATTGCCATTTTGCCCCTCCAGCGTACGAGCCTTGGCATGGTATGGAGGACGGAAGGGCGAATGGCAATCTTTGACAAGTCCAATCGCATAGTATGCAGATGCCATTCGCCAAAGTTGCGCTGGGTGGCCGGGGATGATCTGCAAGATCTGGCGTCCAACCGTGATGGCCACGGGGATCTGAGCGCAACTCGTCATTCGCTTCCCGCACCCCAGAGAGGTTCGTTGACTTGTTCGAGGAATAGTCACGCGGCTAGTCGCTGATGAGTTTGCCTCGACTCTCGTTGTCTTACTGATTGGCTCTTGTCCACCGAAGCGGGAATGTGCCGCTATCCGCACCTCTGATTGGCCACCCACTCGGAGCATCGAGATTGTCCCGTGTCCAGCCATCTACGCGCATAAGACAGTTGCGAATGTTCATTGCGGGAATATTCGGCTTGATGGAGTCTTTGTGTGGCGGGCGTGACTCTTGCATTCTACCTTTCAATACACGACATGATACGGTTGACATTCTGGCGATAGGGCGAAGTGCCACGACTTGAAGTGCACGCGACGGGGCTGCTGCTGTTGATGACCAACGTTTAATGAGAGGATTCAACAGGGCTGAGTGCATAGTCTCACATATCAGACGCCGAGGCTAAAGCCAAAATGGTTTGGATGTCCAGCTATGAGAGGTTATCGCCATGTCAAAGAGATAGGCGTGCATGGCGTGCTATTGGAAGGCCAGCTCTATGGGCATGCAACCAGAATTGGCTTCTGGACCCTGCAGCGAGGTACCAGGCTAACTCTCATATGGCAGCCCCGCCCCCACTACAGCTGCAGTTGGCCATCCAAGCTTCCCATGTGGCCCAGCACGAGGCATCGACAGGTTCGCAGTGGGTGCCTCTTCATGACTCTGCATGACTTCTCCTCGGACTAGTGTCATCTCGTGCATTTTCTGCTTGCTTCTCGTGTGACCTGGACCTTTTCGCCATGCGTGAACCTGTTATCAAGAAGCCAAGCGCCTCCCGCGCCGCTCCTTGAGTGCATTCTGTGGACGCTATCTTCAACCTACCGCCTTCAATTCGAGCATTACATATCACTAAGAACTGCTACTGCTCAGTTCATATTCGTCATTGACAAGGCTGAAGACGTCCCGAACGAGACTCCAGTTCTTAAAAAAGTAGCAGCGATACTAGAAGCTGACGGTTCGACTCTGGCCATCATGGACCAGCCCCTCTTGCCTAAAAGCTACGGCACCTTGCCGCGATATTCGGTCCACGACAACTCCGTCTTCCCGTCTTCGCTGCGCGGGAAGCGAATTCTTCTTTGCACAGAATCCTTCGGGCCCGTCAATGGCGTTAGTCGGACGACCTTGATGCTCGTCGAGCACCTGCGATCTCATGGCGCGCTTGTCGCCGTCGTCGCCCCTCATAACCACACCCAGCACAACACCTTTGCCCCCACGACAGAGACCGACAGCCAAGTCGAAGTGCGCCTCCAGGGCTACCCTCTGCCCTTCAACCCCGAGCTTTCAGTTGTATACCCAGTACGCGTGTCAGCCCTCTTTGCGAGGACGTTTGGCTCCGATACCCCGCCCGACTTGATATATCTCGCCTCGCCGGCGTCCCTGGGCTTCCAGGTCATGCTTCAGCTGCAGCAGCAGCCAAGAGAAAAACGGGTGCCGGTGATCTGCAACTTCCAGACCGACCTCGCCGGGTACTGTGCCATTCTGTTTCCACACCCATTCAGCACTATGGCCGTCTTCGCTTTTGCCATGGTCCAGAGCTTTCTGTTCCGGCACGAGTCCGTCAAGACGGTGTTCTACCCCTCGCGCTTCGTGCGCAAGTATCTCGAGGCCCAAGGGGTGCAAGGCTCGAAGCTGGAGGTCTTGCGCCGCGGCGTCAAGACGGAGGTTTTCCGACCAGACATGCGCAGCGAAGCGCTAAGGAAGGAAATCGCCCCTGACGGAGAGATCATCCTGATATGCGTATCGAGGGTGGCGGGCGAAAAAGGCTTCGACTTCCTGGCCAAAGCTGTCAAGAAGTTGGACGCGAGGGGTCTCCGGTTCAAGCTCTATGTCGTGGGCGGGAATCGGAACCCCGACGTCGAGCGAGAGGTGCACGAGATGTTTGACCCTCTGAGAGAGCAAGGCAAAGTCATATTCGCCGGATTCAAGACTGGAGAGGACCTCGCGACGGCCTACGCATCCGGCGACATCTTCCTTCACTGCTCCATCACCGAGACGTTCGGGCTCGTCGTCCTCGAGTCCATGGCGAGCGGCGTGCCAGTGGTAGCCCGGGACGAGGGCGGCCCGAGCGATATCATCGACGACGGACGCTGCGGATACCTAGTCCCACCCGATGACCTCGACAGCTTTGTCGACAAGGTCATGTACCTGTCCAAAGACCAAGACTGCCGGGCCAAGATGGCTGCCCAAGCCCGGACCATGGCTTGCGAAGCTACCTGGGAGAAGATTAACAACCAAGTCGCGTGGAGGATGGCCGATACCATTGAGGAGCGGGAGCGAGAGAAGGCCCAAATCGTCCACCAAAGGTCGTCCATCGCGATGCAGGCCAGTCAGCTGGTCCCAGTATACAGCTGGCTACTCATGAACAACGCCATACGCGACGTCGTCGTAGGCAGAATCGTGGATGCCAAGCTCGTTGGCGGGTTTGGGGTTGTCATGACTTTCTGGTTCTTCACAGGACTATACCTGGCGTTTACGGAAGCAGCTCTCTGGGTTAAGGGGAAAATGCCACGGTTCTGGAATCAGCGGGCTGTTGTGTAATTGCCTGGTGTGTTGCGATCTCGGTTTACAGGCGTTGGGGTATACCAAGAAATCCTTCAGCCTATTACCTCCGGTAGATTCTCACCCCTTCGACTCTACTGGCCACACCGGTTCATCCGTCGTCTCTCCTGTCCCTTGGAGTACTAGGGCAGCAGGAGGGCGATAGGTCCGATAGGAGAGGGGATGAGAACAACGGGATGGAGTGTGGCGTTCCATCGGCGTTTGATGATATCCGTAGTTTTTTTTGGTAGCGTTTGGGATGGGACTGGCTGAATGAAGGATTCCTCGAATGCCAGTGACGACTGAACAATGAAGCTCATTGAACAAGTTCGGTAATTGGCCTTGAGCCTGCTAATCGTGAAAACTTGTGGCGCTTGCCGTGACAGCCGACTATCGTGGTGTTGCCGCGTCATTATAGAGCGATGAGACACCAAGCCAGCAACTCTGTTGCGTTGCGGAACATGGCAGCCGAGGAGATTCCAGGTTCAGTGACGCCTGTGTCGTCACCTCAGTACGGCAACTATCTGCTGTATTCAAAATGCGGCGGGTGGGTAAGTGGGTGGTGGTGCGAGAGCGCGATGTTGGGTTCGTAATCCAACTGGGATTCCGAAACCAGTCGCACCAATGGGCACCAGGAGGCTTTGGGGGGTGTTTCGGGCATCCGCCGCGATGTGGGTGGCGGCGGTTGCGGGCAGGAGTCGTTCTTATTCCTCGGCGCCATGTTGATAATGATCGAGGGATGTATCTCCCTAGGGGTGTATCTCCCGAGAGACAACAATCAATTTTGGGTACGACCATTTCCTGGCTCACCGTATCAAATATCCGGAGCCGGTTTGATGACGAGGCGGGCTCCTCTCAATCTGGAACCCATTCGGCAGGGCAGGGCGACGGGTGTATATGATCAATAACATTGATAAGTAATTAAGGTTCAGACGCGGAAAAGCCAAGCTTTTGGTGACAAGAGGTTAAAATCCTCTGGGACAACGACAAGATGATGAAACGCGGCGAGGGTCGAAGTATGATGACATGGACGGAGACCTGGGCGATTGGGATTTGTGGCTGGAATGTTTGGCCAAGCCACATATTGTGATTGGGTGACCCGTGTGGCTAGAGTGCTGGAGTTCTGGCCCTCGGCGCCCTCGGAAAAGGCCGATTCGAGATGCCAGATCAGAGACTCACTGAGCTTTTTCTGGAGTAAACCTGCAACATGGACCCCTCGGCAGGTGCCGTTCAGCCGTTCTGGCCCATTCTCAGCAGTGGTTCCGTGGGCCCCGGTCACTTCAGATTTGAGATTTCCCTGCACGGCGTTGACCAACAAACTGGGCCAAGTTCGCTGCATGGATGCCATGGAAGTGCCCAGCGCTCGTCCTGGTCCACGCGTTTCACCTGAGACAAGGGCCGCCGGTGCCTGCAGGCGCCGCGCGCGGCAATGCAGGGCCTGTCGGTGAGAGCGCTGGGCGCCGTTGCTGATTACTTCACAACATCGGCAGGCGTCACTTGTGATGAGAGAGTCGAAATTGTCTTGGTGTCCGGTGGGCGGCGTGATCATGTGGCCACCTGTGAAATGAATGATTCGATGGTGGCGGCTGTTTGTTCCAGCGTATGTCCCTTCCTGTGCACCATGGACAATTCTACCGGTCCGTTCGTATTTGTTTTCGGCTCCCCGCTCTCGATCACTGGTAGAAACCCGCGGGACGGTATCGCAGCGCATGTCCTCAAAATCCGAGCACAGGACACAGAAGCCATCTTTTTGGCCACTGGGTAGGCCGGCCTGCCCACATCGGATCTTGCAGTCACACCCACGTAGTACCTAGTGTACATCGTAGAGTGTGCGGCTTGAAAGTCTAAAACCGGTGGCTGCGGACGCCGATGGTCTCCAAGCCTACCCCTTGTGCTGACAACGGTGTTTTGCTGCTGACTGTTCCAGTCTCCAGTAGAAGGATGAGAGGGTGTACTTTGGGTCCGGTGTATCTGTGCAGAGAACCAAAGTACCGCGCCCCTGAACCGACCAATACCTCCAACTCGAGACCCTGGCGTCTCTAGCATCATTCTCATCAGCCAATGAAACAGTTTCTCAACCCCCAAAGCTGCTTCAGTCCCCGACCCTTCCTCGAACGACGCTTGTTCCATCTCCAGTCGATCCGACAATGCCATGGGTGGGCCAGTCGACCAGTAACCACCCGGTCAGGGTAGGGATATGCTGACGAGGCCTAGGCACAAGTCGCGTATCCTTTCAAGTCTGGGACGGACGGGCGAACTTTGCGGTCCTAGCGATGGGGAGGGAATGAGCTACGCATCTCCATCGTCTGCGGCCAGCCCGTTCACTCGCCTCCGTTTTACCAATCAAGAATCGTAAGGATGCACCCATACATCCTAAAGGTTGCCATCGCTTCACTGTGTGACAGTTTCGGACGGCTTTCTCCTCTTGTCAGGCTCCAAAGTGTGCGGGCGGTGCACTATTAGGTACAGCCACCGAGCATGGGTATGTACACACCTGGACCCGCACGCCGAGCGCTACCGAACTCCGTATTCTCGGGCTGGGCGAACATGGAGGAGGAGAAGAAGAATAAGAAAACAGTACCCGAATGACAGACGGTATTAGGGTAAATAGCCAGCGGCAAGAGGAAGGGACAAGAAGACAAACGGGGGACTCGGGGAGGGACGGGGGATGAGTGACTCGAGATTCGTACCTTTTGCCCCCCTGCTATTCTCAGACACAATCAACTGAGCATGAGCTTATTCCTTCCCCGAAAAGCGATAGGCCATCCCCAATATGGACTAGTCAAAGATCTCCCGGCTAACCTTACTCTGTACCTCGCAACCTCGCAGCCGCCCTCCATCTCTTCCCGTCCCTCCAGCATCCTTATGTGAACCAATCATCACCACCGTATCCAAACTTGGCACCGCCCCCCTACGGCCTCCCTTTCCCTTTTCTCCCTCTCGTGTCAGTGTCACTCGCTCGCGCACTCACTTTGTGCACAGTTCGCCCACATTGTTCCCATCTCGACCTCCGTTATCCATTCCATCTTCAAGCTCACCCTCCCTTCCCCCCCTCTTCTCCCTCGTCTTGCTGCCCCCTTCCTCAGCCCGTTTCTCCGTTTCCACGTTTCCAGTCCCCTGCGCGCCTCTCGTTGCATTTGCCGTCTCACAAAACCACAGACCACCCGCAGTCTCGTACACATTCGCAAGCACAACCGTCAACTGCCACCCACAACTTGGCTGTGTACCTGTTGTTGTAGGTATCCCCCTGGTCCGCCTTCGGTCCCAGGCCACCGTCATCCTTGTCTGGTCACCACCCCGCCACCCACCCTCTCTTGGGTTTCTCTCTCGACACTGGCACCGACGTCCACGCACCCGTACTCACAACCACACTCTCACATCCAACCTTACCCACCGAGACTTGCAACAAACTTCCCTTTTCCACCTGTCAAGGGTTCCAACGAGACCCATCGTGTCGCGCCAAACCACCAGTCCCGTCTTGCATCCCATCCAGGAGCGGCTCAAACCCCCCTCAGCCCTGCTGTGGATCACAAGGTGTCAGGCCATTGCTCGTCTTGCCAGGCACACGATGGTCGCTGCATGACACAACCTCTCCCACACGTCTCCTGTTGTCAAAGGCCCAGCCCTGCAGTGCCCTGCTTGTTTGTCGACGTTTAATCTCCGCCCTTATTGAATCCTCGCCACCCCATCCCACTTCGCACTTCCTCCTGGCCTTCCCTCGTTCTGCGCCATTCCGAGTCGAGTCGACCTGATCTCGCGCGACCAACCCGACCCGAGTTCAGCTAAGCCAGCAATTACCAGTATCCTTCCCACCGACGGGCAGGTCCCTATTCTTTTCCTTTTCCTTTCTTTCCCTTTCCTCGCCGCCGAACTTCTGAGCCCCTCCGAACCCGATTCGACTCGGATTCAATCCCGTCGTTAACGAACCGACGCCATACCGACAAAGCAATTCGACAACCCTCGATCGATTGAATCCCCGAGTAGGTGGACACGATTTTCGCTCATTCTTTGGCTTCGTCTTATTTCAATTCGCTTCGCTTCGCCGCCGGCCGGGACCCGACTTTGTAATTAGACCTTGGCGACGCCAAATCATCCTCACCAATCCGCTCCACCTTTTCTCTCGGCCTCGACTTGAATTAATACGATTACCGCCCCGATATTCCAACCACCACTACTACTCAATCGAAGCCCACTTTCAATTCCCTCATCGGCGACAATGTTCTGGAAGGTGGTCGTGACCACGGCGGCGCTGGCCTCGCGCGCCTGCGCCGAGATCCGCCCGCTGTCCATGGACCAATCCATCGAGGTTAGGGCGGTGGATGTTTTAGAGCGAAACTACGAGGACGTTGCGAACCGATACATCGAGAAGCGCCAGAATAGCGCGGTGGACGGCCAATGGCTTGCAAAGTCCGAAGTCGCACTCAATGCCGACGGTTCAATCAACATGACAGCTTGGGAGACGGAGACATCGCAGAAATGTACCGACGCGCTTTCCCATCTTGACCAGGCCTCAAACCCCTCGGGAACTTGCATCTGCTACAACTTGCCGAGTCTGGACGCTCAAACCGGTGTTTTTGAGGCCGACTTGCGTCTCTTCAAAGTCTCGGAACCCAACGGCGTCTTCTCGGGGATCCCGCCCCAGAACATCCAGGTTGGCCTTTCGTTCAATGGCGCTTCTGTATCCCCGGTCAGCGCGGATAAGATCGGCGGCACCACTGCTCGTCGGGACTTGCGTTTCGAGGTTTCCTGGAACTCTCTGCAAAAGCGTTCAGTTGCACCCCAAGCCTTGCAGACGTACCTCTTTGTCGGACAGATTGACCAAACCAGGATGGTCCAGCCCATGTCTATGTACGGACCCTCCCCCCATTCTTCATCTTCGGGTCGGAAATGCTAATTGAACTTAGGTCACAACTGGAAGCCCTCGTTATGCCGACTCTGACACTAACTGGTGTAAACGCTGTCGGCCAGACCGTCAGCACAAATGTCTCATCTAACGAAGCCGCTTTCATTACCGGCGTCTTCTCTAAGGAAGTCATCAAGTCCGACCTTGCCGTTGCTCAGGCCGCTGTCGATGAGGTTGTCGCCCAGCTCAAGAACGGCACCGTCGCCTTTGTTCTTCCAGGCGTGCAGATTATGATCTTCCCTGTCGGTCTGGTCATCACCAGCACTTGGCTTCTTATCGGACTGTCCTTCTACGGTTTCGGCACGTACGAACGCATTGGCTACGCAGAGAGCTACAGGAGGAGGCGGGCTATCGCGGGCGACACAGCCAAGCGTATATAATCAACGACATCACGCAACACTTACGATCAAGTTTGTAGGGAACTCTTAAGAGGAGGAGCACTCAGAGGAGCCAAGTAGGGCCTGGAGGATTGGATCACTTTTTCCGCCCGCAGCGGTGGAAGCATCAGCATCAAGCAGCAGCGTGACATATTTTTTATTTTTTTTATTTTGGCCAACTTCACTTCATCCTCCGCGCCTTGGGGAGTCCCCTATCTATCGTAAATAGTTGGATGTCATATTTGCTCTATCTCTATTTCTTACTATAGAAAGAATATCCACAAACTAGTGAAGGCTGCATTTGCCTGTTCCTTGGTCGTTTTCCGTCCTCACAGCAAGTGGATTAACCCTACCGGTAGACTAAAATTGGATGCGGTGTGCTTCTGCGGCTATTGTGCGACATGTCATCGTTTGGGAATAGTTTCAGCTTGGATATCACGGAATACGACGTCACGGCGATTCGACAATGTGGATGTACCGGTAGGTCTTCATAGGATGACTTCAGCCACGTGTGGCTGACCATCCAAGCTCTGCGAGGGTCGTTTCTTCTCGGTTCTGATTGGCTGTCAGGTAACATGACATCCAGACTCTTGCCCAAGGCTCTTTCGATCTCCTTGTGAAGTTGCGCCTGTAATATCACGCTGTACTGAGGGTCTAGTTGAGTTTTTGGATCTGCCGGTGTGCCCATGGCATCTTTACAGATACAATAGTTTCTATGTTGTGATTTGACAATCCGTGTGACTCTGTGTGCGGGTGGAGTGGGGCGTAGTATTTACACGCAAGTTCTCCCGAGTTCAGGTACGATGCATGCAGAGACAGGTCCGTGTTAAGGGATTGGACTTGCGGTGCATCTGATTCGGACATCTCTCTCATAATTCAAAGTTCGATGCGGGTGGAAAGGAGCTGTAGCCAAGATCTTCTAACGTTTACCTCATCTTCTCATGGAATACGTATATTGGACATGCGGGCGGTTATTGCCCCAAGTGTTTGAATGGGACGGTTGCCTTTTCCTTTTACGTCGAAGCTGGCTGTTTTAGGGTGCAATTGCAAAAGTAATATTTTGCTTTCCCGTCGGGTGTGAGGGGAAGGTTTGACGTTGAGATGCTTCTCTGGGTGACTGGCGGAGTTGTGCCCATGTGGAAAGTTGCTGTCCACCTAAAGCCGAAAGCTTCGGTTCACACCTTGCCAAGGCATTCCATATCTACTAACCTTTTTGCACTTTTCTCCTGTTCTTTACCCGGTTTACCCAATGCCTGTAGCCAGCCGCGCTCATGAGCTGTACTCGGTCATTGGTAATTCACCTTCCGTCACCGAGATTTAGGGGATAGGCCGGCTTCCAGATCCGGGTTTATCTTGTTGGACGGTATGGCAGATGTCCGTGCACATTGACGGCTTCAGGTTTTAAGCTTGTAGTCGCATGCTTTTAAAACACGTGATTTATCAGACCCCGTAGGTTCCATCCCTAAGTGGTCAGGTTATTGGCAATGGTCGAGCTCAGAAGAGATGTCCTAACAGTGGGGTTGGGATCGCGAGCTCGCTGGTCTGTCAGGTTGCCGAGGTTGATGACAATAGACGCGTGGGATGACTTAGGCGAGGGTGCGTCTGATCATGTAACCCTCGATCAGTGAATAGTTAACAATGCAATTGACGGTGACAAAAGATACAATATCCGATTCAGGTCTTAAAGTACGGGAATCGGAGAATTCATGCTCTGATAATACTTGTCAACTCAATTGTTGTCGTGACTGTTAATGTTTGGATCACCAACCTTGGAATTGAAGGCTAGACTTTCCGACACTTAACCACCAACAATCTTAATCTTGTACTCACGCTGATGCAAACCTGGGTAAAGCTTTGAGATAACACTGAAGCTCTGTGGATCCAACTGAGATAAACCTTGGATTATGAACTCAGAAACTATCACCTAGTCATTGCGCCTCAAGGTGTGACGCCGCTACTATATGCACGGATGCTCCCCTTCAATGTTCTTAGATGCACATGAGATAAAGAATCTTGATGGCGTATCATGAGCTCACCATTCTCATAAGTCTCTAGAGCTAAATCGGATTTACCTATACTTATGCTGTCATAAATCGAGATTCAGTACTGTTGTAAGGCAGTAGAATTATTGAGTTGAGACCAAGACTCTTCATTTTAGTTCCCAGGGATCGGATCCAGGTAGCCGGAAGAGATACAAGTTGAAAGAATCGCGTAGCTACGTAAGTTCAATACAAGCAATGGAAATCGTCAACCCCGTAATTGATTTGCTCGTCCTCTCACTTGCAAGAAAAGACGTCGTATGCTGTTAATTCTTCATTCACAAGCTAGTGTGCCTCCAACACAGTACCGAAAACCCAGAAAAGACCAAACTTTTGACCATTGACTTCGCCGTCTATTTCAGGTTGGTTGGAAAGAATGAGCGCCAGTGCTACCAGGGCTTCCCACAATAGTTCCAAAGGAGCTATTGCATCAAGCAGGCCTTCGGACTGCTCCTCTGCGATGTCTCCTCAAAACCAGAGCATTTTGACGAAGTCACGGCTGGAGAAAAGGCACTTACGCCTGCAAAAATAGCCCATGCGGCTTCCTGCGATGCCTCTTCCCGGGAATATGCCGTGCGGTTCTGACCCAAGAACAAGATTTGGTACCAACACAATAGTCCAGAGATGGCTCCCAAACGTCAGCCCCTATGTTCGCTTCTTCAACGCTGTTGAGCTCGCCTTCTTTTGTGTGGATCTCTTCGAGTCGAATTTGGAGATCCAACGACTTAGGTAAATGGAACTGGTGCTGCGCCAAGCCATACATGCTTACGGTAGTGGCTGGTTGAGTACACTTACCTCGAAAACGCTGCCAACTGGAAATGATCCGCTATTGCCAAAGGTAAATGCTGCTTAACCATCCAGAAGTAAGGAGAACAGTAGCGAAGTTCGGGTTCTATTATAACAAGCGATGATGCAGCTTGAGTTGGCGCCGGACGGCTGGCGAGCACGCTGACGATGGACGGCGCGGTGCTGCGTCATAAATCGCCCTGAGGGTATGCCTACGGTTGAGTCAAGAATTGAACAGATTAGAGCTTGAAGGGAGTTCCGCATGTATCTTGATAGATTGTCTTTTGGCCACTGAGCTCCATCAACATTATGTACGGAAAGGTGCACAGAATAACAGATCACTTGTTAAGTATCAAATAAGCTATACGGACAGATCCAAAGCCGATTGAAAATGAGAACTATCAAATGTAAACCTGCGGATCATCAGCGTCCCAAGAAACCACAGGCACCCATTGGTGTTCTTCCAGAATACGAAAGAAAGCCTTATCAAACGAAGGCTCGTAACAGAAAACATTTTCTACGTTTTCATATGTGCTCGACCTTGACCATACATTGCAAGAATCAAGTTAATGATCAGCCACCCAGTGTGATATATCTGGCACGTTTTCAGTGTGATTCTACAAAGTCCGGTAACGTCGACCCTAAATGTTAAATGTTCCTATTAGACAAAAGTCAAACGTACATGTCGTATTTCCTTAGGAACTTGATTAACATTTCAATGCGCCAACCTGAATATGTTTCTCCTCCCTTTTAGACTTTCCAATCAAGGAGTGAAGTACAAACAGTTTTGTATTTTTACAGAGGTTAACTAGCGTAAAAGCATGTTGAGATGATCCTGAGTCAAAAGCCCTGATATGCAAAGCGGTAAGTAACATCAACAGGATTTTGTACACCAATCAACTGCTAGTGGGTCATAGTATCCCGGAGCACGTTGCCATACCTCTTTGTCAAGAACCCACATGCCAACATAACTTCCAAGTCATTCAAAACTATGTTTTTCGGCTTCTGGATGGTCATCACTCCGCATCAGCTGTGTTGTACCTGGTCGGACTCTACCAGTAGCCCGTGGATCGAAGAGATTTGATCAAATTAGGCTCAGATTGACATGCGAGACTTTCGCTTTGTGAAGCAGGATGGAAAATGAACTTGATTATTTGAGAGAGAGAAGCCCATGTACGTGTTTAACTTATAATTGCACTAGGCCTGGTCTTCCAGATCCTCCTTTTCGATTCGAGTCGGCAAGCTTCCTCTTCTAAGTTTCTAGTGGCCAGAACTGACAGTTTTCCGCAATGGTGTCAAACAACTTTTCTCCAAGTCTCACAGAAAGTTCGGACGCAAGTCTCTTTCAGCACGTGCATCAAGTCCTGGGTTCTTTCAACTATTACAACGGCTCGGGTATTCCCGCTCTCAACGATCTTACTATTATCGAGGGAACCTCGCCAGACAACACGACATATCAGCTGCCAGTGACTGACCTGCGCTCCCTGCCTATTCCTCTGTCCAGCTACACTCACGACAAGCATGGATTTCAAATCGCGCGACAGGCCCTTCCCATCTCGCCTTCCCCAGTCGCGGTCCATGACCACAAAGTCATGACCACCGAGTACTACCCTTCCATGACGGCCCTGCTGAAGAGAACTCTCGACGCGCGCTGCGCCATTGTACGCAAGCATTCTCTTCGCGACATACCGGACTGGGCACCTGTGGGCATGAACCCGGAAATCGGGTTTGAAATCGATTCTCTGGCCCCGTTCAGCATCGCGCACTCTGACTACACGCCTGCGGGAGCGCGTGGGCACTTCCGCGCCATGAAGGAGCCCGACTGGTTTGATGAGAACGACACGACAGACGGATGCACGCCTGCGGCTGAGCGAAACAAGTTTTTCCGGTTGCGGCGGGAGATCATCGACGCCGAAGATCGCGCCATTGCAGAAGCCGGGCTCGGCCCGGAGGTGCAAGGGAAAGGTACACAACCCAGGGGTGGCCACTGGGACTGGGATGGCGCCAACTACGACGGCCGGCGTTATGCGTTCTTCAGTATCTGGCGTGCCTGGGAGACGGTACGTCGAGATCCGTTGGCCGTCATGGATATGAGCCGCCCCGTATCTCAGAAAATCGAGTATGCTCCGTTGACGCGGACCTACCGGGATCGCCCGGGGTGTGTGCCGTTTTACTATAGCCAAAACGCAATGGTACGGCCTCTGGCTCAGGGAAGAAGAGATTCTGGGTTTGAAATCGAAGACGATGGCGACATAAGGGGGAGCAGTGTGCCTGCATGGTGTTATCTCAGCGAGCAGACACCCGAAGAGGTCTATTTTCTCAAATTCTACGACAGCGAGGCCTTAGTGCGCAAGGGTCGGGGGGAGAATGACATTCAGACGATGTGTCCGCATAGTGCCTTCCAGGTCGCCGGGACGGAGAGTGCGCCGGTTCGAAGGAGCTGTGAGTTGAGGGTCTGGTGCATATGGTAAAGTTAGAGCATGCCGCCTGGACATGTGCGATAAATGCTGTCGGATCCATCAGAGCTAGGTTTCTCTTTGATGATGTTTCATTGCTACAGTCTTCCATCATATTTGGCATCTTTCTGTTACTCAAGGATTGATCTTACCCATGTGCATCTTCATCATGCTACCTGGCCTCAACACCCTTTGCCGCTTGTATCGCCTTCACACGACCAGTCACATAGAGGGACAATATAGAAAAGATGTCTCGACGGGTTCGTGATATTGTGGCAGGTGGGCTCAGCCTCTTCATGCGCCATGTCACGTGATGGCTCATCGAAAGCCTATTTCTACGGGCGATAGCCTACCACTATCCCTTTCCAGGAGGAACGCTTTTCAACCAACACTGAAGTCTTTGAAATCAGAGTACCCACTGTTAGCAGCTGTTAAGACCATAGAGGGCTGCGGCCCACCACACTATCATTTCTCATCATCAGCCCACGCGAGCTGAATCCCACCATCATGGCCGTCTCCCTAGATGTCGGGCCAACTATCACAGTCCACGGGGACGCCAGTACTTCTCGACGGTCGGGACGAGTCCGAAAACCGACCGCAAAGGTCAGAGTGGTTGAGCAAGTCAGCTACCAGGACAATGCTGAGCTTAAAGATGAGATCAACAAGCTCTCAAATCTTGTCCAGGACCTCCTACGACGGGACGCTGAGAGGGAACAATTCCTAAAAGACTGCTTGAAGAAGATCGAATCCTTGGAAAGAGAGCTTCAGGAGGAGAAGCAGCAGTCAGACCGGCACCAACGGGGTCTAGCAAGGTCTATGCATGCTGTTAGCACAGGACCCAGCGAGTCCGCCCTGAGTCTCCAAGGGCATCCCTTACACACAGCCCAGAACCAGCCGACCCCAGTTCGTTCCTACGCGGCGGTGGCGAGCCAGCCACTAAACAGAAAACAGGACAAACCGAAGCTAACAAAACAAGCTGCAAAACAAGCCCGAAACCAGGCGGCCTCGAAAGACCTGCGCGTCTTCGCGCGTCTGCCACCTGACAACCCGCTTCGTAACGAGAGGGCCTACGACATATACGCCTTCGTTCGAGAAAAGCTGAGTCCCCAAGCTCGAGAAGCCCTCAAGGGGATCGACCATGTAAAGACAGGATTAGCACTCCTACCTTCATCAGCGGATGGCGCAAAAGCCCTGCTGGAGAACAGAGAACAGATTGCTGCCCTTCTCCAGGCGCAGGCGGTCGAGCAGCGCGATACCTGGATCCGAGCCTATATCGCAAATGTCCCTTGTACTAGGCATTGTTTGATAACTAACACCGAGCTGGAGATCACGACCGAGGAGCTCCTTGAAGAGATACAGATCGTGACAAAACTCAAGCCTGAAAAAGCATACTTTTCCAGAAAAGACGAAGTCGAAAAGCTGGGTACGGTGACAGCCTGGTTTAGGGCGGACGCCGTAAGGCAACTACCAAGACGCCTCCGTCTGATGGGGGCCAGCGTTTTTGTGAACCTGCAGTTTCCGAGGGAGAAGAGGTCCCCCCAATGCTACCGCTGCGGCGGCTTTCACAGCGAACGAACGTGCACCAGAAGGAAGAGATGCCTCAAGTGCAGCTCTCCCTCCCACACGACTGACTTACACCGGGCACCCTGCGGCGGCACCGAGGGTCACGATGGCTGTGACTGCCCCTTTAAATGCCCATCGTGTAACGGCCCCCACTCCGCCTTTTATGCGACTTGCCCTATCAAACCCAAAGTGGTGAAGGGCGTAGTCCAGAGGAGGAACAAGGCACAGCTACGGGCCATCCGAGCTGAGGGAGAGAGATCGTGGAGAATTGCGACCCAGCAATCGCATCGACATTCCCATGAAGAAGGACAAGTGATGGACTGCGCCCCGACAAATGAGACACAGCAGGAGCAGACAGTCCTCTAGGATGCTGCAAATCATGCAAGCAAACGTGGCCAGACGACCATCTGCACACGAAACGGCACTGAATCTAGCCTACGCGGCCCATGTCGACATACTGCTACTACAAGAGCCCGCTATCCGCTCGGAAGAGAGAAGGCTCACAAGATGCCACCCGGGTTTTGAGATTTTCACCCCAGTGGACAATTGGGTTGAAGACAGACCTAGGGTGCTCACTTACCTCCGCAGAGGAACGGGACTACGGGGCGTACAAACACGCCCACTGCCCAGCCCATCCACAGATCTGCTCTTCCTACAACTCCTGGTGGGAATGCGGAAAGTCCTCACAGTCATCAACGTTTACAACCCCCCTTGCGGCTCGCTGCGACCCGGTCAAGCGGTTAGGGATATCATAGCGGCCTGGCAACCGAAACCCGAGGATCGAGTACTGATCGCGGGGGATTTCAACCTACACCATTGGACCTGGCAGCCCGATGCCACAGGCTCCCCTGACGCTGACAACCTGGTAGAATGGGCTGAAGCCGCCAGCCTTGTCCTGCTGTCGCCGACAGGTGAAGCTACACACGAAGACGGCAACACGTTAGACCTATGCTGGGCGTCCAGCAACCTCTATGGGGCATCCACCAGCATAGAAACGTCCCTACACACAACGTCTGATCACGAATCTCTGCTTACCCGGGTCCCCTTGGCCCTAACCGATATACCCAGCCCAACTGCGGGAAAGTTCCGGCTCGACACGATGGATGAGAAGCTCTTCCTCGACGTTCTTAGGCGAAACATGCAACCTCTGCGCCATACTGCAAGCAACGCAAGAGATCCACAGGCGTTGGACCTCCTAGCGCAGCAGCTCACAGATTGTCTTGGAGAAGCGCTTACGGCTTCTACAAGGCGCACGCTTGGCAGAGGACCAGGGAGGCCATACTGGAACGAAACCTGTACGCGCAAACACCACGCCTATACGACTAAAAGAGGAACCGTCGCGAGACTCCGCGCTTTGGGAATAGACTGTCAATGGGAGCGAGAGGAGGAGGACATCCTTAAACAGGACTTTCTCCGTGAGCTTCGCCGTTCCAAGGACACCTACTGGAGAGAAAAGATCGCCGCAGCCTCCACAGGCAAAGACGTATTTGAAATGGTCGGGTGGCACAAAGCCACAGGATCCTTCCAGACCCCACCACTCCGAGATGAGGACAACCCATCCACTCTCGTCTCACAACCGAAAGAGAAGCGCGACTTGTTTGCCCGCGTTCTTCTCAGAAATGCTGCCATCTCTGCGGACATACCAGCAGAGACCCTAGTACCCCACCCGCAGGCCAAACTTCCTTTCCCACAGATCACAAAGGACGAGATACGTACTTCAGTCCTCTCTGCGGGAAGCACTACCCCTGGGTCCGATGGAATCACGACGGCCGTTCTCAAGACCGCATGGCCGGTCATTGAGGACATTGTCTTCTCGCTCTACAGCGGATGCATACGCGAGGGCTGGCATCCCACCTGTTTCAAAGAAGCAATCCTAGTCATCTTGCCTAAGCCGGGCAAGAGAGACAGGGCGCTCCCGCGCTCTTATAGACCAATTGCGCTCTTGTCCGTACTTGGAAAAGGCTTGGAGAGACTTGTAGCAAGGAGGCTTGCCTGGATCACAGTCAAGCACCGGATACTGCACGACCAACAGTTCGGCGCCCTCCCTCTTCGCTCGTGTAGCGATCTCACTGGTGCTGCCATCCACGATATCGAGTGCGCCTGGCAGAGGGGTCTTGTCACCTCCATGCTCACACTTGACGTGAAAGGGGCTTTCGACGCCGTGCTGCCAGGGAGGCTGGTCCATCGCCTCCGCCAACAAGGATGGCCGGAGAACCTCGTCAAATGGGTTTCGAGCTTTGTCATCGGGAGAAGAGCAAGAATTAGGTTGGACGGGGAGATGGGAGACGTCTTCGACCTCGAGTGTGGGTTACCACAGGGCTCACCCGTGTCTCCCATCCTCTTCATGCTCTACATCGAACCTCTATTCAAGCTGGGCACTGCGCGTCCCGGAAGGAAGCGGTCTCGGTTTGGCTATGCCGACGACATCGCCATCCTGGCATCCTCAACCTCTCTAGAAGACAACTGTGCCCTACTAGCTAAAGAATGGCAAGAAGCCCTGGGATGGGGCGCGTCGGAGGGTATCACGTTCGATCTCGACAAGTTGGAACTCATCCATTTCACCAAGAGACGCAAAGATGGAAACCCGCCAATATCTATCACAATGTTGGACGGGCGGCAGCATACAGTTCATGCTGTTGACCAAGGTTCCTCTCTGCGATGGCTTGGCGTCCACTTCGACCGAAGGCTCTCATTCAAGAACCATGTGAGAGACCTCTGCGCCAAAGCATGCCGGGTAGTCAACGGACTGCGAGGACTAGGGAACACCGTCTGGGGCGCGCCGGCGCACCTCCTTTGTCGTGCTATTACCTCTTGCGTATCACCTATTCAGTATTACGCATCGGAGGCATGGTGGCCCGGCAGGAACCGGGTCAAGAATGGACACACTGTGTCGAACGGGGTCAACGGTCTGCTTCACCAACTTGACACTATGCAAGCCAAGGCCATCAGATCTGTACTCCCAGTGTATAGAACGACGCCTGTACCGATCCTACAGCGCGAAGCTGCCCTGCCGCCGGCAGAGGTGATATTAGACGCGAAGCTCTACAAAGCCTCTGTAAGGGTCCATCGCCTTGACGAACGACATCCCTCCGGAAGAGGCTCGGAGACAGGCCAGGACCAGACTCTAGGCTACGACGAATGGCATGGCTTGCAGATGGCAATGCTGAATACATAGACCCGCTGGAACTACCACCTTGGGAGTGCTTAGCGGACTGGCACAAAGTCCTCCGGAGAGTCGGATACGACCCTGGGAAGGCCAAGGAAGAACTAGCCCTCGAATTTACAGACAGACTGGGAAAGTTCTCAAAGCGGGATATTGTTGTCTATACCGACGGTTCCCAAACGACAGACGGAAGCAGAACCTCCGCCGGGGCTGGCTGGGTAGGATACCAGGCCACACGACAGATCTTCCGGGGATCCGAACCGCTCGGCCACCAAACGGAGGTCTTTGACGCAGAGGCGCAAGCCGCTCTTCAGGGCCTGCTGGAAGCCGTAAGGTCTCCCACGGCACGGATGGCAGACAATGTTCATATCTGCCTCGACAACCTCGCAGTCGCGGCTAGGCTCGTTGCTCGGAGCGCAGGAAGCAGCCAGACTAGATTTAGGGCCTTTAGTGGGCTCTCCTGCTCTTGGAAACAGAGAGAACGGACAAGCTGGACGATGCCCGGCAGGGTATACATATGGTGGTGCCCTGGACACGCGGGAATACCAGGAAACGAGGAAGCGGACTCTCTGGCCAAGGAGGCCTGCAAACAAACCCCAGAATCACATCCACGGCCTACATTGGCGCACTTGAAACGGCAGTCTAAAGCGGTCGCTTTCCAAACTTTCGACAGAAGATGGCCATCACTCTGCCCTCGGCAGTATGCCGACCTTGGGATAGTCCCCCATCCCAAGCCCCCCGAGCTTCGCCTTCCTCGACACCTGCTGGGAAGGCTGTATGCATCAAGATCGCATCACGGAGACTTCGCAGCATACCACGAGAGGTTTGCCCATAAGGACGCACTGCTCGACTGCAGTTGTGGTAGACGCAAAACCCCAGTGCATTTCTACTTCTGCAAGCGTGGCCGGAAAGCCACCCCAGCCCATCTTCGCCGACATATGGCGAAAGCAAGCATAGATTTTCTGCTAGGTTCTACGCAGGGAGCCTCTCTTCTGTGCGAATGGATGGAGGCAACCAATTTCTTTTCTGAAATCTGCCCGACTCATTGAACAGGAACGTTAGGTGAAGACGGCAGCCTGTAAAATAGTATAGATTAGCATAGACCATGTCGGCATCGCCCGGCACGTCCCTTTTTACTCTGGACGTTAAATATATCATCATCATCATCACCCTTTCCAGGATTCAAGCACTTTAGCATTTCGTTCTCCTACGCCTAGCTGCGTGCTATAAGTCGTGGCAAAAGAATTACTGACTAATACCCTGATTCTTGTTTCTTATTTTCTGAATAGTTTTCTGGGTGTTCCACATCTTTCCTAAGCTCATTCAGAGTTGTGAACTGGAGCCTGACGTGATAACAATCCACAGCCTGGGCAATGTTCCAAATTGCACTTCATTGTTACAACCATCCTATTTCCATGTGATGTTTCTATGATAGGTGTAAAAGTTAGAGAGGAAGAAAAAGGCTTTAGATCACTAGCTTCAGACGACAAACTAAGTCCACCCTGGAGACTGTGTACGTGCATGAAGCAGCGGTCGAGGAGATAGTGCGGTGCAACATCAGCTTCCATCTCGACTCATGAAGCTGCAGAACAACATAGCTATGGGGCTATTGGCAAAGTTCTCAAACTAATATTGGAATAAACAAGTCGTGAGGGAAGTTTACATTAACAGTTAGAGGAGCAATAATAACAAGCCATGATTCGCGGAGGAAAACACCCAAACCGCGTTAGGGCCATTCAGGCTGTCGGTGCATGACGTCATGTCCATTCATTCTCCTGTGGCATTCGACAATCGAGGCCCAAGTTGCAGAGAGCCACGTTGTGGCTTGAACTCTGCCGTTCTCCTTCGTCTCAACCATATGGGCTGACCGTGCAATTAATTGTGGCTGGCCGATCCGACTTCAACCTTCAATTCGAACAACTGTCCTCGCTTCCGGAGCCGGGAGAGTCCTGAAACTGCCCACATGCGTCATAATACCGGCCATTCCCAGCGAATTCATGCGGCCAAGCAGTTGCTAGACGCCGGTCCCACGTTAGTTGTACTCTGGCTGTGCGCTCAGAACTCTCAATGCCCATGGCTGCTGGGCGCATGAATGATGCTCGTTTCCAACAGGGAGAGCCTGTGCACGCTATTTTCCGCCAACGCAGCACACATCGATACCCGGAGCCCAAGATGGGGCCGTCTCCAATGGGCGAAGCTGTCGTGGCACGATATCAGATGCAGGAACACGGAGACCCTTGGATGATGGTCCTCCAAACTCACGCTCGAGGCAAGGAGGATGCTGTCGGAATTTGACAGCTGTCATTAGGTTGCTCGGTGACGGATAGGTTTCTCCAGGACGTTACTGATGCCCAATTTCCCCCGATGGCGGTGCCATCTTGCGATGGTCATGATTGAAGCCCGTCGAGTAGCGCACAGTCTTGACTCGATCGTGGCACCGTCGCGTCCCCTGGTCATCTTTCTCATCTTTATATGCATGTCATGCGTTGCGAGGCGGACGGGGTCCACCTCGGCAAGAACGCAAACATCGGATGGGAATCCGCCGCTTTGCTCACCAATCATGGAGCAAAAGCACAGAGCATTTTCTCTGACTTTCGGGCTCGGTTGATGGCAAAGGCAGGCCAGGCCCTGGACGAGAGCTTGCATGATCGTTGGTTGGGACATCACGCAGGACCGGGTTTTCCTGCTTGTTGTTTAGCAGGAACGAGTAATTTTGCTTGTTATTTCGTGGCGAGGGGTGATATATATCGTAAACTGACGACCACCCCGCAGCTACTCTGATGTTTCGAACGTCTGATCAAGGTCTGATTAAACCACACCACAAAACTCACGATACCTGCCTCTTCTACAACATAAATGGGATCGTCTAAATCCCACCTCGAGTAATCTCTATTTCCCTCTGCAATCCCTTGTCATTGAGAGGCTCGACTCTCTCAATCTTCATCCGATGACAGCCAAGATGGATGTTGCCACGCTCGTGGCGCAGATGAACGAGGCCCTCGCCTCGATCCACTCGACGATCGAGAGCCTATCCACATCTGCCGCCGAGAGTGACACGAAACTTGACGAGCTCGAGCAGAAACGTGACATGACGCTTGCGGAACTGAAAGCCGCATACGAAAAAGAACAAGAAGAACTCGCAGCCGCACGACAGAAGGAGCTGGAAGAAATCGCCGAGCAGAGGCGTAGAGAAGATGAAGAACGAGAAGCCCGTCGTCGGAGGGAGGACGAGGAACTTGCGGCTCGCAAAGCCAAGGAAGACGAGGAAAAGCAAGGCAGCTTTGATAACACCACCCGTAATGTTGAAGACGAGATGGATGACCTCATGGACAACATCGAGGAAGAGACGGCCAAGAAGATTGCCGAAGGCGAAGCGAAGTTGGCCGAGCTCGAAGACAGGAGAAGAGTAAGTTTGCCCGTAGCCTGGCTCGTACGCCGCTGTCTAATCGCCTCTTTAGGAACTCAACCGCTTGATCGAAGAGCAAATGAAGGCTGCAGTACCCCCCATTCCGACACGGAAGCGCGCGAGAACGGTGCGAAAATCCGGGGCTGTTCCGTCAGCCGAACCCTCTCCGCTGCCCCCAGCCGAGTCTTCCGCCGAGCCCGCTGCACGAGACAAAGGTGTAGAAGAGGAGGCCTCCAAATCCGGCGAGCAACCTATGGCCGAGAAAGAGCTAGCTACAGAAGAAAGCACCGCGGAAGCGCCCGCAGCAGACAAGGCGCTTGAAGATGTTGTTGCTGCTCCTACCGGGGACGGCGTTGTCCCCGAGGAGAAGGCCAAGACCTCTGTTTCTGAGCCACCTGCCGAAGTGGTTGAAGGAGAAACGAACGCCGACGAGGATGCTCCCCAGCCGTCTGACGAGGCACAGGCCGATGCATCTGTCGCGAAAGAGAGGGGCCTTGAAGGTGACGACTCCCAGCCACAACCTGAAGAACCCGTGGCTGAAAAGAGCGTGAAGGAGGGCAATAGCACCGACGAGACACCTCTGACCGAGACGGCGGCCTTGGAAGCCAAGGGCGTGACGAGTTCCGAAGATCTAGCTGTTGAGACGGTCCCACCGACAGACGCTTCAGAGCTCGAATGCAAGGTCGAGCCCGCGCTAGAGAAAGATCTCCAGGAAGAGACCACTTCCAAGGAGCTCACAAACAGCGCAACAGCAGTCACCGCTGAAGACTTTCAAGAGGATGTACCGCCTGAGAAGCAAGATGAGGCTGAGGAGCCCGAAGAGACGTCAGAAACTGCACCGACCGAGGAGCCTGCTGTCGATGAGCCATCTACCGAACCTCCAGAAGCACAAGGGCCTTCTCCTGTCGAGACGTCAGTTGCCGAGGAAGTTTGTGTTCTCGAAGAAAGCCCCGCTGTTGGCGAGCCTGCAGTTGACGAGCCGCCAGCAGCAGAAGAAGGCGACCTTGCTGAAGCCTTCGAGGCAAATTCTCTGGTCGAAGAGCATGCAAATGTATCTGATCCCCCCGAGAATACTGAAGCGCAGCAAGAAAACCCGATGACTCCAAGCAGCACCCCTGCAGAGGAACGAACTGCGGACCAGAGTGAGGGTGCTGTATCCGATAACTCAGCGAAAGAGCATGATGATACCCCGAAGAAGGAAGAAGAGCAGGCGCATAATGAAGTTGCCGACGAGACCAAGCAAGAAATTTCTATGCCCGAGTTTTCCATGAAGGCTGTGGTTAACGAGCCTGGTTCCGAAGAAGCCCACCTTGCGGACAGCAGTGAGCAAGCGGCAGAGCAAGCCCAGACCGAGATCGGTGACTTCCGTGAGCACGCCGAAGCGGACTCGAACGAAACCGATAACGTTCCCGAGGCCGACTCTAAAGCTGTTGGAGATGAGCCAAGCAATGAGGATGCGTCTGCTCAACAGGAGACCGTTGCTTCCGAAGACGTTCCAGCAGCAGATAGTACCTTCGCCCTCGACGAAACCGTTTCTGAAAAAGACACCAAGCACGACGAGAATACGGCCTTCCTAGAGACAGCTCCAACTGAGCCAGAGGAGTCTATGGATACCCCTGCCGATAAGAGCGATCTTGCGACAGAGGAGGCCGCCAAGGAGTTTGAACCTATCACAACTGAAGATACAGCACCTGCACAAGAAGAAATTTCTCAAGACACCGAGAATGCTGTCATAACTGAAGCTCCTGAGAAGATTTCAGCTCACGATGCGGCATCTGCTTCTGGGGGATTGCCCACGAAACAGATGCTCCCGAGGACGAGGAAGTCCAAGCCCAGGAAAACAACCCGTTGGCAGACACTGCTCAGACACAAAGCCCCCAAGATCCTGGGTCTCCCACAGAACTTGTAGTGCCCATGCATAATGTCACCTCTCAAGACGATATCGCCGCTCCCATTGCCCAGGATCCCAAGGATGTCTCAGTCCAAAACAACAACTCCGCTTCTGACGAGCCTATCAAGGAGGATTATTCCCCGGACCAGGATAAAGGCCAGGCTCCAGGTGACTCACTGGCACCAGAAAATCTTATTAGTGCAGAGGAAGCCACGCACGAAGAGATTGAAGCTGCTGAAGCTGCGCTTACAGAAGAGGACTCTGATGGAGCAGACGTTACCGCAGATGACGAGACTCCCGCCCAAGAAGTAGCTTCTAATAGGGAGAAGGAGAAAGCAACAACTGCTGAATCTTCATCTGAAGTACAAGCTGGCACAGAAAATGACACAAAGGCAACTGCTCCCGAGGCTGCTGAAGCCGCGGTGGAAGTCGAGACGGTCAAGGCAGAGAATACACCCGTCAAGCCGGATCATGATATTTCTGAGGCATTCCCAACTGGGGACCAACCAGAAAGTCAACCCGAGGGGGTTGACCAAAGATCTACCGCCGAATTTGGCGAGGTCTCAGAAAAAGAAGACGTGGGTGCAGAAGCCGCTCGGAATGCTGCGAATGACGAACATCCCAAGAGAGCCGCTATCGCAGAGGAGAATCTTTCGGATGTTCAGCTACCAGAGGAGCAACTTACTGACGCGCCAGCTATGGGAGACCCTCAGACCCAAGATAATGACCAACTTGGGGGCAACCAAGACGCGGAATTATTCCAATCCAAGAAGGTCTTTGAGCAAGAGAGTTTACCAACAGGCAATGAGGTGCAAGCCCAACCCGATTCTCGGGAGGCCCAAGTGGAAGTCAGTGAATCACCCCCGACAACCCAAGAGCAGGAAGAGTATCTACCAACCACTGCCAGCAAAGATCTTGAAGATGGAGATTCCGAACACGGGGACACTCAACATCCGTCAGAAGAACAATTCGTTGGTGATATCTCTAACGCAGTTGAGGACAATTCCACTGTTGGACCTTCTAACGCCGCCACCGACCCCCCTGCCAACATCAACTTGACGAAGGACGCTGAGGTCGACGAAGAAGCGGAGTCTCTCGAGTCCGAGTCCGAGACCCAGGTCGAGGTTAAGAAGATTGAAGAGGACCAAGATGCTGAGGAAGAGGCTTCTGCTGCATCTGGCGATGAAGATCAGACCAATAATATCGACGAATCCGCTTTTGTTGGTAGCCCGAGCGTGCTCGAGAATGCTCTACTGCGGAACTTAGATGATCACGAGAAGGATCACGAGCTCTGGGACATTCCCAAGTCTGTTGAGCATATCACAGAAGAGACAAATGCTTCCAAGGAGGCTGAGCAGACAGAGGAGGAAAAAGTTGCCGAAACCTCCACCGAAGTCTCCGACCATGATGAGACCGAGAGCTCGCTCACACACGATCCGTACGACGAAAATCTCAAAGACGTCATTGATAGCAATGAAAAAGTCCCCAAGACAGATGTTGCACATGGACAGGTCAACGCCGTTAATGACGAAGCTCAGGCACAAGAAATTGAAATGTCAGCGGACGAAGAAGATACCCGCAACATAATTCGGATTAATGTATCTCATGAGCACGACGCTCAAGGTGCTGTAAGAAGCGACTCGCAAATCAGCGACGCGGACGTCAAGTTCGAGCCTACGCAACACAACTCTTATCTTGCTGAAGCCGATGTCATGAATCAGTCCCACGAAGACGTCAGTTTCGATAATGTTGATCGTTCGCGTGGGCCCGATCTTTCCGACATTACCGAGCACACTGAGCCCGCCCCATTCTTTGCTGGCCACGCTTCTGATGTAACCGCGAAGTCCAACGAGTACTTCTATCCCGAGTCTGTGAGTCGCGACGTTTCTGCGGCTCCTGATGCTACGCTCGACAGTTCTTACATGACTGAAACATCGAGCATGGCTGCGGATCAGAGACATGAACATGAACAACAACATGGAAGCTTCTTGCAGGGCACCGTCGCCTTTGGCCACGGCGACAACGGTTATGTTGCAACAAGTCAAGCCCATCTTGACGAGGAAGAAGACAATCACTCCTCTTCTGTTCAGAGTGTTAGGGAAGAAAGCGACATTGACGAGCCGTCAGAGACCTCCTATAACCCATTTGCCACAAGAAATGCTGCGAGCTACGAACAACCCACATACCAGTCATCAGATATCCCATACAACCCATTTGCACTGCAAACAGTTGTCGAAGAGGAGCTGCCTCAGGAAACGTATAATTCTTTCGCCAAACGGGTGGCTGGTGACGCGTCGGAAGCTTCCTACAATCCCTTTGCTCGAAACACAACTACTGCTGCCGACAACTTTCTTCGATCAGCTAGCGCCTTTGGCCATAGCCAGCCATCTTCTCCTGAGCAGAGTTTCGCTCGGTCTACTAGTGCGCAAGGGCGACGCGACAGCGTTGGCTCCAACAATCCATTTGCTAGAAGCATGACTCCTGCCGACCAGAACTTTTTGCCAACGGCCAGTACTCTCGGACAGCAAGATATGGCGCAATCTTCCAACAACCCCTTTTCTCAAAGCATCGGAGCACAGGGCCCCTACGAGTCGGACGACACCGATACTGATGACGAGGAGGCACTCGCGGCGGCCGAATCAACGTACAAGAACTTATTCCCGGTGCGAAACAGCCCCCCGGTTGCCAATGATGACTTAGCATCTGCAGCGCAAAGCATTGAACGCCGGCAGCCTACCCCTCAAGTTCCTGAGTCTATGTATAACAACCCCTTTGCTACAAAGAGCAGTATGGCGGGAAGCGACGTTGCCGAACCACGGTTCCATCAGAACTACTCGTCCCCAGCCGGTAGAAGTGATTACTCAGTGGCGGATGTTGATGGGTCTATGAACCCAGGCGCTCAGCACTTCGTTCAAGAGAGCAGCCCGCTTTCTGCCAGGAATCTTGCATCGACAACTCTGGACAGCATCCAGGAACGTTACAATAGCGAGTTGGAGGATATGGATTCCGACTCTGAAGAGCCAGAGAGTCTCACAACCTCTCAGCAGCTGCCGACTTCGCAACACCGCACCATTCCCCCTATGCCAAGCATCGCTGAGAGTTCATTTCAAGGCTTTGACGACTCCGATGATGAGGAAGACTGGAAACCCCGCGACGCTCAAACCAGCCATATCGATACTTTGTTGACATCTTCCGAGTACAGACCAAGCCCACCTCCCCCTCCCCCACGTACCCCGAGTTCCCAGGGCATTTACTCTCAAGAGGTGGAAGACTCATCCGAAGATGACGGTGATATCTTTCGTGCCAGCCCTGCTCAAATAGCACAGCCAAACACACTCTCATCATCACAGTATAGCGCAACGCCTCCAACAGCCCCTCCACGCGGCCTCAGCTTTCAAGAACACCATGATCAGCAGCCAGAAGACTCTTCGGAAGGGGAACAGAACGAATGGGATGACGACTTCACGCCTGTACAGACAAACACTTTCCTTACCTCGCAGTCCGGAGCCATTCCACCTCGCCCACCGCCTCCCCGTGCCCCCAGTTCCCTCTCACAGACCCAGCTTCACGTGGAGGATTCAGACGAGGAAGATCAAGGTGTCTTGCCCTCGAGTATTGCCCACCCTAACATCCCTACTGCATTGTCAACGTCCGGGCACCGGGCGACTCCTCCGCCGCCACCACCACCGCGTGTACCCAGCTCCCAGGGCCTTGATCATCAAGAGCGTCAGGACTCAAGTGAGGACGAAGCCCCACACAGCCAAAACATTGCTCGACCTGGTCAGTTCCCCTTTTCATCTTCATCTCAGTCTAGGGCCACTCCACCCCCGCCCCCGCCTCCGCGAGCACCAAGCTCTCAAGGACAACACCGCCGGAATCTCGAGGATTCGGATGATGAAGAGGATGCATGGGACTCGAGAGTCACTCGGCCCGGCCAAGTTTCAACTCTACCGATGTTGCAGTACATGGCGACCCGGTCACCACCTTCGCCTCCGCGTGCGCCCAGTGTACAGGACAGCTACCGTCAAGAACTTGAGGACTCTGACAGTGAGGAGAATGAGGAGGCATGGGAAGCTAATATGTATGGTCAGGCAACGAACGTGATGGGAGCCAGCAATCTGATGGAAAGCAACCATATGGGAGTTGGCCCGACAGGATCAGCAAGCCCGTTAGGAATGGCTCCGATGATGACTTCCAGTTTACCAGCATCGACAAGCCCTGTGAGGTCCACCGACCAGATGTCGCAGACCGGTGCGATGAAGTCAGCATCCAGGGAGTCGGTACCGGCAGCAAGCAGCCAGGACCGTCAAAGTCATCAAAAAGAAGAAGACGGGGAAGAAAGCGATGATTCTTGGGAGAACATTGGGCAACGCGGTGAGGCACATGCAGACCCTCCAGCAGACCAAGCATCTACCGCGCCCACGCCACAGCTGCGCGTTGACAGCTACGAGCAACAGTGGCCGAACGCGAGTAATGACCAAATTTCCACAGCATCAACTTATCTTCAGCCCACCGGACCAGGGGACTTCACCGATACGGAGTCTCAGGAGTACGCCACCCCACTGCCTTCAGCCGGTTTCAGCACATCTTCGCAGTACACACAAGGAGCCGTGGACTCGCCGCGGCATCCAGGATCATCTGGCATGAAGGATACCTATGATCAGAGTTACAACCGAGGGATCCCAAGTCCCTCGTATGACCAAGAAAGGTCGTTTGGCAGGGAGTCGTCATTAGCTGAAGAGCTTGCCCAGGACTCGGCCTCGGACTCAGACGTCAGCGAGTACGATCATACACAAGCACCTGCTTTCCTGACCCAGATCGGCATTACTCAGCAGCAACAAGAATCCAACGAACCTGTTCTGGAGCAAGTCATCGATTCGTTTCATAGCGATGAAGATGACGGACCCAAAACCGCAGTAATCTCCTCTGAAGACCATCCAGCACAGTACGCATCGTCTCGCTTCGGCGCAACGTCTTGGCGTGACGAGCTGCGGTCGCCCACTCTGTTTGGAGCCACGAGGCACAGCCGCTCGGGATCCCTAAGAGAAGAACTCCAGAAGTCTCTTCACAACGATGCCGAGTCTAGCTATCCATCGCCCATTCAGTCTGCGTATCATCCAGAATCACAGGCGCAGGACCCATACGAGCAACAGCAATCTCATGGGTACGGCCAAGAAGTACTTGGCCAAAGCCCGCAGCTGTACGAACAAGATCATTATGCCCCGCAACATTCGGGACAGTCTCAGAATGGCAAACACCATTTCGAGGGGCAACCCTACGGACTTGCCGGAGATACCCAGGAGCAATTCCAAGCTCGGTCTGCACAGCCGACAGCATCGCACCCTGAAGTTCAAATATCAGAAGTACAGGAAGAGGAGGAAGAGAACGAGCAGAAAACTCCGCATCTCGCACCACAGCAAAGTGAGCAAGCATCGGAAATCAGCCCCCTAGCGTTGCGCCAAGAGTCGCCTGCGACGCCGTCGTCGCGGGGGACCCCTTCTCGTGGCCTCGCGTTCAGCAGGCACAATCCTGACCGACCGCAGACACCGCCTACTCTGTCGGCCACAGAAGAAAATATTGATCCCGAGTTGATCATTCCGCGCGACGTAACAAATCTCCCATGGCATGCTCGGAACGACTCAGTTCCGCACTCGATGCGAAGCCAAAGTACCATCGACTCCATGGCATCATCGCCGGTGCACTCGGCGTTGCATGCTGACAAGCACGAGCCTGTCATCCGAGACTCATGGCCGGTTTCTGCTCACATCCTGACGAGACCACGCAACGACTCTACATTGACAGACCGTGACGACTATGACCCCTTCAAGTACGAAGGTGGCGCAAAGCCGATGCGTGGACCGTCGGGCTCAGTGGGGTCCCGCTCAGACAGCCCTCCTCGGAACACTGCATCAAACAATTCTCCTGGTAGCCTGATCAGCAGGATGCGAGGCATTTTCGAGAACGCCCAGGCCAAGCAGGAGCCGGCAAGCCCAGTCCGGTCACGACCTGTGTCCGGTGTTTTTCACTCCGTGCGGCGCACCAAGCCCGACGGCGACGACGACGGCCCCGGGTACGAGCGCAAGGCAGGGTTCCTCAATGAAGCCGAAGACGAAGTCGATGAGCAGAGCGCACTCCTACGAAGCTCTGCTGGCGGGTTGGAGGCAAATTGACCACGCTCGGGCGGAGCGGGGCTCAATGTCATGAGGGTAAAGCGGGACGCCGAGTACGACGAATTGGACGAGCGTCCAAAGCGGAAGTACCAGAAAGATGCGAGCGGCTTACGGGTGCCGGTTGCTCAAGACAAGACCGAGATGGGTGGCCTCGAAGAGCCTTCTGGCGAGAGCGTGTATCGTCTGGCGTGGTTGTTTGTCGAAGGATGGCGGCACAAGCTCCGGAAGGCCGGGGACATGATTGAGAGGAGTCGATGGGAGTGGGAGCTTGACGGCACTGCCACCGTGAATACGCACAGCCGAGCGTCTAGCTTGACGTTTGGTGTGATCATTGCGGACGCTCGTCAGCGGGTGCCGGAGGGACCGAATAAGAAGAAGAAGAAGAAGCAAAGAAAGTCAGTGCATTGGGCGTGAGATCTACGAAGGTACATGATATCACGAATAATGGGTTACGGATATGGAAATGGAGATGGACAGAGGATAATGAAACAATGATTTGAAGTTTGAAAATGACTTGAATGGTCTCCTCGTTTTTTCCGTCATCGACTTCTGAAAGTGAAGGTGTATTTAACGAGCCGAAAGTACGGTCCTGAATGGATGCTCTAACCTTTCCCGGCCAAGTCAAAGTTATGACTGGCAGTTGTTCTCGGACCGTTCGTATCCCCGCAATCCGAACATCATCGTAAGAAGACCTAGCGGGAGGAGTCCAGTTCCGACCCCAAACTTTCTCACATGCAATGCCATTACCTAAGCTACATCCTCGGCCAAACTGGTGAGACGACTACTGTCACTTGTAACTATCGATCCCTCGTCTTTTATCAACAACAATTATCGTATATGCGGCCGAACACACTGCAAATTCCAGGCGTGAAAAGGGCCCAAAGAGGAATTGCCAACTTTGTGAGAAGAATGAACGAAGGGTACCCTCTCTGCTTGTAAAAACACCCTGGCCGGACCTCACGTTGCAATTTTAGCAGCACGCAGGAAATGTCCCAACAGCAGAATGGCACTGCGCCAGTGTCTACTTCGGCTTCCTCCCCCCCTCCCACAGTGCGGACTTTCAAACGAGCCGCCGTGGCCTGCAAAGCATGCAACCTCCGCAAGGTGAGGTGCACTGTCACGTTATCTGGGCCACCATGTGCCAACTGTTCCGTCGATGGGATCACCTGTGAGGTCTTGAGTCGCAAGAGGCGCCGGTAAGATATCTACCCCCAGCTGTGAATATTTGCAAGGTTGTATGGTACTGATTAAATAGCAATTCGGACCAACTCCCCATCAACATTGCCGGCGGCGAAGCCAGTGGTGAGAACACGCTAATCAGTAACCCACAAAGTGGTTATTCTCGAAGACGCCTACCAGGGGCCCAGGATCCGGGACATTGTATGGTTGCATTGGAAAACGGGGAGAAAGCCGATACCGAGCGTGTTACTTCTGTGCCACCTGAACAGCATCAACAGACCCACGTCGATGACGGTCCGAAGCCGTCAACTCCCAAAACGCTGGCCGAGACACAAATATTGGACAGAACATCTACACGACCAGACCAGTCCTATGATGCTGTGAGATCATTGCCTCCGACCAACGATCAGCGGATACCGGATCCGTCCGACGCTACCGAAGACAGCTCCGCGTATGCCGAAACGCTAGAGGGCAGTAAGAGCCACCAAGATGGCTGCGTCCCCTTCTATCCAGGTAAGATCCTTGTACTGCCAGAAGTTTGAGCATGAGTTTGGAAACTCATTCGAAATCGTACTGCAGGAGATCAGCGTGGACCTGCGTTCTTGATCGATATTTGTGAGCCAAACAGGCCCTCCAAGGACAACCATTTCATGGTGCCTATGCCGTCAATCAAGGCACTCTCACCAGAAGATGTCAATTATCTTAGGACAAAAGGCGCCTTCACACTTCCTCCGGCCCATATTCGTGAGGCGATGATTAGGTGTTACTTCCACTATGTCCATCCATTTGCGCCGATTCTGGACGCGGATGAGTTCATTACCCAGTATGAGAAGGGACGGAAAAGCCTTTTGCTACTATGGAGCATGTTCATCGCGGCGGCGAGCGTTAGTATATCGAAATCATATGTCATTCAGCAACGCTGACCTAGCCACCAGTTTGTCGATGACGGCTTTTTGACTGAGGAGTTCTTTTCGTCGAGGAGAGCACTAAAGAGGGCCATGTATCAAAGAGCAAAGGTAGCAGCTGCCTGTCTCTCTTCCACCGTCGACCCATTCAGTGACTAACTTTTTCCACAGGCTTTGTACGATGCGGACTATGAAAAGGATAAGGTGACGCTAATTCAGTCAGTTTTTCTCATGGGGCACTGGTACACCAGTACAGACGACAGAGCTGGGCCGTGGCACTGGCATGGCATTGCCATTAGCCTCTCGCACACTATCGGTCTCCATCGTCTACATATGCCGACAAACCAAGGGAACTCACAGGGAAGCAAGCCTCTCTGGCGACGTCTGTGGTGGTCGTTGTACACTCGTGAGGTATGGCTATCGCTAGGCCTGGGGAGACCGATGAGAATCGCTCTCGACGATTTTGATACACCCATGCCCGCTGCTTGTGATGCAGATTTAATCTCACCAGATGTCGAAGGGAGCGTTGGTCGAAAGTATCTACCCGAAGAACTCGGGATATTGTTCGATACCTGGCTTGCTTTTGTTGGATTGACCACCACCCTTAGCAACGTCCTGGCAACTAATTACCGGGCCAAGGGAGACAAGCCATCAAGAGCTGATATAGAGCGCAGTGAGAGCAAAATCCGGACCTACCAGCCTAGGATACCGGAAATTGAGCATCAGGGGAAAGTGGTTGTGTCCCATATGTACCAGTTCAAGCTCTACCTTGAGTAAGTCAGCGTCACATCGATACCTAAAGAAAACTACCTAACGGCATTGAAGAACTTGCATCATCGTTCTCTATCGGCCATTTATTCTCGATACCCCGAAAGAGATTCCCGCTTTCGACCAGGGAAGCTGGAGAACCTTTGCGTGTCAGAAAACGAGGACTGCTGCGTCCAATGCAAGCGCTGCCATGAACTCTATGATGGCAATGGATCTCATCCGCCTCTGTCATACGCTTACGTATGAGTATTCTCCCCATGCGTTTGACAATTACTAACACAACCTTCAGAGTTATTGCTCTAGTCCCCCGATGCAAATACACCTCTTTGAATCAACATCTTCAAAGCCAATGGCACGCCAAATGGGCAGGCACAACCTTGCTCTCTGTATGCTGGCTATGAATGAGCTTCGAAAGTACTACATATCTGCAGAGGCATCGTACAAGCTTTTTGAAACAGCAATTGACAAGATCGAGCACCCAACACTGTACGAAGAGTACCAGCAGTCTCCTGTGGCCCTGACACCAGATAACAGTGCATTTACAAGCTGGCCCGACGGGTACGGTCTGGAGACCGCGGGGATCATCTCGGACGTGTGGAGTCCGCTGCCAAACGCATACACAGACAACACCTCGCTTTCTGGAACTCAGTGAGTTTTGTTTTAATGTGCAGCGGCGAGACTGATAACCAATATCTACAGCACCAACTCGTGGTTAGACATTCAGACGATGGACAGACCCTGGACACTTGATGATTCCAGTGTGCCATCCAGGTGAAAGGAATGGACCTTATGACTTGGTAATTACCCTATGGCCTTTTAGGCAGTTCAGCACACCTTGCTGTCACGTAAGCTTGGCTTCAGCTTTCACCTAGACCCGTGTACACCCAGTACACTTTGTTACATTCGCAGGCTTTACCTAACGCCAAGTCAACTCATCAAAGTAACTGTTTGGAACAATTCACGGTACCATTGATCACTCCGGTGGTCGTCTAGTTTGCCAAGTCGGCTTTCGGTCAGATACAACAAACGCGAGCTGTGTTAACTCAAAGCAAATGTCAGCGCACCGAGATTGTGTTCAACACGGAAGGGATTCGAAAGCCCGAGTCCTCGGTCACTATCCTTTCTTGGCCCTGGCCGCCGTGGCCCCACATCTTGCCGAGGTCGGCAAACCGAGGTGCCTCGGCTTTGAATCAAGGCACATGCGAATGTCTGTCGACCAACCACTAATGGACATAATTAGGTCTTTGGTCTTAATGTTGACGGGAATAGGCAGTAGGAGGCGTCAAGACTGGACCGGAGATTTCAATTTGTGCAGATGTGCCGGAGCTTCCAGGCTGGGGGACAGCGAGAAGAGATGTGGGGTGGTTAACGTGCAAATGAGCAAATGAGCACCGCGAATCATTAACTCACGTTTTCGCAGTTACAAAGGCGCCAGGTCCTTTAGCCACGCCTAACATGAATTTGATATTTGAGAACCGATTGATAGGCCTGAAAGCGAATATCTATATTCGGCTACTCAGTATTGCTTTCTGCGGCTGCTGAGTCCTAGGCTCCAAAACACCAGGCCTGTAACGAACCACCTGGATGATGGAGAATTCAACGACAGTCCTAGAAACAGCATGGACCGAGGGATTGAACCCCCGGAGAGAAGAAAATTCTGAAATGCTGCATTTGTGAGTGAAAGAGCTTGAAGGTTTGTAGCAATGTCGAGCTTTGAAAGCCGTGGCTCAGCCATAGTCACTCACCTACGTCCTAACGCCAAATGTTTGCCTTGGGTCTCTTTTCCGAGTCTCACCAAAGGCGAAAAATGGAACGGGGGGGTGTTTCTTTTCTCGTCAAATTCTTCTGCAAATCTTGTTTTTACTTTTCATGATGTTAATCAAAACCCCCCACATTGCCTTTGAAACCGAACGAGTTGAAGGTCATTGAGTCCAAATTGTGTCTCCTGCGATGTGTCAGAGCAGCAGATGATTTTGCTTCTCATCAGTTTAGTGCCGATGATGGATGTGCTCCCTGTAATGTCACCGGGAGGCCAGGTAAGAAAAGAAATCAGTTGTAAGCATGTGGTTGGCTTTCGACAGTCCAACTAGTTTTGGAAAATATAAAGCTTCAAGAGACTCTATCGTCAAGCCTCAACGAGCGAACGACATGTTGAGTTTGATGTCTAGTTAAGCAACTCGAGTGGCGGTATAGAGCATAGAGATCGAGTTAAAATCGGCAGCTGAACTCCAACATCGAGACCAACTCAGCCGTTTTTTAGAAAGAGACCAGAGTCTAGGACCACCCAGAATAATACGAGGATGACATTTGCTTCTAGAAGCTCTGATTTCTTGTCGAAGTTGTCCCTCCCTTAGTAACTGTGAGGTAGTTCCTACAAAAAAGAACTTACTGTTGTTTTAAGGGTCAGGTTTCTTCTTGCATTCATCTGCAGCCAGACAGAAAGCCTCCCCTCGAAGCTGCTAGGTCTGCGAGGCTTGTATCTCATGGCCATCTCGTTGATCCCTTCGTCTCTCTTAACATATCGTCCATTGCTAGATATGTCTTCAAGATGGAAAAAGTTGCTACCCCTTCAAGCGATTCTGCGTAAACAATCACAGCTTACAGCCCCGAGATGAACCTGACATCACCAAGGTCGAAAAACTAGTTATCCGTTCCGCAGCTACAGTCATGATGGACTAAGTCAATAGCCGTTTCGACCCGAGCGAGCCTAGCTTTGGTTGATACACCGACTTTTGAGGCCGTATAATTCCAAGGTCACGGAGTTGCTAGGGCGACACGGTCGAACTCGATGTCATTGCCCATGGCGCCTGCTTAGCTCTGGATAATCGTTGCCAGGGGTTCCCCGGGGCGAACAAACTACAGTATATTAGAGTTGGCCCTTATTGTGGACGACATGGTTCGATTTGTCGCAACGCATTGAATGTGGAGTTTAGGAGTATGTATATAGCGCGGCAACTAACAGCCAACTCAATCGACATGTCTACTTATTTCTCACAAAAATATCAAAAAAACTCCACTGATCGACTCTTGTTCCAAATTATACATGTATCGTAGTGCTGATCATGATACATACATAAACTGCACTATGAGTTGTCGCAGATCAAGTACAAAGTTACAATTGGTTCATCAATATGTACGCTTCTGCCAGAAATACCGCTGCAGCTTGCGTTAAGGGCAGAAGTCACTTCGTCTCACAAAACCAAACCAAACCAGGGCAAGTGCTGACAGCATTACTAACAAATTTCCGCCTCCTGCATTGCGTGGCTTTTGTGCTGACTTATCAATTGCTTGCACGTATGCGTTCTGGGGTTGGATCCATTTCTGATTTGCGTGGTTGCAAACTTAAACACTCACCCACTTAGGACGCGATGCTAAGAAACCAATTTGGTGTTGATGCGTCATTGTGTCTCTGTTCCCCGCAGCCTGCCTGATAAAAGCGAGAGTCATGTTCAGAAATCAGGGCTGGTGGGCATTTACTAGTCGGTGATGTGAAAATGGCCAGTCTCCATAGACTGCCCAACGCGCGGCCGACAATGATTTCTCAACGAAAGCCTCGCTGCGGATTGACGCCGTGAGCGAGACGTCCGCGGCATCAGTGGAATGAAGCGGAGCGGAAGGGCGTTCAGTTTGGTTTGCCCAACGGAGCGGGATGGGGTAATTTGGCGCCGGCACTTGATCTTGACTTCGCCGCACATCGGCATCTGTCATCGTTGCGCCTACATGCAGGATCTCGGCCGTACTCCTTGACAGCCTTAAGATTAGACCCGACGGGTTGGTGGCCTGGAATGGGCTGTTGGTTTGTGGGCAGATTCACAACGGATGGTCTAAAGCTTCGGCAAATTCGGCCCAAATCTCACTGTAAGCATCTTCTAATCAGATGAATCGCCGTTTTCGTGGCTAGAATCCTAGGAAAGTCAGTGGTTAAGACCGGTTCGCAAGGGGAGCACAGCAAAACCCCTGACTCACCGCCCAGCAGCCAATGTAACCTTGAGGAGTGTCAAGTCGCACAGCTTATTTCGTTCATTTTCCATAGGGCGGCATACAGTGATAGACGAGGGCAGGGGAAGCCGCGAAAGAACATGCTGTGGTACGCTGTAAGCACTGAAGCAAGCCGGTGCGGAATTGGGCTGGCGCCGAATGCCTTGTTTCACTAAAGACTGGGACCGACGGGATGGCCGACCTGCATCGCGTTCATCTTGACCACTGACGCAGCCGGGATTGGCCCACCTCACGACAATGGTTAGCCTGTGGAAAAGCGGACAATGAGTAATCTTTTTTTACGGGCATGATATCAGCGTTTATCCTTGTGCTCCACGCATGATGATGGGACCGAGGCATAACGCCAAACAGCGCCCAGAGATTGGCCACGCATGGGGACTCTGCCGATTTTCAATTCTGAATATTATCAGGCCTTACCCCTCTGTGTGTTCTTTTTTGCTCTCCATTGGGTCATGTAAGAGTGCATCTGGCTTATCTTGTCAGTATTCACACCGCACACAATATAAGTAACCGCGCACACACACACACACACGCGCGCGCGCGCAAGACCACAAAACATGTCAGAAACAGTACCTATTCCTGAGCCCCCTGGGCTGCCTTTCTTGGGCAACATCAACGAGATTGACCAGGAATTCCCCCTGGGATCCATGATATCTCTCGCTGACCAGTATGGTGAGATTTACCCTGACCGAGCCCCCTAATCGATAAGCCACAGCTAACATTGCGCTAAGGTGAGATCTACCGATTGAGATTTCCTGGGCGGTCCGTCGTTATGGTTTCGACCCGTGCGCTAGTGAATGAGACGTGCGATGAAAAGCGGTTCAAGAAGTCCGTAAACCAGGCCTTGAGCGTAAGTAGCTCCTTATTGAGCCTATGCCATACTCGATTATGATCTCTGACGTCAATAGGAAATCCGAAATGGGGTGCACGACGGACTTTTTACGGTAAGTTCCGGTAATGCGGCGGTGCGCCGGACGACTCGATGTTGACCGCGAATATAGGCAAGAATGGGCGAGGAGAACTGGGGCATTGCCCATCGCGTACTCATGCCCGCCTTCGGCCCTCTGTCAATTCGTGGCATGTTTGATGAAATGCACGACATCGCAAGTCAATTAGCATTGAAGTGGGCGCGTTACGGGCCAGAGTCACAGATCACAGTGACCGATGACTTCACGCGGTTAGCACTCGACACACTAGCCCTGTGCTCAATGGGTTACCGATTCAACAGCTATTATTCGCCTGTTCTCCACCCTTTCATTGAGGCCATGGGTGATTTCCTGGTCGAGGCCGGCAATAAGTCTCGACGTTTGCCGCTGCCTTCAGTTTTCTACAGCGCAAAAGACCAAAAGTTCGCCGACGACATCGAGACTCTGAGAAGCACAGCGAGAGAGGTTCTGGAGTCAAGGAAGGCTGGCAAGAATGACCGTCGCGATCTGCTTACGGCCATGCTTGAAGGCGTCGACTCAAAAACAGGGAAAAAGATGACAGATGAAAGCATTATGGACAACCTCATCACTTTCCTCATCGCAGGACATGAGACGACATCAGGATTGCTATCCTTCGCATTTTACCAATTGCTCAAACACCCGGAGGCGTATCAGAAAGCGCAACAGGAGGTAGACGCCGCTGTTGGAAAGGGGCAGATAAAGGTTGAGCACCTCTCGAAGCTGCCTTACCTCAATGGTGTACTCCGCGAGACCCTACGCGTCAACGCAACAATCCCCCTCTTCACAGTTGAAGCTTTTGAGGACACTGTACTGGCAGGAAAGTATCCTGTCAAGGAGGGTGAGACTATTATCAACTTACTTGCTAAATCCCACCTTGACCCTATGGTCTTTGGCGAGGACGCTAACGAATTCAAACCTGAGCGCATGATGGACGAGAACTTCAACCGCATCACTAAAGAGTTCCCCAACTGCTGGAAGCCTTTTGGTAACGGCATGAGAGCCTGCATCGGTCGCCCGTTTGCATGGCAAGAGGCCCTCCTCGTCATGACGATGTTGCTCCAGAACTTCAACTTTGTCCTGGATCCGAACTACCAATTCGGCATCAAGCAGACCCTCACAATCAAGCCCAAGGACATGCATATGCGTGCCATTCTCCGTGATGGCCTGACGCCCACCACCCTTGAGCGTCGCCTCGCTGGCCTCGCCGAGCCGGAAAAGACGCCTGGGCAGATCAAGAGCAACGGAGCCTCTGAGAGTGACGGTGGGATGCCGTTAACAATTCTTTATGGCTCTAATAGCGGTACCTGTGAGGCTCTCGCACAGCGTGTCGCTTCGGATGCGGCGTCTCACGGTTTCCGTGCGACTAAGATCGATTGTTTGGACAGCGCTAATGGCAGTCTGCCGACCAATCAGCCCGTTGTCATCATCACAGCATCCTACGAGGGTCAGCCCCCTGACAATGCTGGGCACTTCGTAGCATGGATCGAAGGCCAGGACAAGGCCAAGGCACCGCTCAAAGATGTGTCATACGCCGTCTTCGGTTGTGGTCACAAGGACTGGGTTCAAACCTTCCATCGCATCCCCAAGCTAGTCGATACAACCCTCCAGCAGCTTGGCGCAAACCGACTTGCTGATCTTGGCCTCACAGACGCGTCGACTGGGGAGGTTTTTACGAACTTTGAGTCCTGGGAGGATGAAGTGCTCTGGCCTGCGCTGACAAGCAAGTACAAAACTACCGCCGCTGAAGACAGCAAGTCCAAGGGTGTGGATGTTGCCATTAGCAACCCAAGAACCTCGACTCTTCGCCAGGATGTCAGGGAGGCCACAGTCACTAAGACTGCGACGCTCACCAAGGGTGGCGATCCCAAGAGCATCAAGAAACACATTCAAATCAAGATTCCAGACGATATGGCATACACCGCAGGAGACTACCTTGCCGTTCTCCCGATTAATCCCAAGGAGAGCGTGCATCGCGCCATGCGAAGATTTCATTTGGCCCGCGATGCTCATCTTAGCATCAAGACCGATGGTCCTACGTCCCTCCCAATCGATAGCTCGGTCCCCGCCAACGATCTTTTGGGCTCCTATGTTGAACTCTCACAGCCTGCTACAAGAAGAGTAAGAAAATTTCCCGTGATATTTATTCATCATTGATTTCCTTTCTGTATGGCCGCTGACGCCTTTGATAGAACATGCTCGCTCTTGCCGAGTACGCCAAAGATGAGGACACCAAGGCTGAGCTGAGTCGACTTGCGGGCGATGCCTATGCCGACGAGATCAGCGGAAAACGGGTCTCTGTTCTTGACTTGCTTGAACGCCACCCCTCTATCGATTTGCCTATTGGTGTGTTTTTGTCAATGATGCCGCCAATGCGTGTTAGACAATAGTGAGTCACTTTCCGTGTCCCTTTTCCCGCATAGCAAAACATGTCCTAACATGACCCAGCTCCATCTCCTCTTCACCGATGGCAAACCCCAACTACGTCACCCTCACCTTCTCTGTCCTTAACGAGCCCTCACTTTCAGGACAAGGCCCTTACATTGGTGTTGCCTCATCCTACCTTGACTCCCTTGATGAAGGCGATTCGCTTCATGTCGCCATCCGCCCGTCACATGCTGCCTTCAGCCTTCCCACTGATGCCGAACGGACGCCTATGATCTGTGTGGCTGCCGGCACCGGCCTTGCTCCTTTCCGCGGCTTCATCCAAGAACGCGCCACTATGCTCGAGGCAGGCCGAACCCTCGCGCCCGCCTTGCTTTTCTTTGGCTGCCGCTCGCCCGACCACGATGACCTGTACCGTGAGGAGTTCGACAAGTGGGAAGCTCTTGGCGCCGTTTCAGTACGCCGTGCTTATAGTCGCGATTGCGATAAGAGCGAGGGCTGCAAGCACGTCCAGGACCGGATGTGGCATGACCGCGAGGAACTTGTTGCACTGTGGAAGCAGGGTGCCAAGGCTTACGTTTGCGGCTCTCGAGGTGTCGCCGAGTCAGCCAAGGAGACGATCATCAAGATTAAGGTCGAGATGGAGAAGGCCAAGGGTGAAGATACAGATGAAACCAACGTCAAAAACTGGTTCGAGTCTTTAAGGAACATCCGTTACGTTACGGATGTCTTTGATTGAGTAGCGCTAGGTATATCGTAGTACACGAGGTCTCGGCTACGGTTAGCATTTATAGAAGGGGGTTGGAGTTTGAGTGTTTAAATGAAAGATTATGCAGCACCAGACAGAGCAGCAAATTTCTATGTGCACTCATGGGTTGTGTGAGTCCAGAGATACCATGCCCTTCTAGTGCGCCGTAGCGTGCAAACTGCCTGAGCACAACAAGTAAGGATCAGGCAGGAGAAACAACATGGATCATACTAAAATTAAGCAGGGTGCAATAGGTTAATAGAAAGCGGTCATAATTCGGCTGTTTGGAGATCCATCATGCACGTGTATGGTAAAGCTAGTTGTGTGAGTTGTGGGGAACCTGTCTTATGGCCAATCCTTTGCCATGATCCCATAACAGTTTGACTCATGTAAAGTTAGAACTTATAACAAGACCTTTGTTTAAGGTCTGGGCTTTCGCATCCTGAGTATATTACCGTCTGCACATCCTATGATAACGAATACCTGTTTTTAGGATGTGAACATCCAGCAAACAAATGTTCAGAACCAGGAGTGTGCTTAGCACTGATGGACACCAGCACTTCACCGTTCGACATATAAACATACTCGCAGACCTCTAATATCCGGGAGGCATATGTCCAAATTAAAAGCCGTTTTGACTTTATCCACTGAACTTAAAGATTTCCCGGCGTTCCGGGTGTGAGGTAACAGGCTTGCCGACGCAGCTCAGCCCTGAAGACTGTCATTCCGTAGCTAATGTACAGCTACCAATGCCGTAAGACAGATACAGTATACTTGGTGACCTCTTAGACGTATTTCGGCAAAAAGATCCACCCCTTGGGTTGGATTTCTGTGCGGTGAACCACCTACTAGCAGAGGCCTGAAGCCTAGCCCGAGATCGCGTCATTGCATGACGAAAGAAAAGCGCGTTGAACGGGCTGCACCGCTAAATTTTTCTACTTCAAAGTTTTGAACAAAGCCTCCTGCGTTGTTCTAGCTTTGCGGTTAAGAAAAATAAAATGGGAATTGCTGCCATTGTAACCAAGTCTTATTGTTGTGCCCACCTTGAAACATCTCAGATGCATCTACTGTTCATAAAGCTATGTCCAAATCTTACTCGCTTCCCCGCACGATTCCCCGCTCGACAAGTTACTGCTGCCGAGGCATCGAAATAGGTAGTCTTTAAAGAATGAGTGGTTTAGCTAGGACGTGCTTCATCGTCCAATTACTTCTCGCTACCAGTGCTCTGGAACAACCTGAAATTCTGCGACCCTTTGGGTCTAGTTTAAGCAGCACAGCGTTTGGAAATTTTGTGGTAATTTGTAAAATTGTGATCGTATCAATGTGTCACAATGATGAAAATCATAACGTTGATGGGGAAATCCGACTTTTGACGAACATTGGCCCGCAGCATGATAATACATGATCTCCCAAAGATATGATCAAACGCCACAGACTCGTCGCAGTGTTGGCCATATCTGATAAATAAAGTAGTGATGCTATAACAATCCGGAAAATCGGACGTTCCTTGTAAAGCCCGATACTCGATATATTGTGGGCAATCGGCTAATACTGTTGGTCATCGTCTCATGTGCGGAGACGCATTTTTTCGACTTACTTTTCGCAATACGCAAGCCATCTAGGTCTTCAATGCTCGTTAGGCATTTTTCAGGGATTAATACAAGGGAATATACCACGAGCCAGACTTCCTGGTAGTAATTGGAAAGGATGTGTGCGTTGGCGGGGTCGAAAGCCTGGAACCTACGGCTGCTAAAAAGTGAAATGATACATTTGAGCAGCCGATCGAAAAGTTAGAATCCTCGACTCCGACCGAGGTAGCCGACGGTGAACCTCTGAAACAAATACCGTACGTAAGCCACCAAGCCTGTGAGTAGTACAAACTTTCACGGATACTAAGGACACTTCGTTATTTCCTCAGCATAATGCTTAGAAATACTATGATACGTCACATGTCGCCCCAGCTTTAGGTCTCAGGACCGAGGGACCGACTCTAATATATGAAGAGTTGTGTTCCCCTCCATTGCCCTAATGGTAGCAAAGCTAGCCTTCACTCTCTTCAATCTCGTTTTACGGTCTCTTATCAGCAAGAGCTACTATGGCCACATCTACTATTCAAGTTGCGGAGTCTCGTACTCGCTCTATTTGCGGACAACGCACTTTGCCCGCCATTATCGATGAAAGGGCAATCTACGAGCCTGACCAAACATGTTTCTCAACACCATACACGTCAGAGCCTCGAGATGGTTGGCGAAAAGTGACGCACAGAGACGTTGCGAATGCCATCAATTATGTTGCCCGTGTCATTCTTGATGCCTGCGGTACCCCAAGCCCCAACACTTTTCCAACAATTGCTTACATTGGTCCTAATGACGCGAGATATGCTGTAAGTCACTCCGAGTCAACAGTCAATCTGTTTTGCTAAGCCATACTAACTGAATCACTAAACAGGTCATCATGGTTGCCGCTGTTAAAGCAGGCTTTAAGGTATATGCTAAGAATGTATTAGACTTGTGACAGACAAGTTGACACAACTGCAGGCCCTTTTTGTGTCCCCAAGAAATCCGATCGAGGCCCAACTGAACCTATTCAAAATGTCCGACTGCCGAGTGGTGGCGCGTCCTCAATCACATCAATCGATTACCGAATTTTGGTTAAAGCATTGGGACATGAAGCAGCTTGAGATAGAGCCACTGCATGATATCTTCTCGAAGCCACAGTTTCCTAAAATCCCATATACGAAGACTGCAGCCGAAGCAGAGTGGGATCCTTTTCTTGTCCTCCACACCAGTGGGAGCACTGGACTTCCCAAACCTGTCGTAATCAAGCATGGATCTATTGCTTTGACAGACGCCCTTCACTTGCTGCCGGAGTGGAATGGAACGTTACCCGTAGCTCAGGTAACGGAGAATGCAGCAACAAAGCATTTCAGCCCCAGTAAGTGCCTGAATCTTAGGCAAGTAACTTTCCCAATCTTTGCTTACTGTTCTAGTGCCCATGTTCCACGCCGGTGGCGTTTACGGATTCATTGGCACAGCAATCATTAGCGGCAAAGAAATTGTCTTTCCCCCACCAGATCGACCATTGACCCCTGATCTCGCTATTGAAGTCATCCAGGTGACAGGTGCAACAAGTGCAGGATTGCCTCCGTCACTTCTGGAAGAGATGTGCCGCCGCCCTGATCACATTTCCGTATTGAAGCAGCTCAACTTTCTCGGGTTTGGAGGAGGTAAGAGGCTTTGCAAACTTCCAGCCGGCTTACGGATGCTAACCTCATCGAAGGTCCTCTAAACAAGGAGGCCGGTGACATTTTGTACAAACAGGGTGTATCGTTGATCAACATCATTGGTGCTACAGAGTCTGTTTACACATTCTTTGGTATCCAACAGATCCCAGAACTAACAGTTGCAGAACCCTGCCCTTTGTCATTTACCACCAGAAAACCCCAGAGCTTTGGCAATATTTCATTTATAATGAAGAGCTATGTGGTATTGAGTTCCGCAAGGCAGTGGCAGAGGACGATGTCTACGAAATGGTAATCACCAGGAAATCGAAGCATCTTCCTGTCCAGGGCGTTTTTTACACGTTCCCGGAAAAAGAGGAGTACAGAACTAGCGACTTGTACCAGCCACATCCGGCGCTACCTCACCATTGGAAGTTCCACGGCCGCGCTGACAACATTTTGAACCTATCAAACGGCGAAAAGCTAAATCCTGTTGAGATGGAAGAAATCATAGCCGGGAATCCGGCAGTCAAAGCTGCTGTAATTGTTGGAGCTCAGAAATTCCAGCCAGCCTTGATCATTGAGCCGGTTGTGCAGCCGAAATCTGAGGAGGAAATAGAGGATTTGATTGAGCGTGTCATGCCACAAGTTGCAGAGGCGAATGCAATCATCGGTAAGTACAAGGCACTGAGAAGAAAAGTCCCTCCTGTTGTTTAATGGTCTATGTCCTGTACTTGGAGGTTGTAGGCTGACAAGAGATACAAAGCAACCCATGGCCGAATTGTGAGACACTTAATCACTGTTTCCAAGCCAGAAAAGCCATTTTTAATGGCTGACAAGGGAACTCTCAAGAGATCAGCGACCATAAAACTCTACGCCGACGAGATCGAGGAGCTTTACGCCAACCCTAGGGAGATCCCTCTATCCAAGGCGCGCCGCCTCGACGTCAGCTCCCAGGCCGCCCTTAGCAAGTCTATCGAGAAGCTTCTCCGAGAGCAGCTTGGTGTACCTCAAATAGATCCCAACACCGACTTTTTCGCCGCCGGAATGGACTCCCTGCAAATCATTGCCGCTGCGCGGTTCATCACGGCAAGTCTCCGCGCAACGAACAAGCATTACAGCGGCATGACTATCGAGGCCCGAGACGTGTACAGCCATGCTAGCCCCAACCACCTTGCCGGCCATATTCTGCAAGCCATTGTTAATGGAAATACGAATGGGAGCGCTGAGGCCGAAGCTCAGAGTTACAAGGTGATGGACGAGTTGTACCAGAAGATGACAAAAGATTTGGTCCGCGCCAAGCCAGCACGGCCCGAACCAGCCAAAGATCAGCAGACTGTTATTCTCACTGGTTCGACGGGCAACATGGGCTGCTACTTGCTTGATGAAATGATGCGCAACCCTCGCATTAAGAAGATCATCTGCTTCAATAGGTCCAACGACGGCGGCGCCGGGAAACAAGCAAAGGCCATGAGTGAACGCGGCCTGCAACAGCCAAAAGATAGCGGCAAAGTTGAGTTCTTCCACACCAACCTCGCTCAGACTAAATTGGGGCTCCCTGGGGAAGTCTACTCTCGTTTGCTCAAAGAGGCCGATCGTGTCGTCCACAACGCATGGGCGGTGAATTTCAATATGCCTCTCGAAGCTTTCGAGCCTCATATCAAAGGAGTCCGCAACCTTGCGGACTTCGCAGCCATGGCTGATAAACGTCTAGTGATGGTGTTTGTGTCAACCATTGGCTCGACTAGTAAGTGGCATCCAAGTCGAGGACCGGTTCCTGAAACGTCGTTGCGTGAATATGGCATCTCGGGGATGGGCTACGGCCAGAGCAAGCTTATCTCCAGCTTGATCCTTGAGGATGCCGCCAATATCGGAGACTTTCCGCTTGCGGTCGTCCGCGTAGGACAGATCGCTGGACCGCTTGCCAAGGACGGTGCTTGGAGCCGCCAAGAATGGCTTCCTTCCATCATTGCGAGCAGCCTCGTGCTAAAAGCTCTGCCCAACCACCTGTCAGGAATGAACACGCTTGCATGGGTTCCAGTTGAGACGATGTCGAAAATGATCTTGGACATTGGAGGGCTCACAGAGGAGTCAAGAGACTACCACGAGGGCTACTTCCACGGCTGCAACCCGTCGACCACTTCATTCGACAAGCTAGTCCCTTCGATCCAACAGTTCTATGGGAAGCACCGACTTCCTGAGCTCATCAGCTTCAAAGAATGGGTCGATAGACTAGAAGTGAGCCGTATTTCCAAGCAAGCACTTGGGGCCGATCGCAACCCTGGATTGAAGCTTGTAGACTTCTATCGGGGTGCTGCGTCTGTTGGGGATGACGTTCCGAATACGAAGATTTATGAGACTCGAAAAACGATCTCGTGCAGTCCTTCATTACGCTCGGTCGGACCTGTTACCCCTGAATTGATGGTTCACTGGTGCAAGCAGTGGAAGTTTGAGAGCCCCTCGGTTCGTGTCGGTCGATTGTAGAGAGGAATGGATCGTACCTCAAATTGACAACTTTAGGATCCGTTGATTCCGTATGCACAATCGGAATTCTAAGCTTGAGCACTAAGACATGAATTCAAAGGAAGACTAACTCATTTTAGCGTCAATCTCATTTGTCGGTGAGCATCGGATTCCGCACTCAAGGAGTGCACAAGTATTGCGCGTCCGAGAAACTACTACTTCGTGTAACGTGCCCCTTGACGCCTCGTCACCTTTCAGGCTCATTAGTGTCAAGGATGTAGCTACCTGAGCAGCCTCGTTAACTCAAATCACTATAAACCACTTCTTTCCATATTCGCACCCGCTTCTGGATTTATAGCTTTGATCATGCGTTTCTGCGTCGCATCACGATTACAGACTCTGGCTCGAATTTGGACATGAAGTTCATATCTGGAAGGGATTTAGATCTGCAATATTACATTAAAGATTGTTTCGTGCCACAGGTACTATACGCTGATCCACCTTGCCATCCAAGTGCCTGTGATCTGCTTGGCCTCATCGACAAGACCGAGATCGAGTAACATCTGCACCGTACCACGAGTCGAGCTTTCAAGAGCACTGAAAACCCAAGAGTGAGTGAAACTGGTATGTTCGCCAATGAAAACGGTGTTAAACTCCGTTTGCCAGAAAGCCGGCAGGTAGAGCTGTTGTTGAGGAACGATAGGCACGGCAAAGGCACCAGCATGGTGCTCGTCCTGCTCCCAGCAGTGACGCTCGTAATTGCCCGTCCACATCTCGTCGGCGATGGGCCCGTGGATTTCAACCATGGCTCGCTGGATATACGCGATGTGCTCCTCGACTGGCATTGCGCAGCTGACAACTGCGTCCGCATCAGGGGCGTAAGATGTGAGCATGACTCCAGGGCCGGTTCCGTTAATGTTGTAGGACGGATAGCAAATTTGGCCGATGCCGTAGATGTCAGTTCGCCCGCAGCCACCGATGATAGGCTGATCTAAGTGCTCCCAGAAACGAGTCTTATACTGCATGGCAACCTTGACCGCACCGAGGAAGACGGTGCGCTCAATGGCTCGACGCATCAAGCTAGAATGAGGCGGCAGTTCCCAATACTTAAGGAGGTTGAAAGGAACACTGTTGAAGACGAAGTCAAACTGCTCAGTAGTAGTGTTCTTGAGCCAAGGGTTGCTACCAGTCTCACGCCATGTCACATTGAGGTTCTTGGAGTCCTCGTTGTACTTGACGCTGAAAACCTTCGTCTTGTAAGAGATTCGGCCCTTTACGATGTTTTCAAAGGCAGCAGGTAGACGGCTGATTCCACCATCCACGGTGCGCCACTCGTTAGCAAGGAAATATACTGTCTCAAACTCCCACATAGGCCAGACAATGTTAGACGGAGTAACCTCGTCGGTCACGTTCAAGTCAGTCTTCATAACGTAACGAAGGTACTCGACCTCGGAGAAGTCGAACATGCCAGTCTCGACAGCCTCTTTGTGAGCTTTGAAGACGTTTGTTGCATAGAACTTGGCTCTCTCGGGTGTCAGAGCTTTGAAGTCGTCCAGAGCCTCAGTGGCCTCTTTGGCAGCCGTGACATTGGAGTACGTGGCATTGGTCATCAGCGAGGGGTCGGCAGCGATCTCCTTGCGACCCGGGACGGTTCCGTCCGGACGGCGTTTCTTGGTTGCGACAGGAGCATTGTCGGAGACCTGAATCCATGGGATAAACTTGACTTGAAGAGAAGGGTCGGCCCCAGCGTTGGCATTGATTTCATTCAGCACGTCGGCCAGTTGGTAGATCATCTTCTGGTCGTTTATGGGGTACGTCTCGTTAGTCTCGGCATCGTGGATGGTGTGCGGAAATCGCATGGGACCGAGCTCATGATGCTGGTGGTCATCAGGAGTAGTCCCGTTGAGGTAGGTGGTACGAATGCGTCCGCCGGTCCTGTCGGAGGACTCTAGAATTTTCCAGTTGTGTATGCCAACTGAGTCGAGCAGCAGCTGCAATAGGAATTAGTCTCATCATCTGGAAAGCCTGGTAAAGCAACTAATCACTTACACCAGTGTGTAGACCGGATATGCCAGCTCCCAATATGCCGAACGTCTTGTTTTTAACTGAAGCAACAAACACGTCATCGGGTTGCTTCTGCTTGAGATATTCAACGCCGTCGAACCACGGGCCCATAGGATCCGTGGCTTCGGCAAAAGTCGCACGCTTCCTCGTCTTGCGGCTCATAACGACATGTTCCGTCGAACGGCCAACAAGCTGGTTGTCAACAAAGGCGTGCAAACAACCCGAGGAAACATCTTCGGGCACCAACCAGACGAATTTGGTAGGTCGTCGGTCGGTCCATTCCAGATGACGTTTAGCGGCTGGGTGCGAACCAATATGCGTCCGGCCAATTTCGTGGTGCGCTTCGAATGCGGCCCTCATGTCGCAAGCGCCGTACGAAACAGAGAGTTCGCCGTTCAGAGCGCCATTGTAATGGATTTTGATATTCTGAATACCGTTCCGCTCAACTATGAAAGGGCCTTGAAATGAAACTGTTTCGCGCAAGATGGGCTCTGCGAGGGTTGTCTGGCACAAAGTTGCCGCAGCAGTAAGGAGGGTTGACCACACAACAGCCATCTTGTCTTTTGAGGTAGCTTTGAAGGCAAGCAAACAGAAGACGATGACGACGAAGCCACTTGGGACGAAGGTGGATTGTTGAACTTTTATACCCACTGCCGACAGTCATTCACAACCCTTGGGGAAGTCCAAGAGGCTCATCCGAGTGAAGTTTTGACAAGCACCTTGATGGACATAGATTGAGGCTTGGTATCGCTCTGGAGTTTGGGCATCATCTATTTAAATTAAGTGACCACTTTGAGGCCGAGGTTCTGACGGTGCGAAGGCTTGGCCTCGTCAAGTTTTCGGCTCGTAATGTGCATAGTCGGGTACCGACTATCAGGACCCAGCTCCGCTGTCACTGATACAGCGTGGGGTCTATGCCCGAAAACGGCGCGGCAAGTCCTCAGGAATGCGGAAATTCTAATCGCGCGTGTGTCATTGTCTGGAGTTCAAGGTTCTCGCTTCACGAGAAGTCATATCTTAGGTGCCTTGGCGGAAGGAACGGTACATGGCCCTAGACTTATTTGTTGTCCCGGCATCGGCACCGCGGGGAAGCCAGGATGAGAGAACCAACCATTGGCTCTCGCTCTTCAGCTCCTTATCATAGACCTTTCTTGGCCTTGATAACATTCTTTCGGCCTGCATGAAAACAGTCATTTTCTTGCAATAAACAATAGTAACACAAAGGAAAAAGGAAGCCAGTGAGCAAAAGGGGCATTTATTTCAGTTATGTTATGTAATATGTTCCAGTGTAAATCCAAAAGACATGGGTCGGAGGTGGACATCTGGAGGCCCGATGCCCTATCGGGCAAGTGCAAAGTGCCACCCCTCAAAAGCCTTCAATTCCCAAACTATCAGTCGCTGCTGTTGACTGAATTCTACTCGCTTGACCGACTTATAAACTTCGCTCAGGGTTCCATTGCATAGCTGTGTAAAGAAATGTTGGCACCATCTCCGAGCACTAACAACAGAGGCGGTATAATGGTGGATCGCGGTTTCAACGTGTCAAGCCAACTTGTCATCGCCAAGGAAACAAAATTGGGGTATAATAAGCCTAGATCTCTTGGCTGGAGATAAGCTATCTTCAAGTTCGGTGAGTACCTGCCGAGGGCTTGGTAATGCATCGGCAAAGACCAGTACTTTCCCGACGAGGAAAAGTCCTTGGCGCGGACTGCACCACCGAATGTGTTCATGACTGACTGAGTCCTTAGCGTTGAGAAAGACAGTGAGGTTTCCCGACTGAGAGGGGAGATGGTCCGGTCCATATTTTGTGAGGAAGTTCAGATGGTATTGCTTGTAGAGATTGAATCAGCGACGAAATTCTGCAGTTCTTGTAGGCTCAAGGGGTATGATTGATTCTATCAAATTGGAAACAATCTATATGTATCTTGTCGGTTGAATTTCACGAGAACATTCCTCAAATATCTTACTGTCGTTTGATAGAGTAAGTCTGGTACAAAGTATTAGTTGATTCAGAGTTAGCTATGCTAATACTAAACTAGGAAGGTGTTCCGCTTTGATATTGCTTCAATGAAGTTTTCTTTGAACCGCGTTCCAGGATTCCACTGACGATAAGTAGAAATGCGGGCAAACGATTCAACTAACAGCTCGGCATACTAAGATTCACATGATAGCCGTTTTCGTTGCGAATTGCAAGAAACAATCTTGTTAGGGCCGAAGTGGGATTTGCTAACCACGCAGAAACTGCTTCGTTCTGACAAGATATTAGCAAATACACCATGAACAATACTTGGTGCCGAGAAACAAAGGGAGAAACGCGGGCGGGGAAAGGAACAGAGGAGTAAAAAGGAAAATACCTTAATGAGCGCATCAAGTGGCAGCCTCGAGTATCTGTTCAATCAGGTGTAACGAAACTGCCGCATTCAAATAAATGTCTTGCTGCAGGCCTATCAGAGAAGTAGTTAATTCAGAGGAGGTCGTGTTTACACTTAAGATTGCTATGATCCTCTGGCTCATGGGGCCATTTAATGTTGGTATAATGTCCAATGACTCTCATTTACTGTCGATTTCGTCTTCAATAATATTTGCGCAGCCCATTCTGGGACCTTGCTGACGGGCATGCAAGTATGGAAACATCCCGGCCCGACGCGGCCGCGCCTCATTAAATTGGGTCTTACTGTAGAGAAACTCTGTTCCATAGGCGGCGCGCTCTTTAACAGAATTCTACTCAAATTTAAAGAACGTTTCCCCTGTGTTCCTCCTTAAATTTATCGCGATCTCGTGGTGAGTGAGTTGTCAGGCTCATAATAATGACGTAGTTGATTTCAGGAACACGCAGGAACCCGCGGTTCATAATCTGCTAGCGCGATCGAGCTCTGGTAGATTGTTTCTAATTTAATGCAGGTAACAAGAGACTATAGTTTGTAATGTCCTATTGGCAGGCAGACTCTGGTGATAACTGAAAGTCTTGAGGGATTCAACTTTGCCGGAAGTCCACTGGGTGGATAGGGAATATGTATTTGCTTCAGACTAGTCTTGAACGCGCTTTCAGTGTTTGCTCTTTGGACCCGCCCTCGAGCTCATTCTCGGACTTATGCTCAACTCCGTTTATCTGAGCCAGTGGGATTGGCGAAAAAGACGACAAAACAATATTGCGGCTGCATGGGTATAAGTGAAAACGCATGTTGCCCTTGACACTCACTCGTATATCAACTGTTTGAACGGGACAGGATCCAGACTGGAAGAGGCGGACGAATAGGTTGCATTTTAACAATTTCGCATCATGTTATTTACTGATGACGACAGAAACACGGACACCGTAGAGTGCCATTCGAAACCTACTGGGTGACAATGGCCGTGTTGTGGGCTTCCGAGTTATGCGAATCGCAGCCGAGCGGGACGCTAATTTAGTTTTTGTTTTTATTTCAGATAGGTTACTCGCGCACGTTCCGTTACGGCCTTGTTGAACCCATGCTGCGATACTGAGGGAAACGAGCTAATGCTTTCTCCGCCACGTTTCTGCCAGGGTATAACAACACAAAACATTCGCAAAGCCACAAACCGAGGGCCGGTGTCACGCCGCCCAGAGACTGCAAATGATTAAGCGCTTCCCTTACGGGTCAGGTCATTGGAAAACCCGCAACCTCTATTGTTGGTGCTACTGCGCCATGTGACAGTTGGGATGCCCCTTTCTCCGCTGGTTTGTTGGAGTCTAGGCTTGTCCAGGGGGGTGCCGCGATCGTCATCGGTGGAACCCAAGGCAGCTTTTAAAGAGGGTCGGGTGGCACAGCACATCCAAAGAGAGGCCTGGCGCCGAAAACTCGAAATGCATGACTACATGCTCTACATATACGAGGAATCATTAATCACACACACTAACATCGTGTTGTCGGAGAATAAGAAATTTAAGCTTTGATTCCTGCGCCATGGAAAGCATCGAAAGGATTTGAACACCAAGTGGGAGCATATTTTCTGCCAAGGTCCGGGAAGATCACGATGATCAAAGCCGACAAGCTTGCGGGAGTTGTCCGGGAAGCAGACAGCGGGCAATCGGGCCCACAGAATATCGAAATGAAACGGAGGCGTAATTACGCAGCTAAACCGGGAAGAGGGTTACATCCAACAAGCAGGAATTCAATAAAACTCCCGATACTTTGCCATCTGCTCACGGCGACCGTTTTCTCTCTTCCTTCCCGCCCCCGTGATCTTCGGTGTTTTGCGTGATCCCGATCGGCCTGTCACTCTTTTGATCAACTCACTTCCACTCTTTTCAACCAACTCCTACCGCTCTTTAACCGACGACGATCTCGCAGTCAATCCGCTCTTTCTACCGCCAGACTATAATAACGCGTACCCAAAGTCATCATAATGCCTGTCCGAGTTGCAGAGACGGTCAATGCGGCCGCGGCTCCAACCATCTCAGCGGTAGCCTTGACGACGACATTCACACCGCCCGCGCAATGTAATGAGAACCATTTGACGATGCTGGTTGGCGCTCAGGAGAAGATTTGGATCAACGAGCCCGTTCCCCTGCCCAACCAGACGATCTCATCGTGCTACCCTACGGAATGGCTTGGCGGATATCAGTCTGTTATGTCGAAGTCTAGCTCTATCGCGCCCTACATGAGCCCGTTGGTGTGTCCGGATGGTTGGAACACGGAGAGCAGTACTTGGGCGAGTGGCTACATTGCGTGTTGCGCGTCGTATGTCGTGCCTGCTGTCAATGTTGATATGACATGAAGAGTCCGATTGCTGATGATAAGGAATAACAGGGGTTTCACCTTCGCTGCGCCCTCGAAGGCCGCCGACACCGACCGCCCGGCCTACGGCGGAACATGTTACAGCAACTTCGACCTTAGTCAGACGGCCACTGTTACTGTTTACAATGCCGAAGAGCTGTCAACGACAATCGCGTGGGTGGCCACGACGACGCCCGCGCAGGCATACGCGCATCCTATCGAGGGAATTGCGGCCGACTACACACCGGGCTCGACCACAACCAAGACCAACTCTGCGGGTGTGGCTACCAAGACGGGAGAGAACGCTGCGTCACAACGGGGAGGCAACTCCAGAGCCGCTTTCGTAATTGGGGTCCTGCTCGCAAGTCTCATTGCGTGGTGACTTCGATGAGCGACGAGAAGAGTATGTTACGAGTTCAAGACCTTGGCTACGAGATGTAAGGGAGGGGCACCACGCTACGTCATAAATCACCAGGAAATAATGTTTCGAGATGCCTCCACCCATGTAACTTTCACTACCGCTTTCACTTCATTTAATTACAGATCCACTTTTACGCATTTTGCTACTCGGATAAGGTTGTCCGCTGAGGCAGTTGGTCCTAGCTCACAATGGTCAGACCCGGCTTGCCCGTTGTACTGTAGTGATGGGAACGCTTTTGAATACAGTTCGACTGTCACAATATACCGGTGACTGGAAAATAGTTCGAAATTGTCATGGCCATGTATGATTTTGCAATTGCAGATACAGCGATGCGCTTTACATGTTGATTACATACCAATAGTGGATTTGGCAACTATGTGGGCTGTGGTGATGGTCCCGCCAGGATACGAGAGCTAACCAGCGTGCTAGCCCAGATCTACATGTCACATCTGAATGGTACCGATCACTGGCCGATTATTCTTGAGATCTGCGCCAATGGTTGATACAGTAGTATCTGTCGTCCAGGGTGACTCTCGGTCTCGCTTTGCTAATTTTTTCAAGGAAGGTTCACCAAGACGTAAACATCTTTGCTTTGAGTTAGCTCTTTTGCCAATTCGTAGTGCTCTGCGACATCACGGCGTCCATATCGTGCCACTTGAAGATAACTATATCTGCTCCAATATAACACTTGCTTCACGGTAGGTATTACGGAATTATCCAGCGCTATGACCCAACACATAATACGTTGGGTTTCTGTATTTTGCTGAAATGCTTAGACTACTTTGTGTTTAATTACATTAGAGCTAAAAGCAGCTTTGTGCTCGCTGTTGCTACGGTATGTACGTAGTGGAAAGTTTGAAGCTGTAGGCGTGCGAACGTTAATTATCTGATCTTCATCGTCTCTTCACTGAAATCGTAAGGGCTGGAGGCGTAACTTGTTCGTTGATTTGCCCTTCGATAGTGATGTATTTGTCAGTAGAAGGGCATATGCGAGGTTGCCCCCGGAGATGGGGTTGGTTGTGACACCCAACGCCTGACCTTTTCTTGCCTCCAGTACCAGAGACTCTCAAATTTCATTGGCGCACAGTCTATAAGTAGCCAGAGGATTTCGTTGAAGTAAATGCAATCTTTCGTCCCTCAACCACGAACCCTTGTTCTTCGGAATTTCAGTCTGGAGTAGATTTCCGATAGTGAAACATCCTTAAAGGAAAACTGGTCTACATTCTCAGCAATGGCCAATAGCCGCTTGCTTTTGAAGTTTAGCTTGTCTTCGTCGAAAGTTTCCATGTTGGATATAACTGCCCGATATGACGAGATGGACTCCATGCTGTGGATCTTCCGTCCAGGAACCACAAACTTTATGTTCAGCTTATTTCATCTGAAGAGCAAACATCGTTTCAGTCTACTAACCCAAGTACGCTTTGATATCCAAGAGATGGTGTGTGGCCCGTGATGACTCGCCGACTGTTTCGTTTCACGTTCCAAGGATCAGGAACCGATGTACTGCCAGTCTTTCGTCGCAGGTCCTGATCTAAATGCGCACTAGAACAAACGTAAGGCTTTAAGCTTCATCCATTTTTGACATTGAAAAATATTTTGCTTTCGTAAGAGACTCCTTGTGCAACAGTGCCGAAACAAGACGTGGAACCATGTTGCCTGCACATAAACGGGCGAGTCGACAAACTTTCCAAAACCACGGGATCCTTCATTCAGCCCTGTTTTGTTCCAGCTATTTCCGAACAACGACTGATGTGAGAAGCAAATGTGGAAAGACTGAGAATCACTCCAAATTATCGGAAAGCGAGCGAAAAGGTAAGAAGGTGCATACTCCAGCTAGAGCAGGCAGTCGTGTCTCATTATCAGTAATCCAGTACTGTTACATGTAATCCCTAAAAGACCAGTCCACCCTTCAACATTGGAATATGTGCAAACGAGCGAATAAATTACTCCTCTTCCTCCTCCTCGGCCTCGACAGCCTCGACGGCGCGCTTCAACATGCGCTTGTACTGGCGCTCACTCTCGGTAATGGCGCGGGCCAGGTTGCGGCGAGCTGCGGCGGGAGTGTTGCCAGCCTGGGCCATCTGGACGGGAACGATACCGCCGAAGGGTCCGGCACGAGCTCCGTTCTGGCAACGGACCAGGCAGACGTTGGCCTGGCCAGCGACGGTACCAGTGCAAGTCTGGTCGGCGGGGATCTCAGCCTTGATGGGGAAGTCGGTCATGGCACCAGCCTATAGCTTGTTAGCTCATGTTGGTGTGATGCGTCAGATGCGAAGGCACTTACGCGATTGCGGGAGTTCTGGCCGGGAACGGTGACTGGGACGTTGATGTTGGTCCAGGAGGCACCGGTGGCATCAGCGTTGATCATGCAGTCGTAGGGGCCGGCACCGTCACCATTGACCTGGTGGACGGTCAAATCGAGAGTGCTACCAGGGGCAACCTGAGGAAGCATGTCACCAGTCGCACTCATGATGGCCTTGGTGCCAGCCTCCAAGTCGTTCTCACCACCGCCGGTGGTCTGACCGAAGGTGTCGGCGTTGGGACCCTTGAAGCGGGTGGAATCTTGCTGGAAGGGTGTGGCGCGAGTGCCGTCACGGGGAGTCGCGAGGTCAACACCAAGAGCCATGCCGGAGCCACCCAGCGTGCTGGAGGCGCCGATGATAGCACCGTGGCCAGCCACCAAGTTGGCGGCGGCGAGGATGGAAGCGGCAGCAACGGTCTTGAGAGACATTTTGACTAGGTAAGATTTGAATGATAGAGCTCCTGACCAGAGGAGTTTGTAACGAGTAGTATCCTGCCGGAGGAGGAAAGTGAGCTGAAAGAGAGAAGAGACTGCTGAAAAGCTGAAGATGTTGATGCTGATGATGAGAAGAGATGAGAAAAGTTTGGGGAATACCAACCGCTTTTGTACTCGAGAAACCACGATGTTGAGTCTATCCAACTCAAAACCACATGCAGGGAGCCATAGCAGAACATCTCCATCAAGCATTGCAAGCACGTTCCACCGTCCGGTACTGCCAACTTGCCCCTCAACTCTTCGAGCCGGTACCAACTCAACATCAAGCATGCTGTTTGGACTCTAGACTGAAAAGATGAGGCCAAACACCGGCGAGAACAACCAGATCTCATGATGCGGACGGGTTCGAAACTGTGCCTTAACCGAATAGGATCGTTGAAGAAGCTCTGTGTGGGGGAAGCAGGGGTACGAACCTTATTGAAGAGCCAATCGCATTGCAATTACTTACCCCCTTCCAACTAACCGAGAAAGGGTGGGAAGAAACACTGTCGCAGATCAGAGAAAACGTTTGTCGCACATCCCTGAGAGAAATGGTGTTCCAGGATCTGCGCCACGTCCGTATCGAGAGCACCGAGAGGATAGAGTGCGGCAAACCCCAGGTCAAGCGCCCTTCCCCTTCGCTACACCGCAAGACGCGAGGCCGTGCGCCAGTTGTTGGAAGGGCAGCTCGAGGTGGTTGATGGCTGCAGTGCCCTGCGATGTCGCCCTTGCCTTGACGCTCGGCTGCCCTGGACGTTCGGGCTAGGAGGGCAGAGTCTAAACTCGGCGGCTGGAAACCAAATAGCAAGCATAATTAGATGCAGAGCTGCCTGGCGGCTATCATCTCAATCTCGGAACAAAGACCCCTTGGACCGTTGCACTGAAGTAAACTCGACAGCAAACGATAGTGGATACACATATTGGGAAGTTTAGATGTCATATTGATAAAGTCATGCACGCCGTCATCCTGGCACTAGGTCAGTAGTGCTCAACAGTTGTGTGATTTGCGGGCAAGAATAACTGAGTTGGACCTGCAGATGGCTTCACAGCCGTGAAGTGGCGAAGTCCCTGCAGAACGCAGCAACGGCACACATTCCACCTGACGGGAGCTAGCGCTTAGTGCCAGGTACGCCAGGGCAAGCTTCAACCTGCACGTTCCCTGTCGCTGTCCTGGGACGGGCTTTGTGTCCTATTGGTCCTCCAATAAGCTCGAATCGGCAACTCAAAATGTCCCACACAGCTTAAGATTCGCTACTATTTCGAATAGGCCCTGGGGGGGCAAGGAGGTGGCAGCCAGGACTCAGGGGGGGAGGAGTCTAAGAGGAGGAGAAACTCCAAGCCGGGAGAGGCTGGCAAGCTGGGTGCGTCGATCGCCGCGGGCATCGCATATTCGGGTAGGTTTTGCGCATCGTTTCGTTGATCTCGTCATTCACCTCTGGGCTCGATCCCTGGAAAATGCTTTGAGTCGCCGGGGGTTTCCGGGCGTCTCGATGCACCACCTGGCGTTTCTCGTTTCTGTGGATCGCCTAGTGGCCCGCAGGAGAACCAGCACTGAGCAGGACTGGCCATGTCGCTGTCTCGCTCTGGTGCTACAAGATCCGGGGCACTACGGGTGCATCATCATGGGAGGACCTAGACAGGGACTGTCGGTTGTCTGCTGCTCCGAGGTCGACCATGGCAATTTTAAACGGGCAAGCAATGTGTGGACGGGCAAGTTGATACAGGGGAGGGTGGCGCTTGGATCTTGCAGAGGCGACTAACGATGCAGTCGGAGCCATTCCTTGGAGAAGGGGGCGACAGCTGAGTCGTTGAGCGCGATTCGCTTTGTCCGTGCCTCATCGCGGCGCACCTGGAACAGGGGCAGGCCTGAGCCCGCCTGAATAGAAGCGTGGAGAAGAAATAAACTTGGGTAAAAGAGGTTATATGTCGGAAACATGTACAACGGCGGGACCGGGGCAGGCCTCACTCGTGCCTGGAGTGGGGGTCTGCTCAAGGATTGCGTAGGAGCATAGGACACACAGAGGGTGCCCGTTGGCTATTCTGGTTCGTGTGAAGTCGCCTCTATGCCATGAGGCGCACATCATCCGAGTCCAGTTCTTAATTCCATACAGACATGCAGCCGGGACGTCCGGTTGACACACGAACCGAGAAACTCGTTGATTAGCTTGACAAACATTAACACACTTTGGCCAGCCTTGTAACTAATCTTCTCCCCACTATCAGTTGGGCGAGCCCACTCCTTCTCGGCTGATTCCGCCTGGAGGATCTCCGTGAAGCCCCACTGACTCAGGAATCACCACACTGATTTCTCCTGGGCCTGGAGACACACTGATTTGCATTCCCGCGCCGGTGATGCCTGCGGTAGATCAATCACCTTTGTTAGACCAATCGCAATGAACCTTTCTCCAGCCTCGATCATGTTGAGGGGGGAGGTTCTGACCCAACAGGCGCTACACGAGTCGCCAGGCCGAGTGCCCGCACGAGACCTGACGCGCCCCGGACGCCGCAAGCGAGTTTGATGTGCGCTGCCAAGATGCCAAGAAAACCAAAGCCCGTCCGACCCAGAGCCCCAGTTACTGAGGCAAGGTCTGAACAGCAAGACTACAGCGCGTTGTTGCCTCGGAGCGTTGCATAGTATGCCAAGAAAAGGCAGAACGGGACGGGGCTAGTCATGGCAAGTGGCTCCGAAGAGTACGCTGTCGTACATGTATATGGTAAATCTGATGTGTACGTTTCCAAGCCTCTCGTAGTAGCCCTTGGCCCAAAAGCTTGTGTTTGGCGAATCCACCGCCTTAATCCGTGAGTTCATGCGTTCTGCGAGGGACGAATCAAGTTGGTCTCGCTATGAACCGCCCACCGCTATCGAATGGTGGCGGAACGCAGCGCCACATTTTCTATCTTGTGAGGCACGTTTCTGAAATTAAGAATTAAGATTCTTTAACCAGTGATCTATGAGATGCTCCTGAGTCAAAACTCAACCGGGTAGACTCTCATCGCTTACATTCATCGCATCATCTGACGCCCATGATGAGACGCTCTACTCCCTCGACCGATCTTTGTCAGAAGAAACCGTCGTTTTTTTGGCTTGCTCCATCTCAACTCTCGCTCTGTCCCATTAGCTCCATCACCACTGTTGAGATGTCGCCTTCTATACTTGTCGCCAGCCCATCATCCTCCAGATTCCATGGGACGGCCGTTTCAGGTCCCATACCAACCCTCACAATCTTCACTCTTCCTTCACCTCTCATAACGAGGTCCTCGTTGGGCCATCTCAATACGCCCGGCGTCGACATTCCGACCCCCAGCTCCAGGATCACTGCCGTCTTCTTCTCGTCACGCAGTAGGTTCCGACGGAACTCCTTCCATCTCTTCTCTCCATCCTGGAATGGAGTTTCATTGAACCAATCACCCGCCCTAACGCAAATGGTCATCTTGCTGCCGCAAAACCTGCAAAGGGGCACCTTGCTTTTGTCTACCAGAACCTGGTATACTGGATCCAAAAATGGCTGCGCATCCTCTACCAAAGGTGCAGATAAGACCGTAGCTTCAGGCAGGCAGTTGGCTAGGCACTGAAAGATGGAATAGGAACCCTGAGGAGTTGAAAGTTTCTCGGGAGGCAGCCCGTTGGCGACGAACAGACCATCGGCGTTGGATGTTCTGACGTGTGCATTCTCGCCAAACTTCTCAATCCACGAGATAAGGGTGCGATACATTCTGGACCTCGGCCACGATCTGATCATGGCCAAGTGAGTAAAATAATAGCCCCAACGAACCTGCTCTGTCGGCCAGCCAGCGAAGCCGAAAACACTGTACAAAGTTCGCAAGCCATACTTCAGAAAGCCCGGAAAGTGCTTGGCAAACAGGTCGGATGAAGTGTAATCCAGCCCATCGGAAGCTGAAAGCCCGGCACCGGCGCTTACAATGACAGCATCCGCGGATCTGAGCCAATGCCTGGCGCGGTCTAGCGAGTCGCACTGGACCAGCGGCGGGTGATGTGCACCTGTCGGTGGAGTCGTCCACAACCGCATCCATGCGTGCAGAGGAGAAGCCAGGACCTCCTTGTAGATGGCATGATCCGCATCCGTGAAGGTATTGAAGATTACATCCGTAATGGTTGTATCCTCATGGTGCTCGAGCCAATCTGCGACCGCGCTAACCGCAACAGCTGCGGCGTCTCGTGCCGGATATGCAAACAATCCGGTTGAGATTCCGCAGAAGGCCACAATTTTTCTGCCATCGGGAGTTGCGGGTAATGTTTCGACTGCACTTAGCACGCTGTGATAGCATTGAGCGAGCTGCATAGTTTCGGTTTCCGTTGGTTTTGAGCCGCGCTGCAGTTGCGGCCCGACTGTATGTACAACATGACTTGCTGGCAGGCAGTATCCTTCAGTGACTATCGCTTCGCCAGGTGCGATTTCTAGGCCTCTCGCAGCCATGATCTGGTGGCATTCATTCCGTAGCCTGGGGCCAGCCCAAGAGTGAATGACATTGTCTATGCAACGATGCGCCGGCTGGAAGCACCCAAGGCCTTGGCCATTGGCGGCATTGGTGATGGCCGTGATACCAGAGAGAGTCGTGATGTCACCTTGCCAAAGGGTAACTCTAGTGACTTTAGAATTTTTTCTCTTGGTCGTGATTGTTGGTTGGATTGTTCCAGCCAATGTGAGAAGTCGATGTGACACCTGCTGCTGCAAGACCAAATCTATTTCGCTCAAGATACCTTCCGGGAGTGGGGGCTCTGGTCGCCGTACGCAGAGGAGTCTTTGGAGTAGTCGCAATTGACTTGAGGGTTCCAAATCTTCAAGCTGATCTTTGATGTGTTGGTGGTGATGGTGATGGTGACAGTCACCATAGGCTGCTTCGGCGCTCGACTCCGTTTCGTCGAGCAAATGAACTAGCACCTGCTCTAGTTGAGGCATGTTGAATTGTTGGTACAAGGAATCAATCGAATCAATACTCGAATACAACTATGGCAAGTGCCTTTGATAGCTGAATTTAACAAGCACATGTTCAATGATGTGCTATTATACTGTTTGTTGCTTCGAAATCAGTTTGCACGATGAGAAATCCCATCTGTTCACATAGCCAAATTGATTCCGACTCTGTGGCTTGTGGAAATCTCCGGAACTAATTTGCACCCGATCACCCTCCGCCACCTGCCGAAATTTTCGCGAACCTCGCCTCATGCGATCTGGCAAAGGTGGAAACTTAAGCCGGGCTTATTTAACAAAAATTACAGGCAAGATTTCGGGTTACTCATGGTAATCGATGGTTGCAGCTGTATCGTTGCAACAATAAGCGAGCATCTGACAACGTCAGTTGAGCAGCACTAGGAAGATAATTGCTGGTACGCTTAACCCTTCTTGATTAGAGTCTATCAAGATCTCACTTTCAAATCCAAATGCTCTCAACCCCAGTCCCCCTGGAAATTCAAAAAGAAGTTCAGAGGAATTAAGAAGTCGTTTGCAAATTTCAATTTGCTGTGCAATTGTTGTTTAGACCCAATGGTCAACACCCTTGCTGCCTGTTTTCTGCATCACAAGTCTCTAGTGCTTATTGTTCCATCAAATGCCACTGAGCCTCAGCGGGACAGACCAATTAAATACATTGAATCACACTACCAACTAAATAAAGAACTCAGAAGATAACAGTTCGAAGTATGGATGGGAACTAAAATGGATATTTCAGGCCTTGGCAAAATGGGGTCCTTCGGCACTTGAAGGACAGTACTTTCTGTGTCTTTGCTTGACTAAAGCAGCCTAGGCACTACTAAAATTGCACCAAGAAGCGTTCTAAAACTCACCAGCAAGTCTTAATCTAGGAGGATTTACTTTAAGCGAAGAATGACATAGCGAGGTCTGTCCTTGCGGAACACAGCTCTCGAGATCTGACCCTACCAATCTCCTCGTCTCTGCAAAAGCCGGTGTCGTTCAGTCTTGCCTTGGACAGTAGTACAAGTGTACTATCTCCCCCGACTTTAGAGCAGTCGTGAGTCAATTAATGGGCCAGTCCAAGTCAAAAGCATCAGAGACTTCAGCAAATCCTCGCCAACCCAAGCGATAAATGTGAATTTAATGTGCGTGCAGCGGCTGCTTCTTCGTGTATCACATCGAGAACATAGGAGACCGATTGATTCGAACAAACAGCATGCTTGGAAAACAACAAAAGTATCGAAGCATTGAAATAGGAAAGTTTAATACGTTTGGGCTGGCCGTTTATAGCACTGCAATGATGCCAAGGTATGTTGACCTGGGATGCGGTTCCTTTCCACAAATTTATAATGGATGGTTGGCATACCGCCACCACCACCGCCGCCTTCATCATCATCAATATCTCGTCTTTCCTGGTACTCAAGATTCGGAATTCCATTTTCGGAGTCGTCCGGCAATCTCTTCATGTCTTTCTCAACGCAGATATTGGAAAATTTGCTGTGCGGCTGCCTGTTTGAAGAACCTTGTCACGAAATATAACCTCGCGAGGTCGTGTTGGAGATGTCTGCTTTAAACCTGGTAAATACACAAGCTATTAGATGCAGGCGATGGAAGAGATAGTGTTATGAGGAGCGATTACTATTGGTCTTTTTACTTCGATATTTCTACTTACGAATCAACCCTTAATATTGCTTGGGCTTGTGGAACTTTGATCTCCTCCAGTGTATATGCATTTATTCGAGCAGAAATATAAAAGAAATTATCCACTTTGCTTTGTCACAATATGTCTTATATAGTCAGAAATTGCAGCGAACGCGACAATAAATTGGGAATCGTGGCGTATCAGAACCTAGTCATACGGTAAAATCGTGGTGCCAATTGGTTAGAGGACCATGGAATCAAAGAACAAAGCCCCTGGTTCCAACGGTTCTGCAGTCCCTTTCCGTGGCCACGGTAAACACAGACCATAAGCTTTCATACGCACGTTCTGTTCTAAAAAATTGAGCGTGTCAAAGCATCCTACAATGGGTTGCATCATCGAAGAAAACACAGACCTTACGTTCGAGAAGACAGCTTCGGCCATTGACCGTGCCCATAGGACACCCCGGCCATCCCCAAGAAGACCGCAGACAGTTCGGAGTCACCGTTGATCATCAGAACACTTCAGAAGTCCAAACGAGCCTTGCCACCACGACAGAGCGATTTTCAGCGGATATGGCCTCCCTCAGGCCCGAGATGCCCTCCCTGGTGGAGCTCCCTCTCTTTCTCCGCCAGATTCCCGATATCGTATTGGAAATAGCCTCACATCTCCCCACGGAGTCCGTCATGTGCCTTGCCCTCACATGCAAATCACTCTACGGCCTTCTCTTCCGAAACACGCTCCGGAAACTCAAGAGCGACGAGAGACAAATCGCCAGTTTTCTGTTCATTCTTCTCAAAGACCTACAGCAGAACCAAAATCGCACCTATCTTTGCCATCACTGCTCAAAACTACGTCGATGGCAGTGTTCTCATGGGGGCTTAGGACATTGCGGAGGTTGCCCTAGCATCGGAGAAGAGTTCCGGCATTCTAAACACGCAGACAACCAAAATCACACGTGCATCACGTATCGATCTTACTTCACCTATACATTCAAAGGAGTAGAAGCCGGCGGAGACTTCTCAAGATGGGTCATGCACCGGGAGCGTGGGGGATTCTGCTCTTGTTGCGGGAAACCGCCTTCTCACCTGATGAGCACTGGTTCCTCGTGAGGTCTGATGGGGGTTTCGGTGATGTTTTTGCATCTGTCTTCATTGTTCTGATAGAGAAAGTCGATTATTATACCCAGCCTAGTTCTCAAAATACCAAACGCCGATTCCACGCCGCGATGCTTATATTTTAAGGGATTAATTTACTCCGATCTGTCCAAGCAGCCACCTAGCCTCCTCAAAGACCTCTTCCGGCGTCCCCTCAGCCTCAACGGGTAGAACATCCAACTCGCCAACACCAGCAGCCTCGTATACCTCAACCTGTCCCTCGACCATGCTTGCCAACATGTAGTGATCCTTCCTCTCGTTAATGCGCTGGACCAGTGTGTCTGGATTGCACTGAAGGTCAAGGAAAACAATCCTCACGCCGTCCCGCTTCTCAATGATGCCTCTCAGTGTGTCGCGGTATGACTTCCTCAAAGCAGAGCAGCTGACAATAGCCGAGTCGTAGCCGAGGTCCTCAAGCGCCTCAATCGCTCGTTGACCGATACGGTTCAGCCATTGTGAGCGGTCCTCGTCTGTCAAAGCAACGTTACCTCCCATCTTCTCAATAGAGTTCCTCGAGTGTAGCGAGTCACCCTCGATGAAGGGGGCCTTGAGCCAAGATGCCAGAGACGTAGCGAGCGTCGACTTCCCGCTACCGCAGGGGCCGGCGACCATGACCACCGTCTTGGTGGCGCTCTGGATCTGGTTGACCCAGTGGTTGGCTTTGAAGTATCTGACAAAGTTGTTAACCAGCTGCTGGTCTAGCACAGGTGCTTGGGCAAGCGCCGGCGAGAGCGAGCAGGCGTTATCAGTCGCGTAGGTCTTTGACGGTGCGAACTCGTCCCTGTCGTACTTGGATGCAAAGAAATCGACAAGCTTGATGGGCGGGTTGGCAGTTGGGTCCGGGTTAGAAGCACGAAGACGGCGTATCCACTCCTTTGGCTCAACTTCTTCAAAGTCCAGACCGGCAGTCTTGAGGGCGGGGAGAAGATCATTGGTCCAGCTGAACATCTTGGGGTTTGCAACGTTGGCAAAGACGCCATCGGCGTCAGAGAGGGAAATGTCTACGACACCCTGGGCGACAGTGTCGACTGGCAGCCACGAGGGGGCTTCTTGGAGCTTGGGGAGAGCCCCGACGGTGATGGCTGTCTGAAGCATCAACGGAATACCCTCCGTCACGTTCCAGACGCCGTGCTGGGTGTCGGCGATAATCTGGCCGATACGCAAGACGCGGGACCTGATGCCAGCCTTTGTAGCGCGCGTGCAGAGATGCTCAGCAACGACCTTGGACTGGGCGTAGCCCATGCCCTGCGCCCAATCCAGTTCGGGAGCGGCCTCAGGGACAGGGAGAGTGGTGGCGCGGGCAACGGCGCTGACGGATGAGCAGAAGTTGAACGACGCGGGCCCAGAAACTCCTGTCCCGTCGTTGCCGGCGTCCTTGCAGAGAGCGATGAGGTGGTTGACGCCTGCGATGTTGCTCTTTTCGAAACTCGAGAGGTGCATGTTGAAGTTGACCGACCACGCGGCGTGGATAACGAGACGGAGATTCTGTTTGACTTGGCTGTAAGTCTCGTCAGAGAGGCCAAGTTTGGGATCGGCCAGGTCGGTGGCTAGTGCAACGAGCTTCCTGCGCGAGGAGGCGGGCAGCGCGTGGTAAAGGCGGCGCTGGATAAGCGAGCTCTTGACGCGACGGGCTGCGTCACCGTCGGAGCTGGCGCGGGTGAAGCAGTAGATGGTCTTGATGGTAGGGTTGGCGGCGAGCTTGGTGACGATGTGGGCACCAAGCGAGCCAGTTGCACCGGTGACGGCCTGTCAAAGGTTAGAGGCAAAACGTACGGACAGAGGGTATGCTAAAACTTACGATGGATGATCTGGGGGCTGACTCGGCGGGGGAAAAGTCGCCATACTTCTCAATGAGCGCACTCATTTCGCTCTCGATAGGAATCTCGGCCTGAACGCCCTCGCCAGTGCCAAGACTGTAGAGGTACGCACTCAGCTTGTTGATCGACGGGTAGTCGAAGACTACTGTCTGGCCAAGCTTGTTGTCGCCAATGTCAGCCGTTTTCAGAATGTCGGAGCGCATCTGGATTGCCTGAAGAGAGTCGAGACCAAGAGAAAAGAAGTCGGTATCATCGTCAAGCTGGATCTTTTTGGCAAGCGTCTGGACGAGACCCTCGCGGATGAAGTCCTTCAGCTCGGCAATGCTCAGCCTCTTTAGGTCACCGCTGTTGGCATCGGCATTGTCGTAGACTTCGTCAATATCCTTGGCATACCTCTTGTAGAAAGCCTGGCGGATGACGCTGCCCTTGTCAGTCCGCGGGTAGGCACAGTCGTACGGAAGCAGCTTGATCATGTTCTTGGAAATACGAGCGTACGCTTCGACAGACTTGCTTGCGCTCTCAACAACAGGCCACACGACCTCGAGGATCTCCTCGTCAGTCTTACCAGCTAGGGTCGCGGCCGGAACGATAAGGGCACCGAGTGACGGCCGCCCGACACCGAAGATGACGCACTCGGTGACGTTCTTGCTGGAGCGGATTGTGCCCTCCATGTGCACGGGGTTGAACTTTTCACCGTTGACGAGGGCAATGGTGTCGTCGAGTCTGGCGATGTACTTCCACGCCTTGGGGATTGTCGGGTGAGGCTCAAAGAGGTCTTTGGTGCAGTAGGATCCGTCGTCCTGGTTGGTTGCGACCTTGGCAGGCCAGCCGGGCAGGACGCAGCACTCAAACAAGTTTGGCCCGCGGGGAATCCATTTCAGGTACGGCGAGAGCTTGTCGTGCTCGCGGACGTAGTTCCATGCCTTGTCGTTGGGCGGGCGGAAAGATGTCATGAGTTGTCCCACTTCGGTCCTGCGAAAAGTTAGATGCGTGCAACTGTTCAAGAGTTGTGACAACTCACGCTCCATAGTGGCCAACCAGATTGACCCCGTTGTTGACCAGCGCGTCGCCAAGATCATCGGGGCAGGCAGAGCCGCCGTACATGACGATCTTAAGCTGGCGCAGCAGGCTCATGCCGTCGTCGGTCTCGGCAAGGAGTTTCAGTGCATACGGTACACCGTAGAAAATTTCAAAGTTGTGCTTGCGCATGATGTTGGTGAGATGCTCCCGCGTCAAAGGGAGGTCGGCATTGTACAGGTGAATGGGCTTTCCGCAATAGATGGCCCGGTACAGGTTGCAGATGCCATGGTTGTGATACAGAGGCAGGGTGATGAAGGCCTTCATGTTCATGCTGCTGGAGTAATTGTGGATGGCAGACTTTTGGGTCTGGTAGATGGGCTTGGGCAGACCAGTTGAGCCTAGGATGGTGAGCACACCTTCATTTCAGGAACCTGACATTTACTTACCACTAGAGTGGATGATGTAGATCAGGTTGTTGGTCTCAACCGAGAGGTCACGTCCATAATCCAGACGAGTATCAGCATGCAACTCGATGGGGAAATCGAATGTCGACTGGCCGGCAATCTCGAAGACATCGAGATGCGGCAAGGTCTGCTTGGCTGCCTCGGCCGTCTCCAGATACCTCTTGTCGGCAAGAAGGTACTGAGCGCCAGTGACGCCAATTAAAGACTCGATGGCCTCTTGTGAGATTCTAGTTGACAGGAACAGTGTTGTGTGGCCGAGCTTGGTCAAGGCCAGCATGGTGACGAGGTAGTCAAAGTTGGAGGGGCCGAGGACGGCCACAGTCGTAGGCTTCTCATCAGAGCTAAGCCGACTCGGGATGCGCTGCTCGTACAACTTTGCGACGCGGTACGCAAAGACGTCAAGCTGCCTCATCGTGTAGTTGACATACGTGATGCCCGATGAGGGGTACGAGACAATGACCTGGTCCGGATGGGCCCGGGCCCGTCGGCGCACCAGCTCGTCGACGGTCTTGATAGTGCTGTCATCATTGTCCAAGTCCTGCACGGTCGTAACGGGCGAGTTGATGAGGGGGTTCGCATCCAAGCTGGAGCTGCTTGGGAGCGTCGCGCTCGCAGGACCATATACAGAGGGAGGACTCATGGCGGTTGGTGATGCACGTGGTTCATCCAAAGTAAGTGGAAGTACTTTGGGTTATTATCAACAAACCACCTCGCTTTTGTGAGATGGGGTCTGGTTGGGACGGTGTTCAAGTAAAGCTACGTCTCCGATTCATCCTTTTGACAGATTGAAAGCGGGCTTTCCGTTTCTTGGCTTGACGGCCATTGTTCCGTTGCCGGTGATCCGTTCTCCGCCCTGCTGATCGCTTGCTTGAGGCGTCGAGTGGGCACTTTGGTGGCGATCGAGACGGGACGAAACCTAGAGGAGGGTCCCCGCTGGTGGAGAAGTGCGAATCCGGTCTCCCCGCGTGTGTTGGGTCTGCATAGCGGATTTCGCAAGCCGACCTAGCGGATTTGGACGCAGTCGACCGGGATGTGGCTGGACTGAAGGAAAAGGATCCGTCGCTCACGACGAGCAACTCCGTGATGATGGACTTCCATAGGTGCCACAATTACCGTCGGCGATGAGAATGCTCGAGTGGCTGAGGCCGATTTATTATCTGCTTGTCCTTTCATCAAGTCACCTGTTCTAGCACATCATACCGGCAGCTTGTCATAGAGTGCATCCCCCTTCCTCCTCACTAACTCAATTACGGAGAACAACATCCCTGCACGTATTACTCAAGATGCCTCTCACCACACACTTCACACTGAACACCGGTGCAAAGATCCCCGCGGTGGGATTCGGCACCTGGCAGGCCGGGCCGCACGAGGTTGAACGCGCTGTTGAGACCGCCCTGCGCTCCGGCTACCGCCACATTGACTGCGCCGCCATCTACCGCAACGAGGCGGAAGTTGGCGAGGGCCTTCGCAAGAGCGGCGTGCCGCGATCCGAGATCTTCATCACCGGGAAGCTGTGGAACACCAAGCACGCGCCCGAAGACGTCGAGTCTGGTGTTGACAAGACGCTCCAGGATTTGGGCACGGATTACCTGGATCTGTTCCTCATGCACTGGCCAGTGTAAGCCGCCCCGTATAAGCTATGTAAATAACCGGGATACCGGCGCTGACATGACCTCAGAGCGTTTAAGCCGTCAGACAAGTGGTTTCCCATTGACTCAAATGGTGTCTTTGAGCTGGCTGATATCGACCCCGCGGAGACGTGGGCTGCCATGGAGAAGCTGGTCGCGAAGGGCAAGGTGCGCGCCATTGGCATCTCCAACTTTACCAAGCAGCGTATCGAGGACCTCCTCACCAAGACCAAGACGGTGCCGGCCGTCAACCAGGTCGAGGCACACCCCTACCTGCAGCAGCCTGGCCTCTTGGACTTCTGCAAGTCCAAGGGTATCCAGCTGGCGGCTTACTCCCCTCTCGGAAACAACCAGACCGGGGAGCCAAGAACGGTGGACGATCCGTTGGTCGGTGAGCTTAGCAAGAAGCTCGGCATCGACGGTGGCCAGCTTCTCGCTTCCTGGGGTGTCCAGCGCGGTACGGTTGTCCTGCCAAAGAGTGTCACTCCCAGCCGAATAGAGTCCAACTTCAAAGTCCAGGAGTTGCCGGCAGACGTCTTTGACCAGCTGAACGGCCTCGAAAGAAACAAGAGGTTCAATTGGCAGACGAGATGGGGCTTTGACATTTTCCAGGAATTAGGAGAGGAGGAAGTCAAGCGTGTCGCGCAAGAGACGGGCCCTGAAAACCTCAAAAAGTTTACTATTTAGACATTTGTATTTTCTCAGTTATAGACTTTTGACTGGTTAGATATAGACTATCCACCAATGTCCGGCATCCAAGCCAGCGGATTTGCATCGATATCCATGTATGGACCAAAGGCTGATGAATCGAGCTCCAGCCAGTCCGTCGTCTGCCACTCATCCAACAAGTTGGACCCCAGGAACCCCGCGTCTCCCTGGCCCATAAGGTCAACGGCTCCAGATTCGTCAGCGTATGCGGGGTTGAATTCGAATCCGTCAGCCATTGCGGCAGCTCCGTTTCCATGACTTTGCTTGGGCAGTACCTGGGCCTCTGCTGAAGGCCCAACTGGGCGGGATGCCGACACCCGGGACGGTTGTGCAGGTACTTGAGATTTCCGTGACATGTGGCCAAGACCTTCTGTGCGGAACTCTTCGAGAATGATGGCGTACCGACGGCTCGGCGAGTTTGAAGCCGTGGCGTGAGCCAGGTGCGTTTGACAGCGCTCGGCCAAGTCCATGAGCTTTACGTGTTTTGCCTTGCTCTCTCCTTCGAAAAAGGTCCCCCTTCGTTTCTGCTGGATGTCCCAGACATAAGTCACCAACAACGCGCAGAACGTGACGTACTGCGTCCACCAGAAGGCATGAAAGATGGGTCCCTCTGCAGCCATGCCGTCGACAGTCTCGAGCACCGTCCTGGCGGCTCCGATGCACTCGAGTATCTGCATTTCACTGCCGGAGCTCAGGTTGCCAAGGAGAAACAACCGGTTGGCGTGCATGATGGCGTGCGAGTAGGCCAGCTTCAACACCGTCGCCTGCCGACGGAAGCTCGGAATGAGCATCGACGGCCGGATCGAACCGAGATGCGGCGGTAAACTGGCGCGCCATTCGTGGATCTTCTCGCTCAGGCGGTGAGCGGCGGCCACTCGCTCCCGCTCAGAGATGGGCTTTATGGAATAGACTTCTCTCGAAGTGTTGCCAATAATTTGCGCGATTCTACAGTATGTCAGTATTACGAAGGCCAAAGATCCTGAGGATGCTCACTTTGCGTGGAAAATCAGGGCATCAATATGGCAGTCCGGATGCTCCTCCGTTCGCTCAATGGGGCCTTGCGCAGTCATATCCTCGTCGTCGATCCTGTCGGGGTAGTCTTGGTCGATATCGTCATCATGGAAATGCCTTGGCCGGCCAAAAATCACGCCCAGGTACTTGTCCAGCACGTAGGCTGTCCAAAACGTCCGCATACGGCATTGTGCCTGGATGTAATCGGAGCTTCCCGCGGCCAAATGTCGTTTCTTCGCCGCCTTGCGATGCATCCCGAGGGCGGAAATGATCTGGAGAGCATTCCCAAACATGTACCAAGCACGATTCATTCGCGACGTGGTGAGCAAGTAGAGAACCTGGATCAGGCGCGACTGTGCTGATTCGAGGCGTGGAAGCCCGGTCTCCCGTTCCGTCAGCTGAAGAGCGACGCAAAAGAGCCGGTCGCTCCGCGCTAGAGACAGCGTTTCGTCCTCTGGCGAGTGAAAACCGTTCGACTTCTCCTGGTGTGCGGTAGAGACCGCAAGCGCCGTGAGCACGATGGACGCCTTGCCGCGGCCGAGGTCCTGCCAGACAGATTTGCCCTGGCGGAGGTTGTCGACCATGACCCTTAGCCAGGCCTCAACGGACGGGCGATGCAGGACGCGATATGTCGCTATGCACACATCGAAGTACAAAGCCAGCAAGTCCTGCAGCTCTCTGGGTTCGGGGAGTGAAAACCTGGCCACATCGTCGTCGGTTATGGGCGGCAGGGGTTTGTCGCCGGCCAGCATGAGCGGCTGGCTCTCCGTCGAGGCACTCAATTCATCCGGGACGATGCTGCTGTCATGTTTCGACAGCCGCTTCCACGCCCGGTGCAAGAACGTCACCCCCGACGTCGGGTCGAAGATCTGACCCTGGATTTCCGCCATGCCGAGCTCGGGTGAGGCTCGCGATGCCGGGCCTTGACTCTCACGAACCTGCCCACGCAACGATCTCGATGATACCGAGGCAGCGTTGTTCTCGGCTGCTTCGGTGGTCTGGTACAGTACGGAAGGCTCCTCTGACCCGGACACGGACACGGCGCCGGGGTGAGAAGCGGCATTGGACCCCAACGACCAGGCGGCCGACGGCGGCGGCGTCGGGGGTCTCCCGCGGGAATACTTGGCATCGTACACACACGTGAGACCTTTGCGAGTGCACTTGTCGCAGGGGATGGTGCCGCTGCATTTCGCCTTACGCTGCTTGCAAAAGTCGCACGCGCGGCTGACCTTTTGCGCCTTGCGGCGGTTGGCCGCGGAGCCGGCGAGCTCGTCGGAGAGCGGCGAGTGCTGGTCGACGGAACTGAAGCTCCTTTTCCGCGACATGTCACGCGGGCTGGCGGCCGAGGCGGCCGAGGAGCGACGGACATCGGGAGCCGCGGGGCTGGCCGGGCCGGGGAGAGGGCGACGGAACTCCGGGACATCCATGGCCGCCACCGCCGGGGACGCGGAATGGACGGAGTTTCAGGCCCCAGTCTGTCTTGGCTGGGTCGGGCCGAGGCCGGTGAGGAAACACCACAAAGGCTAGCAGTAACGGGGGACGGGATGGAAAGGTTGGACAGTCGGAAAAGAAAGGAGATGAATGGGGACGCGACAGAAAAAACGACGGAAAACGGAGGGGATTTGTCTGGGGAAGACAGGTTGGAGCAGAGAGGGGCGGCGGCTGGGGGAAGCACACTACCTAACGGACCATGGTACAGGGGCCTGCGGCTTCCCCGCAGCCTGTAGAAGCGGGGGAGCCAATGGTTGCAGGTTGTTGACTTACAGCCGTCGCTGAGCCGGGGGAGGGAGGGGGTTCCGATGAGGAGGCGGATTTCTGGATGGGGAGGGCAGTCTGCCCGGTTTCCCTCGTCATCAGTCCACAAGGTGGAAGATGTCGCCTCGGATCTCTGTATCATAGCATGCTCCGCATCTCTCCCGGTTGCTGAGATGCTGTCTGTACGATGGATGAAAGATTGAGGGATCTATCAAGCGTCGTCCGACCATAGCCGGCGGGTGCTGCGGCCGGAGGTAAGAAATCCAAACATGTGCCGAGAGCGAGTCAGCAGTCCCGGTATACTGCAGCACGGCTTACGACTGTAAGGACGTGCGGGTTCTACATAAGCGCCAACGTGCGTGTAACTCGGCCGCCTGAGTTTGATACAGCGACTAGAGGGGTTCGGGTATGACTAGGTTTAGTAGGAGTAGTAATTGAGGCATGTCAAGAAAAACACAAGAAGAAGAAAAGGCCACTAGTGTTAACACTCTTGAAGGAAACCAACCACTGTTCTCAGCACACCGTAGAACCGCAGTCCGGTGATAAGTACTCTGTAGTCATGACATCTCATGTAGCATTCCACTGTTCACGTTGCCGGGAATCTTGGCCAAGACAAGGATATTGTTCATTAATGCATTAACATTGACCATACGTAACAACAGGTTGGCCGTGCCATTTATATCTACAATCTACTGTGTCCTCCTCAAACCAGCATCCCCCAACCAAGGGCAACCATATTGCGTCCTCGCCTTCCATCCATCCTCAACCGGCCCCTCACAAAACATACTTGAAGTGCGGGCTCTTGTCTCCCATATGCATCAGCTGCTCCTCCGTGTACTTGGCCCGGATCTCCTCCTCGGACATCTTTGCCTTCTTCGCGTTGCCCCACTTGTAGCTGAGCTCCAGTAGCAGCGCGACAACGACGCCGCTGCCGCCAAACGCCAGCGACAGCCCGAAGCCGGTCGAGTACTTTGGCGCCTCACTGTCGAGGTACATGTAGCTGCCGATGATGCCGCCAATGTTGCCGACGCAGATGTTGAAGGCGACGCCGATGGCGCGGCGCGACGCCGGCGCCAGGTTGTTGGCCGCCCACGACGAGCCCGCCGGCTGGATCGGGTAGATGCCCAGGCAGGTGATGATGACGCCCACCATGGCCGCCGCGATATGGCCCGAGAGGTCGCCCTGGAGGGCGATGATGATGGCGTACCCGACGGCGATGAGCCCGAGCGGGATGGCGACGAAGGGCATGCGCCAGTAGAAGCGGTCCGAGAGGCGCGCGAAGAAGAGGGCCGAGGCGGCGCCGCAGAAGTAGGGGGCACCGTCATGAGCTGCGCGGCCGTGTTGTTGAAGCCCATGGCCTTTGTGATGGTCGGAAGCGTAAACTTTGTGCCTGTGGCCGTCAGCCGCGCTGGTTTGGGGGAGGGAGTGACGATGTTAGGAGAGGGAAGCTTACCATAACTGCAGGCCGATGCCGCCAGGAGGGCCCACGCCTGCATGTACAGCCTCCAGTTGGTCACGACGGCCTTGAGGTCCTGCCACTTGAACTTGTCCTCCTTCTCCTCGTCCTCGAACCGGCCGCCCTGCTTGATGAAGCTCTGCAGTTCGAGGAACCGGATCTCGTCGGGCTCCAGCCACTTGGTACTCAGCGCCGGGGTGTCGACGAGAAAGAAAAAGGTCGCGATGCCCAGCACGACGGTGAAGATGCCCTCTAGCAGAAAGATCCACCGCCAGCCCTCGTAGCCGCCGACGCCGTCCATCTTGGCGATGGCGGCGGCGAGGAGGCCGGAGAAGGCGCCCGACAGCGCCGAGGTGCAGTAGAACCACGCGATGCGCGCGGCAAGGTCCCGCGGCATGTACCAGAACGTCGTGAGGTAGACGGCGCCCGGGTAGAAGCCGGCCTCGAAGACGCCGAGGAGCAGGCGGACGGTCAGGAGGCCGGCAAAGTTGTGGACGAGGCCGTGACAGGTCATGATGACGCCCCAGATGGTAACCAGGGTGCCGAGGTAGACCGAGGGGCGTTTGAACTTCTTGAGCAGGACGTTGCTGGGGACCTCTGGGAAGGGTTAGCCACCGCACAATTGCTGCGCCTCAATGTACACCACGACGGGACGTATAATCTGAAGGCATTAAGGGGCGGTTACCAAGCAAAATATAAGGAACAAAGAAGAGACTGAGCGCAATGTTCCATTGCACGCCATTGAGGTTCAGGTCCTCGGCGAGGCCTTCAATCTTGGCATTGCCAATGTTGGCGCGGTCGAGATGCGAGATGAGGTAGAGCACGGCGAGCATGGGCACCAGACGAATGTCGACCTTTCACGACACCATCAGCCTCACGTCGCACCAGAAGACACAATCTCGGTCCTTCATGACCGAGAACCAAGACTCAGACTCACCTTGCGGGTCGTTCGTTTCCGCTGCTCGGGGTGAAGTTGGCATAGAACTCGGCGTCGTCCTCGCTGAGGCCCAGCACGCGGATGTTGTCAATCATGCGCACCACGGGGCCCTTCTCCGCGTCGGAGCGGCCGTCGGCCTCCCTGTCGTCCACGAAGGCGATCTCTGGTTTGTCCGCCGCCGACATCGTGACTGATCTTGTCTACGATGTTCTCGTCTATTTTTGATTTCGTATCACACCCCCAGCCAAGGTCTCCGGGATGGCTATGCTGCCGTGCGTCTGGCGTCGTACTCTACAAACTAAGAGATGAACAAGGCGAGGAGACGAAGTGGACAAGAGGGGAGAGAGTAGCTTTTGGTCGAGAGAGAAAGAGAATAATGGAGAGCAACAGCCCGAAACGCAACCTCGCGCCGTGCGGCTCATATGTAGGCGCAGGATGAGATGCTGTCTGGCGTTATAGCCTAGGACTCAACCCGACTGAACGGACAGAAGAACAGTAGTCGGCTTGGCGCACGCGGTCGTGCAAGTCCCCGGGGATTCTCCACCGCCTGCTGAACCTCGCCCTTCCCTGCTCCTCGTTGCTTGTTACGGGTGCCATGGGCAAGATTGCGCGGGGTCCCCGCAATCGCGGAGGCCCTGCCCGCTGTGGTCCTGTGGATTACACGACAGGAGTACGCCGTTCGAGGGGAGACGCTGCTTTGCGCCGTCATGGTAATCCGTCGTTTGACGGATTTCCAAAAAAGGGGGGCCACATGAAGTCGAATGTTGCTCGCGTCGACGGTAATCCATGAACCCGTGCTGTAGCGGGTGAACGCGGATTTGGGTCCACTTCGGCGGCAGCTCGAGTCATCTCCGTTGCCGTTGCCGTGTGCCGCACAAAAACGAGATGACGAGAACGGCATTCCGATGCTGTGGATGTCTCCAAGATGTTGTCTGTTAGGAATCCCCCAAGTTTGTCCAGTAAAAGGCCTCACAAACAGATGGTAAACAACGAGCGACGAAACAGCGTACACATCTTCAGAGGTTGGAGCCCAGAGTCTCGGCATCAGATCGATCCAATGCAGGCTACCGTCGTCCCGCGGCCCAGACAAACAAGTTAGACTCGATCGGCATTCCGACTGGCCATCCAGCTCGGCCGGCGTCTTGGAACGAATCGCCCAGGTGCAGAGGCTCAGCGGGCGCGTGCAGGAGAGGGACAAGCCAGCAAGCAAGCAGACATGGTAGACGGCCGGCAGTTGGGGAGGGAGGATGCGGAGAAATGACAGCCAAACAGGACAAAGAACCCAAGGCCTCCGAGGGAATCCTCCCGTCTCTTCCCGCCTGTAGCCACACTCTGTTCTCTCAACCACGGTCGTGCGGGGAATGCGGGGGAGACGGACTTTGTGTCGTGTATGTTTACAAGACGGGATGTTTTACGGGATCAAGTATGCTCAACACAGTAGCTCAATGGATCATAAACGTGTCAGTCCAGTCAGCGGCGTGCAGGAAGCGGATTAAACAGTTTCGTAGATTTCATATACGTCGTCGGAATTAGATACGTGCATTACAGCATTACGTTTCGCGTCCATCAGTCATGGGGCGGTGGTTGGCGTGCAGTCTTTCCCGCTGCACAAAATTTCATGGGTTGCGCGCCAGTGTCAAACCAGATTCTCCTCCTCTTGCAATTCTTCCCAGCCCATTCTCACTCGGTCCAGAAACCCCTTACACCGGCACATCCTTCTCCGAGTGCGAGACGCGGATCTGCTGGTGATAGCTGTTCATGGCCTTCTCGCCAACGTCCTCGTCAAACACGTTGACCTTGGTACCCTCGAACTTGCGCGCGCTGACCTTTTGCTCAAACAGCATGTCCAGCTCGGCGTAGGTGCGGCCGCGCGGCTCCGGCACGCGGAAGTAGGTGTACACGCAGCACAAGAAGCAGATGCCGCCCCAGAAGAAGCCCGTGTAGTTTTGCCAGTTCCACGCGCTGGGGTTCAGCATGTAGGGCGTCAGAACGTTGTTGATGATGCCGACAATGTTGCTGGGGGAGGGAGGGTCAGCACGTTGTCTGTCAATCGGATAAAAATGAAGGGGCGAGGTCAGCTTACTAGAGGTTGCGTCCTAGGACGACCGTCTTGATCTGCAGGCGGCGCGACGGCAGCTCACTGACGAGCGAGTAGCACACGGTGCCGACGGTGAGCTGGTAGAAGAGGGCCCAGACCATCATGATGCTACCCGTCGCCAGCGCGCCCTGGTCACGGTGCTCCTCGGGCACGAGGCCCAGGAATCCGAGAATCATGAGCATGCTGCAGAGACCCGCGAGGCCGTAGAGGTACAGCGTACGGCGGCCGATGCCCCACGACATCAGGAACCAGGCGCCGAAGACGCCAACCATGTTGATGGCGTACTGTCCGAGGGCGAAGTTGTACGAGTTTCTCGTCGAGAGACCGGCCTGCTTGAGGAAGTACCTGCGTAGTGTCGCGTCAGCGCGATGCACCCGGCGCATTGCGTTTGGGTAGATAGAGTCAAACTTACGTGGAGTAGTTGGAGAAGGAGTTGCCGCTGAGGTTCTGGATGGCCCAGACCATGCATACGACCTCGGTGCGGCGCAGGTCGACGCCCTTGAAGCAATCGAGGTACGAGGCGCCCTCGGTGATCTTCTCCTCGAGAGCGTTGGTGTGCACCATCATGGCGACCGTCTCGTCGGCGTCAAAGTCGGACTCCTTACCCTTGCTCGTCAGGCGCAGCAGCGACTTCTTGGCCTCGTCGATCCTGCCCTTGCGCACCAGCCACCAGGGCGACTCGGGCGCAAAGTAGATGCCGAGGGCCAGCGGCACCGGCCACATCCACTGCAGGGCGTAGGGGATGCGGTATGCCCACTCGTCCTCGCGGTTGAGCATGGAGACGATGACGCCGATGCCGATCTCCTGGCCGAGGCCCCAGCAAAAGTTGACATAGGTGGTCAGGTAGCCGCGCAGGGCGACGGGGCAGACCTCGGAGGCGTAGGTGATGCACAGGGTCTGGAAGACGCCCCAGGGGATGCCGCAGAGGATCTCGGCGGCGAGCAGGGTCTCGACGTTCTGGGCGGTGAAGAAGATTGTTGTGAAGGCGGCGACCAGCATGAGACAGCCGATGACGGTCCACCTGTAGCCGAAGCGTTCCGAGACCCATCCGTTGATGAAGAGGCCGATGATCTCGCCGACGGTGGCGCCGTTGCTGAGGCCGGCCTGCCACGGCGCAGGGACCTCGTAGGTGCCGGCGGCGGTGAGGACGCCGTACTTTTGGTTGAACTGGGGGAAGGCGTAGAAGTTGCTGACGAGGCTGATGTCGTAGCCCTCCATGGCGATGCAGGTCGAGATGAGGATGCTCCAGGCGATGGCCTTGGGGTACAGCTTGATGCCCTGGGCCAGGGTCATCGCGTGCTCCTTGTCCGAGGCAGACTTTGCGTTCTGCACAAAGGTGCTGGCGAGCTTGGCCGAGTGGTGGTCGCCAACCTCGGCCGAGTGCCGGTCTGCGGCGACGGCGGCCACGGCCACATCGTCGTCATGGGCCGTTTTGGACGCCATCGTGACGGGTCGGCGCAATGCGACAGTATCTAGCTGGGTGAGATGCGCAGCGTCGCGTGTGTACGTGCGTGCGTGCGTGCGTGCGTGCGTGCGTGTGTCTGTTGCGGTGGGGTTGGCGCGGAGAGTTGAGGGAATGGCCGAGCGCTGGCCAGGGTGGTGGTGGTTGTGGAAAAATTCGGGCCAAAGGTGAAGGGGGAGGGAAAAAACGAAAGACGCCGCTGGAGATGCTGGAGAGAGATCGTCGGACGGTGTTGTGGGGAGGGGAAGGGAGGGAATCGCGAGCTTGATAAATATTCACGGCCGGGACGCTAGGTAGGTTGGTTTGTGGGACGATAGAAACGGCTTCGAAGGGGAAGCCCACAAAAGAAAGGGCTCGAATTTTGACGAAGAGCGAGGAAAGACTGGGGCTCCGGATCGAGGGGAGATTGTTGTGCTTGTCCCTTGGGCATATCGCGTCTTTCCCGCAATTGACTCGAGGGAAGCCAAGCGCAATCTTCCGGGTCGTCAGCTAATTAACGTCGAGGCCCCGTGCCGAGGGAACGAGGAAACCCGGTCAAGGACGCCGAAGCCGTCGCAAGCCATGGAGCGATGCCGCGAGGCCATTGGAGAAGGATTGGGCTCTCCCCGGCGATAGGTGCCTATTCATTGTCGACGGCCGGGGTTTGACTCGTCGAGATAAGGTAAAAGCGAGGTGGCATTTCAAGGGGAGAGGGGGGTTTGATTCATGACAGGGTGAGGGTGCCTGGACATGTGCCCGCGTCCGCTGGGTTGGGACGGCGATGTGAACCGTCTGCTGCCATTGAGTTTGTCTGGCGGCGTCTAGCGTGCGGGGGAATGGAAGTCTGTGTGTCAAAGAGAGGGGGACATGTCTTTGCTGCGTTTGATGGACGGTCGGCTGAGCCGTTGAGCCTGTCGCTTCATCCAGTCTGGACCCAAGCCACCGGGAAGAAGTCCACGGTGGTTATGGTGGTGGTGGTGTCGGTAGCGTGGGCGCTGGTGATGGGAGGCATGGAGAAGAGACGAAGAGTTGGCGCCGGAGGGCTGGAAGACTGGCAGCAGAGACGGGGGAGGTCCAGTCCAAATAAGGAACAGGTCTTTAACGGTTGCTGAAGAGCCACAGCCGATGAAATATGATTGACAACTGCTTGTCTTCCCAGACCAAGACCAAGACCAAGACAAGAGCCCAGGGAACCGGGCGAAACTTGCCCAAACCAGCGCGACGAGAGAGAGCAACCGAAATGCGTCGGAGGGGACTCGGGTGGTTATCGGAGTTTGCTGGGGGGCGCTGTAATGGCAGTGGGTGACCGCAGTGTGTGTGTGTGTGTGCGTATATGTGTGACTGACTGACTGACTGTGTGAACAATTTTCGCAGTGGAGGTGTGTCGTCGGCGTCTGCTGACCAACTCCCACAATCCCCACACACGTCACTGGTCGCGGCCCCGGACTCAAGCTTCAATTCAATTTCAGATCTGCTCAAAAATCGAGGGGCTCCCCCAGATCTTCTCCATCTTCCCCGGGTTTCAATCATTTGGCATTTGCAGCCTCAACTCGAACTGGGGGTTCGGAAAGAATTGCAAGTGGCACAGGTGCCATGCCGTCTCCCGAAGCGCCTGATTCGTTGAGTGCCACGACTTGGTGAGTGAGACTGCGACTGATCCACCGCGAGAGGGGCCGGGGCCTTCGGGGAAAAAAGCCTGTTTGGGAGCCGACGCCATTCGCACCCGCGGCTGCGTCGACGGCCGTGCCGCTCACCATGCGCGGGGTGAAGCAGTGAGAACGCGGTTGATGAGAGGGCTCACTGTGGGATTCGGCTCGTTGCAGTCGGCGAGTGTCGATGGGTGCTGCGAAAAGGGGTTGCTCGCTCGCTGGTCGTGAAGCCGTCGGTGGAGCAAGGCGCTGGCTGAGGGGAGAACTTTCGAGACGTTTGGAGAAGGCGACTTGGCTGACGGCGACTCTACATACAGTGAGCAGTGTCGGGAACAGCATCTGCGATGTGACCGCGTACTTCCCGTCTGTGGGCGGTGTCTGATGACGGGCAGAGAGTGCAAGAAGGGGTACAAGTTCCGCGCGCCCAAGCACGCCGTCTTCAAGGAGAGCCACAAGTGGCCTGCGCCGCCCAGGAGGCTCAAGTTCATCGACGAGACGCGGGGTGTCGAGCTCGGCGAGGACGTCGACAGCAACGAGTCCGTACAAGATTCCGCAGACGTCGAAGAGGCGTCGACATCGCCGGGAACCGCGACGGTGGTGGACTCCTCCGTGTCGGATGAGCGCCCCTCGCTTCAGGCAGCAAAGGCAGCGAGTTGGCCTCTCCCCGATGAGGGCCATCATGAGAAATCTCATGAAAGCCACCATGGAAGTCATCATGGTGGCGACGCCGTTGACGAGTCTGTTCAGCCGCCGCCGCGCGCATCGCTGAGCACACCCGACGCCCACCACCTCACCCACCATGCCAGCCGACGAGAGCAATCCGACTCCATCGTGAGTCTGCCGCCCATGCAGTCTGTGCTGCCGCCCTTCGAAGGCATATACACCGAGCGCCCGGTATGGCCGCTCACCGGCCGGCAAGAAGCCACGCTGTTCCGTCACTACGTGGACAAGCTTGGGTTCTGGGTATGTCAAAAGCCGCCGCATCGCTCATCTGGAGTGGAAAGACACGGACTGACCGACGACACAGCTCGACGCGTGCGACCCCATCAGGCACTTCGAGACTGAGGTGCCACAACGGTCCGGCTCGTGTCCCATTCTCTTGAACGCCATCTTTGCGCTGGCGGCGAGGCATCTCAGCCTGACGAGCGCGTACGACTCGCTGGCGTCGAATCGCTATCATGAGCAATGCCTCAACTACCTGATCCCGCTGCTGGACCACGCAGGGACGGTGTCGGACGAAAACTTGTTCGCGGCAACAATCATCCTGCGAGTCTTGGAGGAAATCGACGTCAACACCCTCGGTCAAGACACGCACGGCCACCTCCTCGGGATCCACGCCTTTGTCAACGCCGGAGACCGCTTCCTGATGCCGGGGACCTTGACGGCAGCATGCTTTTGGGCGGGCCTGAGGCAGGAGATCTACAGCGCCGTCATCAACCAACAGGTGGTAAGGATGAACCTTAGTCACGCCATTGTCGACCGATCAACGGCCCCGGGGGACGACTTTGTCTGGGCGAATCGTGCCATTGTCCACTGCGCCGACGTCCTCAATTTCTGCTTCGGGTCCGAGGCGGGGTCGGTCCTGCAATGGGGCCAGCTCGAAATGGCAAACAGGGAGTGGAAGAACGCGCTTCCGCCCTCGTACACGCCCATCTTCTTCCGCGAGAGGACGGAAGAGGAGGCTTTCCCCGAAGTATGGTACCAGAAGGCGTGCCATAGTAAGTTGAACCTCCCTAGCTCCGGCAGTCTCTACCGTCGAGACGCCCGATGGTCTGCAGCGCCGACTGACATGTACCAGTCATTGCCGTCCAACATCACATTCTCGCCGAAATGTACCTCGCGCTGTTCAACCCGAGCATACCGCGAGTCGGCGGCGGTCGCAAGGCGGCCGAGAAGCGGCTAACAGAGCAGATCCAGGAACTGCTGCGAAGTCTCTGCGGAATTGGCATGTGCAACCAGTGGTCTCCACCGGCAATGTTCACGGCGTGTATGGGGATAGCGATTGGTAAGCTCTACCTCCTTTGTTTCCTGGGGGAGGGTTTCCCGTCCTTGCATGTGCTCTTGTGTCTCGTATGCTAACTTTACCCTTCGCCCAGCCGGTGACCGGTTCGACCACAGACACGACCAGGAAGCTTTGCTGAGGATGCTCAGCATCACCGAAAAGGCCCACGCGCGGCCCACGACGGCGGTGCGGGATCAACTGATAGGCGCATGGGGTTGGATGGACGGGGACGCCATGAGCGAGGGGTGAGGGCCGCACGAGCCCGGGAGTGCCGCTCAGGAGACTGGACGGGCAGGCTGGTTGTCCCGAGGGAATTCGATGAAAGCCCCTATGACCAGATTACGATTATGACTTGTTGGCGACAACCGATGAGGGGTCGACTCCCGCTTGGGATGGTTCTGGATCACTATAGACTTGGTGGATTGGGCTGGACTGGGGGGACATTTGGCCCGGATTTAGATTTCCCTTGGTTTAGTAGCTGTGGATACCCGACATGATGTTGTACATTTCATGTCTGTGATGCCAACATCTGGCTGGCTTGGCCGGGACAGTAGCATGCGATGTAGGCTGAAGACAATCGGAAATATTTCGCGATTCCACCTGTTTGGTTGAACATGATGCTTGCTTGAATGGCGCCTGACTAGCGATGGCCATGATCCTCCCCCGCATGCCGCATTTCGTGCACAAGGCACCGTTGAAGCCACGGCCGCCTAGCCTGAGCTTGAACCTGACAGCTGCTTTCCACGGAGAGAGCAAGCAGGGACCGCCAAATCCCGCAGGGGATGTTCAGGGAGCGCGGGGTAGGGAGCGGCTCGCGCTGAATTGCTGTCGGGGACGGTTCTGGGAAGGAGCCGCCGAAAGCTGTAACCACGACTGATGTCAGACCCTCTCGTCTCGGACGTTGACGCTGTGTTGGAAGCTAAGGACAAGGCCGGGAGGGCGAAGGGGGGAGGCGTGGCCAAGGGTCCTTTGGCAGGTGAACTAGCTTGACTAGATCCAATCAATGGGAAGCCATTACTGAAAGGAGGAGGGGAACCCGCGGGGATGGAGATGGTTTGCATAGGCCCCGGGAATGGCGTTGGTTGGCGGCGGACAAGGGGGCCGCCCAAAGAGGGAATTCTCAAGAATCGTTTGCAAATCCCATGATGATGTGGCGGGCACTGCAAATAAGCTTTGCCGCAGGGGGGCCCGGCAAGAGGCTCGCAGAGACGCAGTGTAGGGCGCCGTCACCTCGCATCTTTTTTCGTCTATCCCGGATCGCGGTTCGGCGTGCGGTTGGCGTGGAGCTGGGAGCGGGAACGAAGGTGTGGAATAAGCGTTGGAAGCGTTGGAGATGCAGGGATGGCTTCGCGAATGTTTGCCCGAAATGAACTTGTCGGAATTTGGGCGACTTGCACGAGTCTCCGCAGAATTCCAATTGGGAATAGCTTGACGAGTCCAGAGTCAGGAAAAGTCACGTGAGAGCCAAGAACGCTGATTAATCCCGAACTCTGTGAAAAGCGGGGCTCCGACTCCAGCAGAGCTTCGGCGATTTTCTCCTCGTCCAAACCATCGAAATCCAAAACCTGGAATCCCCTCGCCCTCCAGTCGCATCTCTCTCCACAGATCTGAATCTCGCCCCGTCTTTCCTGCTCCATCTGCCTCACACCTGCCTGCTCTCCGCGGCACTCTGTTTGTCGCGGCAAACGTCAATTCGGGCTGCTTGACCAAGTTAGCTTTTTTCCCACACCAAGCCCGTCTAAGTAGGTCCTGCCCTCCATGACGAGGTACCTCGGCCGCATACCGCGCGTTGCGGGAAGATCAGGTACCTCGTCATGTCCGAGTTTTTCTCCCCATCTGTAGTCCTCCATCATCCTGCCGTCTCTCCATAGTAATGGTATTGTCTGGTCTTGCCTTCAACGACATATTTAAAGACTGTCTCCAGGGGAAGAGTTGGGATTTTTCTGCCCCCCATTACACCAGTCTTTAAACATCTTGTGTGATACCAGTAAAAGAAACCCGTTCTTTCTTCGTATCAAGTGTTTTTCGTCTTCTTCTCTCCAGTCCCAAATCTCTCCATCACCAACCGCCACAATGGCCGCCGCTGTCGCTGCCCCCTACGTCCGGGCCAACGGTCATGAGCTTGAGCAGACGACCGACTTTGTCGAGGAGGTCAACATCCTCAAGGACCAGGTCAACAAGCAGCAAGATGACTTCTACGAGGAGTCCAAGTTCGACCAGCAGAAGGACAAGACAGCCTTCCGCCAGTACGAAGACGCCTGCGATCGTGTCAAAACCTTTTACAAGGAGCAGCACGAGAAGCAGACTGTCGAGTACAACCTCGCCGCCCGCGAAAAGTTCGCCATTGACGTCACCGGCAACAAACCCTGCCGTGACGAGATGACCATCTGGGAGGCCATGGAGAAGCTCAACACCCTCATCGACAACTCTGACCCAGACACCGAGCTGTCCCAGATTCAGCACCTGCTCCAGACCGCCGAGGCCATGCGCCGCGATGGCAAGCCCCGCTGGATGCAGCTCACCGGCCTGATCCACGACCTCGGCAAGCTCCTCTACTTCTATGGCGCCGAGGGCCAGTGGGACGTTGTTGGCGACACCTTCCCCGTTGGCTGCGCCTTTGACAACCGCATCGTCCTGCCTAGTACCTTCGAGGGCAACCCCGACAACAAGCACCCCGTCTACAGCACCAAGCACGGCATCTATAAGCCCGGTTGCGGCATCGAGAACCTCATGATCTCATGGGGCCACGACGAGTACATGTACCGGGTCTGCAAGGAGCAGTCCAAGCTGCCCCGCGAGGCTCTTGCCATGATTCGCTACCACTCATTCTACCCTTGGCACCGCGAGGGCGCTTACCGCGAGTTCATGAAGGAGGGTGACGAGGACCTCCTCAAGGCCGTCCTGGCCTTCAACCCCTACGACTTGTACAGCAAGTCCGATGACGCCCCTACCGTTGAGGAGCTCAAGGTACGTTTACCCCTTCTCGCAGCCCAGCCTGACAACCCAGTCACTGACACAGCAATAGCCTTACTACATGGAGCTCATCGATGAGTACTTCCCCACCAAGGTCATCAAGTGGTAGACAGACTTTTCAAAATTGTCGCATTACGACTGGAACGATACAAGACAGATTTTGGCATATAAGCCCTGCGATGACATTTGTCTTCGGAGGCAAGGCGTTTTAATGGTTTTCTTTTCTATTTATGATACATCCATCGGGTCAGCGGTTTTTGTGCGTGCGAAATGAGTAAAAAGGAATCGGCCAAGGAGCCTCGACGAGCCAAGCGAAAGTATTCATGTTCAGAAACTTAGAATTTCATTTTAGACCAGGAACTCTGAAGAAATTTATTGGAATACACATACAAACAGCCTGCGCGATTATTGTGACTTCCCTACGTACACATAGGTTGTTTGACTTTTACAGCACACAGTTAAGAGTTTCTTCCTGTGCATAATCATGCTATTGCAATTTAGTCTCGCTCATCATTCCATTAATGTCATTCTGGACCTACGTTTTAGTTTCGGCCCTGTACATTAGGCACGACTTTAGGAAAATAGGCACAGCAGCTATCGTTGTAATACTGAGTTACCGTTTTTTATGTCTCACATTATTGTACTTGCTATTCTTGCCCCCTTCTATAAGTTCGAGGGATAGTCAGAGACGTGGGTCCGAAAAGCAGTCATATTATATCAAAGCCGACAATGGGAATAGGAAGAACGTGGGTTTCAACCCGGTGCGTCGGAGACCCTATGTTCCAACAAGCCCAACAACTCCTGTCTTAAAGCCAACGTTGCGAAAGATTCATGCGCAACCGATTTATTGCACTGTGACCGGTCGAAGTTTCCGCCTATAGTTCCACTCCCATAGGTACTCGCCCTTCTAGTCCCATGACTCTAGCTGACATCAGAGTATTCCCGGTGTTCGGTACAGGCTTAGCCAATTGCCCTGCGCCCTCGCAGCTCTCAGTTGGTAGTTTCCGTACAGCGATACTCCTCATTGCAAGCGACGACATTCCACTCACGCGTCCCTTACGAGAGGTACACGTTAAAGGCCCTCTGCCCGACTTCAGCGCCACAGTAACGTTTTGCCAGAACGCGGGCGCCTGTAATATTGTACAGATGATCATGGATTTCTGCTTGCAAGTTTACCTTCAACTAATTGTTTGTAAACAATGTATCAGCTCCGCGTAAGACGATGACTAGATGGGCGGCGCAAGGAGGCGTCCGTAGCTTTCCTTCGCGTAGTAGTAGAGCGTCCAGGCAGGCAGGGCTTGAAAATTCGGGTTGGTCGTGTTGGCGGTGCATGTCTCCATATCAACGGTGCCGTGGGTCACTAGGTTGATGGCGTAGATGCAGAGGGCGGACATTCTGTCCTCTGCACCCTTTGGCCTGCTACTTCACTACTCCCAGACTGAGGAAACTAGCCTGCAGTCATTGGACCGTTGGCAGAAAGGCCAGATTGTTGGGCCGTATATTGGTAGCAGGGTATATTCCGTGGTTTCCGAGGGTTCCTTAGACAAGACATACGCCGGCGTCAGCCCTGTGCTAATAAACCGAGCCGTTCTAGGCCGCGTTGAACTTGAGCGTGGTTTTCCAGATAGTCTGATCGGCTATATTACCTATGATGACGACGAAACCGGGATAATGCATCTGTAATTCCATGCACTACAAGTGAGAATCGTTCGCTCATGATGCAACAAGGTCTGGCTTTTCTCTTGTGATGCCTTGCCCCAGCTATCCATCGGTTCACAGCCATGCTCAATGTTCCCGGGGTCGAGAAACCCATCTCGGCGATAATTCAATTGTTTTACCTAATGACACATTGGATTTCCTCTATCTCATACCTGTCTGCAACTAGACAGCCATGTCACTGCCTCATTATGTTGGAAATTATCCGGGTTGTTCGATTCTAAGCCGAGCCGGAAAGCGAGGCCCACTTATACCGGACACGGCCCCATTCTTTAGCCGGCCGCGGCATCTATCGCCGGAAGCTTGTGATTGCCACTCCCTTGGGGATATGTACCCAGTCACGCGAGTAAATAAATAATAGAGATGAAAAGTTGACACATTTTACTCTGCTTGCAGTCGTAACGCCTCTCCTTCTCTTGTCATTTTTGTTTTGCTGACTTTGGTCACGCTTTTCTCATCACTTTCCGAAAACAGGTGAGGCCAGTTCGCAGGATCTCGAGAGCAAGAAACCTGCACAGACGAAGACCCACTCACCAACAATCCACAGTCATAAAAATCAGAATCGTGAGCTATGGCAAGGTCCACAAATGGTAAACCCTAATATTTGTCTTGTGGTTGGTTCTCCTTCAACAACCAACACCAATATTCAAGCACAATAGCTCAGGGGTAGAGCGCTGGGCTCATAACCCAGAGGTCCCTGGATCGAAACCAGGTTGTGCTAGCACTTCTTTTAATTTTTTCACTCGTGCCTTACTTTCACGGAACTTAATCTTCACAATCTCAGGCTCGAGCCGTCTTTTCTTCTACAACTGACTCCTGTCACTGCTCTTCCCTATCAGAGGAACTCAATATCGTGTCATCCACAAATACACTACTAGTCATCATAACACGAGACGTGATACTCAGCAAAGATTCATCAGACGTGCTTTTGAAGTTACTTTGTGCGCCCAAGGTTTGGTTCAGCTCAGAGCCGTAACGGCCTCTGATTCCAGACAGTGTTAAATCGGTCATGCCTGTCTCAGATGTGCTTAGGATTCTTGCTCATTTTCAATTTTGGTCCTTTCTCTCAGCCTCGATGCCACGTACCATGTCCAAAGTCTCTCGTCAGCCCGTCTGATGTAACCGGAACCCGCCGCTCTGAGCAGCCCTAGGAGCGTCTTCCAGCAGGCACGACCCCGTCGGGCTCATTTGAGCAGCCGTTCGCCGACCTCATAGAGGTGCAAGCGTGAGTTGGGCAGGACAAGGTTGCCACGTTCATGAACCTACCAGTTCAGTTGAAGTGTCCCCTCGCCATCGCCGACTTGGCTGGATTATCGCCATAGCCGCGCGCATCTTGGCAGAAACAAAATTGCCTGATCAATCTATCCGCCTCCAATTCGAAACCAGAACTCCAAAAGGTCGGCGACGGGCGATTTCGGAATGTTTGCAACGCTCATCCAACGTGTACCAGAAACATGGGCCACGTCAAATTTGACACCCGCACGTCTCTTGACTGACTACTGGGAAGAGTGGCGAGTGAACAATTACTGACAACGGAGCGGAACAGAGTCGTTTGGGTCGTTCGGGCTGTTTGGCTCGATCCTCGGGCAGAAGATGAAATCCTCTTAAGTTTACTCTTCTTCCCTCGGCTGGTCTTCTCATACGACCGCACGGTTGTTTTACACCATCAACCGCCACATGCACCGACCGAAGAGGCACTGTGCCGTACTTTTCGTGTCTCTGTCGCGTCTCTGTCGTGGGAGGAGAAACAAAAGGGACATAGCGGCGACAGATGCAAGTTGCCGCTTGCCGCGGCCGAGCACACTGGATAGTGGCCATTTTGACACAAGTATAGCCACATTGCTCTGACCTCTGCTGCCAAACGCAAGATACGCTTTGCTTGCGCAGAGCCAAGACACGGCCGACGACGGCCGCCGCCTCAAAAAACTAACGCTAGAGAACGGGGAGGAGCTGAGGCTTTCAACAACCAGACGTTGCTACGCTGAAGGGGTGTTCTGGCTTATGGTCTGGCAAAATATCGTCGGTAAGGATTGGTGGTCCAACAGAACCTTGTCAAAGCAGCACGCATACTTTGAGATACACATAACATCCGAAAGCGCTTACAAGCGCCAGTCGACGAAAGAATACGAAGTAACACGATGATGAATCATTATACAGCACAGATTCCATTACAAGACGCGCGCATGTGTGATGCCGATATACCCATCATCACCACGGGAAGTTATGCGAACCCGAAAGCCGCCCGAGAAGTGCATGGCGGCGGCCGTCCGCTTTCATACCGCTTCATATCACAATTACCTCGCGCCTTGCAGGTTGGTCTGAACTACGTCGCATGCTAACCACACCCGACCACTGATCCAGCCGGGTATGGGCAAACGAAAACGCAGACATGCCCACTCGGGTTTGTCTGGACTTTTGATAACCGTCATCAAGGCGGCGAACAAACGCTTGGTACCGGGACCGATCATCAAGACCACACCGCTCACTCCCACTCAGACAGTTTGGAACATCATCCCGTCTTATTCCCAGCCCGAAGTGTTGAAACCAAACCCGCCCTCTTGGTATAAAGATCTCTTGCTGGTACGTGGGGCGTGGGAAGGGCTTTCCTACGCGACGCAAAAACCATCATTCCCTCGCAACCGTTGACCGAAGTGGCTAGGACCACGGTTCATCCCCGAACGACAGCACCGTGCTCTTGAGGTTAATCCGTAGTGGCCACATCCTAGCGCTGGTTTTCCACTTTATCTAAAGGTTGAGTCGGCCGTTGAGATTTGAAATTCTGGAAGCTCCTGAAGATTGATTCTTTCTCTCTTCTTCTCTCGTTGCATCGACGATCGCGCGAAGTTGTATTAGGACGGTATTATTTGGGTATCTTCAAGGTGAGCATTTTCCATCGTCTACGCTTCCTTCTATAGACTCTGACAGCCAGCTCACAGGGAATTCATAGCTGCACACTCGCAACTGTTGATTCCAGAGTACATCCTGGGCAACAATTCCCAACATGAAGTCGATGCTCTCCAAGAGCGTGCTCTTTCTGCTTTACGGCCTCGCTGTAGCAGCGCCGTCCAACTCTGGGGTGGCAAAGAGGCAGGACCAGTCCAACCCAGGAGATTCGAGCCCCCCCGACCAGGGTCCCAAGTCATGCAACACACCTGACAACAGACAATGTTGGGTCGACGGATTCGATATCAAGACGGCATATGAGGAGAACATTCCGGACACCGGTGTGACTCGCGAGGTGAGTTTGTTATCATCAAGGTGTCGGTTCAACGCTGATTCATGATAGTACGAACTGGTGCTCACTGAGCACTCGACGTTTAAGGCTGGAGATGGCATGGACAAGAACAGCGCTATGCTGATCAATGGTAAATTGTGCCATTCAAAGCTATCAGAATTTCTGTGCTGATGCAAGATGCGTTGCAGGTGGATTCCCGGGCCCCAACATCAAGGCAAACTGGGGTGACAAGATTCGCGTGAGAGTCGTGAACAACCTCAGAACGAATGGGTAAGTAAAGTGATGCGGCGGCCATACCTACAATCGGCAACTGAGCTGACACAATACAGCACGTCAATTCACTGGCACGGCGTCAGAATGCTGAACAACAACATTAACGACGGTGTCAATGGTATCACCGAGTGTCCCATTCCACCGGGCTCTAGCAAGACGTACGAGTGGCGCGCTGAGCAATATGGCTCCTCCTGGTAAGCTCACAATCCTCTACCTCAAAATCAGTACTAGAACTAACGCTGCCAGGTACCATTCTCATTTCTCTGATCAGTACGCAAATGGTATTGCGGGCACCATCCAGATTGATGGACCGACTTCCAAGAACTACGATGAGGATCTCGGTGTGTTTTCTCTGACGGACTGGTATTACAAGTCGGCCGACGAGATTCGCTCTACTTTCACTGCGCCTGCCGCAGTCCCAGCCAGCGACAACATCCTATTTAACGGTACCAACGTCAACAAGAACGGCGGTGGAGCATACTCCCGCGTGACGCTCAAGAAGGGCAAGGTGCACAAAATTCGTCTCATCAACATGTCGGTCGACAATACCTTCTCAGTCTCCCTCGTCAACCACAAGATGACGGTCACGGGAACCGACTTTGTGCCTGTCAAGCCTTTTGAGACGGACTCGCTCTACCTTTCCGTCGGCCAGCGTTATGACGTTCTCATTGACGCCAACCAGGATTCCGGCAAGGCTTACTGGTTCAACGTCTCGTTCCCCTCCAACCGGCTCTGCGGTACTTCAAACATAAATAAGCCCGCTGCCATCTTCCAGTACGATGGTGCTTCATCCAACGCGATGCCCAAAGATGCAGGCAAGGCAGTCACGGATGCCCAATGCCAGGACAAGACGGATTATGAGCCTATTTTTAGCGTAGACGTCGACTCCACGGCGTTCCAGAAGACGCAGGATGATACTCTTGACATTACTGTCGACACCAGCAGGACCACCAATCAGCAAAGGGTGTACTGGAAGGTCAACGGCCAGGACATGGACGTTGACTGGGACGAGCCAACGCTGTCTTACCTTGCTAAGAACAGCACCGACTACCCAGACCAATTCAATGTCTTCGAGGTACCCAATGAGAACAATGTAAGTAGTATCTGGATTGGAATTTTCAACTTGTACTAATGGTCGCGTAGTGGGCATTCTGGGTTGTCGAGAATCTCTTCCCTGCTCCTGTAAGTTGTATCCGACGCATGTCATCTTCGCTCGCACTGTTCTGATAAATGTAATAGCATCCCATGCATCTCCATGGCCACGACTTTTACGTCCTTGGTCACTCAGAGCCCGCCTCCAGCGGCCGAGGTGATGGTGTCAGGTTCAACGCACAGACCGACACTTCCAAGCTCAATTTCAAGAACCCCACGAGGCGTGATGTTACCACCTTGCCTGGCAGAGGCTGGCTCGTGGTGGCCTTTAAGACAGATAACCCGGGTGCTTGGCTGTTCCACTGCCACATCGCATGGCATCTCAGCCAAGGCCTGAGTGTCCAGTTCCTGGAGCGCTCCAAGGATATTGCCAACACCGTCAAGATCGAGGATATTGACAGTATGTGTCAGGAGTGGAACACGTACTCGAAGAAGGCCCCTTACCCGCAGACCGACTCTGGTCTACGCAAGCTTTAATAGGTTCTCACAAATTATCCCATATTGGAACATATCACTCAACATTTGGTTTTGTTTTTGAAGTGCCCGTTCTTGGTCTAGTTAATCGCGGAAAAGGGATGGGTTTAGCGGTCTGAGCATGGTCATCACAGAAGTAAAGCAAGGGCATCATAGACAGAAATACAACAGTATGCTAATACATGAATACTTCTGAAGCATGTCAAGAACAAATAACCAAGTGTGGAATCATGTGGTGAACTTGCCACACTATTGACATTATTCGACTGCAGCTTGCGGAAAAGAGTCCTGTATCGTTCTATTTACTATCAGACTTCTGCTTCTGTTCTGAACTAAAGGTGCTTTAGCGAAACTACGTGTCACAAGCATGTGAAGCTCGCAGCGCCATGATTAGTTTCAGAAGCACTTTCTGAGCAACACCCCAGACCAACTCCATCCCACCCAATGATTACGCACATCTTCGGCCGCCTGTGGCTGGTGCACAAGGGTACGATGCGCCTTGATCAGCTTTCACTGCTTTGCTGGCTTCGGAATGCGAGCTGGCGACGCCTCTTGTCCCCCAAATGACCTCCTTTCAAAACCAACTCGCCTTCTTTGTTGCGAATTTCGAAGTCTTCTGAGGTTGTCCAGTCCTGACGTGATGTTTTTTCTTTGATGACGTCGCGGCCCACCTGGTTCTGGATATCGCGACGGCCATTGAGTAAGTCGTTGCTTAGCTTTGCCTGTAACTAATGTTAGAACACTGTAAGAAGTGACTGTAAGCGATAAGATGACTTACACCTCGTTCCTTCGTAGGAGCGCCAGCGTACTTGCAGACCCAGTCGGCTCGAGTGAGAGAATGAACAATTATCTTGCAATCCTATTCAAGAGGTTAGGCGTATTCTTATGAGTAATTGAAGTTGATTGTGACGTACGAGCACATTCTCACAAATAGCCTGCCATCTCTCGGCGAAGGTATCGAAATGTTCCCATGTGGAGACGGTTTTTGTGCCAGACCAGAGCGGCCTCAAGGTGAACCCGAGTTGCGTTTCCATCGCAGCACGCTTAGAACAAAGCTATCAGTCCTCTCTTATACCTGATTCACAGTTGGGGGTCAATCTTACCAGCAGTCTCCAACAAAGAAGCTCGATCTCAATATCAGAAATCCGATAGTGAATTACCGCATCAAGTAGTTCGACTGGCGTGCTTTCGGCGTCCATCAGGGCCCAGTCTGTCTTGCTGATTCCCTTGGGTCGAATAGGTTGATCGAAATCAGCGCCTTCTCCTTCAGCATCCCTACTCCGCTTCCTGGAGGGTCTTTCAGCGGCTTCAAATTGATCCTGACCTCGTCGGCCAGCCTCGAGCTTTGCGAGGCGCTCACGGGCCTTGCGCAATTCATAGAAGTTGGACAAGTCTGTAACGTGACCTACAAGCCGTTCGACAGATGCCCGCTGCTGTTCCGCTGACGATGGCCAGGAAGCATCAACGTTAGGAGCTGCACCCGCGTCACGCTTGATATGCCGTTCGTAAGCATCGTAAAGCTTTGTGAAATGGTCCATGTTCTGCACGAGGCCTTTGTATCGAAAGGTCGGGGCCGCGACAAGCTCCGTCTTGAGTAGCGGGTGTTGATGCTCCGTCTGATATGAGTTGCTCGACTTCGCTCGCTTTCTCTTGGAGACAAAAGAAGGGTTTGAATTGACGGAAGGTTCCGGTGTTACCATCTGCTCTGGCGCATTCCAACCTTGCTCGATCGGTGATGTCTCCGACAGCGTCACTTGAGGCCCGGGCCAGCCGTGGGACACCGCGCGAAGCTCTAAGGCCTCGATAGCCTGGTCTGCCTCGTCTGGGTGAAGCGCTGCCATCATGGAAATCCATTCATGAAACCGGCAGACGAGCCCCCAGATCTCGCTATTGTTAGGGCGGTTATACAACAGCGTGATGTAGAAGTTAATGTCGGGGAACATGCGTGGTCCATCGTGGTACCTGTACGGCACTATATCGTCTGCGCAAGTCAGCTTTCTGTTCTTCAGCAAAGACAAATCACAAAGTATGTCACCCAAAAGTCAACCTACTCAAAATGACATCGAACATCCACTTCTTATCCTCGTAAGGTACCGCCGGGTCGTCCAGGACCTCAAGGTCTGCGTAGAATGCAGGCACCGCATGCTGCTCATCGAATGTAAATTCCTCTAGAGACATTTGGGACCAACTTTATGTGAATGATGTTATTGGTGGCAACGCAAGGGGTGGGGGTAAAACGAAGCGAATGAAGAAGGTAGTTAAAGTCGGAGTTTGCAAGTTCATCAGTTTCTGCCGCAGTGAAAAGGGTTTATAAAAGCTGGACGTCGAAGCTCAACAACCGGAGGTCATGCAAGTGAATTCAGTAGCAGCCCCACGTTCGTCTGGTATTTTGCAAGGCTGGGTTAGACTCTGATGTTGACTTCACCTTTGATTCACAACGATAGAGCCATCGGCAGTAGCGAAAAGGGCTTGGTGCAGACTAAGCGATCTGAACAAGCGCTCTCGTTATTGGTAGCTTCATACTTTTACTTGAAATTCGGTTTACCCATTGTAATACCTGCTCAAAAGAAGGCAACTCAATTCATCGAAAGATGAACCAGTCAAGATGAACCAACCCGGGCTCAGCCAGTACCAGCACAATCTTTCTAGACACAGGAGCCGTACAGTTGGATGTTGCGGGATTCATGTTATTTCATATCATAGAATAATGAAAATAAGAAAACAACTGCTTGATTATGTTTGAGTTTCAGGAGGTTGAATCGAAATAGTATTGTTAATTACTCACGTGTCTCTTGCCCGACTGTCAGTGACGTAGGCTGGCCGCTGCTTGATGTTTTCTTCTTGGACCGGATTCGCACTGTCTACACTGAACATCTTGGTTCACAATTCATTATTCTAAAAGAGGACAACCCGTTTCAGACACATCTTGTCGCTTGGTGAAGGACTTCAGCTGGATGGATTGGACACAGGCGAAAAGTGCAGCCAGAGTTGCATCAACTGCCCGCTACACATCCGGCACTTTATGGAACGAACTGCTTTGTTCCATCATGTTGAACAGACGTTGTCAAGATATATTATAAGACACGTCATAATTCATAGCTGAACAATATTTAAGAAACATATCACGCGATCATTGACTGGATGAATATCAAATACACATCCAAGGTTGCTGTAACTCATCATAGGAGATTTCGGTATGTACATTTGGTGGAAAATTCACCCTCTGTATCCCAGGACCTACGACAATGCCATGTCCGGGAACAGACCAAGATTCACGTTCATCATGAGTCCGTTGTTTTCCTGCAAAAGTTAGCAAAGGCTCTTCACGTTCAGTTCAAGACACACAAGGGGCCTTACTATGGATCCCCAATCCCAATCCCCCAGTAGATCAATCCCGTCGTCAAAATCCATATCCAGGTCATGGACGTGCCGCATGTCCATTCCCTCCTCCAGTACGCCATCTCCAGCCAACTCGCATAACAAGTTATAGCATTCCCGAACCCGCTCTTGACAAGCTGCCTCAAACCAACGCTCAATAGTTTCGTCATTGGCACCGTTCTCCAAACCTTGGATATGAGCAATTAGAAGAACGCCGAGAGCGTGACCTTTGATGTTGGTCTCCCCAGACTGTATCCGTCTGCGAGACCAGTCATGGATCGCTTCAAGTACACCACGGAGCTGGGTTTCCGATCCAAACAAAGACATCGAAGGCCCGCTATTCACCTCCTCTTCTTTGAGGTGAATGAGCTCAAGCCCTATAGTCATGATTGCTTGGAACGGAATAGAGCGATACGTCCCGGCGCCATTGATTGTCAGCCGATGAAAGTCTACGTCTGACGGTGTAGTAGGCTTGATTGTGCTAGTCCCCGATTTGTCAGGGGTCAAAAATGCAACTTCACACAAACGTAAAGATGTATCAACGCTCATTTTCCTGGAGAAATAGTAAATCGGGTTTCGCAAAGCCAAGGGGATGATATGTTGATGAAGAGCAAAGAAGAGACGATACGACATGAACTGCACGTAGCGAAGTTGGAAGGATGTCACAGACGCGTGTGACTTAAGCTGCTGCATCATTCTCTGTAGCGATGCACTCAGCTCGTTGCTGTGCCTGAGCGTCTCCTCGTACACGGTGTCGGATCGAAAATGATTGACGCGCTTGGTGGTTGCAAGACGCGCCGCAAATGTTCCGAACAAGGCGAGAGGCACCGTCATCTGCGTGTGGGTCTTTGAGTCCTTTGGTACGGGGAATGCCGATTCTCCGTCTTCGATTAGTTGCTCGTCGTCTATGTTCGCCGGCAGCTCGGTGTCAAAATCGTCCATCGAGATGAGCGGTGGCCCACCCGAGTCAATACTCGTCTGCAGTACAATTTCCAGAATTGTGACCCAGAGCCTGCGGCGCATTTCGGCACGGTAAGGACACATTTTTACAATTACCTTGGGTTCGCGATGCAGTCCCATGTACATCGCTGTTCTGATGATCGCGCCAGCACCGATCCAGGACAGGTCGCAGCCAACGTTGGCTGTGTGACGCAGGTAGTGCATCAAGCAGCGGATTTGTATACCGGTAATGGTCATCTTGGACTTCTCACAGGGTGTGATGAGCCAGAACATGCCCTCCCAGAACCACTGGATAGCGAGGTTGCGGAGGGTAAACCGCTCATCATAAATGGTGGCGCCGATGCCCATACACAATTGCATGAGGATGATGAAGGCTTCGCTTGCTTCAGACGGATTCTCCCAATACCGCTCATAGTCGGCCTTGAAGGTTGGGAAGTGGACAATGCGATGGACAGACTCAAAGGTACGAAGGTAGTTGTCGATGAGGGTGTCAGCTAATTCCCGAGACGGCATGCCCTTTCCAGTGGAAATCGAGCCAAAGGACGGAGTGCGGCGAGCTTTGATGACGCGTGCTAGCTTTTTGCATTTCTCAAGGTCGGAGTAAAGTTGGGAAGTCATTTCACCCTCGAGCTTCTTGGCGAAGTTGACCAGACGATAGAGCTGATACATATGTAAGCGGGATTGAAGCTACTTGGAGCATCTAACAAAAGAACTGAAATGTTTTCGCTGACGATGATGTTGATGTAAAATGAACATGAAGATTAAGAAATTCGAAAGACAAGAAGTGAGAAACAGAAGGAAAAGAAAAAAAAAAGCAGAAAGGTGAAGCCAAATATGGAAACTTTGTAAAAGAAAAGTTGGGACTTACCATATCGGCAGCATTCATCCAGTGACTCTGTCCAAAGTAGCGAGTCTTACTAACACACCCTCGACTGTACTTCAACCCTTCACGCAGAACAGGGTCAGACTGCGGCTCTTCATCACCTCTGCATCCATTCCTCACTGTCAGAACGGACAACTGCTGCTCGAGCTGTCTCACTCTTTCCACAAGAGAGTTGACCGCTGAGGAGGAGCTGGGACAACTCCCGGGCGTCGACGCAGTATCTGCACGAATACTGGCCGCAGCAGAGGACCGAACAGGGTTGACGGGCTGCCACGTCCCAAAGTCCGCCGGGCCCGAGTGTTCGCCAGAGCTGGGAGTCGGCATAAAGAGCGGGTTGCCTTCAGGAGTCTCCAGGACTAGTCTGTGTGCAGACGATCCAGAATTTCTTGGACCTGATAGGGCCTGGGCAGTCGGCCGGATAGGATCGGGGACTCCTAGGCCCGCACTGGATTCGTCTGCACCGTGTACAGGGCTTCTTTCAGGCCCAGCAGGCCTCCTCCGGGAAGAGATGTCATATTGGGCCCTCACCGTAGACGGAGCCGAGTGTCCTGTAGACGGCAAAGCTTGGGTGACCGGAGGAATCTGGCCAGGGAAGTCGAGAGCCGAGGCCATGGAATGAACGGAATTCGCACCATTCTTTTCACTCTTTCGCGGTGCTGGCTTTGTCTCCGAGGCGTATGTGCAGACAGAGCGCTTGGAGCGCACGCAGGTGCTGCAGGGAAGGTTTCTGTCGCAGCGGACTTTGCGCCGGCGACATTGCTCACATGCCAAGGCGGGTCTCCGTCGTTTCTTCTGCGCTGAAGGCTGAACCGGACTTCCCAAAGTGTTCATTTTGGGTAATCTGGTGATTTGACACAGGTTTGGAGAATTGGGGACGATGTGATGGGATTGTGGAACGCCGATAGTATGAGCGGAGGTGGGCAGCTCGGCTTTTTGTCTTGAGTCCGAGTCTCCCCTGCTGTTTGGTGCCGGTCTATAAAACGTTGGTGCCTGGATCAAGCAGTAGCGAGAAAAAATTTCTGTATAGGTATCGAAGCAAAGATCTTATCAGATGATCAGAAAGGTTTTGTCGGTGAGGAGGACGAGGAGGATGACGGAGCTGACGACGAAAGAGAGTGAGTTGGTGCTTATCCCCGAGATGTCGTCGGGATTTATGCGTCAAAGGATTGTTCCGCCCGCCATACACCGAGCGATGTGAGAGCTTGATTGGCCCTAGTCCCTAAAAATGCAAAACACCGAGCTGCATTTGAATAGGCCGACTTACACGATAATTCCGAGAAGGTTTGGGGGTCAATCACCGAGATTGCCGACTACGATATCCGTGACCCCTCGAGGTATGTATTCTTCAAAGGCTACAAATCCACGATTGGTTGGTATGCGAGGGCCGCAAGAGGACTTTGAAGACCTATATGAGAGACCATGCCCTCCGTAATAATTATAAGATGACCAGTGTGCAATGATATGATGTTTATCTTTTCCTAGCTATGTCGCTGCATAGCACCAATTCGCAACTACCGAGTAATCAGTGACGAATTGTCCACCAGATAATTTGACGGATTGAAAACAAGACAAGTCAGGCGTTTAACGAAGCAAGAGTGGGAGGCTAGTTGTCGGCTCTGTCATTTAATGCGAAAGTTAGCGTGAGTTCTTTCCAAGGCTGAGCTTTTCGACGGTTCTGCATCTTGGAGACAATCGTTTCCATGCTGGGCTGGAAAGAGAAGGTGAAATATGAGACGACTAAGCACCAATACACCACAAGGCGTTGCGATCATCAAATACGACTCGGTCTCGTGAAGACTTCTAACTAGCATGGTGTCAAGAGAGAAGACATAGTCGCTAGGTTTCAACCTAACCAACGATACACCTTCCAGAGCAATTGAGAGTGGTTCTCAAATCATTCGCAGAAACCTCCAGGGATCGATGAAACTCTCTGTTGTATATCTTGATTGTCTGTTGTTTCTCCAGCTAAATGCGTGCTAAAAAAAGGCGCAAGTGACACCAAGAGTCTGGCAGTGCTATTTCTTGCACACCGAGAGTAGTAGCAATGGCGGCCTCATTGGCTTGGATTGCTCAACATTTCTAGCAATATCCTTCACGCCGTTGTATTAGCGGCTGCGCTGTCCCAAAAACAAGACCTGTCATTCGGCCAGAAACAAACCCAGCCCGTAGTGCGAACGTTGCGGCTTGCACAAAGGAATGAAACGATACAGCGGATTTGCTGAGGCGCTGTACCAAGGTCTCTGCTGCCACACACGCAACTTCGCGCAAAGCCCTAGGATTTGCAAAGATTCGGTTCGAAAACCTAATTGTACAACCCTAAGAGACCACGTTATAAATCTAGCGTGCGGGGTAATATCAATTGACAAAGAAACTACAGAGTCAAACTAAGAAACCCGTCTGGCAGAAATCATACTATGCGACCCGTTCCCAGGCCGAAAGCCGTAAGAGTTCAGCCTATCCTTCGTATTTAGCACCGACCTCCTGTGCGGCTACAGCTTTAGGTGTGAAAGTGGTGTTACTCAGTGTGGTATGACGCAACGCGCGCCGACTACCCGGTATAGCGGGAAATGGAAACAAGGGGGTAACGGCGGTCATCTACAAACGACATCTGCCAGTATTGATAAACGCAACAAATACTACTTATAAATGACCTAACTGCTGCCAGCCGCTTCCATTTGTAGTCACTTATCAGTCGGTAGCTGTACCAATTCTTATACTTCTAGCCGTGCTCCAGTCACTCAGGATGCGATTCACAATCATCTCCGTCCTCGCCCTTACCGTCGCCGCCACTGCCTCCGCCGCCGTTGCAACTCGTGACGGCCCCGATTACGGCTCATGGGATTTCTCCGGCTCCGCCACCTTCCCCGTCAGCGGCTACACCTCCTACCATGTTGACGCGACGTACCACAATAGCGAGCTAGCAGCGCCGATCGAGGTGACGTGCAGCTATCTCTACAACCCTCGAGACAAGACAGAGACCGCGTCATGCTCGGACCCAAGTTTTTCGTACGACTTCGGGGATGTTCGTGAGTTCTTTTCAGAAAGGGCAGGCGAAGGGAGGTCCTAGAGGCACCAGGGAGCAAAGCTAATATCCTGCGTGCTGTGGGCCAGGCTAACACTGTCGCAACTGTGACACTCAAGCAGACCGTCGGGCTGTGGGGAAGTAATGTCACCGTGACTGGTGCGAAGGAGTTTGATTTTGACTTCAGCGGCGGTGCCGGTTTTACGGGGACTGCTGCAGGTACCATTGAGGCACAAACAGCTACGGCTTGAGAGAGTGCAATAATTCCGGCGCAGGGTGCATGCTCCAGGATTAAATACGTTAGCTCGGGTACATGCCAACGGTTCAGGGCATACGATCAACAGGCCTCAGTGCATTTGATTATGGTGGGGGTCTCTATGAAGATCAAGTATTTAGCTTAACTCCAATTAGTGACCAATAGACATGGTGTTTCTCTCTTACTGATTGTCATGAGAGCACATGTGGCAATTAAGACTGAGCCTCAAGTCCACCCCTCTGAACTAATGATATCTTCTGAGATCTAGCTGTAAGCCGTTTCTCCCAAACCAACGTATTTAATCCTGGAGCATGTACCTAGGACAACCCGAGAAGTAGGCTGGTTGCCTCTCCTAGAGATGGAGCAATAGGGATTGTGAGTATGCATGCATGCAATCTATTCCGTGAGAGGCAAAGTCTCAATTTTCCACGAAATATAGCCTCGCTTTCACTTTAATAATAGAACGGGTTCGAATGGATACCAACGGGACAGTTAAGCGTCTCTTATCAACACATGAGTGTAGGTTTCAATTCTCAAGTTTGACTGAAGTAGTCTTTAAAGCATGTCGATTACGCCCCAAAGGCTTCTCTGGCAGTTCAGCTTGAGCCGAGTGTAACGTCAAATACTTCGAAAGAAGTTCCAATGGCACTTAGTTTAAGAATATGGAGGGATTCACTGTGGGCCCTACGTGCAGACACCCTGAACTCATGGTTCATCTAATTTTGGGGCCGTTTATAGTTAGCGCGCAAAGGACACATTCCTGTTGGCGCCTGGCTCGTCACATGGGATCCGATTACACAGACACAAAGGGGGGATCGGGGTATTCCGGTTGGTTTCAGCGCAAAGGTAACTGCTCGATTTCTAGGTAAAATGGGGAAAAGGAGACCAAATGTACAAGACAGAAACCTCTTCCGCACCCGAGATGCAGCATTAGTCAGGAGATCATTGTACACGGGAAGTAGGTTGTGGTAGGTTCGTCGTCCGGCGCCGAGCAGATGGTGTATGCTTCGGCCCGTCTTTCACTGCCCTCCGCTTTCCTCCCTTCGCAAACCACAGGTCGTATCTTCGGCCTGAACGTTCTATATCCTACGCCGGATACGCCTTCGAAACTCATCATGCCTCCTCCGCCGCACCGCACGCGTCACACAACAGGAACTCCACCTTACAGAAGGAGCTCGAGGGGGTTCTCGAGGACCTTCTTCAGCTCCTTGAGGAACTCGGCACCGACGGCGCCGTCAACAACCTTGTGGTCGAAGCTACCGGTGATGGTGATCTGGTCATCCCACTCGACGCCAGTGGTGCCGTCCTCAGACAGGGCGGGAACGGCGACCTTCTTGGTGGTGCCAATGGCAAGGATGGTGGATTGAGGAGGGTTGATGACGGCGGTGAAGTTGTCGACGGCATCGTTCATGCCCATGTTGGAGATGGAGATGGAGCCGCCCTGGTACTGCTCAGGCTTGAGCTTGCCGTCGCGGGCGAGCTTGGCGAGCTTCTTGACCTCGGTGGAGATGGCCTCAAGGCCGCGAGCCTCAACGCCGGTGACGATGGGAGTGATGAGACCGGTGGGGGTGGAGACGGCGACGGAGACGTCGACGGTGTTGTGCTGACGGATGACATCGCCGCGCCAGCTGGAGTTGGCCTGGGGAACCTTCTTGGAGGCGACACCAATGGCCTTGATGAGGAAGTCGTTGACGGACAGCTTGTACTTGCCGTCGGAGGAGGCGTTCAGGGCCTGGCGAAGCTTGAGGAGCTTGCTGACGGAGATGCTGGAGGAAACGTAGAAGTGGGGGTTGTTCTGGGTGGACTCCTGGAGGCGGGAGGCAATAGTCTTGCGCATGCCGCTGATGGGGATGTCCTCGTAGTTGGCACCGGGGGCAGCGGCAACGGGGGAGGAGATGGCCTTCTTGACGTCGTCCTCGGTGATCTTGCCGCCCTTGCCGGATCCCTTGATGTTGCGGATGTTGATGCTCTTCTCCTTGGCGAGGCGCACGGCACCGACGGTGGCATTGGGCTCACGGTCCAGGGCGTTCTCGAGCTTGCCGGCGGGCTTGTTGAAGTCATCGGAAGAGTTCTCGGGTTCGGGGGTAGGGGCAGAGGCGGTCTTGGCTTCCTCCTTGGGCTGCTCCTTGGGAGCGGGCTTAGCGGCATCACCACCGGCGTCGGCGGCGGAGAAGCCCTCGAAGGCGCTGATATCGGTGCCCTCCTCGACGAGGACGGCAATGGGCTATGAAGGCATTGTCAGTATGCGCGGGCATCAGTGGCATGTTTGGTGTTGGCGGTGGTGGGCGGATATGGTTTATCGCGATTACGGACTCGACGGGGTAAGGGTGAGAAAAAAAAAGTCGCACATACGTTACCGACGGGGACATCCTTCTCACCAGACTCCTTGAGAAGCTTGGCGATAACACCCTCCTCCTGGAACTCAAAGTCCATCTGGGCCTTGTCGGTCTCGATCTCGACGAGAACATCACCGGGGGCGATGCTGTCACCGGCCTTCTTCTGCCACGATCCGATATTTCCCGCCGTCATGGTAGGCGACAGGGCAGGCATCTTGATGACGGTGTGCGGGGGGTAGGAGGCGTAGCATCTCAGGATCTGGGAGGAGAGGTTGCTGCGAAGGAGGGCATTCGGACGGACAGTCCGTCTCAAGACCGTGGAGATCATGATGGATAAATAGCTCTCGCGGGCGGCGCGAAAGCAGGGAGAGAGAAACTGGCGACGGGACCGGAGTTGGACTATGGATCAAGACGATGGACCGTCGACGTCGAACAATTGAAGCCTATGGGCAATCGAATGACGGAATTGGACGAGACGAGGAGGAAGAAGGGGAGGGAGGGGGGAGAAAAAGAGAAGGGAAGCAGAGCGACGACGCGGGATTATTTTGGGACGACGAGGTTTGATGCTCGAGATTGTCGGACGGGAATCTTTCCTTGGGGCTGGAGTTTTTTGCGTTGAGCTCCGTCGCTGGATGGAGCTTGGGGCGCTAGTCCTAATCGGGCGTTAGCGCGTCCCTACAAAATGCCTGCGCAGGGAGGGCCGTTAGGTGCGCGTTGGCTTGTTCGGTCAACTTTCAGTGAGCGTAGCAGCGAGTGAGTGAGTGCGTTCGCTGGCTGCAAGCCTACAATGGTCTGGGCCAACTAACGGGCTGCAGTGCCTGGCCAGGTTTCGCCGATAATTGTGGCCGGTGGCCGGTGCGCCAGGTGCTTAACGCCAACAGCCAACGCCTGCGCCAGCCAACCGGGTCCGCAATCGCTGGTGGCACACTGGGCCTTGTCGCTGGGCGGGCTTGATTAAGACCGACTGTCCTCAGGAACTTTTCGGACTTGAGAGTGGGAATAGCCCGGGAAAACAAGGGACCTGACGGGGACGTACAGGAGAGACCTGGCCAATGGGAACGGACTTTGATGAGTGAGGAGTGGGTCTCACCAATTGGTCTCCATTCTCATGGCGGTGTACCGTTGATTGGCTTGTTGGCCGCCGCCGGCGCCGGCGCACGTGATGCCAGAGGGAGACACGGAAGAGTAGACGCGCCGCACTCGCGGCCCCACCCGCGTCTGCTTACCTCATCCAATTTGTCTACGTAGTACTCTGTACTGAGTATCGGGACTCTTTTGCTTCCCCCTTGGTCTGTGCTGCCGTGGACTCGAGCCGCCTCCATCTCTAAATGCTGACATAAGACACTACCTTACCTACGCAGGAGACGCTCCCTAGCTGAGTCCGCCACGTACACCAGATGCTCTTCCTCTGTGAGGGACGCTGCGGTTTGCGTAATCTGCGGCTGCTGCACCTGAGAAAAAGGGACAGGCTCCAGACAGGCTCCAGCTTTGCAGCAGCTACATTAAACCGACGGGGACACGCTACAGTGCCGCGACTCGAGCTGTACAGTGTTCGGACCAGGCTGCCTCCCATGCTCCTCGCCGCCGAATAGCCCACAGTGCACCTTCCCCAAACTTGTCATTTGCGTGCACCGAAAAGACAGCCCCAGGACCGTGGCAGCCGTGGATCAAGGCCAGGGGTCCCCCCCATTCAAAGAAATTTGGACCGTCATTGCCAGCTCTCTCCATCTCCAAATTGCTTGTGCTGTCCAATTCGCGAGGACCACCTTCATCTCGAGCACAGCCAGCACCGCCAGAGCTTCTTCATCCTTTAGTTTTTGTGCGAACCTAGCATCAACACCCACGACTGCCTCCACGAAGTCGACGGCACGCACGTAGTCAGTGCTGCCATATCCGAAGCCACCGACCACTCCAGCAAACTAATACCTACTCTTCGTTACTCCATTGGGTCCCCCCCCCCCCCCCCCCCCGTGCCTGCCGTCCTCTCCACGTCGCCCTGCATATGCGCATGCGCCCCTCGATGTCCGACCTAGCAGCTTACCTACCCATACCGACACCTATGCTGCAATCCTGCTAGATCGCAAGACGCCGACTCCGACACCACGTCCATCTCCTGATCACGAACTCCGCCCTTTGAACTCGCGAATGGCACTTGGTCCCTCCACTGCTCCCCCATGAGCTCCCTCAAATTCCTCGTCTCCTCTCTGGAGGCCATTGCGGCTTCCAAGGAGGCCCAGAGGAACAAGCAGCTGACCGAGTCTCTCCAAAAGACCCTTACGGCCATCAAAGAAAGCGATCCGAATTTTCCGGACCCTGAAATAGTCTTTGCCCCTCTGCAACTGGCTACGAGGACTGGCAACGTCCAACTCATCACCGGCGCACTTGACTGCATCGGCAAGCTCATATCCTATTCCTACTTCTCGCTGCCGAGCACAGCCGACGCCCAGCAGCAAGATGCTCCCGCGGACAGAGCTCCGCTCATCGAGCGCGCCATCGATACCATCTGCGACTGCTTCCAGGGCGAGACCACAGCCGTCGAGGTCCAGCTTCAGATTGTCAAGTCGCTCTTGGCAGCCGTCCTAAACGACAAGATTGTTGTCCACGGCGCAGGTCTCCTCAAGGCCGTCCGCCAAGTTTACAATGTCTTCCTACTCTCAAGGAACACCGGCAACCAGCAAATGGCCCAAGGAACCCTGACCCAGATGGTCGGCACCGTTTTCGAGCGGGTCAAGACGCGGCTGCACATGAAGGAAGCTCGGGTGAGTCTGGACAAGTTGAAGCACAGCTCGAGCAACGTCACTTTTGAGCAGGCCGAGTCTGTCAACGGCGTCGCCAACGTAGAAGAGAAGGAAGCAGAGCAAGCCCGAGAGGAAGAAGGGGAGGAATCGCGAGCGCTCGCCGCCTCCGAAAAGGCCCCTGCCGAAAGCGAAGAGAATGCCAACGGCAAGCTGACATTGAAGGACCTGGAACACCGCAAGAGCTTCGACGACTCACATCTGGGAGACGGGCCTACCATGGTGACCGAGATCAAGCCGGGGAGGAAAGCAGCACGATCCGTGTCCGAACAATCCACCCCCGAATCGGCCCAGGAGGACAGCCCCGAGGCTTTGGATGCCGAGGACGAGGTCTATATCAAGGATGCCTACCTAGTTTTCCGATCCTTCTGCAACCTTTCCACCAAGGTGCTGCCGCCAGACCAGCTTTATGACTTGCGTGGACAGCCCATGCGCTCCAAGCTCATCTCCCTACACCTTATCCACACCCTCCTCAACAACAACATCGCCGTCTTCACCTCTCCACTTTGTACCATTACGAACTCCAAGAGCAACGAGCCCACGACTTTCCTTCAAGCCATCAAGTTCTATTTGTGTCTTAGTATAACGCGCAACGGAGCCAGTTCCGTCGATCGCGTCTTCAATGTCTGTTGCGAGATCTTCTGGCTGATGCTCAAGTATATGAGAGAGTCGTTCAAGGTTTGTGCGCATCACACCGGGCTTTCCTGGGGCTGTATTAACTTTGTCACAGCTGGAAATCGCCGTGTTTTTGAACGAAATCTATCTCGCCCTTCTCGCGAGGCGGACCGCTCCCATCTCCCAAAAGGTCTACGTGGTCAACATCCTGAACCGTTTCTGCGCAGATTCCAAGGCTTTGGTGGAAACCTACCTGAACTACGATTGCGAGCGTAGCGTGGACAACATCTTCCAGACCATCATCGAGGACTTGTCTAAATTCTCCACAGCCCCTGTGATGGTGACACCTGTGCAAGAACAGCAGTACGAAGAAAAGGGGGCAAAACTCAACTCCGGAGGTGACTGGCAGTTGAGGGCAATCTTGCCTCCGCCCCTATCTGTCGCACATATTACGCCACAACCCGAGCCTGAGAATGACATTCCCAAGGAGTACGTGATGAAGCGGATAGCCTTGGACGCTTTGGTGGATTCACTGAGGTCGATGGTTGACTGGTCCGCCGCTGTGCGGCAAGACGCGAACGGTGTCAGACCGGACGCTGATACGAGAAACTCCGAGGATGTCCGGCCGTCCATCGATCCAAGCATGAGTGACAACCCGTCTCGCTTCGAGACACCCGCACCCTCGACGCCCATTCTGGAGGACGATCCCGCCTCGTTGGAGAAGGCCAAGGCCAGGAAGACGGCCATGAACAACGCCATCAAGCAGTTTAATTTCAAGCCCAAGAGAGGTATCAAGCTCTTGTTACAAGAAGGCTTCATCCCCAGCGAGAGTCCGCAGGACATTGCAAAGTTCCTGCTTACCGAAGATCGTTTGGACAAGGCGCAAATTGGCGAGTACTTGGGTGAGGGCGACCCCAAGAACATCGAGATTATGCACGCTTTCGTCGATGCCATGGATTTCACAAAAAAGCGGTTCGTTGATGCGCTGCGCACTTTCCTCCAGTCTTTCCGTCTTCCGGGAGAAGCGCAAAAGATCGATCGGTACATGCTCAAATTCGCCGAGCGCTACGTTATGGGCAACCCTAACGCGTTTGCTAATGCTGATACGGCCTACGTCCTGGCGTACTCCGTCATCATGCTCAACACCGATCTACACAGTAGCAAGATTGCGAAGCGGATGAGCAAGGAGGAGTTCATCAAGAACAACCGCGGTATCAACGACAACGCTGATTTGCCTGACGAGTACTTGCTGGCCATCTACGACGAAATCGCCAGCAACGAGATCGTTCTCAAGAGTGAACGAGAGGCAGCGGCAGCTGCAGGTGCCGTCCCGCCACCATCGACGGGAATCGCAGCTGGGTTGGGACAAGCCTTGTCCAACATGGGCCGTGATCTCCAAAGGGAGGCCTACCTTCAGCAATCTGAGGAGATCGCTCTGCGTTCCGAGCAGCTCTTCAAGACCCTGTACAAAAACCAAAGGAAGAACGCACAACGATCCGGCGTCAGGTTCGTTCCAGCCACATCCTTCCAACACATTGGCCCCATGTTCGACGTCACATGGATGTCCTACTTTTCCGCGTTGTCTAGTCAGATGCAAAAGACCCAGAACCTCGAAATCAATAAGTTGTGCCTCGAGGGCATGAAGCTGGCAACGAAGATTGCCTGTGTCTTTGACCTCTCGACTGCTCGAGAAGCCTTTATTTCCGCGTTGAAGAACACGACAAACCTGAACAACCCGCAGGAGATGTTGGCGAAGAACGTAGAAGCACTCAAGGTCATCCTCGAACTTGGCCAAACAGAAGGCAATGTTCTCAGATCGTCATGGAAGGATGTTCTCATGTGCATCAGTCAACTTGACCGACTGCAGCTGATCACTGGCGGTGTGGACGAGAGCGTCGTTCCCGACGTGTCTAAGGCGCGCTTCATGCCTCCGCAGCGGGAGAACTCAAACGACTCCAAGTTATCGACACAGTCCAAGCGGAGGGGCGGCCGGCCGAGATCTGGAACTGGCCCACAAGGGTTCTCCAACGAGATTGCTTTGGAAAGCCGTTCTGATGAAGTGATCAAGGCTGTTGATAGAATTTTCACCAATACGGGCAATCTCAACGGAGAGGCCATCGTCCACTTTGCCCGGGCTCTGACGGAAGTCAGCTGGGACGAGATCAAGGTTTCCGGGTCCAACGACTCACCGCGGACGTACAGTTTACAAAAGATTGTCGAGATTGCCTACTACAATATGACGCGTGTGCGTTTCGAGTGGAGCAACATCTGGGAGGTTCTCGGTGATCACTTCAACCGGGTGGGTTGCCACAACAACATTACAATCGTCTTCTTCGCCCTGGACTCGCTTCGGCAGTTGTCGATGCGTTTCATGGAATTTGAGGAGTTGGCTGGTTTCAAGTTCCAAAAGGACTTCTTGAAGCCTTTCGAGCACGTCCTGGCGAACTCTCAGAATATCGCTGTCAAGGACATGGTTTTACGCTGCTTGATCCAAATGATCCAAGCAAGGGGTGACAATATCCGTTCGGGTTGGAGAACAATGTTTGGCGTTTTTACGGTTGCCGCTCGTGAGACAAACGAGAGCATTGTCAACCTTGCCTTCGAGAACGTTACACAGGTTTACAAGACCAAGTTTGGCGTCGTCATCTCACAAGGCGCATTCACAGACCTCATTGTCTGCCTCACCGAGTTCTCCAAGAACATGAAGTTCCAAAAGAAGAGTCTGCAAGCGCTCGAAAGCCTGAAGTCCATTATTCCCCGCATGCTCAAGACACCAGAGTGCCCCCTCTCGCAAAAGGGCCAGAGTGCGTCTAGAGAGCATGCTGCCTCTGCCGCGGATACTCTGCAAAGGTCACAGAACAGGACATCGGTGGAAGAAGGTTATTGGTTCCCGGTTCTGTTTGCGTTCCACGATGTCCTGATGACGGGCGAGGATCTCGAGGTGCGATCCAATGCTCTCGAGTACTTTTTCGAGGCTCTTTTGAGGTACGGCGGTGAATTCCCGCCAGATTTTTGGGACATTCTGTGGCGCCAACAGCTGTATCCCATCTTCATGGTCTTGCGATCCAGACCCGATCTGAACAACGCGCTCAATCACGAGGAACTGTCTGTTTGGCTATCCACCACCATGATCCAAGCGCTACGAAACATGATCACCTTGTTTACGCACTACTTTGACGCATTGGAGTACATGCTAGACCGTTTCTTGGAACTACTGGCTCTTTGTATCTGCCAAGAAAACGATACCATTTCCAGAATCGGCAGCAACTGTCTGCAGCAGCTCATCCTGAAGAACGTCACGAAATTCACACCGGAGCACTGGTCCAAGATTGTAGGGGCTTTCTGCGAGCTGTTCGCACGCACGACTGCCCATCAGCTCTTTTCCGCTACCACAATCAACTCGACGGCCTCCATCGACATGCCGCCGAACGGACTGGATTTTGCCGGTCCACTAAGTCCCACCGAGACGCCCATTGAGGAAGAGTCGCTGAAGCTCAACGGATCGGAAAAGAATGGCGACAACACCGATGCCAGCTCAACTGATGCAAACATTGGAGCTATTAACGAGGATGACCTGAAGACCCCGACAGCACCGATTCATCCCCAGACCCAGCCTCAGGCCCAAGCGCCACTGGAAGAGTTCAAGCCGACATCGAACCTGCAGCAACAGCCAGTAGTCGTCACAGCTGCTCGCCGCCGTTACTTCAACCGCATCATCTCGCGATGTGTTCTGCAGCTGCTCATGATTGAGACGGTCAACGAGCTGTTTAGCAACGACACTGTGTATAACCAGATCCCGACAACGGAGCTCCTCCGACTTATGGCACTGCTCAAGAGGTCGTACCTCTTCGCCAGGAAGTTCAATGCTGACAAGGAGCTGCGCATGCGTCTCTGGCGCGAGGGTTTTATGAAGCAAGCCCCGAATCTGCTAAAGCAGGAGAGCGGAGCGGCCGCTACGTACGTTGCCATCCTCTTCCGCATGTACGCCGACGACAGCCACGAGCGCACGGCTGCGCGCGACGCGATCGAGCAGGCGTTGGTGCCCCTGTGCAAGAGCATCATCAAGGACTTTGTCGCTCTCGAGGAGGATAGTCAACACCGCAACATCGTTGCCTGGCGACCGGTCGTGGTAGACGTTCTCGAAGGATACGCCGCCTTCCCAGTGGACGCGTTCCACAAGCACATCAAAGAGTTTTACGTCATGGCCGTGGAGCTCCTCGGCAAGGACCTCACCACGGAGCTCAGGGTAGCGCTCCTGCTGGTTCTTAAGCGTGTCGGTGAAGTTGGGCTTGGTATCGAGGGTATGACCAAGGTAGAGGTAGATCGCAGAGACAGCATCCTCAGCAATGCGACGGATAATACAGTAGACGGACACGAGGGCGATGCCTCGAGCAGGATGCGGCGTTGAGCCGGTCGAAGAAAACGACGGGCAGCGCGCGTTGGGCATGGCGTAATGGATAGATTGTAGGGGGGATCGTTTTCATGTAACATTACTCAACCCGGCTCGGATGACAGCCGAGGCCTTTGGCAGTTCGTGTCCATATTGAAGCATCTTATTCGCCATGTCTCATTTCCCGTGACCGCTCGTTGGGAGAGTATTACCTGTAGCTATATTCCATGCTTGCTTGTACTCAAATGCATTCTTTTCGAGTCCGTGAAACGCCGTGCCCTTGAACCCATGTTTTCCGTCTCATGCCATGACATCCCTGATGAACGTCCTCAGGGCGTCCGACTCTTCCGGTACCGTCCGGTCATGCAAGCTCATCAGGGCCATCTTGAGTACGTTGTCGTCCTTGATCGCCTGCCTCACGACGTCCTTCAGGATCCCCATCGTCCGATGCGAGTGCTCCACCACGCGCATGACGCTCAGCAGCGTCTCGAAGAAGTCGACAAGGCTCAGGTGCATCAGCGTATCCGTCTTGTCCACCATGTGCAGCGCAGCAAGCTGCAGCAGCCCGGTCTCTGCGGAGCCCGTGAGGTCTGGGAACGGAGAGGTGCCGACCTCGACGATGTTGAGGGACGCGAGGCGCGGCAGGATGCGGAGGATACGACCCTGCGCGAGGGAGAGCTGGTGCTCCGACAGCGTGGTGCCCTCGGCGGGGTCCTGGCCACGGGCGAGGGAGAGGATCAGGCTGAAAAGCTCGCGGTCGTGGAAGATGCGGCGCCACATCCTACCTTGTCCCGGCGCCCGGCGCTTCACGATCTCGTGGCCCAGGTTCGGCAGGGCGGAGGGGGGCGGGAGCTCGCAGTCGACGTCGAGGAGGTCGCCGAGGACACGGGTGGCTTTCTCGCCGACTTCGACCTGCGGGGCGGAGAGCCAGCGGCGGAGGAGCTCCTCGATGACGCGGGGCATGAGGGAGAGAATGGCGGCGTCGGAGGGGGAGGAGGCGGCCTTGGCGAGGATGGCGAGGGCCAGGAGGTTCGCGGACGGGGCCGGAGAGCGGAGGGCCGTCGTGAGAGAGGACTCGTCGGCGAGCTGGAGGGTCTGGGTGAAGGGCACGGGGGAGAGGAGCTTGATTGTGAGGGAGACGATGGGGGAGGGGTCGTGTGGGGTTGTTTTGAGGATCGTAGTGAGGCTCGGGAGGAGAGTCGGGAGGAGAGGAGGGATGTTCGTTTCTGAGTTATCTTAGGTCAGTACCAAGCTTGTGAGCTGACCAGACAGAGTGAAAGAAGCAGACGAACCGTTCAGTTGAAGCTCTACATCGTCGAGAAGCTTCGGTTCAAGGGGCGTTTCGGGCGCAGAGACGAGGTCGTCGAGGTGCTTTTTGAGCTCGTCGAGCCCGGATATCGGGACAGTGTAGTCTGCGGACATTTTCGGCACGACGTTGTCTGTCATCAGGGTACGTTTCGTCAAGATGGAATTCAAGGAAGTGTCCGCAGTAAATCTTGCGAAGTGTAGTGTTTGCGACGAGGTGAAGCTGTGAAAGCTGTTGACGATCGACCGAGAGCAATGCTGGAGAGATGGCGGGGGAGAGCTTTCGATTCAAGGGTCCCCGGACGCTAAGACAAGATAAAGCACAGTAAGCCAGGCACCTAGGGGGCATACGTGCTAGGGTACGCAGGCTGGGTTGCCTTACAGCGCCGGCAGGCAGGCGGGGCAGCGCGTCACCCACCGAGGAACTGCGCTGGAGGGGGGGGGAACAGTCGATGGAGGGTCGCTGCAGGTGCGGAATTGACCCCGCTAGAAAAAATAAGTCGAGGCTCGATCGGGACTTTTTGGCGCTGACGGCACCGACCGAACCGTTGCAGCTTTCCCGTTCCCAAGGTCAAGACTTTTTTTTTCCGTTCCGCAGCCGCAGACGGAAGGGTGACTCCAATTCGACTCACACCTACACCCTCCGCCCGTAACGCATTTGATCTCCCACCAAGGACGAGATAATTCCTGCTCGAGGCCCAGCAACGCGTTTCGATTGGCCATCCCTACCGTGAACCACAGAGCCACACATTCAAAGGCGGAATGTCGCGAGGAGGACGAGGCGGTGGCCGTGGTGGCCGTGGAGGTCGACAGGGACCGCAGCTATCGTGGGACAACGGCGAACACGCACCCGATACGCGACCTTCGGAGCTCTTCCCAGTGCGTTTCACTCTTCTCGTTATGCTAATCAAGACTTGTTCTGACTCCGGCACCCCCAGGCCTACGCAGTCCCGACGGCAAAACCCCTCTCCGATCTCGAACGTGCAAACGTCAACGCCTTCCTCCTCTTCCGCCGCCAGTTCCAGGACGGGCCCCTCTACACCCGCAAGCGCACCTGGGGCATGGATCCGGGTAACACGCGCAAGCTGTACGGCCAGGAGCAGGTAAACGCGAAATATGGCGTGCGCACGCGCGCCACGGCCGACCCCTTCACCGCCGTGCCGACCTACTCGCAGAAGTTCTCCCGCCCCGAGCGCGCCTTGCCAGAATTCGGCGGCCGGCCGTTCTGCAAGGAATTCTTCCCACAAGAGCTGCACGAGACGCTGGACGGAGACGACGTCGCGCCCGGGGAGAAGAGGAGGGGCGGGGAAGCCAAGAGGCTGAAGTTGAGCCGGATAACAGCGCTGCCGACGGCCGAGGACGTGTTTCATGTCAACGAGGAGGGCGAGGAGGTCGGGCCCGATGGGGCGAAGAAGAAGCTGGAAGCGCTTGAGAGGATGGGCGAGGCAGAGGGCGAGGGTGCGGAAGAGGAGTGGGAGGGCGGCGAGGAGGAGGAGCAGGACGTCGAGTACGACGACTCGGACGCCGGTGACTACGACGCCGAGAACTACTTTGACGACGGGGAGTTTGGGGAGGACGACGGAGGGGACGACGACCACGGCGGCCGCGAGGGGTCGTACTGATCCGCCTCGTGATTGGCGTACGAGAGAGAACGAATCATCATCATCGCGAGGAACGAAGCGAGGGACATTGAGCGAAGGCGGAAGGATTCGCGTTCGAAGAGGCCTTGAGCAGAAAACCTCGGGGAAGAACGACATGCTCGGCAACGACTGACGAGACACATGAGGCAATCGCATCACCGGGCGTTGGGCGGATGAACGGCTTTGCTGAGCGGATTAACAGCTCCCAGATACCCATCGATACCTCTCCAGGGGTACTAACAATTCACACATTTCACTTTCATGTTTTTCGTCATGGTGATGGAACGTCAGGGTCTTCTGACATTCGGTATCAACGGCCTCTCCCGCCTCGCTTTGGATGGGTACTCTACGGACCGCGGCAACAGATGTACTCAGCAGTCTCGGTTGAAGGGGGGTGACATCTTAGATACCAGCGCGTCGCTACGAGAGCGTCCCCCGCCACTTCGGTAGTATAGTCTGGCTGTTGAACGAGGCTTCGATGATTCACTCTCCTGGCAGTAAGCTGAGATCCTCGGTGCATGCATATCCTAGCATCCCACGACCCAGGGTTTTGTGTCCAAGCCGAAACGATAATGGTTCCTAGGTAGCCCGCGACCTTCTGATGCGTGATTTCGCCAATGCTGCCGGTATATACTTTTACCCAACCTGAACGCCGTTTGCTTCCCGTGGACTTGTTCCTAGACCAACCCAATCGTCCCCTCCAGTATCGACATTACTTCCGGCCCGCTTCTTCGCTCTTTGCTTATTTGGTGGGGTATTGACGCTGAAGCTGGGTCAGCTTTTCGCGGACATCCACAATGGCACCGGCCGCCTCGTAGATCTTGTCGCCCATCATCTTGATTGTCTCCAACAGGTCGAGGACCATGTTGAAGGCCGGCACCTGCGTCTGGTCCCTCAGAGCCCGCACTCGCTCGTACAGGCCGTGCTCGACGCCGGGCATGTGCTGCTCCATTTCCTTGATCTTCTGCACCTGGAACTGGTGCAGCTCCTTCAGGCGGTCGGCCTCGTTGGAGAAGAGGGTGAGCACGTCCTCGAGGTTGCGGTCCTGGCTGCCGTTTGTTGTGTTGTTCCCCGAGCCGCCTCTCGTGAGCCAGGTCTGGTGGTAGTGAGCGGGCAGTTTGAGTTGGTCGGCGCCTGCGAAGGCCATCTTGGCGATGTCGGCGTCGGACTTGACCAAGTCTTTGAGATGTGCCAGGGTGACAATGTCCTCGTCCAGCGTCGTCTTGACGCCCTCGTACTTGCGCTGCAGCCAGTTCACGTCGGTGGTGAGCTGTCCGAGGTCGCCGCCGTGCGCCGCCATAAAACCCCGAATCTCGGAGGCGTGTGCCATGAACCGCTGAATCATCATGTCGCAGTTCTCCATCTCGGACTGGATGGACTGCTCGAGATCGTTGAATCGGGTCGTGCCCTTGATGTTTGACACGTCCACACGTACGCCAGGGACGGTTTGTTGTGTCGTCGACTGGCCCATTGTCAGGCCGGGCGCCGAGCTGTTGCCTGCTTGAGATTGACCGCTGCATTGGTTAGCTAATTCCCTAGCCACTTCCCGCAAAGTCCACTTACAAGAGGCCGCCTGGCTTAGATTGGTTCTGGGCCTGGCTCTGGCCAAAAAGACCGCCACCGGCACCCTGGTTCTGCTGAGTTTGTGTATTCCCGACGCCAAAGAGTCCTCCTGACTGCTGTTGTTGTTGCGGCTGCGCCGAGTTCTGGCCGAAGAGACCGCCCGTCGCCGGCTTCTGCTGGGACGCGCCAAACAGACCTCCGCTCTGCTGCTGCTGAGGTTGCTGTTGCTGGGGCTGAGCCGATCCGAAAAGACCTCCGCTTTGCTGTTGCTGAGGTTGTTGCTGCTGCTGGGGTTGGGCTGATCCAAATAATCCTCCGCTCTGTTGCTGCTGAGGTTGTTGCTGCTGCTGGGGTTGGGCTGATCCAAATAATCCTCCGCTCTGTTGCTGCTGCTGTTGTTGTTGAGGCTGAGCCGAGCCGAAGAGACCGCCGCCACCAGATTGCTGAGGTTGAGAAGGGGCTGTGGACTGTGATTGACCAAAGAGGCCACCGGTCGCTGGTGTTGACGGCTTGTTGCCAAAGAGGCCTCCTCCGCCCGTCTGGGTGCCGCCAAAAAGACCGCCGCTCGTAGCAGGTTGTGTAGACGCTGCTGCGTTTCCGAATAGTCCTCCGCCTGCTGCGGGCGTCGAAGAAGGGCCAGCACTGAGTGAAAAACTCTGGGTCAGCAAGATGTCAAGAACAGCAGCAGGAGAGTTCCGGGCTATATAACTTACCCAGCATTGGCAGCACCAGTATTGATGCTCAAGCCACCACCGGTGGCGCTCGCGGATCGTCCAAACATACTGAACTTGTGCTCGAGTCCGTCGAGGGCGGTCAGTTCAGATGGGTTTCTGATGGGTACAGGCGGAAGTGTCCTCAAGCACTGTCTCTTGTTTGCAACTGGAGTCGATTGATGGTCGTCGTGGTTTGGATTATTTGTTGCTTCTGGCTGCTGCTGCAGCTGCGCGGTCAACGCGAAAGAATTGGCGGCGGCCACTGCAACGACGCACGGACCATCTACAGCTTTCAGAGCTTCTCTCGCCGTTTCCCTCTGCGAAGAATGCGACTGCTGCTGATTGGCCTGTCGGCTGCCGATTTGACCGTCCGCCGAGATCCACTTTGAAGCTGGCTGGCTCTGCCGGCGATTGGCCAATGCTCCCATCTGTCGACGGCCCGTGCGGCCCTTCTTGTCGCCTGGCCGCGACTGTGAACTGGAACCACTGACGGAGCTTGGAGCTCCTGCACCTGGTGTTGATGCGCCTGTACCCGTGAAAGCGAAGCAACCCGCAAAAGTTGCAGCACCATCACCACCATTACTACTACTACCACCCCTGAACGAAGACATCGCAACCCACGTAGCCCACAATGGATATCGACGAGGACGATGACTTCTACGGCAACGAGGAGCCCGCGGTCGAAACAACGACAAATCCGACAACAGAGAGTGCGGCTCCAGAGAACAATCCGTCGCCCGCGGTAGACGCCAAGTCGGAAGAGCTGGAGGAAGGCGAGGAGGAAGATGAGGGTGGCGCCATGGACGAAGATGAAGACGACTCGGTATGCCCTTTTCAACTCAGTTCATCTCTTTGGATAGCTTCATCAGCAAAAGAGCAAGTAACTGACAGTTCTGGCGCGTTCTAGGATATCGAAATCGTCACCGAGCGCAAAGACGGCACAAAGGCAGCACCTCCAACGTAAGTCGCAATATCCTGTCATTAAGAAATCGTGCAGTTCCATGTTCTAACACCAGGAACAGACAGTCGCGCTACAGCGATATCAGAAACATCCCACAAAGGTCGGCTTCCAACGACATGACCGTCAAAGCCGCTCCGCCCAAGAAGGAGGAAGACTCAGCGAGAGCCTCGCCTTCCGACCTTCCGTTGGGTGTCCCAAGTGCCGACAAAGCTGCCGCTGCAGCTTCCAAGTCGACCATCGACGTCAACGCCAATCCCGATTACCCCCCCGTCGGCAAGCCCATTACCGCCGTCAACATCGACGAGGGTAGGAGACGCTGTTCCCTTACATGGCGTGTCGAGTTGCTAATTTCTCTGCAGATCTGACCGAGAACGACAAGCCGTGGCGCAAACCCGGTACCGACATCAGTGATTACTTCAACTATGGCTTTGATGAGTTTACCTGGGCCCTCTACGCTGCCAAGCAGGAAGCCGTTCGCGGAGAGTTCAGCGGCGACGCAATCGCGGCCGGCCAAAAGAAGATGATGGAGGACTTTGGCATGATGATGATGGGTGGCATGAACCCCGCTGCCGGCGCTGCGCAAGCCGGAGGTATGCCCGGAATGGCTGGAGGTGGCATGGACGGCATGCCGCCTGAGATGCAGGCTATGATGCAGCAGATGATGGGCCAGGGCATGGATCCCAGCCAGATGGACCCCTCGGCTATGTCGGCCATGTTCAGCGGCATGCAAGGCCAGGGAGGCAACGCCGGTGGACAGGGCGGCCAGGGCCAGAACTTCAACCAGGGCTTTGGTGGAAACCAGGGCCAGTACGGCGGTTATGACCAGCAGGGCATGGGCGGCGGCGGTAACCGCGGCGGATTTGGCGGCAGAGGTCGTGGCGGGCGCCGTCAATGGTGAGACCTCAAAGGACTCTGCACCCATGTATCTTTGCAATGATGTGCTGGTTATGATTCCAGCCCGGCTGGCGTTAAGGGATTCCGGTGGTGAGGTCACAAAATGGTTTGCTTTGGGGTTTCCGGATTTGAGCCACGGAACTGGCACAAACATGCATAGAGATACCCTGACAATTGCTCTGGCATTTCTCCCAATGTTTGTCACTGTCTGAGTGAAGATAATGCAAAGGCTTATTCCCCTAGACATCTTCCCCAAGCCCATACCCTCACCGATATCGCAGACCATTTTATGATCAGCAGCGTATCTTTGACCGTGCCATGTCCTACGGTTCCGTCTTAGAGGATGTTTCTGCCTGAATTGTCAGATCCGAACGGTTGACGTAGTGTCGATTCGCATAATCGTTGGCCGCATCCAGGTTGACGCAAGTATGCGAGGGTGTGATATCGACATTGGCGTCCCCGTGACTTTCAATTTAGTAAGATGTGCAGACTGCAAAATTGGCATTGCAGAGGATAACTTGGCGCAAAATATCAGCGCAATGGTCTGCACAACTAAGTTGCAATGCCTCCAATCCACTTGAGACTTTGATCCTCATCATACCAATGTGCGCATGCTGTAAGCTTGGAGTGTTCTGCATCTTCAAATGGTCCTCTTTGTAATACTCGGGGTAGGTTTGCTTCCATAGGAGATGCTTTCGCCCAATACTAGCCGCCGAGAATTCATCTTAATGTAGTTGTATGAGACTTACGACACAATGTCAAGCGTGGACGTACTCAAACACAGCGAGTGTTCCGTCGCGGATGGCAGTTGACCCTCTCAGGGGCTTCCTGGGTCTGAAGTCGGATTTTGGTATGTCTTCATCTGGAACGAGCATGAAATGATCCACACAATTCTGCCACTATTTGTACCTGCGTTGAAAGAAAGGAGGAAGAGCATTTCTTACGTTCGTCACTGAGCTTGTTCCAAGCGGCGTCAAGAGCTGGAGATGGCGTCATGCTTCGAGTTTCCTTAAACATTAAGGGTCTCCAATCTCGTCGAGGCGCCCAGTATCTGTTTCTCAAGTAAGCTATCAAATAGTCTGTCCCGCATCAAACCTCACTGGAGTGTAGTCACTGTTCCTGGTGCGGCGAGTCAAAAAAAAAGAGAAATGTTTACAAACGCAGACTTCATAATGTACCAAGATCCGTCCTAGGCACCAAAATCAGAGGTTAAAATTGTCAAGCGAGACTGTAAGACTTAAATTTCGGGGGCGAACTAGAACTGAAAAGAGATAGTTGGGCTGTAAACTGACTGCCCAAAACCACTCTGGTGGCAAGATTCTAAGGTAAAATCGCTGGATTCGACGTTGCGTTTGCTTTCATCGCAAGTTTTGCCCGAGTAACATGGTCTTCTGACGAAATTCGTCAGGGGCCGTGTGAAACCTCCCTTTGAAGCTATGCAAGAAAAGGGCCGGCATCCATAACACACAGTTCAAAGTCTCAGAAGCGGTGAAAGCTTACACTTGCATGGTTGTCCTATGACAGGAGAAGACTTGCTAACGGACATACAAGGATAAATTTCCTTCAACGATTGTTTGTCATATGGCATTGGTGTGTCGAGCAATATAGGTGGTCGGACACCGACTGTCGACCAAGTTTCGAGATATGGAAGCCTAAGGCCACGAGAGAAGATTCCATTAGAGCCGCCGCCGACGACACAATCATCTTCTGTGTAATGAAGACCTAGCAAACTTTGATAATCTTATATATAGATGGCTGAAAATCATGTTGGTTCGGAACAAATCCTATTTCTTGGCCCAGGTGCAGCAATCAAACGCGCAATGAAGGCAGAACTGTTGTGGATGAATTTCATTCGATCTTTATGCACTTCCCATGCAGCTTGCCTATTGTTAAAAACCGATCAGGAAAGCCGTATGCAATGTCTATTGGTAACAACGTAAGATAGCCGAGACAATCAAAAAACAATTTTCGCGACAACGGTGTATATCAGGAAGATCGATTGAAGTCCAGTTTCGACCATGGATTTGCATGTGTCGTATACCACTGCTCTAAACTTGTTGCGTGGCTATTCTTGCAACCTTTGTGGTTTCCACATTTCAGGTTGAAACATTATCCAACTCACAAGCACAACCTCATAACTACACACCTCTAAGCATTGAATATAATCATAGAGTCGGGCTCAGCCAGCTTGAGCGTCAAGCTTCTATCCGACGATGGCAATATGCTGGATTATATCTGTAGTCGCTGTGAGAAAAAATTACCAATGACGGTTCGCATGTCCGGCTCTCAGGCCTCCTTCTCGTCTTGATATTTGGTCTTTGCCAGCTTCCCCTGATTCTCAGTATTCTCGTAATTGAACCATACCATACCAACAGGAGCAGTACCAATGTTCTTGACCCCAACGACTGTGAGTATAGCCTGAAAGCAACTGGACGTCAAATAAAGAACTTCCAACTTACACACATCTTATGGACTTTGCACTTAGACAGTACAATGCCACAACCTTGTTTTGGCTGAATGTTCCAACAATGGTTCTCTTTCTGGCATTAGTACTACAAAATCATAACTTATGCATGATGTAGTCATGGGCCGGCCGACGACTCTTTTAGATACAAATGTAATTAATTATCTTTACAGAAGATTTTGTCTGATAATATGGTTATGGAAGTCGTAGGCAGCAAAAAAGACCGATATTGATATGCTCTACTTCGATGACTTTTGCAGCTCACATGACGAGGCATTTTTCAACAAAGTGCTTGTGGGGTTGATGCGCGGCGGGGAGGCAATGCCGCTTTCGCCTCAGCTGGTGAGAACAAGAATCATTGTCTCCAGCTATCTTGACGTAGGTCGCGACCCATAGCCCCCGAGCTCTAACCTCATCTCCGCCTCCTCGGCCCTTTTGTTGGCATCGGCGACTTCCTTCTTCAGCTTTCTGATGTATTTGATCACCAGCTCAACGATGCTGGCCTTACTGTTTGGTGTTTCTCTCAATCTGGCTTTTCCCGTCCGATTCCTTGTCGTTGTCACCATCTGTGGGGTTGCCCGGTGGCTGCGGTAACAGGCTCATAATTTCTTTCAGGGCCAAGTTGATTCAGTTTCGTTGGCCATGTTCAGCAAGCTAGTAAAATGCACGTTTCGACGTGAGGTTAGTCGATAGCTCACTTGAATATGTGACGCCAGACACAGTGTTGCCTTCAAGGCGTTATGAAGGTTCCATGCCTAGCAGGAGGACTATTTATATTGACGAGGACACTGAGTGGTTTGATAACGTTTGTTGGTAATGGCTGTATATGCTTGATGGCTTGACTTCTTGGTCGGCTAATGATGCTATGATTGCTGGGCACTCCTTGGTTTTGCTTTGGATGCAATCATCGAAAGAAATCGGCCAATGGTTCAAGGGCTAGAACTCGGAAGTTTGGGTTGGAAATTAGTACCATTGAGGGATGTCTTGCAACATTCGGACATCATTGCGACTGCCCAGGAACTTAGCCAAGTCACAAGGGCTTGATTTATACATCGTCGGTACCATGGCCGACCTTCCCCGCATACTTGACCGACCAGGGATGTATGCCATCCCAAGTGAGCGACTGTAACGAGCGTACATCTGACCAACTATTGGAACATAGTTTGACTTATTGCTCTATTGATAGGCTAATGAATAACTACATATAGCTTACTTGTGGTATCTGGAGGTCAAACGGGACAAATGTAATAGATGTGGTTGAGTATACATCGGCTAGATTCGATCTCAAACGAGACTGATTTGGCCGTATTGGTGTTGGCCTAGATGCGACAGGAAATACGATGGGCCGACTGTTGTCATGGTCTTGAGGCTGATGTTATGACCCAGCCAGTTGTTGTGCTGGCCGGCGTAACCACATTTTGCAGAACAAGGGAAAAATGATGCAGGCCAATCATTATCGAAGCTTTGGCTTGGTGGCGAAGATGGTTGCCTTGACCTGCTCGTGACACTTTAATATGTCCACTGCAAATCAAGAAATCAGCCTCTTCCATTGTCAAGTGTACATCATCAGACGTTATTGTAATATGTTAACACATACATGTATATAGCTTGGAATAGGCCTCAATCATTGTAGGACTCATAAGACCTAGAACAGCGTGATTTAACACCTGTGCGGCTTCCTGGAGAAGTCGAACAGGCATATACAACAGCTTTGTCATCTGCTGCAGAGAAACAAGCGTCTTCGAATTCGTTTCCACCCAAGTAAGGATGAGGTATAATGGGCCAAGCTCGTGTACTGAAACACTTCTTCAATTTTTGGCTCATCTTCGATATTGTCGGTGCAGCTGGGTCGCCTCCTTGAACACCAAAAAACTTGTCCTGTGGATATCTGTCACAGGCAGCCTGGGTAAGGCAGACGTCGATGTCCTCCACTTGGTCACTGGTGCACCAGCAAAAGTGATGCCTATCACCAAGGGCAGACAAAGCGAGGACTACGCTGAGGAAGAAAGCTGTAAACCTCATAACGAGGGCGTGAGTTGATATGAAACAAGGAAAAACGGACTAGGTATCAATAGAGTAGAAAGAGACTAGCCTGTCTCAAGACGAACTAGAACTTGGGTAGAGGTGTATATTTGGCTGCTTGTAATAGCGATTTGAATTATGGTAGTGTTTGTAGTTCTAATAGTAGAATCACAAGTGTGTAGGCCGATGAGCCCGCTTTCTTTCTCAAGATGTCCTTGTCAAAGAATTATGTTCCTGGCGGCTTTCGCAATCGCAGAATCATCCGGCTGAACCCGTTCCTGTGGTTTCATTCATCCCTATCTCTAAACCGGAGATCAATATCAGCCATACTAGAAATGTGTGCATTATTATGGTTCATCCAAGCATGCTGCCGTCGGCATCTCCGACAGACCCAGGATTATCCTATTTCCAGCCACATCCAAGACAAGTGCACGGCCGATTGTAGGCCAAATATGTGAGCTATCTAATCTTCATGTTGTTCTTTAGGATGGTTATCATTATGGTTTTGGAACTTCCGAAGCCATTGACTTCTTCAGGAAACTTATGCTTTGTCTCTATAGCGGACGGTATAGTTGCGGTTGATAGCCGTTGAGCCCGACAAATCAATCTGCCAGCAACCGTGGATCATCCATACGAACCACACCTTGTGTTATATCGGGTCAATGTATTCCATTCGCTCCATTACTTGGTAAGTGAAGCTCTCAGAACCCTAATTATAAGCTGGATTACCCAGTATCGAATTCGCAACAGACTCATCTGGGACCTCAGCCTCGAAGAGCGGCCTCGTAACGACATCCACCCAATGCATTGTCTAGACCATATCCGAGATGATCTCATGTGCCATCCTGATATTTCACTCTCTGGATCGAATGACTTTGTCTTCTTCAACGCACATGCTCATGACTAAAAGTGCAGAGATTCTGGTGCAATAAAAAGGTGGGCCAAGGAACACGGCTGGCCCGATTACAGCGACTATTTGCAAACCGTTGTTGGGTACAACCCGATTGAGGCCGAATGAGTGAACATAAAGACTGCTGGGAAAGGCAATTGGAATAAAGCAAATAGCACACTCAATAAGTAAAGTGGAAAGATTAAACTTTGATTTGAGGATTGAAGCTAAACGTACACTCGCTAGGGGCAATGAGAACGATCCAGGCTGGGAAGATTTCAGTTTCTTTGGGCCAGTATACGATGGCGATGTATCTATGTCACTTGGTCTGGTTCTTAAAACAATACTGGAATTGAGCGTCGACTATTCCCCCAAGCTTGTAAAGGTTGATGTCGCAAAAATGTCGCCGTTAATTGCGCGCAGAGATAAACGCCTTATATCTGTTGTTGAGTTCTTTGCTGCAAGTTTCCACAACCTATACTCGGAAGCAGCAGAAACTTAAAATATATTCCTGCAACACGAGAAAATGTCCCGCTGAGAAGTACTCATAGTCAAACTGTAGCTTCTTCAACATCGAACAGATCAGACCTGAGCGTTGGTACTTTAGTACTCGGTGCGTAGGTACAAGCGGTGTAGTCAAGTTTCTAGAGATTTTAATCGGGTTATCAAATCCATCTGCTGGCATTCTGGCTGGCGAGTCTTCCTAATCCCCCCAGTAATGTATTTGAGGCTTTCTAATTTTCCACCAAACTAGATCATGACTTGGTGTTGCGTGGCAGACAAAGCATCCACAGGTGTTTGCCGTGTCCTGTAACTGTTCGGAACGTGGGTGTCAGGCTGTATGTCAAAAGGGAGAAAATAAATTAAAGAATTGACTCAGCCGATTATCTCAATGACCTCAATGATGAGAATCACTGCCCACAGGTCCTTAATCACCAAAAGAGGCAATGGCTGGTCTTGCATAGATCCATCTCGAACTGATGTCCACTCGGGGTTGGACCTGAGCCGTAGCAGTCGAAGTCATAAGGGTGGTAAGTGGGAGCAGGGCTCGAATAAAGAACACAGTGAAGTGGAAGAAAGTGTTGCTTAAAGTAGAATAAGAGAATAACAATTGGTATTTGATGGGCTAATATCTCTACAGATTTCAAAAAGATGATCTCTGGACATTCTGTAATAAACATGCCCAGGCCCAAGAGATAAGGAAGTTCTCTTTCATGTAGACAACCAGAAGACTTCAGTGGTTGAAAATGACTGGAGTCAACATTGTTTGCATTCTATCTGGTGCAGTGACGTTACATTATCCGCAAACAAGACTTGGTGAGGTGATTTTTTTCTCTCTTCTCTTTTCCTTCAGCCCCATAAGCTATACCATGGATAACATAGTTGGTCCTCGAGTTCGCCAATAAGGAAGGTGGTTTTTGAACACGAAGCACTTGCATTATGATGTTATGCAGGAAAATTCATAAGCAAATTGCAAGCTGTTGGTTGAGGCATGCCAGTACACGCGGTCATGGGTTGCTTTTCAAGTTTCTAGCTATTGACAAGGACGTATCGAATCAACACTGGGATTCTCTTTGGCCAAGAAAGATTAGAAAAGGGCACCTGATCCAGACATGGCATCCTGCAGAAATTATCCTGGGACTCAACGTCGTCCGCCCTATACCGTTTATTGGCTAAAGAATTCAGCCTTGCCGTGCCTCACATAAACTCGACATCTACCTAACCAAGCCATCACTTTCCTTGCCCGTGCGCCATGGAATAGGTTCCCGCACAGTTAAATCGACAAAGTATCCGTAACTTAATGACTCTAACGGCGAGGGTTGTCGACATGGCCACACTGGCCCACATCGACGCATCGACCCTCGAGAATCTCCCTGTGGAGGTAATCGTGCAAATTTTCTGCCGACTTCCCGACTTTTCCGCCCTGTTTTCCACCATTGCGACTTGCACTCAACTGTGCAATGTGTATCGAGGTCACAATAGGTGGATTCTATCTACTGTGCTCCAATCTGTTTCCAAAAACGCGCCTTCTAGCCCGGTTACCCTTGTGTCACCACAAACACTCAAGCCCTCCCTTGCCTGCGGGACTCCACCAACCTATTTCGAATTCCTCGGGCTTATGCATTCTGTACCCTTACAGACGATACTCAAGATAGGACCCTACGAGGGTTACCTCTGGCAGTTTTATCGGGCAATACCGCGGCACGTTCTGACGCCCAGCGATGTCAGTGTCGTCTTCAATACACTGTTGAAACAAGTGAAATCGGACAGCCCAGCACATTCTTCACGCTCTGATGCTATCTGGCAGGTCTTGGGAGACCACCATAGAGCCATATTTCAAGGTGATCGATTGAGTCTAATTTCTGATCCTGATCTTGCAGAAGTTTCAAGACAGTCCGTTGAAACGTCGTTCATAACTATACAAGACGAGTTATAGCCAAGGATTCTCCAGAGACTGGTTGATGTATTGCATCAGTGTGAGCAAAAATCTGTTCTACTGTCTTCCTAAGTAGCAAATAGCAGTCTTTTCACAGAACCCAGCGATCGAAGTCAAACTGGGACTCTGCTTGACCAGCAGCAACACCTGCAGTCTTGAGAGCATCCCAGTTTACATCATTAATACCGACCTCATAGTCCCATCCGTAATGCGAATCAGGATTAGGGAGAATCTGCCAGTAGAACCATGGGATGCCAGCAGCGTCGATGCTGGCAGCCCAATTGCGTATGCTGGTATCTCTGACGGTTGTGCTGAGCGGGCTTCCACCATTGCAGTTATGATTCTCAGCGTTTGTGTAGCAGGCTCCCCACTCTTGCATAATAAGCATCTTGCCGGCGTTTTTGGCTTTGGTGACATAAGATCGGAGTTTCGACGTGGCGAAGTCGTCGACGCCATATGCATGGATTGCAAGCACGTCGAGGGCGCTGCAACTGAAATACGGATCTAGGAGAGAGTTGTCGAGGTAAGCACCCCCTCCAGTAGTGACTAAAATACCGCTGTTGCCCTTGAGATTGTCTTTGATGGACTGGGCCATGGTGCATTGCCAAGAAGTCAAAGCCGGTACGTTTCCCTGAGAGGTAAGAAGTTGTTAGTCGTATCAAACTGCACACAGTCGGTCGTAAAGACGATTAATACCTGAGGATGCATGGCCTCATTTTGCGCCTCAAATGCAAAGATGTATTCGGAGCTTTGAGCCCAAGTTTTGCCATTGTTAGGGTTGACATGTGCAAGGACATGGGCGATGCGAGCCTTGAAATACCCAATAGCGTCGTTTTTAGTGTAGAAATCACCAGTGCCGTACCACTTTCCATAGAAATCGCGGTTCAACTCAAGTGCATTGTAGCTGTGGATAGAGATCAGTAGTTTGATTCCGTAACCATGAGCTCTGGCCATGAAGTTGTCGAGTCGGTTCAGTACGGTGTCGTCCCAGTCTTCAGGGCCATCACCTTGAAGACCATTAAACGCCTCAAAAGTGGTGCCCTTTTCACTGCCGGACTGTCCTATTCGCAAGGATGGTCAGCATTGAAACCTTTCTAACGAGACATGAGAGACGACTGCGAAGCGATTACCGTCAAGCCAAACACGCAAGACTTTGACTCCTGCACTCTGGAGACCCTCAAAGAGAAATATCTGTTGCTGGGCGTTCAAGCCGGCAGCATAGTAAAGGTTGGACGCTGAGAATGACTTGGCAGCAAAACAGGTTGCAGGAAGCAATAGGTGGATCAAAACGGATAGGCCGGCAAAAAGCTTCATGATGGCTTGAGGTGTTGAATACTTTGCAATTACAATGGGAGTTGTTCCTAAAGCATCTGGGGAAGAATCAGCTGGACAAAGTTAGGAATTCAATATCTTTATGACTCCCAGAGGCATGTGCTTGATGGCCTGATTGCGACTCGCCAAGGAAGCGAGGGCACCTGGAGGGGTACCCAAGAAGGCAGGTCGTAAAAACAGCATTGCATATTATAATGGAATGAACCACTGTTTCGGCTAGCAAAAAGGACCTCTGTCTAGAAACCTACAGTGTCAAGGCTAAGGAAGAAGCTGAACTTTACCGCGGAAGTCAGAAGACCGTCTGCATTAGGCAGAAGGGATTGAAAAGAAGAAGAGAAATGACTAATTTACGCCAAACAACATAGCCCCTTGCTAGCAGGAGACGTATTAAGGCTCTCTACCACCCAAGTCGGCAATGTATAATTCCGAGCAGTAAGGATGCACTTTCTAAAAGCATCGACCTGGAGATCTCTGCTAATTTGGGCAAGTGGAAACGGCTATCCAAGTAAGACATGTAGAAAGCAGGTTTTGATTTTCGGTCCCTCCGTTTTTTGAATCGCCATATTTTACTGCCTTCCGTTATCAGTCTGGGTCGTCCATGTAATCACCCCCTCCCTTATCAGGCAAGTGATCTAACAGTAGCTCTTTGATTGCACGCAATATTGTCAACAATGGGCCCTTGGAATATCGTACTCTTCCGTCAGTCCGTGTAGCATTATTATCAACACCAGGTTCTAGCAGAGTATCCAGTCCTCACAAGAGATTATTACATACTGGTAGGGAAGAAAGTCGTGTAGTCTCATGGCTATGTTTTCGACATGCTCATCCACCCCCGATTGTCTTTTCCCACTCCGACACAACACATTGTTTCTACAGGTTCTACGCTGTTGATGTTCTGTTCGGTTTATTGATTGATATAATGGACCGTAGCCTTTTCTCTGCTTTCTGGAGAACGCAAGTTCTAGCCAACGACGGATTTCCGAGTACATCTTCAGGGCAACGCTTCATGTCATCCATTGGTTCTGCCGAACAAAGGCGTGAAATTACGCGAGGGGTTCCATCAAATGGTCACAGCATGATTTACTTGTTTCAAGTGCTGTATGAAGGTTTGCTTACACAGAAACATTGCATGCTTAGAGCCTTCTCATTTCCTTGTTCCACCATCTTCTACAAATGTTATCGTCGAAGACGAATACAAAAGAAGTTAGGCGTTGTTCCAGGACGTGGTGAAGAAAACTACGACACCCCGAAGCCCATTGGTCGACTTTATAAATCTCCGGCTCGGCCTGTCGACCCCCTTGCTCGACGACACAGCCGGCCAAACACATGTAGAGGTGGGGCCGCATTGTCAATTATAATTGTCCAGCGTAAATATGCCGACTAGGAGGAAAAGACGATCAGCTTCCATTTTAGCGTTTTCCCGACCCTCAACACTCTATTTCAGATTAGGCAGAAGCTTGAGGCGCCAGGCGGTTAACAGTTTGCCGTCAGAGTGCAACTGTTTGCCTTATCGGCGAATCTGACTCGTAATGGTTGGTTAAAATATAAAACGGCGTGAAATCTTTCCACATGTTCGTTCAATTTGGTTATGGGAAGTGCCGACTGTCTTTTTAAGCACCACGAAGTTGTTCAGTAATCATGCACACATCAAAATTCTTGTGGGTGCTGCCCAGCACAGCATCTGCTATGCCTACAATTGCACCGCCATCCACAAACTCGACAACGGTCAATCTGTTCCGACGGGATGGCCCTACGTGGCTCGAGGTCCATGCTGGAGTTTCGGTTGGTCTCGGAGGGCCAATAGTAGGCGTTCTGCCTGGACCAGTAAACAAGGCAACTTGCAACTTGCTTGTAGGTCGACAGCAGGTTTTCGAGCATTGATGAGTTCATAACTAACCTAGCCTGTTCCAGATCACGAACTCTGACTATTCCCGATACAACCCTTCCGTTACAAGATCTCGTCCTGACTCTGTCCCGTGTTCCTTCAACCAGGAGTTATCTGGACAAGATAGTCATTTGGGCGGCTTTAAGGTTCGTTGGACCGAGTACCTCTGTGGTACATTTGGTGGGTGAGTAAGACTTAGTTGACACAATACCAATCACAAACAAGGCACAGAATTGACACTTTACAGTGTTTGCAAGCCTCAATTCACTGTCAAAGGAGAGGTAGTCAACGCTTGGGAAGCAGGTGGGCGGACCATACCCTATCCAGAGCGGCCCTGCTGACAATCCCAAAGTAAACTGCAAACATGGCACTAGTAAGGATGGACTTAACGCCTATGATCACTGGATGTAGGTTTCTATCACAGTGTTGGCTGCTTTGAAGGTTACTTACGGAGTGGTTAGCTGCGAATATGCGAACTAAAAACGACATTGAAGGCGCACGGCCAGTGTTCCAAGGAGCCGTGTATCTCAAAAGTTGTGAGCAACAGCGGCAGTAAGTTGACCTGAGAGCCTGATGGCAACACCGGACACCCGTACGGGCGAAGAATATCTTGATAAATATGTAAGCCCAAAAAAGGGGTTTGTGGAAGTGAAGTTTTCAAGCAGTGAAAGTTAGAGTAGCAGTAAAGATACCGTCAGCACGGAGGTCGAATCTCCTAGCTCCCGTACTGCCGCTTGCTTCCTGCCCACCACTTGCTCATATTTTGGGCGATCAATCCAGCAGAACCCAACACACCTGAGTGATAGACCACAGCAATTAAAATTGTACTGAGATCTACTTAATATATCAAGATACAGGCGAGTAAGGGTCCTTCATTGTTGAGCCTGATGTTAGACCGAAAAGCAAGATTTTATTTCAGTATTTTCTAGCTACCTAATCGTGCAAGAAACACCAGCCTCAAGGAAAATGGCTCGAAGATCATGAACTGTTTTCCCACCATCACATCCTGCTTCTTCATCACCACTGAGGTATTCCCAGTCAGATCCGTGCTCATCAATCCCACTTTCATATCCATGATCCTCATTGACATAAATGCCACGGCATGGCCCTGGGTGATCGCTGTCGCACTCCCAGACAGGCAAGCAGACCTCTTTGAGACTGGGATAGCCTCCAGTCCGAATCTTGCTAGCCAGCGACTCAATCTCTTCGCGGTAATCAAGAGGATAGCCGTTGATTTTTAGGAATTGCAGGCTCGAGGGTAGCGTCTCGAGGGTACAGTTTCCACTTTTACCCATATCATCTGGGTAGATTGAAAGTTCCTCGAGACAGATGAACATGGCTAGTGAGCCTATCCAGAGATCATCGTCATACTCCGTGTGGAAATGCAGATCCAACTTTTTAAGGGTGCTTGTATGCATCGCGACAGCTGCCATGATTTCGTTCGGAGCTGTTGTTTGGTCTGGCGAGAAGGTGAATTCCTTTAGCCCACGACAAGACCTGATGACTTCAATCATCTTCGCTTCGCTGATATCGGCGTCCTCGAGACTCAACGTGGTGATTCCACTCCAGTCCAAATTTCCGTAACCAAGGTGAGCGGGCCAAACCTCGAGCGCCGTGAGATTCGGAGCCAGTCGCAGTAGAGGGCCCATGTCGGCTATGGATTGGCCTGTGGTTGGGTGACACCGAAAGCGGGTAAGGAGTTCTAGACGGACGAATGTCTCTCCCGGGCTGGGCATGCATTTGAAAAAATCGCCCCCGACACATAGGTCGAGGACTCTGACATTTCGTGCCATCAGGACTAAAAGAGCTGTGATGAAGCTGAGGTTGTTAAAGGCTTCGTGCTATTGGTATACTAGAAGGCCTAGTTCCTGCAGAACGCTTGATACAAATGCCACGTCGTCGTCCTTAATGAGTTGCTGGCCATAAGGCAACGATTCTCCAGACAGGAAGAGGGTGTGAACCTGTGCTGCGATTTCAGGTCGCTCGTGCCAGAGCCTGACGAGAGCGATGAGGTGCGACGTAGTCGGTTGGCAGGGCCGATCATGCCTCGTCAAGCAGAGATGTTTCCATATAAGGGGTGAAGCAACGTCGTGAAGTGCTCGGCAAGTCTGTGATACCGCTTTCAGAGTCGTCAAATCATCAGCGTTCATCTCAAATAGGGGCAGGACCATGTATGCGACATGACGATTGATGTTCAAAAACTCGGTAAGAACTTTCTGAAGAAGTTCTGAGGGGAGCTGAGTTATCTTTGTCATGTCTCGTAGCGGTGTTGAAATCTGGCACATTGATCTTTGGAATAAGTACTCCAGGAGTGATGTTTAAGTAGAGATTCGAGCTGTGGGACCTATCAAACCCAATTAGGATGGCTGCCTAATCTGTGATTGCTTCAAGTTTAGATTGCAATTTTAACGAACGACTACATCCTGTTAACGCCAGTTTCGGATCCCAGCGGCACAGCTAGGCAACAGTTTCGATGGGGCCGTTTGAAGCCGGGAGTAATCACTGGAATTTTTGACTCTACTGTCTCGAATACAAAAGTTTCCTGAGAAGCAGATTGCTCTTTATGCCCTTGCCAAAAGACTTCAATCACTATGCACTGTACACTCGTTCAGGCCAGTCGCCAAGACCATTGACGGATGCTATGCTCTTTTACCCCGTGGAAGACCTGCATAAAGTGCTCTTTTTGTCCTCCCACTTTTACACTGACCTTAGTTCGTGACGAGGCTTAAGCGAGCGGGTTTCATATACGGCTTTTCTCCCACTTCCACCCTGGAGATGAACACCGCACTCACGCCCTCTATTATCCCCACAACAAACACAAATAGCAAGCTAGCCACGACAAGATGGCAAACTTTGGAGCCGATTTCTAGCCAGGATCCCTCATGACCCAAAAGAAGTGAAGCGTGAAGATATCGCTCATCCCCATAACGAACATGAACAAGACCGACGGTGTCAGACCCAAACCTTGTTAAAGATGTCAAGGTTTGCCGATATTAGGATGAAAGGGGTCAATACCTTTAATATGAGCAGTACGCTTGCATGAAGGGGTTAAACACTGGGAGGAGCCGACAAACGCTTTCTAGGCCAAAAGACGAGCTCGACGCGATGTTTCCTGTGCTGCAGCAGGATGACTGGAAAAGGACGAAGAAGAACGGCGCCACCTGGGCGTCAGATAGCCTCAGCGGGCGAAAATTCGGTACCTTGTTGGGCGTAAGTCGTGTACTGTTACAAGACCTTACAGAAAGATGACGGTGTTTCTCATGTGCAATTTTAAAACCAGGAAAACTGAATATTCTTTTATTTCTTTTGGAGACCAGCGGTCTGCGATTATGCGTTTCTCTGGATTTCATTGACTGTATACTTCTTGTTGCTAATCTTTCAGATTAAAAAGGAAAGTTTAACATAATTTATTGTTCCGATGAAACTGGTGCTATGTGAACAAGCCGATGGTATGTGGTAACTGAAGTATATACTTTATCGGTGATCAGCCCTCGGTAGGGATTAGTGCTTACCTGGCTGCCCATGTCAGAACGAGGGCATGCGGGTGACAAAAAAAAGCCGGATACCTTCAAGAGGGATTTAGGAAGGGGATATCTAGGCTGAGTAAGGAATATTACGGATGACGATGTACCACTTATTGTAGTTTCAGTGCGGGCTACCTAAGTTGCCCCATGTCTTAAGGTGTACGGCTTTTTTCGTTATCCGCCTGGAGGGGAACGACGGAACGTTGCCTGCCTGCGGCGTTGCGACGCTTCTACGCTCAGGATTTCTTATCTGGCCATTACCACTCACTTTCCTCTTCTCTGTCTGTCGAGACATGCCTATTGCCTAACACATGATTTCCTCCGCATTCTCCGATCGCACAACACCGACTATTCTTAAGCAACGCGCAATCCAGATCATTATGGGTGGGAAGCTCATCCTCTTCGATATTCCTGATAAGAACGGACGTGCCTGGTCGTTCAACGTATGGAAAAGTAGGAGCAATATTTTCCCATAGATGGATTTCTCTACTGACGAAAATTTCAGCTCGTCTAGCCCTGAATTACAAGGGAATCGATTACGAGACTGAATGGCTCGAGTACCCTGATATCAAGGCTAGGCTTGAGGCTGCAGGCATTGAACCCTGGCTTGAACAGCGAGCATCCCATACCTGCCCGGCGGTGCAGTTTCCTGACGGGACATATGTGATGAACAGCGCGAAGATCATCAAGAACCTCGAGGAAAGGTATCCCGAAAAGCCTCTTCATCCAGATAGCGAGGAAGCGCAGGCCTCTTCGCAACTCACCAGCAGACTCTGGGGTCCGTTGCAGCCAGTCATGATGCCCGAGGTTTACCGAACAATCCTCGGCGAGCGAAGCCAGCCATTCTTCTGGGACACTAGAAAAGATGACTTGGGAGGCATGACGGTTTACGAATTCGGCGAGCGAAGCCAGCCATTCTTCTGGGACACTAGAAAAGATGACTTGGGAGGCATGACGGTTTACGAATTCGAAGACAAGTATGGCGGCGAGAGAGCTTGGGAAAGGACTAAGCAAGCAATCGAGGATGCATCGACTCAGCTCAACAAGACAGAAGGGCCCTTTTTCCTCGGCGATCAAGGTGAGGCATGAAGTTTCGTTTCCACAGCATGGAGACTAATGAAGTCTAGTGTCCTATGCCGATTTTATCTACGTCGGCCTGCTGGAAACTATGAAGAAATACACTCCGCAACACTACCAACGCGTCGTTGAACAGGCCCCTGCTTTGCAAAAGTTGTACGAGGCTTGTGCTCCCTGGCTAGAGCGAGACAATTAAGAGCTTCGACGTTTTGTTGCACATCCAATGACAAGGAGAAGCATTCGCTTGTTCTGGGCACTGGAATGAGATATGACGGGAATGGCCAGCTTGAGAGAGTTTTCATATCGCCCTTTTCGTCCTCCAGTGCATTTGGTTTTTGCTAAGCTAGCATCCTTCGTACTATTAGCCTGTTATGGTGCTATCATCCCTGGCGCGCGGCTGTAAAAACTGTTGCTCTCCTTGTTTTGCCGCCCCGTTCTGTAGCCTGATGCCAATCACTGCCTACTCAAGCCGATGCTAATTCCTTTACCCCCACCCCCTGCGAGCTGTATATGCAGTTAATCGGTGTTGTCTACTTGTAAAGCTCGGCCTTCTTGAATTAACCGATGGCATCTAAAAATGGTTCCAACCACGCCTCCCTTTGTCAGTCTCCACTCAATTCCATTAGTCTACTGGTTACAGAGCCCGGGTTAATGGGGGGCAAAAACCGGCTCCTTTTCATTTCCCCTCAGATGGAGAACTGAGCTTGCACCGTCGTAACCAACGAGCCGCAACCTGATGTACAGCTAGAGTCGGGAACAGCCCTCACTTTATGGAAGAGACGCGTGTCGTTTAAACTCTTATGGCTCGGAAAGGCAGCCGGAAGACGAGAACTGGATGTATAACCTGCAAGTAAGTGCCGACCGATCAATCCTGTGACCAAAATTTTCTGACTGGGACACCGGGTTAGGGCTCGCAGGGTCAAATGCGACGAAGGCAAACCTCTTTGCCTCAGGTGTACTACCACAGGGCGCAAGTGTGATGGGTACTCAGCTGAGTCTACATCGCAACTGAAGTTGCATCGGCTCCGAACTGCATTCTTGGGCATCAACAACAAGGGCGAAGGTAGAGCGTTGCAATTCTTTTGCGAGAAGGCCGGCCCTGCTCTATCCGGTGCGAACGACCCTTATTTCTGGACGCATTTAGTGATGCAATTCAGCAACTTCGAGCCTGCGGTCCGGCATTCTGTCATTGCAATCAGTCTGCTGTATGAAGATGCATACATGTCCATGAAAGCAGGTCCGAGCAAACCTCGACTACTTGACCACATCCCGAATCTCCGCAACGACACCCTTGCGTTGAGACACTATAACGCTGCGATCTATGAGCTGAAGGCTACAGAAAACCAAAGTCTGGTCTTACTCGTTTGCTTGTTGTTCGTCTGTATCGAGTTCCTGCAGTTGAACAGGCAGACGGCCATACGTCATTGCCATCATGGCCTCGCGATCCTTGGCTCAACTAGCGATACGCTGTGGGTGCGAGAGTATTTACTACCAGTGTTCCGCCGCTTGAGTGTCTTCCCATTATTTTTTGGAGAGGGCGCTCCGGACTTGGCGGGTTTGTGCATATTGAGAGCTTCCATGCCCGCCAGGTTCTCGACACTCTCTGAGGCTCAGTCAATCATCGACGACTTGTTCAATCAGACACTTGAACTGGTCCACCATGGTGATGTCTTTCGTATTGGGCACCTTGAACATGCAACACCGAGATCTGAGCTATTGAAGGAGCAAGCCAGAATACGGTCAATGTTAGACCAATGGCATGTCTTGTTCGAGGATCTAGAGGCAGGGCAAGCCACTCAGCCTAATAATATACCAAGGGCGTTTGCTCTGGTGCGGTACGAAATCTGCCAAATATGGCATAGCCAGGCTTTCGCCACGGACGAGATGGGTTACGACAGGCATCTTGATCTTTTCCGACGGATGACTGCCGAAATTCGCCGGGCGGCCCAGTCGCAGCTGAAAAACGAGACTCCTTGCTTTGTGTTTGAAATGGGGTTCACACCAATGCTCTTGTTCATCATACTGAAATGCCGTGCGTTGGACATCAGGCTTGAAGCTTTACAGTTGATGAACGTGGTTGGAGTGCACCGAGAAAGCCTTTGGGAGAGGTACAGTCTGCGCTCTGGGTGTGGACGGCTGGTTGAGATGGAGCACGGTGTGAGCTTGGACACGAACGGCCGACTTCAGACAACAACTCCTGCAACGGCTTTCAGTCTCCCGCCAGATGAAATGAGAGTGCGACATTTCATCACGGAATCGTCGGCGACATTGCACGATGAGCTGTACGGGGGAGGATCCTCGGGAGAAGGATCTGCTTCTTCATGCAACCTCCCGAAAACACCATCTATGTTCCAAATGAGATTAACACCAAAGAGAATTTCTGCCTAGTTGGCAAAGAACACATTCCGCCGATACTGAGTGCAGCCGTCAAGCTGAGCACACCTTTGTGCGTGCTCTGCCATGTGTAACTTTTGCTGCAGCAGGTATATAGCGAACCTCTTGAGGACCTTTTGAGGAACATTGTGTGCGCAGAACTGATGCCTTAAACACTAAGCAAGCTTTGGCATTGCAAAAAGGGAGATGAAGACAGCGCTTAGTCTTACAGCGCTTAGAGTCTTGGATGTGCTGTTGTATGAAAAGCGTTGGGGCTTCGAGATCATTTCCGCTTTGAATGGATAAGGCTAGTACACCGTCTAAAGAGCATGCTTGCTAGCTTGGCCACCTATAATGTGCGTGATGAAATTACTTGGTCTTTGAGAATCTGGAAGGTCTAGGAGTTCGTCATTGGTTGTGAGTTGGGGTTCTATCATTGGTCACGCTATAGTACCTGGCAGACCGATGATGGACTTCCGCCGCAGCTTCTCTTAGCCGCTGCGTCTACAAAAGCCATAGCTAGAGTGCGTATTGACTCATGATACCTCAATGTATGCACGTCTCGACAGAAATGGATTAAAATTATTAACAACTGTGCATCGGAAAGATGGAGAGATTGACGGGTTCGAGGTGAACCGATCAAGCAACCATTCCGTGGCTGATTACAAAATAAAAGAGTCAGACTTGCTGTCTCTGTAGTTTTCTATTATAATAGCCATGAATCATGGACTCGTCTTAACAATAATCTCCTATCCGCTTCCTACTTATGGCATCTCCACTGGCTCATTAATTGCTGGCATTTCGTGTATAGTTCTTGCCTGTTCGGGTATCTCGGCAAGTGTCATATGCGGACCTGGTGCGCAGGATGCAGAGGCAGGTGTTCTCGGGGTGCTTAGTGGACTCGGGGCAAAAGCACTGAAAGTCACATCCGAGATTGACCGCTTGTGAGCCCCATCAGATGTTATTGGCGGAGTGTTAAGATACATCAGATTGCACTTCTCATCGGGCAGTTCCGCAGGACCAGTTTCCCTGTGATCCGGTAAGTCGATTGGTGTAGGGTCGGTGCCAAGTTGACGAGCGCGACGACGCCGGAACAAGATGAACATGGCGAAGAAAGCCGACAGAACGACGGCAGTTGAAGAGATGGCGATGCCAGCGATGGCACCGTTACTCAATGCCGAGGAGCTTGTGCCAGGGACAGCGGAAGAAATCGCGTCAGTGCTGCTGCTTGCAATTTCCGATGCAGACATGGTGAAGGAAACGGCGGTGGTGGTCGCTTCACTGTCGCGTAGCGGTGGTCTGGTCGGACTTGGTTTGTTTGTGGGTGGTGTATAACTCGAAGGAACTCCACCGGTCGATCCCAAGGTGCTAGGCGCATACATGGCAAGAACCCTATTGCCCAGGTCGTTGCAGTCGTTGAGGGGAGGCAGAGGCTGAATCTCGAAAGGCCAGACGGATTGCGTCGCTTGCGGGCGATCGGGTTCGGTCGGGCAGTTCTCGCCGCAGGTGTCAGGATGGTTGCAAGCCCAGAATTTCAGCTGGCCTTCATTTGCGTTCAAGCATTGGACAAGACCAACCCAGGGGGACTTGGCTGTCAACAAGTGTCAGTATCCAAGCTTTAACAAGGATAAAACAATCGGTTGGTTTTGAATTACCTCTATCGAGACCACCTTTGACGGGGCAGTTCTTGTCCTTGTACGTTGGATCATTGCAACCATACTGGTAGGTCATACCAGTTTTGGCATCGTAGCAGGCCTGGTTAAGGCAGTTCTGGCCAGCCATGCAACACCAGCTATAGCCGCTGTCGGTACTGTTTCCAGGCAGGCAGGGGAGTAGAGACTGCGGGCCGACATAGCCAGCGTCAAAGTAACATTGATCGTAGTCATCGACGACGCCCGTGACCAGCGACGTCAGCGCGAGGAAGGACCCGGCGAACAAGAATATACTGAACATTCCGGATCGCCGTCGCATTCGGTGGCGACGAAGGATTAGGCGAGAGTGAGAGTGGGTTGTATGCGCTTCGCTTCAGCCGGGCGATCAGTTCTAAGGAGCGCTAACACCCATGACCCAACGTTGTCGACTCGCTGATGATGGATAGATGGCGGCGAATTTCCCTCGAAACTTAGAATGATTACACAGAAACGTAGAGTAGAGAAGAAGAAGAAGAAGAAGAAGAAAAAAGGAAAGATTCTTGATGGGCGGCAGCTACTGGTCGTTGAAGAGGAAGAAGAAAAGAGAGCAAATCATGGGATAAAGAAAGCTGCGGTAATACAGAGTACTTACTTGGGTGGTGGATCACGATCGAGGCTGGAAGCCGCAAGCAAAGTAGAATGAGGAAAGAGCAGGGAAGGGGCGAACTAACTTCCTTCACCTTCCACAGTTGATGCGGCACGAGGACTTTGACAACTGCTTCCCCTTGCATCTTGCGTTTTCTCGGCTTCTCCCTGACTTTTTCGCGATCATTTCCCTTTCTTCCTAAGCCCAGCAACGTCCCACGACAGGGACCAACGACAACTGTTTGCTTTCAACAGCCCTGCTAGCAAGTCACACATAGAACACCATCAACACAACACAGCCGAGAATTCAAGGACGCCCTGATAGGACGAGAACCCGGCCAAGGCTCCATATTCTCTGCCTAGTGTACGGCTGTGCCGCTCGGACGCACAACAATGGTCATTGCGTGAGCCGACGATGCACAAATCAAGCTGAGCCCCCCCCCTGCTCTTCGCGGCATCCAAATGCTGACATACCTCAAAAGCAGGAGTAGGACACGGGCGGAAGATCAGGGGCAGGATCGACGCGAACCCGAGATGCGATGCGAGTTGTGGCCATATGTTCGCGGCCGCGGACAAACGTCCTCGTGTCAAACACATTGCTGTGCCGTTTGCTCGTCCTCGCTAGTCAACATCTGAAACACAACGAGATCACCCTCTTTTTTATCTATTTACAAATGCTCGACATGAACACCAGCCGCAATATCCGCAACCACCATCTGAGACGGCTCGACGAGCCCCCATTCGCTCTGGTTGAAGGTGCAGGGTTCACTTGCCACCACCACATGCTCTCCATGGCTTTTTTTTTCTAACCGCCCGTCATCTTCAGAATCGCCATCGCTGGCGTCGTCCATGTCACTCGGGAAACCCTTGTACTTGCGATTAAGCGTCGCCCCGGCCGTGGTGGAGTAGTACAAGCTCGGCGGCTCCAGGCTCTTTGGGCTGCCGTATCGCACCGCGACTAGCGAGCTGCCGGACATGGCGACAAGGTTCAGTGTGTTGAACTCCCGCTCTGGAGGCCCGAACTCGGTTTGCATCTTTTCAAGCATGATGATGGTTTCCCTCATAGCTGCTGCCATCTCTTCGGCGCCATATACTGACTCCCAGTTCCCGTCTTTGCCGCACAGGATGAAGAAGTACACCGCGGCAATGTGCTCGGCGTCTGTAGTTCCGACAATGGCCTGCTGGTACCTCAGCGGAAGATACTGCAAGATCGCTGTTCGAATTCGTGGAAATGAACCAAGGATGCCGTTGTGCGCGAAGAGGTGGCGGCCGAAAACAAACGGGTGACAATTGGTTTCGACCACGGGAGTCAGGCCTGGAGCCGCGCGGATGTGAGCAAGGGCGGCATTGCTGCTGGTCCCCCGCACGATGCTCTTGAGCACCAAGTCATTCAGCGGAGGCCGAATGTTCTTGTAAACGACTGGCCGAAGGGATTCTGGCCACTCGGAATCTGTGTACGGGTTGAAGTCGCACTCAGATGAGGTGAACCACCCAACACCGAACCCATCCATGTTGGTTAAAGGGTTCGGTGACCCTGCGTCATTGGCTGCCAATGGAGCGACCTGGAGCTCTCCAAGAAACGGCTGCGCTTTCGTGTGTCCGGCCGGGAGGAAGTGTTCATCAACTATCGTCCTTAGCCCAAACACATCATTCAGACGGCATGTTGCTCACCTTGCTTCACTATTGCGTGGCGCGGTCGGATGACAAGATCTTCGAGAAGCTGGGGCTCCTCACCCAGATATGCGAACCAACGGCACATTTTCTATTTACTGTGGCGTTCTTTCGACTTAGGATGGGACGCGGCAAATCTCCTAATCACAACTTGTCTTTTGAGTGATGAAGTTGAAATGGCAGCGATGAGCGGTGCTGCGGACGGAAATCCCAGGTCAATGGTTCACAATCGCGCTCGGTCTTGTCCGAAGCACATGCCGCAAACTGGTCGAGTACTAAGCTGACGTCACGACCGTCAAAAATTAGAGTTCTCGTCCTCTATGAAAACGCCGCATTCTCGTTTTGTTTCAGAGTACAGCACCGTAGTCAGACCACGCATATCAGAATCACGACACCGTCGAAGATGGTGATAAGGCTGCAGCCCATACGCCCTGTCAGGCTTTTCGCGGGCGCGCCAATGCATCGGAGATATAGAAGGACTGCCTTCCTAGAATTGCTGTTGGGGCATCCAGACGTCTCAATGGGCAGCAGGGAATACCGTGAATGCTATCACTCTAATAAACATGAGGTACTGTACGCCTCTGAGTGAAGCCTCACTCCATTAACCGCGAGGCCCGTCCCTGCCGACCTTACAGGAACCACAGTATGCCGGGACCGAACTACCAAGGCATGGCATGCATCACTCCCACCAGCGCAGCAAACGCCCAAACAGTACTCAGAACACCAACACCACCGCCAGAAGTGGTCATTCTCCACCCCTGAGCCGCACTCGGCGCCGTTTCGGTTGGGACAGCCGCGCCGCTACCGTTGCCTGTGGTTGCATCGGCGGGCCTGTGTACTAGGGTATACTGGGGCCTCGACTCGTATGCCACGACGTCAGACTCCGCTACATAAGGGATTGATATCGTAGCGTAAGACAATGGGGGGTTGCTCGTGGCGGTGTACGAGACGACTTCCCCCGTGTAGCGGGTGTTGTTGTACGTGAACGTCGCATTCACCAACGTGAAGGCTTCGTTACCCCTTGCTCCTCTGCTACATGCTGTCATTCCTCCGTATCTGGACACTGGCACTTGAGAGTAGCATCCGCCGCCATTCGACCCCGGCGCATAATTCCTGCAGTCGCATTTGAAGGTAAGCGGAACGCTTTCACTGACAAAAACGACCGATGCAGCGAGAAACTCACTCGGGACAACAAAGAACTGCAGTCTCGCCGTTGTCAAGCGCTTCCATGAAAACGTTGAGAGGCGGGTTATACGGAAGCCACACGTCGCCTTCGTACTCTGCGGGGGGTACGGAGAAGGCCCCGAAGAACTGACTTGGCCAGCATCGTTCTTGGCGGCTACGCCGACGGTAATGTGACCTTCGGGACATTGACTGGCCGGAGAGAAATGCACCAAAGTCCCGAAGTCCGTATGTCCTCCGGCACTCTGCACGGACGAGAAAGACTTGTCGAGGGCGCTCCCATAAGGATAGCATTCGCCGAGAGGGTAGTCATCGCAGTTCTGTGCGAACATTAAGGCTGGGAGGTGATTCAGGCGCACGTTTTCTTGCTTATAGCCCAGGTAAAGTGGGTGGGCCGAGGTGGCGCATGCAGCTGGCGCCGTGAAGACTGTTGTCAAGGGCCCGATATTGGAAATGCCGAATTGGGACAGGGATGTTATAGTAGGCATAATGGGCAATCGGGGGGATAAGCCTGGGTTATTTTTACTCTCAACAGGCAGGAATCGGACGTGATGTATGTTTGTGTCGGCTAAAGAGTTTGCAAAGAAGAAGTGAGCATGAGAGAGGACCACTCAGACGTAGGGAAAGATATAAGGAAGCCATTCACTTTTAAACAATACACGATGAAGAATAAAGCCCCCGATGCTTCGTTGACAATGGTGGCGGAGCCAGCGGCATCACTTGGCGGAATGGATCGAAAGACGTCTAGAGCTCCCCCGTCAGTTGGGGAAACTCTTGGCTATGGGGTAGACAGATACACGTCGGGCAACGGGGTATTGTCACCTGGCGTAAAGGGGCGCATCGTGGGGCCGCCAACCGCTGTGCCGCAGGCCAGCGGGATACTTGGCGTCCTGGGGTTTGGCCTTGACTTCAGAACAAGATGCTGACAGCCAACACTTTTGGCCGTCTACTGGCACCGCCCATTGCGCGGCCTCCTGTACGGCGGGGATTCACGATGGTTGAACTAGACTGCCAGGCTGGATGGCTGGCAGTGCACGTGGGCAAACACACCGGTGAGTGTGGACTCTTTCTTGACCATCGGTGAATAGGAAAAAGTTTCGCGTACGTCTGGAAGCGTCCATACCTGCGGCCTAACTGTTAGATTAAAGAATATGGAATGACTCTCGATATTGTCGAATCTGGGATCGCCATCAAGTTCTTGCGGAGAATGACCTTGACCTTTCCCCAATGAGCTTGGCTGATTTTATACATGGCATGCTTCATGATGCGATTGCACTTTGATGGACCAATGTTTACATAGCCATGCGGCATCCCTACCGAAACGTCCTTGAAAGTGTCTACTGTAAGCATGAAAAGGTTCAAGGGAAAATATATAGAACCATTATCTTTGTCCATGGATAGACATGGCATTGTTAGTGACCATCAAGTAATACTAGTAGGCAGTTCGACGCGTCCCTCAGCATAGATGCATCTGTACCATGTAGTGCTATGAAGCTGATATATGCGTTTGCCTGTTTTATTCGCTGTATGAGACTCAATTGGTGTGCGGAAGACTCCACGTCAGATTTACTACTCGAGGACGTAGGAGAAGCTGCGGGCTGGCTCAATTTATCCAAAGCTGGGAAGCGTATAATCGCGTCACTGGGCCATACAAGCCGGTATCCGAGGAGATTGGGTTAGACCCAAGACGCTCACTGCAAATCCGAAGGGTAATTTAACCGCTTTTACCATGGCTGGAAGAAGACATAGTTTTATATGTGCTATAAGACACGCACAACATGAAGCGCGAGGCACGTTCCGCCACTTTCAGCCAAGCCGCAACAGCTTTCTCGTCTCTCCATCCACTAATTACGCATTGACTGGGCGGAAAGATCCGCTAAGTAAGCCACAGTTAGCAAGGCACAGGCTTGTGAGAATCTGGGCAGGGGCTTGTGTTAGAGCCAACCTATTCCTCGTACCGACTCGTCGGGCGGGACACGTCCCTGAATATAACTGGATACAACTGATCGTAAGAGAGAGGTTTCGTGGTGGATCTTGCCTGGGCTATCACCATGAGCCGGGGCGAGTGTTCGTTGTGATATGGGCCTACCCAAGGACAACAACCCAAACTTCATGAAGTGCGATGTGCCTCGCTCGGTCTTCCACTTTGGCATCGCCGTATATGGGGAGGGCATACATAGGAGGCACGAAGCAAACAGGTTGGCTTTGTCCTGAATGCCGCACAGTCACACTAGTGAACATTCCGACGCCGGCTGCAAGGTGTCTAGCAAAATTAGCCCCGGTCAGTATGTTTTCACGTCCGCCACAGTACACTTTGCGCAGCAACCGTTAGCACTGAAGCTCAAATTGAAGCCGGACTTATTTATGGGTCTGAATCGCGGACCGCCATCTTTTGGGTCCCAACTGCCTCCGGTTCGGGTCGTAGTTCCACGCATCAAGCATGGCCAGCCCGCCTTGTGTACGTGGGGTCCAAAGACCGCATGCTTGCCAATCAACAATAGGCTTCAACGGCTGGGTATCCCGCCAAACGGGGAACCAAGATGTCTTGGTGGTCGTTTCCATGTCCGTCGGGAGATAACACACATGCAAGGACGGCTTCATCAGTCGCCACACTGGCCGATTATGGGGCGGCCGCTCGAGAGTTTTGAAAGATTTTTGATGGCGTCGCTTAGGCTGACTCCTGGATCCTGCTCTGCCATAATGGTCGTAGATTGGGGGCGTCGCCTAGGCACAATTGGTACTTTGGTAGAGCGCAATTACCCAACGATGTATTAAGCGCGCCCGGGGATCGCATCCTTCGCGTCCAAAAGATACCAACTTCAGAGCACTTTTACCGCCGATCGATCCCGGGCAAGTCTTCTCATTGGACAACCGCGACGGCCAGCTTGCTCTCCCAGCGGCTGAGTACTCCATAGCTGACCGGCATCCGACTCCATCAACAACCACAGCCAGGGGCGATGCTGCTTCTCCCCTGCGACACTATCTTCGCGAGCAGGCTGCAACATAAGCTTCTTTCTGGCTGTGACACCACCTTCCTCACGCCAGCCCTACGTCTGCGACGGACGATGGAACGTATGGCGTCCAGGGTCGTCTTGGACCGTTGAGCCGCCCAATACAAGTGCTGACGGTGCCCCCCGCCGCCGCGCTGGAACACGTTTGTCCGTCCTGCACGCCGTCTTGTTTATGCCAAGGTGTTTCTGTTCTATCCCCGTCCCGCCCTGGGTTGATTCGCCTCACTACTTTGCTGTTGAAAAACTCCTACGGCGTATTGAGCCGCCTCATTTAAGCCTCCTCCCTCCCCCCCCACGCCCCTTCTTCATCTCGGCGTGGCTTTTCTTCATTCTCCTCTGCGCGATGTCTTCTTTGCATCCGCATGACCACTTCTATTACAACGGGAACAGTGGTCACAGCAGTCACTCCGCATCGCCCGAGGCCGAGAAGATGCTCAAAAACCCTAACGGGGCGCCCGGCCCCGAGGCCGACGCCATCCCCGACGGATTGGAGGTGAACACGGGCCTCAACTACAGCACGGCGCCGCAGCCGTACCAACCCGCGCCGACGCCGCAACCTTACTACGACCAACATCACCATGTGCATTCGCCCCGGACCGAGTACACCGAAGCAACGTACACCAGCAATCACTACCCGTCAACGCCAGAGAAGAGGCACGCCGCGGCCGGTACGGTATGCGGCCTGCGCAAGCCGACGTTCTGGCTCCTGGTCCTGTCCAGCCTGCTCTTTTGCGCGCTCATCGGGGTGGCTGGGGGGCTGGGGGCAATGCTCGCGAGCAAGGAGAGCGAGATCGCAAGGTAGGTTCCCGATGCCGTGCAACTTTATAGAATCAGAATAGTCGGGAAGCTGACATCGCCACAGACTGCAATCGCCTGCCGTCTCTTCGTCTTCGACAAGCGCAACCCCGACCGCCTCAGCGTCGGTCGCCTTCGATCTCAGCAAGCCCGCCGAGACGGATACGCCCATCTCGCTCAACAAGTGCCCGGGCAGCAACTCGGAGCTGACGTACGAGGTGCCAGGCACGAACCTCACATTCAGCAAGGACTGTGGCACGGACTACCTGTACAATGACATTGCCCAGGTGCCCGCCAAGAACTTTGAGGAGTGCCTGCGGTACTGCGCGGCGTTCAACCTGCAGCAGCAGTCACGAAAGGGGCCGTGCAAGGGCGTCGTCTATATCTTCAAGGGCGAGCAGGGCGAGGACAGCAACTGGTGCTGGATGAAGTATACCAAGAATAATGTGGACAACGGCGCAAAGGATTACACCGAATCAGCTTGGATCGTGTGAGAGTATAGGTGAACGGAAGACAAACAGGCATAGATGGGCGCATGGATGGAGGCATCGACGTGTAGCGAATACCCATTTGATCAAATACGAAGTTAATTCTCTTATTTCACATAGCCACTGAGGGAGCACATCACGATCCACCGCTCCGCAGCGGGACGGGGCATTAAACCGGAGACGGACACCTGCTATAGTCGACCGGGTGTAGCAAATGATTCTCAAGACTTGAATTTGGCGTCTCAGTCACCAATCAAAAACGGCTCCAGCTGCCTTGCTAGCTCAATCGGTAGAGCGTGAGACTCTTAATCTCAAGGTTGCGGGTTCGACCCCCGCGTGAGGCTCAAATCCTCGCAGCGATTGAAAGCAAATATTTTTGCGTTTGTCCAAGGACATTTGTCAATTCTTTTTATCCATTTTGATCCTTCTTTTTTGGGGGGGGGAGGGGGGTTTGTTTGTTTGTTATGCTCTTCTTTCACAGTCAAATCCCTATCCGTTG